CGTCTATCTTAAACGTCCAACTGGATATGGTCTAGGCGCTGGGAGGGCTTCCTTCCTCTTCTCTTTATACTTGTCCGTACTCCCTAAACGACCCCCTAACATGTGCTCTTGCTAACAATTCATAACCTCAGCCGTTCCACTCCACCAGCACGCACGCACTGCGTGCGTGCGGGTGGAGTGGTGGAGCGGCGGGGCTAGTGATTCAAGCTAGCAATGAAACCATTCAGCTACAAGGACATCGATATCGGTTTCATCCTGCGGATATCTTAGATGGTTGATGCACGAAAATGCTGAACATACCAAATGACATACTGTCTTGTATGAGATAGTTCTTAGGCACGCGAGTGACAGAAATCGCCGGACTCGTAAGCCACTAGACTTGCTACTTACTCCGAAATCATTAAAATCTATTAAATTCACCACGTCTTTAAAGGTATTTACTCTAGCCATCCTACCTCTAGGTAGAGCTTGCTTATGTTTATATAGCAGCATACTATGAAGGATGACGCCTATTCATAACCTCCCTAAGCTGACTGAAGACCTATCTGTTTTTCGGAGTCCGGCAGTTTCTGTCACCCAGGTGTCAGGTTCTTACCTCGAAAAGATTATAAGTCCAGTTCGGTCCCAGCTCTCTGTTAAACACAACTCAAAGATAGTTGTCCTTGGAATGATCGATTCGTGATTGCTACGTATAGGAAAAACATGAACAAGATTTCTTTAGTTAACGATCATCGTTCGCTTTGTGGTGTTGCTTTCTACAGCAGATCGGGTGTCCTGCCCGTGTATTTGACACGCCGAAGCTTTGACATTGGGTCCAGCTCTAGCTTCTGAAGTGGAAAGAGCTTTTCATGGCTTCAACAAACACACCAGCAGCTTTAATCAAGTCTCCTCCGTCATAGCTTTGAAACGACGTCAAGAAGTCGCTGGCGCATTTGTTGTGTAGATGCGGCGACCATGCGGCGCTGTTCAATCACAATGATTTGTAAAATACTATGCTTAAGATACAACAGTCGGTTCCCGGTTCCCGAAAACAATCAAAGCGTGGTCGGTAGCTCGAATGATCAAGTCTAGTTCTTTTGTAATAAGATGCCAAATGGTAGAAGTCGCATTTCCAGACCAATGCCACAATCTATCAAACGAATGCGCAGCTGAACGAATGATAATGAAAACGATCGGAATTTGGGATATCATGAAGATAATGAAGCCGGCTGGAAATATTCGTCCCTTGCTCCGCCGCATCATCCTGGGCCGAAAAGATCCAAACCGCTCTGCCCTTTGAGCGGGAAAGAACCCAATGGCGGTGCCTCAAGTTCCCTATGATCTCAGCACTGGGGAGTCTTTGGTGCCTTTCCGCTGTCATTCGATGCAGCGCGAACGGCGTTCAAAGGTGAGCACAGGCATGGTCGATGATCTATTTTCCAGTCTGTTCTGCTCGTGTATGTCGGCCTACGGCAGTGTCGACCAGCCCCCAGCAGTTTCGCGTGCCGTCCGTAGGCTGGTTGCTCTATTCACTACCTTGCTATTGACGGTACACTGGGCCTCATTGTTTCCCACGGCATGAGAGTGATCTTGAATTTGCAAGTCATGCTGTGCGAGAGTTTCAGATCATCTTGCTCTAGGGCTCGGCAGGCTAGGAGGGAGAGATATGTTGATACATTTCGCTCGGTCCGGCGAGCATCATTCTGCACAATATCACGGAGGGCTCACTTCAACACGGATGTAATGGAAGAGTGTTCAGTTCAGACTCGAGCGAGATGAAGTCAGATGACCAAGGGAAGGATGAGGTTTGTTCTAAGAGCTTCGACCTATCCAAAGACAATCTGGTGTTGTATCAGAAGAGTACTCAATACTAGAACGAGGTTACCCACGAGTATTATTGCCGCATGGGCTTGTTGTTTCTGCTCAATTGCAAAGCTAACGACGTATGGCTGAGACACTGGCGGCCTAAACCAACATTACCGCTCCCTTAGCCAAAAACTTTGAATAAAGGCTGCGCAAACTTGGTAGACGGAAGTGCCGTTGGCACGCGTCAAGCTGCACGAAAACTCAAAGTTCGTCAGGCAACAAGGCAGCTATTGGCGCTGAACACCTCAAGCACTTCTCACCATCCTCCCAAGCGCATCACACAATCACACACCACCATGCCGCCCCGAATACCTGTCCCGCGGGCCCCCTCGCCTCTCCACCAACTTCTCCCCATTACAGCCAAACGCACGATTAAGTCCCTCCTCCGCCCTCAAACCACGCGCTTCAACTACTCTCCCAACCTACCCACCCTCACCTCCACCCCGACCGGCGCCCTCGCCCGCAAAGAGGCCTCCGACACCCTCCCTCACCGCACCGGCGCGCTAGCCATCAAGCGTGGCATGACCGCCCTCTACGACGCCACCTCTGGGCGCCGCACGCCCTGCACCGTCCTCCAGCTGGACCGCGTGCAGGTGCTGGCGCACAAGCGGCGGGATAGGCATGGATACTGGGCTGTGCAGGTCGGCGCGGGGAGTAGACAACCGAAGAACGTGACGAGGCCTATGGCCGGGCATTTCAAGGCCGCGGGGGTCAGTCCCAAGAGGTGGGTTGCGGAGTTTAGGGTGAGGGATGAGGGGGGTTTACTCAAGCTGGGAGAGACGATTTCGCCGAGGTGGTTTCAGGAGGGGCAGTTTGTGGATGCGAGGGCGGATTGTAAGGGGAAGGGGTTTGCGGGTGTAAGTTGATGGTGTGTTTGTGAGGGGGACAGGGCTGATGAGAGCGCAGGGTATGAAAAAGCATGGCTGGGCTGGCCAGCCGGCGTCGCATGGGCAGTCTTTGACGCATAGGACGATGGGTTCGGCGGGTGGTTCGCAGGGTAGTGGTTCGAGGGTTCATCCGGGCAAGAACATGGCAGGGAGGATGGGTGGACAGCGGGTTACGGTGCAGAACTTGAAGGTTCTGAAGGTGGACGAGACGAACGGGATTGTCGTTGTGAACGGTACGTCGATGCGCTTCTGATGCATTAAAGCATTGAACTGACGGAGACATAAACAGGAAGTGTGAGCGGGCCGAAGGGCTGCGTCGTCAGGATCCAGGATGCGCTCAAGAAGGCCTGGCCGGAGATTCCATCGCCCATTGCGGAAGCGTCAGCAACTACGACGGCGTAGCGACATCTCTAACGTTCATCTCGTTCTCGTCCCTTTCATAACTTCTGTACAAGAGCATTGGACGGAGCATGGGCAAGGCGCTTCCCTGGAGCTTCACCGTTGCGTGAGAGGTGTCACATTTAGGCTTGTACACTGTAAGATGACAATCAGTACTTCCACCATTCACACCTTTCAGACTGGTTGACCTTCAAGACGAACCCAACAAGCGGTGAACCTGTGAAGAGAGGATCAGTCACGTATTGATAGACTTTCACTCAGTCCACTCCTCATCGCCACGCAGAACGAGCACTTCTTACTTCGCAACCACCAGAAACACAACACAGCACCACCACAGCGAGATGGCTCCTCGACTCAAAACTCGTGCCTCCTCAAACAAGACCCCATCACGCAATAGTTCCTGCAGTTCCTTCTCATCCACTAAAGCAATTAGCAAACTGCTGGCCGACCTAGGAACATCTCCCCAACCCCCAAAACTAACCTCCCCCTCAAAGCCCCAATCGCGCAGCCGTTCCCGCAGCGCCACCCCGACGCCTGCGAGCTACGCACATGAAATCGCGCCGCCGGTCAGGGAAGCCCCGAAACCCATCGTGCTACCCAGACTGTCGTACAGCCAATACATCCATCAGATTCTGCTGTGCGATACGAAAGACCCTGTGCACGTCAACAACGTCCTTACGTGGTGGATGATCTCCGAGGAGCTTGCGGCCGACAAGCACGGCGTCATTCACATAGAGGACTACAACGGGTCGTGGACGTTGAGGGAGCCGTGGTTGAGCGCTACTGTGCTGGTTTTCCTGCCGGATTTCTTTACCGGTAGGGATCTTCTCCTGAAACCCAACATGCAGCTCTTGCGACCCGATGCACTGATGATGAGAACAGACGGCACAGGCTTATTCGGCTGGGGAGTTCCGACGGACGAAGGAGAAATCGGCCTGGTGAAAGATATCGAATGGCAGGTCCCAGGCATGCATATCGACGAATGTTACCTCCAGCTCCTCGAAGCGGGGAAGATGGATGAGCGGAAATCGATCAGCGTTGGCACTGAAGACCACTGGAGGATCCATGCGATGGCGGAGAAGGATGTCGTGAGGGTGTATACGATGTGGTGGGTCTTGGGTGCGCCAGTTAAGCCGGTTGGGTTTACCAAGATGGAGGGGTTGTCGGGGGACTGGGACTAAGGCTCAGAGGGTGCATCGAAGATGACGGCTTACATTCAGCTGGAGAGCATCATTGGCGTTTGAAATTGAAGGACGATCTACCCGCATTGAATGATATCAGTGGACAGATTGGAGGATTGATCACATTCAAAGCTATGGCGAATGCGACTTGAATCAGTCAATGAGAGTTGAATAGAACTACGAGACGTGAAGTACAAGGCCGCCGGACATGCTCACAGAGCCAGCAGGTAAGCACGTAATGACAATGCAGCTAAAACGAGGGTTGGCCAACCATAAGCGGAGAAGACATACTGAGCGAAATGAACATAGTAGACCACTTCTTCGCTTGGTTTGTCGTCGGCAAATACTGTTGAATTACTCTGCTCTGCGAACATCATGCCAGCCTGGTGAAACCTAACCGGAACTTTGAGTATGCGGGAAGTCAGCTGTAGACAGATTCCAGCTAAATGAACTTTCCGGTAGTTGTTGATCTGGGTCTTCGCTTGTCAGCCCGCAATTGGTCCTCCCATCGGTTGATTACTGAAAGAAGTAGGTTGAAGGCTAGTAGAGGAGAGTGACCATCAACATCATACAGTTAAGTAGCCCAAGGCGATACCTAAAGTAACAGTACTCTAATAGCGGACTGGCAAAAGTTAATGATGAAGAGAAGGAATGAGAGTCACAACCCGCACCAGCATGATGACGAGCACCCATGAGCTGCTAGAGAAATGGCGCCACATGACAACAGATAGGATAGATAGCTCCGGGAGATACTTGTAGTACATGAAGCAGTCCCCCATACACGGATGTCAAGGGTATACTCCTCCATAACTGCGCCGGGTACTCATTGAACTTGGAGGATCTGAGATTCGACACTCAACAAGAAGTTGCAAACGAGCCTGGCATACTGGGACATTGTGTGCCTTTGCGCATCATGACTGATATTGACTGCTATCGGAGCCCAGTCGTCTGTAGTGTCCTTCGTGAACAGTAGTACTTCTGCGTCTCCCTAAAACCAGTGATGCCACAAGTTCGATTAAGTCTAGAGTTGAATCACTCGATCTGACCCAGATCGAGTGGATTGATTATGGATACAATCTTTCACTTTACCAGCTAAGTAAGCTTGCTTTGTCCGAGGCTCCCGACTTAGATCCGGAGCTTCCGAACCACGGTATCTAATATCTTAGCGTGATGTTGGCGCGTAAGGCTCCGGGAGTCTTATATGATCGCTAAGGCTTTCCCGTCCGACACTCGGCATCACTAAGATAGAGAGCGTTTAATCATAAACGGCAAGCCGCACGTCACGTGATAGGCATGGAGTAAACGACGACTCGAACTGGATAGATCGATTCAGGGTCAGCTCGAGTCTAATCGAACTTGTGGCATCACCGCCTAAAACGGGCATGATAGGGAGATAAAAACAATCACTGACTGCGGCCTACGCAAACGAGTCGAAGTTGCGACAGTTGTGGTAGCTCTGACATTCAAACGCGTTGACGCTGTCGACCTAGGCCATTCTGTATCGATACGTTACGACAGCGTTGAAAGCTATCATGGAAAAACGCCTGGCGTTGTCATAGATAGGATCGGGTGACGTCACATTCCGCTCAGAGCGACGTTGGTGCACCGTCAACATTTCCAGTGCGAAGAGTTAGATACTTAATCTCATTATCAGAGAGGTTGCACCGGTGCATCACTCATATCAGTAGCAGGAGATCTTTCTAAACTCATATTTACTGCCAGCAAACAGCCTCCGTAAAATGTCACAGCAGTTTTCCCTAGCGAGTCGCATCAAGGCACGTCGCGTTAAGCAGAGCACAGCTTGAACCGCAATTGACAGCAACAGCTCAACAATGGCCTCACAATGCCGCGAATACATCTCGGCGTGTACCTGACATCCGGCAACGAGACGTCAAACGCCGTGCGATATGCTCTCGACGCTGGGTATAAGGGGTACAGTCCCCCCTCACATCCTCATGGCAGTGTTATCGGATATTGGCTTCGATGCTGACTGACCCTGTCCTCAGCTTCGACTCCGCGCAGATGTACCACAACGAGCGCGAGGTCGGCACTGCCATCAAGTCATTCCTCGCAAGTACCGCAAACAAGGACGGCTTGACCCGCGACGACATCCACTTCACCTCGAAACTCGCCTCCAACAGCGCATACGACGCCGCGCGCAAGTCGATAAAGCAGAGCGTCAAGACGTGCGGCCTCGGCCACATCGACCTGTTCCTCTTACACAGCCCGTACGGCGGGAAGCACGCCCGGCTGGACAGTTGGCGGGCCGTCGAGGACGCGATCATGGACGGAGAGGTCAAGTCTGGCGGTGTCAGCAACTACGGGATCAAGCACCTGAAAGAGCTGCTCGACTCGAAACCGCGCATCAAGCCCGCTGTGAACCAGATCGAGGTTCACCCCTTCAACACCAGGACAGAGATTTGCAATTTCTGCCAGGACAACGACATTGTAGTTGAGGCGTATGCGCCGCTTGTACGCGCGCTGAGGATGAAGCATCCGACGATTGTCTCGCTGTCAAAGAAGTATGGGCGTACACCTGGGCAGCTCCTTGTGAGGTGGAGTCTCCAGCATGGCTACGTGCCGCTGCCGAAGAGTGTGAGGAGGGAGCGGATCATGGAGAATGCGGGTATCGAGAACTTTGAGATTGAAGACGCGGACATCAAGAAGATGGATGGACTGGATGAGTATCTTGTGACAGGTGAGTGCAGTCAGACGGCGTTGCGCGCTGGATACGTCTTGAGTACTGTGGAAGTAGCGCTGACAGCACTTTTCAGATTGGGATCCGACAGACTGCCCGTGAGGCGGGTCGTGTTGTACTTGATGGCGGTTTGGAGATAACTCCTACACTTGTCCAGGCATTGAACAATTGGCTGCAGCGCATCCGTGATAGACCCGGGCCGGTAGTTGTAGTTGGGATTACGATGCGAAATCGCAAGATGGCGGCCGGGTTTGGTGACGCTCGTGCAAATAGCCCGCAATCCGCGGGCAGGGTCCACGGGTTTAGTGCACGCGAGAGCGCCACCTCTATCAGCCCTATGGTGATCCAACAGCGGCGAACAGCTTTCCGACCGCCCGTGCAAACCCCAAGCCTCCGATGCCGCAGCTGCAACGCATCCCCGCTACAGTTGCCGCTCGCCGTGTTTCGCAAACCCCTCAGATGTCTTTGCAACGCTCTTTGTACGTAAAGCCTTGGTGCTCGACCGCGGCCGATCAAAGTGGATGACCCGGCAGAATGAACAATGATAGACTCTTCAACGGATTTACTATGATCCAGCCAATGAGCCGCAGCGATTCCTTATCGCAGCCGCCTCCCGCATTGTCATAGCTTCGAGAAAAAAGTTCGGGACAGCTTCACGTCTCGGATGAAGCTTTGCTCTCTTCGGGCATAAACATCTCCAGCCTGCGACTCCGGAAATGCCTGTCAATGGAAATCGACGCAGGGTCGGCATGTCTGGGCCAATCGAATGTCGTGATTGCCCTGCGATGCATCGCGAGATCCGCTCGGTACTCTAAGTCCCTGGTGGCCAGAGTGACGTGCCGTCGCGCGACAGTCGTGTGTTGCTTTTGGGGGTGAGCCTCTGGAGGGAGACCGATAAATAAAAGTGACCCCACGTTGTTGATTGCTCTTCATCTGAACCCTCTTCACTTTCCTCCTGCCCTCCTCCAGCTCCAACCTTGCCACTACTGCTTTTCTCTCCACCACCAAAGAAACTGACCTCAAACACCTGAAATCCTAATTTGATACCCCACCACAACCACAACCATGTCGAACCTCCCATCTGAGCCCGAATTCGAGCAGGCCTACAAAGGTGAGCTTCTGGCTACTCCCATCACCGGCGGCAGCTGCGTAGTGTAGCACGTGAGCATCCGCATATTAACCAGGAAACCCATACAGAGCTCGCCTCCACCCTCGAGAACTCCAGCCTCTTCCAGAAGAACCCCGAGTACAAGAAAGCCCTCGAAGTTGCCGCCATTCCAGAGCGCGTGATCCAGTTCCGCGTCACCTGGGAAGACGACAAGGGCCAGTGCCAGGTCAACCGCGGATACCGAGTGCAGTACAACTCCGTACTAGGCCCCTACAAGGGCGGTCTCCGATTCCATCCTACTGTCAACCTTTCCATTCTCAAGTTCTTGGGCTTTGAGCAGATCTTCAAGAATGCTCTTACCGGCCGTAAGTAGATATGCCGAGTGAAGGAAGGACTGAAGCTGACTTCTGTGCCAGTAAACATGGGTGGTGGTAAGGGTGGTGCGGACTTCGACCCCAAGGGCAAGTCCGACAACGAGATCCGCAAGTTCTGCGTTGCTTTCATGCGCGAGCTGAGCAAGCACATCGGCGCCTTTACCGACGTGCCCGCCGGTGACATTGGCGTCTCGCCGCGCGAGATCGGCTGGATGTTCGGCACCTACCGTAATGAGAAGAACAAGTGGGAGGGCGTCTTGACCGGCAAGGGCGGCAGCTGGGGTGGCAGCTTGATCAGGCCTGAGGCTACTGGCTATGGTCTTGTCTACGTAAGTCTCTTTGTACCTGGCTAGGAAGTTCGATTGAAGCTAAGATTGGCTGCAGTACGTCCAGCACATGATCCAGTACGCATCCGGCGGCAAGGAGTCCTTCGAGGGCAAGAAGGTCGCCATCTCCGGCTCTGGAAATGTCGCCCAGTACGCCGCTCTCAAGGTCATGGAGCTCGGCGGTACCGTCGTGTCCCTCTCCGACAGCAAGGGCTGCCTCATCGCGACAGACGAGAAGGGCTTCAATGAAGACGTCGTCAACACCATCGCACAGCTCAAGGTCGAGCGCAAGGCACTGACCGAACTGAACGATGAGAAGTACAAATATATTGAGGGCGCACGGCCGTGGACACATGTCGGCAAGATCGATGTTGCTCTTCCGTCAGCGACCCAGAACGAGGTCTCTGAGGATGAGGCCAAGGCTCTGATCGACGCTGGCTGCAAGTTCATTGCTGAGGGAAGCAACATGGGCTGCACACAGGAGGCCATCGACGTTTTCGAGGCGGCGAGGAAAGAGAAGAAGGGCGAGGCCATATGGTACGCTCCTGGTAAGTCAATGCATCCGTGCTGTCAATTGCTGTACACTGAGCACAAGACTAACGAATATGTCTCAACAGGCAAGGCAGCCAACGCCGGTGGTGTCGCCGTCTCCGGTCTCGAAATGGCCCAGAACTCCGCACGCCTGTCCTGGACGAGCGAGGAGGTCGACGAGAAGCTCAAGGGCATCATGGAGGCCTGCTTCAAGAACTGTCTCGAGACTGCGAAGGAGTACATCGAGCCTGCCGAGGGCGAGTTCCCGAGCTTGGTTGGTGGTGCGAACATTGCAGGCTTCAGGAAGGTCGCGGCGGCCATGAAGGACCAGGGCGACTGGTGGTCATCGTAGATTTGCTGCATTTTGTACAGGGTTTGGCGCGTAGATGAGATTACGATTCCCAAATATAATGATGCTTTTGAAATTCGCAAAAATATCGATGCTTTCATAATAGAATTGTGCACGTGACCGGGTCTGGGAAATGACGCCAAGACCTCGGTTAGAGAAACGGCGGAGCGGTTTGCTCTGCACCTCAGCAACCTCACCTTTCCACGCTGTGAAGGCAGTTGAAGCATTAATGATGATATGCACTTGTCTGCACCCTCTATCCCTCTTCGCACTGTCACTCGTCGCTCTTGAAACACAATGCGGAATTAGCACAGTTGACTCTTGCGCAAAACTCTGCCGGCGAACCATGGAAAAGACGCGATGTTTCCACACAGACGCTGCAAAGATACGAGACTATTTGTACAAGTAATACATACCAACCTTCTATCATATCAGTACTCCTTCGTTGGGTGCGCGTTATCGCCTGCGACCCACCTTCACCCTCCCCCTGTGCGCCTTTCGTTAGAAATTTAGCTTAGTCGCATTCCGCGATTGCGCTGAAGTTATACCGACCATCACCACGCTGAAAAAATGAAAGCAGAGCCGTTCCGACAGCTTCATTGCTATATAGTCAGCGCCGCAATCTACAGCTACGGAAAATCTTCCTGCTTTGCGAATTGTTTTCCCTGGTCGACTGATTAAATTCCGGTTCTATCTTCCTGCTAGTCTTCCTTTTCGATCCCGAGTCTTAGTCTAAGCTCCCAAATCTTTCCGGTCTTGCGCCATTTTGTTATCTCTTACCACTAATGGCCAGATATATTGGAACGCCAGGTGTGCCGCCCTGGCCCTACTGGAAGTGCTGGGGTGGTGCACCGAGCCATTGGAACCCTTGACCAGGACCTGGAAGGGATTTCTCTGACATCAGCTATTCCTATGGACCAGGAACAGGATCTGGACGTCCGGTTGCGTGGGAAGTACCATGGAGGGGTGACTCGCAGGCAACGTACCAACAGTATCCGGACACTTTTCGGTAGGAACTGAGCTAAAAGCGCCTTACGACTCAATTTACGTTGCCTGGGAGTCAAGGTAGAGCTGAAGCTGAGCTCACTGGAGTGGAGGAATTTCTTACTCGTGCTTCGTGGTGCTCCGGCAGGACGCTCGGCGGACGGAGAACATGGGGCAGACACTACTGCAGGCAATCCCTCCGGTACGGGCTTGCTGTTGCTGAGGGAACTGCATGCTCTTCGAATACGAGATTGAGCCGCGTCTCTTCGGCGACCCAGTACCGACAGAGATCGCTTAACGCTTGAGGCAAGGAAGCACTTGGACGACATATCAGTCAAGCGAACCGCTCACGGGATGAGACGGCGGCAGAACGCGTATCCCCAAACCTGCCAGCACCAGGTTCACATCAAGGCTTAAGCCAGTCTGGCAGCAAACCATCGACTGGACGGCCGGTCCCACACTTGCGCTTTGAGGATTCGCCCTCACCTTGCTGATAGCGATTGTCAGCCCATCTTATTTATGCCTCACGCTGCTGACTGGTTGCTGGAAACCTGACACTGGAAGCGCGAGGAGGGAGCCCAACGAGAGCGACCGGAGGCGCGGACTGCGATCGTCGGTTGGAGATTGAAGCGGCGAACTGGTACTATGGCGGCGGAGTTATGCGCGCAATCTATTGCAGGTTGTGTTAGCAGAATCTTGCTTGCTGTTGTGATTGGTGCCGTGAACTGCTATGATACGATTGATGATTGATCTGCCGACTGCTTGCTTGCTTGCCCATCGTGTCCAGCCGTTCGGTCGTAGGGCCCGCATTGTCCGGCCGGATATCTCTAGAAGAGGCAGCATTCGCCCTACTGCCACGTGCCGGACGGGCTTGCTTCGTTGGAGCTGGAGCAATTGAAGCTTTGCGTGGCGGACAAAGGGTTATCCAAGGATTGCAGGTGGAGGCCGATACAGCGGCTCCCGTCAGTCATGACACCAATCTGGAGAGTCAGATCAGCTTCTATACTTGGATCAAGCGAATTCCGAGAGATTCCACGTACCGCGAATGCGTCCCCATTCCTCACCACACACAACTGCGGAGAACCAAAACCAGCCTGACCGTCAATATACCATATCCTCAGTGCGGTATCCTTACTCCGCATGAGGCTTTGGCGGCATGCATTAGCATATGCTAGCGGATGGTTTCAGAAGGCAGATACTGCTTCGAGGGCTTCGGCGTAACGTGAGTGGTGATGTACTGCGGGTCCTCGTCCATGTTATTGGGTGGTGGAAAGAAGTCAAGAGTGATCCGCGAGAGAACAACAACACGAAATGCTCACCACGTCACGTGCGGCCGCCCACCCACCCATCACCCCGATCATGCGTTGCACCAATTTGAGAACGAAGATGATGCAGAGCCCGCGTCTCCATTATATGATTGCTTGCTTCCGCAATCAGGGATTGGTTGCGAAGGACTCGTCTTAGTGCGAGACGGGAGATACAGATTGACCCCTGAGCATGAACACCACGCCAGATATCTACGACGACAATGAGATGCACATCCAGGACATCAGTCGTCAGAGAGAAAACACTGCGAGCACGGCTTGTAAAAGAAACGGAACGAGAACAAAGCGAGCAAAATGCAAAAAAGCGTACTCGGGCTCAGTCGCTAGATTCGAACTAGCTTGTCCTCGCGGCTTGAGGCCTTGCGCGGCTCGTATCCTTTCCGGTTTTGTGCAATACCGGAACGGTCGAACATTTTACGCATTACGTTCCAGGTGGGACACCCATCCGTCCGCACTGAGCGAGAGTGAAGTTTAGGATTGCAATACATATTTAATGTCAACGCTCCCGGCAACATAGCAACGTAACCACGCAATGCGTCTTGCAGCACTCTGCGCTTTTGTCTCGCTGGCTTTGCATAGCGAGCTGCAGAGTTGCGATTTTGTTTGCATGCACTTTTTGGAATTGCAATGACGAACACCGGAAGAGTTGGTTCTTGTTGATGCACAGAGGGGAAGGTTGATCCTGCCAATGCAGGCACGCATACTGCTGCACACACTTGGTGTTCCTGGCTCTCCTGGCTCTCCCGGCTTGCCTTCTGATCATGCAGCTTTGTATTCATCTACAAACATGGGTAGTGTTGCACACCTGCCAATACTGCAACGCTGCACCACGCCTGCTATGCACTCTCCGCTGCAGTCTTCTTACCGGTCATTGCGCTGCACCGCATCTGTCATCACGCTTTAATCAGGACCGGAGTCGAAGACAGCACAGTCACATCGAGGCTGCATTCGCTTTGCAGTTTCACTCAAACTCACGAAGCCGGAACAGACGCAAGGTTTCAATTTAGCTCATGATCGCTACGGTCGCTACAAGCCGCATACATGCCCCGACATCCGCTTGACCTTAGGGTTTGATCCTCACTCGATTACTCCGAAAGCCAATCAGGAAATCCCAATCCAATAACCCGACCGTCATACATGTCAGACCGAAGTCATGAGCATCTATCAGCCTGATTATGTACTTTCATTTCGATGCTCCTATCACGCAACATTGTTCCTGAGCACGGATCCCAAGAGATCGAGAATCTGCCTGTGGCTTCGACTCCTATCCTCGGACTAAGCTGGGCCTCCTGCCTGCTAGCTGTACCACCTGCATGAGGTCTGACGCTGATACGGTGATGCTGATGGCCTTTGGGGGTGGTAGGCTTTCGTAGCTGAAGGCGGGGCCGCCAGACTTGCTGGTCTCTACCATCTTTGCCGGTAAACGAAGCCGGTCAGCTGATGAGCTCTCGAGGCGTACCTTCTGGATTTCTGTGTCGACCATATAGAGCTCCAGCAAACGCCACTCGAAGTGTAGACCGCGAGGCGGACGCGGGTAGGAGGCGGCGATCATGAAGTCGACGATGGTGTTGTCCTTGTTTATGACGAACACCGGATGATCGCCACCGAAGGTGTTATCGTCCGCAATGAGCTGATCCCATAACGACGAGCATCGTTGCGCCTTGGCGGTGGAGAGATAAAGGAATGAGCCGGGCACGGCATCTGCTCACTCAATTGACTCTGTCGGGTTCGCCATGATCAGCTTGCTACTATCATGGAAAAAGCTTCATAAAATGGAGATTGTGGTATGATATTGATGATAACGGAGACGCTTAGCCTGCTGTTTGAATCAGTGGTCTGTTCTGTGCTGCACCGAGGATATGCTTATCAGGAACCTCGAATTATCCTGACTCGGGAGAGACCAACGATGGCGGGACTGCGTTGAAGGGTGCTTGCACCGGAGGAAGCAGCTCATGAACATGAGCCTTGCCTGCTGATAAGGCGCCGGAGGAGTTCGCCGTGTTGTTGGCCAGCATTATGAGCCTACGAGCCAGCGGCAAGTGTCTGCGTCTTTGCCCTGGACTCAGCGACCTGTGCCTTGAACGCCGCTTGGATCTCGGCTCTCATCTTGGTCGTGCCTTTCGGCACGGTTGATAAGCTCTCCGTCAATCGCTTCCGCTCGAGTTCGCGGTGTATAGCAAGGAGCCGCTGGAACGATTTAGCATCAAGCCTTACCCTCAGCTGACCGTTGAGAGGTTGCAAATACCTCGACTCGACATTGTGTATCTCGCTGGCGTCGATAAAGCCATGCTTCTCAAGCCAGTGACTGTCTGCGGTCGGCTGAAGTATGGGCCTTCCGTCTCGAGTGAAGACGCCCCGGTTGGCCATCGGGACGTAGTTCTCTTCCCTCTTTCCGAGACGCCGGGCGCCGGTTGCCGCATCGAGACCGTTGAAAGTGGTCATCATCATGATCAAGTATCTGTCGCCTGGGAGCCTGTTGATGATGATTGCCGGATGATTGCCGCACAGATTGAGGCCAGGGATGTTCCAGTCGGGAACATACACCATCGTGCCGATTGCGTATCGAGACATGGTCTTGCGATGAAGATGCGAACTATTCTGCTTCATTTTCTTGAATCGTGGATTGGAGGGTCGCGATGGAAAGTGTACTGAACAATGTTTGGATCAGCAAATCTATGTGAAGGACTGGAGGGAGACCCGGTGGACTGACCTCAAGATATAACCACTCGAGAACCCAGGCATTGTCATGGCGAAGTCGAACACTGTCGAAGCGCTGTCGAGCATTGTTGGAGCGGAGTTAAACACGGACGGACCAAAGTCGAGCATTCTCCGGACGAAATCGAACATTGTCGGACTAAGTCCAAAACTTGCGACAGCGCAGTCGGGAATGTGCAATGTGGAAGAAAGACAAAGATAACATTGTGCAAAGGGTTGATGGTTCGCGCAGTGCAAAGTTCAAGATTGAACAAAGAAGTTGAAGGTTGAAGAAGAGCCATCCTTAGAAGACGGACGAGGAAAACAAGCCAAAATCGAAGGTTCGGCAGCCGCAGCAAGGCTCAAGCTCAAGAACGCAGCAGGCATAGCAGTTGCGACTTCCTGATCCGGGCCCATTTCCAAGGCACCGTCTCGAATGCCATCGCTACGGCTCCTCCATTGTCAATGACGACCGTTCTCCGCTGCGCACTGTCTCACTCGTTAGGGAAGTGCGGTCGGTTATCGTGCGATCGAACTGATACTGAGCATTTATCGACTTGGCTATGTACATGTATCCCAATGCGATTACCATCCGAAGCTATCCCTGCACACGAAACCAGAAACAACAAGCCGCAACGAGGAACTAACGAGTTGGCCGAGTGCCTGGTGGTCCGTATCACTGTGTGGCCGGCGTGAATGTCGGAATCCCGCCCGCTTTCTTTATCAAAGATGCAAGGCTTGGGCCATGAGAGGGGAGTGGTGGAAGGTGTTCGTATGCGAATAGAGGGCCGCCAGCATTGCTCTCCTCGATCGTTTGAGCTGCTATATGAAGTCGTTCGACTGATGAGGCCTCGAGCCGCATATCCTGCGTTTTGTTGTCGACCATATAGCGCTCCAGAAGGCGCCACTCGATAGTGTACCGCACGACCCGGATGCAAGTCGGCCTTTTCAACGAGCTTCCGTCTGCGAGGAAGACCCTCATCTTCTCTCCATTGCCAGCCTGCATCATGTCGCTTTTGTCGGTTGTGCTTGCCACTGAGAAGTGGTAGTGATAGTCGCGAACGCCATCGGCTGTGGCGCCGAGCCCACGTCCAGTATAAGATGTGGCAATCATGATGTCGGCTTTAGTGCCGTTCTTCTCCACCACGAACACCGGATGGTCGACTGCTTGTATATTGTCCTCCGCGACCAGGCGGCTCCACAACGCCGGACATCTTTGTGCTTTGATGCTAGATAAGTATAGCATCGCGCCAGGCACGATGTCTTCCCCCTTAATCTGGGGCTTTCGCCGCTTCGCAACAAAAGCTGCTGGTGGTGAGCTTTGTTGTGGTGGTGATGGTGATGGTGACTGGGTCCTCCAGCAGGTGTGGAGGTGCGGCCTCATCGGACCGTAGTTAGAGGTATGGAAGGTGGTTGGAGTGAGAAGCATGATGACGGTGATGATGGTGATGTTAATAGTGATGGTGATGATGAATAAGGAGTTGGTATGTATAACGATTGTTTTGTGATTGATGGTGAGTGTGCAGGCTTTTAGATAATGAAGATATTCTTCGCTGGATGGAGACTGCAGACTGGACACCCTGAGCAGGAGAAGTGGCTGGTCTTATCCATTGCGACGTTGCACGAGATCAACCTTCAGCGAGAAGTGATTAGCGACCTACGGAGCGTACAATCATGGGACGATTCCAAAGTTCAGACTACAACACAAGCGCACGGATTCGGGAAAGCGTACTTGTCACAACGCCTCAATAGGAGTCTACCCCACTTTGGAATCCGGGGTTTTCATGACAAGCTTACCAGCGACGAAGCTCTGAGGAACTTTCTGGACACTAGCGGCATTTTAGCCAGTGTGCGCGAACTTGCCACAGTGTCCCTGTTCCTGGCGGTGGCCGGGCAGAACACAGGCTTGAAGATTTGAAAGGGCGACAAGCATCTATGCAGAGGCTGGAAAATCTGCCTCTCAAGCACAAAAGCGTTTTATAGCACTCGCCATTGCTGCTAAACAACTGCTGCGTGTGTGCAAAAGCTCTCGCTGCTCGGATTGCCGGTTTTGAACGCTCTCCATGAGGTTACAGAGGGCCAACACGGGCTAGAATCTCCTGCGGCAGGAAGTAATTGGAGATCGTGGGCGGCATCTTGTGTTACTCGCGGAGAGGCGGCAAAGCTTTGAAATCTCGGCACAATCTGCGGTCGGCATCACGATTCACGCAGCGATTTTCAATGATAAATGTTCTATTGTCTCCCAGCTCTACATACGGCTCTGGAGCGCATCACGACGAGTGCTACGAGTGACGATCCAAGACGACATTGCACGCGCTGAACCTCATCGGAAAGGGGGCAAGACCTCCTGCAGCTGAAACCAGTTCTCAGGGGCAGCCTCCAAAAGTTCCTCACCGCATGACAAACACAGCTACTTACCACCGCTCTGCTCTGCTGCCAGCAAGCTAGCACCCAGGCGACAGGATCGTGGACCTGCAGAGTCGGATTTGACGCCCAAGGCTTCCGCCCGCCCCCAGGGAGTTAATCCCAGGGACTTGCGGCCCGCCTCAGCGGGCCGCTGGTGATCCTGTTCCCATGCACAGTTAGCATCTGTTGAGCACTCAGAATCAACATGCTTACCTTGTTTTGCTGGGAAGGAACATGGCCATCCGATGGCGGTACCGGAAATTCTTGCTTTCCCGATCACAAATCCGGAAGGGTTCCGGCCATCTCCAAAGGCCAGGTCCAGTGGTCAGTATCTGCAGTATGACTTACCTTGATCCCAGACCCAGATCCCGGCTATGCCCGGCAGGAGACCGTCCCAGAGACACGCCGAGCTGCCCGCTGGTAAGGAGCGACATACTTACCTTGTGAATTGCCGGCAAGAGGAGTCCTCTCCGTCTCGCGCCTGTCAAGTCCGGATGCCGCTTGACTTATCTGAGTCCTCACCAGTGGGGCCGGCGGCGTCGGAGTCCAGCGTCCTTGCGGTCCAACGGTGCGCCCGGAACTGGTCCAGCTCTGGATGATTCTTACTGCCTCCCGAGTAAGACGGTGCTCGCCGCCATGACGCATGTTAGTAAAGAAATCGAGGTTACCAATCTCGATCTCAATAGCTTCAATGGTATTTACATAGCTGAGCTTGAGCATCTTACTCCTCTTGTCCGTGAAGGCCAGGACAGGTGTGCCATCGTGGGAAGCCTGGGTCCGGGTATGCTCAATCGCCAGGTACTGCAACCGTCTGGCCTGGTCCTTTGGGAATTTCTCCAGAATGGCCGTCCCGCGGAAACTTGTGATCGGGAAAGCAAGGACGTTGTCGCCGCGAATTTCCGCTACAACCATCGGGTGGCCAAAGGCATCCGCGTGCAAGGGACGGCTGCGCTTGAAGACCAGGGAAGAGGGATCGATCAGCTGACAGAAGGGGAGATTCACGATACTTCCTACAATGATATCCTCCCTGGTCATTCGCTTGACCGCCCCTTGCAGAGGCTTTGCAGCTACTGAGCTATTGCGCCAGTTAGCACAAGATGCCATGACTCGATTTCTACTTTTTATAGAAAGTGGTTTGAGAATGAAGATAGCGATATGCTATTGATGAAGATTTTTTTGAGTGATGAAGGGGGCACTTAGCTTGTTACAAGTGTTTGTGTGCGAAGAGAGAAAGGGGAAGACGCGAGGGAAAGGCTGCTATGTTATTGTCGCAGCCTGCGTAAACAAACAGTTCGACAATCCATGGTACGTTGAGTTCTGAAATCCGGTCCTCGCGTACCCATTTCCATTCTCCTCAGCAAAAACCGCCCACGGTGCGGGGTGTTCCACGAAAGCAACGCCAAGACAGGTAAGCCTTCCATGCTTCGATGCAGTTGCAGCTAAACATCATTAAGGTAATAGGGTGTTTTTGGTTCTGGCTTTGTATCCTCGCTCTGCGATTCGCCAGAGTCGTAGTACTCGGTGTGCGATCTATGGTTCTTAAACCAGCCCCTCCAACACTCTAAAATTCTCTGAGTCACACTCCGTACCGCGGAACGTTGTCGCCTGGGTCTCACAGCCCCCGCACCGTTGGCGATGCTCGCCGTTGACCTACACGGCCCGCTCCGACAGTACGTTAAGCTGTTTTCGGCGGTTTGATTCGCGAGCCAGCGGCGGCAGTCTCTTTGGTTCAAGCAACTTGGCGCAGGCGTGCAGAATTTGGAAAAGCCAGCTTCGGTAGAGAGATGCAGATACCACGCAGATACCATGCAGCTTCACTTGCGAAATCATCAATCAAGCACGCGCTATCGGGCGCGCTTTCTCATTCAGATTCTTCCAGGACGAGAGTAAGGGCTGTCTGCACGTTCTCGCAGCTTCGTTTTTGCCGCTACATCGCCGTTAGAATGCAGGACTATAAGCCAGGGTTTCACGATCAGCTTGGAATATGCGCCTATATGCCTTGTTCTCCCAGCAATGCATTCATACACAGAAGGTAGTCTACATGAACCCTTCGAAGTGGCCTCCACACCCTTTCACAAATCCCGCAACCCAGCATGATGTACACAAGCCCAGAAAATCTCCCACATCCCGCAAGCCAACTACCGTCCCCTCTTGTATCCCCTTCTCCCGCTCTCCGACATACGATCCGGATACACGCTCCTCCTCCTTGGCTCCCTCCCCTCAACCCGTTTCTCCAACTCCCTATCTCTATCCCGTCTCTTTTTCTCCTTGTCCCCCTTCTCCTCCTCCCAGCGCTCCTCATCCGCCTTCTCCTCACGCATAAGCTGCTCCATCTCCCCGACCATCTTCTCCAGCTCCTGCTCCCCGCCCGCCCGGAACCGCGTTGCCTTTTTGATGTTGGTGGCTGTGATGTCGTTGATGCTGACGGGCCGGTTCGCGGCGGCAGAGGCGGTCCGGATGTTTGCGACGGTGCGGGCGGTCATGGCGAAGCGCATGTCTTTGGGGCCGTCGACCAGCTCGAGGATCGCGGAGGGCGCTTGGTCTTCTTTTAGCGGCTCGATGCGGAGGACGCGGGTGTAGCCGCCTGGCCGGGTTGCGTAGCGGGAGGCGATGGGGCCGAAGAGCTTGGGGACGAGCTCGAGGGGACGCTGCCGGGGGTTGGGGGCGTTAGCTTCGGGTGTGCTTTGAGAAATCGCCCTGCAGCGGGTGTTTTTGGGGGTGTGTTGTCGGAGAGGAGGGGGCTGACTTACGTAGAATATCTCATGCGCTTTCCGCCGACTGGCTTCCGTGTTCTTCTTGCCCAGGGTGACTAGCTTCTCGGCTAGCCGCTGCGCTTCTTTCGCCTTGTGCCATGTTGTAGATATTGATTCGTGCTCGAAGAGCGAGGTTACAAGGTTGCGGAGGAGGGCTTGTCGGTGCGAGCTCGTGCGCGAGAGATGGCGGTATTTGGCGGCTGCTCCTGCCATGTTAGGGGAGAGGGTTGTGGAGGGGCCGTGGGTGGGTGTGAGTGCAGCCTGCGGTCAAGTTTGGTACAAGAGGGTTTGTATGTACAAGCCGGAAGAGAGGTTCAAGTGAGTGATGGGGCGCTGTGGCCGTGACGCATGGGTGTATGGTTCATGAATTCGGAGGTGAGGTTCGCGGGTTGCTACTGTAGAATTTCTGCCACTTCGCGGCTCCACCGCCTTTGCCTCTGCTATCCAAGCTTCCCGTCAGGTTCCGTCTCGACGCGACGTCACATGCGGTCAGCCATTGAGTTGGTAAACCCGCTTCTCCGAGCTTGAGACGCGTTGAGAAGCTTTCAATCACTGCTGACCGACATCATACAAGCAAATCTAGGCGCGTGCCGCGCTTTTGTCCGTTTACACAAACAGCTCGCATACCGCGCCCAACATGGGCTTCGCAACTGGCTTCGTACGTTACCACCTCAACTCCACACGAATCGCCCTCAACCACGTATAGAGACACCCGGCGACGAGCCCATACTAACACACCTCCCTCCAGATCGGCGGTCTAACCCTCACAACCTCCGCCCTCTACCTCAGCGTCTACATCCACCGCCAAAACCGGTTAAACCAATCCCTCTACCTCCGCCAATCCCGCATAATCCTCACGTCTCTAACCGAGCCCCCGCCACCCTCAACTCCGCCGCGCGCTCGGGAAGCAAGGCCGAGTCTTGTCGAGACGGCCAAGGATCGGTGGAACGGCGAGATCGAGGGATTGGTTAAGAGGGTGCAGGATGTTGACTGGAATGGGGTGAGGGAGGGGTTGGAGAGGGCGGTGGCGAGGGGGTGGGGGAAGCTGAGGAGTGAGGTTGAGGAGATAAACGAGAAGAGGCCGGATATAGAACCGAGTGATGAGCTTGATGTTGGGCTGGAACGCGGTGGGGTGCAGGATGGGGTTAGGAGGGTGGAGGACGCGGTCGCTAGGGGATGGGATAGGGTTGCGGATGGTGTAAAGGACGCCTCGGAAGTCCGCGGTCGGAGCGCGGATGACAACGTCGGCTTTGAACGCGGTGGAGTTCAGGACGGAGTGAGGAGGGCGGAGGACACCGTGAAGAGGGGCTGGGGGAGGTTGACGAATGGTGCCAAAGAAGTCACGGAGTCGAAGGGATATGAGGAACCGCGCGATGAGCTTGATATTGGATTGGAGCGTGGTGGGGATCCGGGCGGGGTGAAGGAGATGGAGAATGCAGTCAAAAGGGGCTGGGAGAAGGTCAAGAACAATGTGAAGCATGCCACTGAGTCGGGGGGCGTCCCGGAGCCAGAAGATGAGTTCGACGTTGGATTGGAGCGAGGCGGAGTTCAGGAGGGTCCAGGTGACCAAATGGGGGATGCGATTAAGAGAGGATGGGAGACGGTAAAGACGAACGTGAAAAAGGCCGCTGAGTCTGAGGGCTCCCCAGAACCAAGAGATGAGTTTGACGTGGGACTGGAACGAGGTGGTGTCCAAGAAGGAGGAAGGGGGAGTGTTGACAGTGCGGTTACCAGAGGGTGGGAGAAGGTCAAGAGCAACGTAAAAAGAGCGGCTGAGTCGGGCGGCGCTCTAGAGCCGAGTGATGAACGTGATATTGGACTGGAACGTGGTGGCGTTCAGGAGGGGCCGAGTGGGCAGATGGGAGATGCGCTTGCTAGAGGATGGCAGAAGGTTAAGAACAACGTGGAGAAGGCCTCGGAAGGGGGTGCCCGTGAGCCGAGCGATGAACTCGATATTGGACTGGAGCGTGGTGGGATCCAGGATGAGGCGGAAAGAAAAACGAAGGGGCTGCTGGTTAGAGTATGGGAGAGGGTCGTCGGCGGTGTCAAGGACGCCTCGGAGTCGGGTGGAAAACCAGAACCGAGCGATGAACTTGAAGTTGGATTGGAGCGCGGCGGTGTTGTGGACGAACGTCGATGAGAGTGTCTCAAGCAGAATTACTCGCACCGTGGAGGAGATGGTTGATGATACCCGGCCGCTGTAGAGGAATTCATCCGTAGTGTCAGTCAGCTGTACGTGCCGCGCTGAAGTCCATTATTGGATATGAGGGCCGACTCAACCCCCGTTCCTTCAGATTACAGTACTAAATAGAGAAAACTCAGCGCAGATGAGGCTTTACTGTCCACGTATTTTGCGTAACCAACTATTCGCTGAGGTGCAACTTGAAAACGCAGCAACGGGCGGAACCTGGACAACCTAGTTCTCGTTTGACATATGCATAAAGGTGGCATCTTTAGCCTCGAGGCGTTCAGCTCACTACGCTCTCAAGGACGCCAAAAAGAATGCTAAAAACACACAGCAGCTGGTGTTCGCTAGTGGTCACCCACCTAGCTACCAATCAACCGATTCGGGGCTTAAGTGCAGGAAATCGAACGGGATCCGCTGTTTTGTTTGGTCTATGGCCGTATGGGGAGGCCGGAGGCGTTCCCAAAGATACATGTAGCGCTGTGTTTTCTTGCGAGCGGAAGAGCGCAGGCAAACGGCACAAGTGGAGCGCTTTTGATTCTATGCGGGAAGCACCGGGGGAGACCTGTTATGGTTCGAGTATCACTGAAAGCTCTTATTGCCCAGGAAGTTCCATGATTAGTTCGAGAATATGATATGCCTTGTAAGGCCCAGAGTCTCTACAGATGGATGGTGGCTACCTGGCATGAGAGATGACAGACTTCACTACTCGCGATATCGGCATAAATCCGAACTCCCGTCTGGAGACACCGGCGTCATCCCGCTTGCCGTTCCAACGCAATGCCTGAGGTACTCAATTGGGGCTTGGTAGGCCTGCTGCGTTATGCCGCGTAACGTGTATTGAACTGCAACCGGTTGACAGACAGCGCTGACCGCACTTCGGCCAGGTGCATCCAGCCTCGGATCTGCTTGATAAAGAGCCTGCCTTCCTTTCAAATCAACCTCAGTCTTGACCCCCCTTTGAGCAAGCTGCTGAATTAGCTCCACGGCAAATAAGTCTGCGTAACACGACCCAGAGAAACGAAGTCGTACAGAACCGAAGACCGCTGGCGCGGAGAACTCCCCTGAGCTCGGACACTTCCAAGTTGCTTAGCCGCTTGGACATGATGCACGCCCGCATGTCTTGCAGTCCGCTTCCGCTCATGCAGGTCCCGAGGGCGTGGATGCGGGAGACGTCTTGCAGCAGTGTAGCACCGATAGCAACGACAGTACGAATTGCGATAGTGACCAGGAGACTTTGAGGAATCCTAATGCTCACAGAGGCGCATACCTCTCACTTAAATGCCAAGATGTAGTGGAAATAAAGTAGACTGTGGCGTCTGTGAGGCTTTTTGAGCCGAAATAGCTCTTCTTATGCTGCAGGGTCTTTTCTACATACCTAAGCGGCGGAGCAATTTCCTCCGGATCGACATGCTCGTCGGTGAGATGAAGTCACAGACGCGGCAGAAGTTTCAGCGTTAAGATCGTCACTGTCAGCTGTAGCGCCTATCAACCTATCTCGGCGGATTATCAGAGGTCGATGACTACCGGACCTCCAGAACCACAAGGCATGGGAATGCCAGTTTAGCCCAGTCTCGGCCCTGACAAGGAACGGGGCGGTACCGAGGAAACATTTCCAACAAGCCGCATCCGAAGGGTTCAGTGCAACTGATACTCTGCAGTCCCGTGAATCTCGAACAGGGAGCAACCTTGAGACGAGCTCTCTTTCAAGTGCATCCGTTCCGTGCAGGATGAAATTGCTTGTCTTGAAGTCATGCGCCTTAGCTGAAAGCGAGGAGCGGAAGCTATTGACGGCGACGATCTCGTGTCCACCTTTTGATCAAGCACGCCTGGCATTCGGTAGCGAAATGACGAGCCCTTTTCCTCAGCCTGCGCACCGAGAGACACTTCCGTGCTATTGTGGCTGTTAGCGATGCAACCATAGCCTAACGACCTGAGCTAGAACTCGCGCTCACCGAACCAGGCACGGCAGAGCGTCGGATTCGAAGTCCCGGCCTTTCGATGGAGCTCTGCTCCCCCAGACAATTCGAGGGTGCGGTTTCTCGAACCGCTTCCGGGGCGCAGCGCCACAACGCCACGCTACGGCCTGTTGCCGATCATGGATATGGTCAAGGGGAACATACCGAGTATTTGACATCATCCATGCAACACTGTTGAATACTCCTTCCTCTCTCAAATAGCCGCTATGGTAGCGCACTGTTTCTCTCCACGCGCCAGACCGACCTGGTCTCGGCACTTTGAAGCTGCCAGTCAACGCTCTCGAATTAAAAGGACGGCTTGTTGGCTGGTCTGTTAACAGCGAGAGCCGGTCAGCAACATCTCTTCAGCGTCTCCAGCCCTGCAACCTCTTCGCTCGCTCTTTAGCCTCTTAAGTCGCGCGTCTCGGCCCGCTCACACGCAAGCTTCCGTCGTCGATCCGCGCATTTGGCGCAAGTGCTGCCGATCAGGGTTTATCTGTTCTTGCCACGCCGGCTGGTGCGCGAGGCTCGACAGCATAACGTCTCCAGACAACGCGCTTCCCCCCATGGCCTACTCAGGCTTCACCAACGGCTATCCGCCAGCGTCATCATCACGCATGCCTTTCGGGAGCCTCGACGGCAACTCTGACGCTCCGCCAAGCGGCATGACTGGCGATCCGCAGTTCGACATCTTCGAGTGGCACCCGGCATACCAGAGCTGCCAGCGATTCTTTCTTGACCACGCACAACACGATGGCAGCGTGCAGGCAGTCTGCGCACTCGTCAACATCTGCCTGCCATTTCAATGGAGTCCGCAGCCTCTATACAGCGCATCGGGCACCCCACCCCACGCCGCTGGTCCAGGCGCATTTGGTCTGGCGTACCCGCGACATAGCGCCGTGCCAAACGCGCGGCAGGGCATGATCAATTGGGTCTCGCTGGTGCCGTTCATACGTCGCTTAGTGGTGACTGGATTCGACAAGGAGGGCATATTACACGGGTTCTTCGGAGACGACTGGAGGAAGGGCATTGGCCCAATACAAGAGTGCGAGAGGCGCAACTACCTGTTCGCCGCTAAGAGCGCTGGCTGGGCAAAGGTCAAATACCAATACGATATGTCTCCGCACGAGACCGTGCCGTTCTTGCGACCGCTACAGAATGTGCAGCTGGCCGAGATTGAGGGTGCAGAGAAGAACTGGAGCCAGTGGCTAGCGATGGAGGATTGGATGGTCGGACCTCGCGCACCTGACCTGCTGGGCGACCTGCCCGACGGCGTCCCTGAGCAAAGGGAGCGTCCTCAGCGCGATTGAGTGTGCTTGGAACTTGGAGTCATCCGGTGTTTATTAAGGTTGCATAGCATGGCTGGGGGAAGGGTGGCGTTCAGATATATTCTGGATAGGTGTATGGTGGACTGCACTTGCTCCGCTGAGTTATACAAACTATTTTTGCTGTTACATGTATCGTAGACAGGCGCACAAGCGCTTCGACGCGGCCGGTGGGCCCACACCGCAATTCCTAGTCTTATTTTCAGACTCGATTAGCAAGAGCTAAGTACTATATACTACACGGTCGATTACTCTTCAGCCGTGTCAATTAAAACCCACCAGATGTTTGGATGAAGGTCATCACACGCTCTCTGTAGGTTCTCTCTTATTCGGATATTGCTTCGATTTAAGATTACATAGCGGTGCAGTTGGTCACGTGAGCCCTTGCGATAGACGCACTTCGTCGTAAGAGCCGCGTTCCATTGCTATCCCTCCACCCCGTTACACTATTGCAGACACCTGAAGATGGTGTTAACAGTAATGGTTCTTTGCGCAGTGTCTCCGCTGTCTACTTTATGATAAGAAACTCTCTTGGGCCACAAAGCGTCTATCGAGACATCTGCAAGTCAACGTAACCTCTCCATCTTACACATGACACATGGCAATTCTAGAGCGCAAAAATGAATGGCCCAACCTTATCAAACGATGTCTCCAGAATCGGCTTCGATCGGAGAAATTCGAGATATTGGCACAGGACCTCTACAAGAAGAATCCAATACCAGGAAGACAACTCGCCGAACTGCTGCTGACCCCGGGACCCGGCGCGACAACCGCGTTAGATCCGCTCATAGTCGTTTATTTTGAGCGTCTCTTGGCTACTGACAAGCTCGACTCCTCGGATCCGCTCAGCATCCTCTCCATACAGTCCCGGAACCGTCAGCTCAAGTTGGAGAGCATTACCGGTCCCCTCGATGATTATACAGCTCGCCAATACTGCTCTGTGGACTTAGAAGAAATCGTGTTGAACCGACTAACCAAGGCGTTCATGAGTGGAGCGAGACCCAAAACTTTAGCAGAGACACGAAAGACCTTAAGCATTGTTTCGGAATGGATGTCCGCACTGGCCGCATCTAACACGAGGGATTCTGTGCTGCATGCAATGAGTGGAACTATCCAAGAGGTGCATCCTTACGCGATCGTGGTCCGGGAAGCGCTTGGTATGCTTGTGACGGCTATGGCGGAGAACCCAAAGGTATTAGGCTTCATCGACAAGGCTCTCAGCAAAGGTATGCAAATTAGGCACGATGGAAATTAATCCCGCTCTTTTTCCTATAGCTAGTCTGCGTGTTCTGAGATATTATTACTAATCGACTGCTCAGATCTCAAACAAGGCCTGGACCATTCAGTCTCGCAGTTCATACAGCTATTGTCACAAGCGCAAACGCAGACATCAGTCGTTGTGGTTCCGCGGCTACAGCTGTTTTACAAGGATCACCTCATGTCAGAGGATGCTGCTAAGGATCTAAATGACATGCCTTTGCCGCTCGAGACTGTGATTGACCTGCCCATCATGAACACCCCATCCGGCCTGTATTTGTTCTTCAACTCCCTGGTAAGGTTCAACGCCGTCCAGGTCTGCGGCCACTGCTAATCTGATCAGCTCGTAACGCGCCCTCTGACAGATGATTTCATGATCACGGGTTACCTTCAGAACCGGTACAAGGTGGGACGTGCCTCTGCCCTAGCATGAGAATCTACTGACTTCCTAAGAACGACTTTCAATCGCTTACAGTCGACGTGATAACCGCTGGCCTCGATACGCTCTCGAAAGCAGTGTACCGCGGAGAATCCGACGACACCTTGTTCTCTATGCGCTCCTTCTTCGTTAACAAGATACCCCTTCTGCTTTGTTACTATTACGCCTCCATGGGTTCTGTGGTACCTCTGCCAATGCTAGAAACTTACATGGTTGCGGCCTTCAATCAAAGAGGTTTCAATGCATTTTCTTCCTCTCATGGCTCTGATGTGGCCGGTGGCAATACTCTATTGTCAAATGTCCGTCAACAGTTCGTCTACGCCTGTGCTCTGCAGAAGTTGATTCCTGAATCAAGCATCGGGAGTATACTCGGTGAGCGATCCGCGTCGAGCAAACCAGTGGGGCCAAGATTGGCCAAAGAGGTCCTTGTTGCTCGGTGTCAGGCCAACCCGGAGAAGGCTCAGGAGCTGCTCGGGAGGCTAGAGGGCATGGATGGCAACGTTGGGGCGGTAGCTGGCGCTTTAGTAGAGGTATTGACTTGCAGTAATCCCAACCCCGTCATCACACGGCTGATGTTCTCTCTTCCAGATCATGCGCACTCTGTGCAATGCAAGAGAGATTATGTCTCTCAAGAGCTTGTGTGGGGCTCTCTCGCGAAGGCCAAGATCGCTTGACATTCTCCTTCAATACTCATCGCCAGCAAGCATCCTCCAGCCTCTCTGCCAGCTCCTAGACGATTGGAAATATGACGAGGATGAAGGTAAGTGTGACTCTCCGCTCGCCGACTACACGACTGATATGATCCGAAGAGCACCAGCCCGTCTATGATGATTTCGCCGCGGTCTTACTGCTGGTACTAGCGTTCGTCCACCGACACGGGCTCTCTTACCTTGATATCGGGCTGGGCCCGAAATCCTTCACGACGCAGCTACTGGAGCATGGACACGAAGCTCTACCCATCGATCAACTCAGCGAAGAGCAGAGCAAGCACCTCGCAAGCTGGCTGCGCGGCCTCTTCGATGCAGACGCCATTGACGATGCTTTCTCTGCTTGCAGTCCGCAGGAGTTCTACATGCTCGTACCGACACTTTTCGACCAGACAGTCTCCGCTTGTTTCGCAGGCATCATCGGATCTGACACAGTGAAAAATGGGCTCGAATGTCAGTTTGAGACATCACTAGATTGTTTCCAGGCTGATTATTCGCAGATATGCTCGATACATTCTTGCTTCCTTCGCTCGTTGGAGCGCTCACGTGGATGACCGCTCACGCCGCTGAGCCAACCCATAACGACCTCGACATAGTTATGCAAGTCTTCCGCAAGTTGATACGACACACTCCCACATCTGGAGATGCCCAGGCTATGCACAGCACTATTCTGTCCATCATGTCGACTCGTCTGGACAAGTGCTTGCGCGAAATCCAGCGGAGAGAGCCTACGCGGCAAGACATTGGGCCTTTATTAGAGGTGCTCGCGAATCACCGTAACTTTGAGCGGACGGCCTCGGTATCTATAACAGATCTCGAGTCGTGGGCTTCTCCGCCCAACAGCTTGCAGGACTCGCTCAAGAGCACCATCCGGCAGTTCGTTGCGTGGAGCGCGGAACCCACGATGCACACCTTCAACCTAGACAACCGGCAATTAAACGTATCGATCAAGCTACTCGGAGCAAAACAAGTGCTGGACGCTATCATCGAAGAAGCCAAGTCGCAAACAGAAGCCGGCAGAGGCAGCATCGCCCTCGACGTCGCCACCGCGCTCTTCTGCGCCCCCAGCACAGAGAACAGTCCCATCCCCATCCAATGGCACGGTTCACCTATCCCTGCGCCCGTCCCTCCACGCACGCAGCTGAACCTTCGCGAGATGCTAAAGCTCGAGTTCGACGACGCAGGCGAGCTCATGAAGACGGATCTCGGCGCCGCGGAAGCGATAGTGCGCCTGCACCGTATGGTCGAGAACCAGCTACTGGTCTCCGCGGTCCCGCAGATGGCGGCGCCCATCCAGGATATGGGCCTGATGCAGGGTATCGATCTCAGTGTCTCGGATGCTGCTGCTGTCTCGGCGCTCACGGCAGCTGCAGCGGCAGACCAGCCGCTGGAGCAGCAGTTTGGGCTTACGGGCGCTGAGATGGCGGGAATCGATTTGAGCGGTGGGCTGGGAGGTGAGATGGGGGATGCGGTGCCGGGCATGATGCGGAGCAGTGTGTCTGGTATGCCTGCAGACGCTACGAATGCTGGAGGCGCAGGGTTAGGTCTTACGCTTGATACGAGCGTGGATGCAGGACTTGATCTAGGCGGCGAAGGAGATATGAGCGGTATAATGGGGACGGATGAGGATAACATATTCGCTGGTTTGGAGCTTGACAATGACATGGATTTTCAAATGTAGGGAGATCGTGCCGGTGCTGTAGGAGGTTACAGGCATGGTTCGGCTTGTTAAAAGTACTTTTCGAATGTTAGTGCCAGATAAAAGATGCAGACTGTAGTTTTCTACACAGTTCAAGTTTGTTGCTTTGAACCTTGTTCATCATAGCTCACCCTAATGTGGCACCGAACACTCGTCCGGCAGACCGAGCCCGTTGCGGGGGACGCGGGGCGATATCGTGCAGAGCATATATCTACCTTCAGCGTTACTCTCCAAGCTATCACTTATATCTCGTAGATACGACTGCCTGGACATCACACATCATAGCTTAGACGAGTAGAAGAACTGCGCCCAAGATGCCATACAATCTCAACGGGAGGAACGTTCTCATCACCGGCGGCTCAAGGTGGGTAACATCCGTCTACTTTCTGATCGGTTTGCCGCAAGCGCCGAGCGGATATGCATACTGTACCGCTTGGACCAATCAACGATGTTATGGGCTCTGCTCCTTGCTATTGGAATGTGGACGTCAGCTTTGAAGCCCTGCTTGGAGTTCGGAAGCGTTTTAGTCCGTATTGCAACACAGGGCACCATGGAGTAGCCATCTTCGATGTTCCCTTTGTCCATAATCGAATCATCATTCACTCAACAGCATCAAGTCGCGAATATCACCTCTGGGCACAATCACCCCGCATTTCTTATGGAGCAGCGACGCCAATGTCTCACACCACTAATCACAATGCAGAGGCCTCGGTGCAGTCGTCGCCCAGAAATTCGCCGCCGAGGGCTGCAACATCGCCATCAACTTTGCCTCTCGCGCCGAGCCTGCAAACGAGCTCGCAACGCAGCTGAAAACGAAGTACAATGTCATGACTGTCGTTATCCAGGGGGATGCGGGCAGCATGAAGGATTGTGAGAGGATGGTGGAGACAACCATCAACACGTTTGGAGGGATTGATGTTGTTATCGGGAATGCGGTAAGTACCTAAGCATTGGACATTGAGAAAACGATATATCCAAGCAAAAAACTCCTACTTCCAACCATGGCGCTAAACCGGCGGTGCAACGAAACAGGGCTGGACTAAATTCTCCACCTTCGGCGACCTCACTGCGTTGACGGAAGAAGACTGGGACAAGGTACGTCTCCGCCTCTAGCTGCTCTCCCCTTTTCCACTCCCCGTCTCCCCTTTTCTGATCTCCTCCTACCTTCCTCCCCCTCTTCCCCTCTCACCCACCTAACCACCCCCAAGTGCTGGGCAGTAAACGTGAAAGGCCAGCTCGCGCTTCTCCGCGCGGCTCTGCCGACATTCAACGCCAATATCGACGGCGGCGTCTTCATCATCACCTCCAGCATCGCCGGCGTGGCGCAGTCCGGCAGCTCGATGGCGTACTCGGTCACCAAGGCCGCGCAGTTGCATCTGATGAAGTGTCTGGCGCGGACGCAGGGAGCTAAGGTCAGGGTTAATGCTGTGTTGCCGGGCCTGCTTTTGACAGAGTGGGTAGGTGGTCATTCTTTACCCGGGGTAGGATGTGCAGCTGTCGTGATTGCGGGTCGTGTGGAGTTTTTGGAGCGGGCTGAATTTTGAGGTTGCTGATTGGAAGCGTAGGGTTCGAAGTATTCGGACGAGGCGATTAAGGCGATGGAGGAGAAGGCGGCGCTGAAAAAGGTAACGGATCTTGATGACTGTGCTGATGCGTATGTCCTCATTGCCAAGAACGGGTCGATGACGGGACAGCAGATTACTGTCGGTGAGTCGAAGCATTTGCTGTTCGGTAATGGGGTTTCGCTGACTCGTCTAGATGCTGGGTTGATAATTGGTGCCTGATGTGCTTTTGTAGTGGGCGATATCATTGGGTGACTAGTAGTCGCTTTCTGAAGGTGGTGGGCCAGACGCTGTTCGCTTTGGATGTTTCGCCTTGGATATTGTCCAGCACTGGCGAGCCTCTGTTGTAGCGCTATAAAGCCAGCGAAGCGCAAATAGCTGGCATGTGAGATGCCATGTCTCACTCGATTTGCGCCCCTTCAGTCTCCTCGAGTGCTCGCAGGATCTCCTCGATGTCCTTTGGATCTGTGACGCCCCATACACCGCCTCCCTTTCCTGCCCCCTTCATTCCCACCTCTTTACCCACCAAGTTCCTACCGACCTTTCCAGGACCGATACCGATCCACCTCCTCACTTTCTGTTCTTGATGCAGGTACCTGACCGAATCCCACCACCTTACCGTCGCTGTGGCCTGCCTTGCAAGAAGATCTTTTAGCTGCTCCTTCGATTTGAAGGGAACGGCAGTGACGTTCGAGACACACGGGATTGTTCCGGGAAAGGTGACTATGTCTTTTCCGTCCTTGCCCGGCGTATGCAGCATCTTCTTCATAAGATCTTCCGCCGGCTTCATCAACGGGCTGTGGAACGGACTGTCACTCTTCAGCCGGACATGCCTCGGATCATGCCCACCGAATTGCCTCAAATGCGTCAGCAGATCCTTGATCTTCTCGATGCTCCCGCTCAGCACGATTTGATTCTTGCTGTTGATGTTCGCGATGAGTACCTGCTCGACAGGCGGCACGTGATGTGCAGAGTCCTGCTTCGAGCCCGCCGACCCGTGACCGAGGAAATCGTGTATATCGTGAATGAGCGTGTTCATGCTAGTCTCGTCCGAAGCAACGAGCGCTACCATGCCGACCTCGCCGCCGATTTCGCGGCTCGCTTCGTGCGACACGCGGGCCATGACCTCCGCCCTCCTCCGGACGAGTTTCAGACCATCGGCGAATTGGAGGTATCCGCCGGCCACGAGGGCCGCGAACTCCCCGAGCGAGTGGCCGAGCGTGTAATCCACTCTCTCGTCAACCTTGAATCCGAAGTCCTTCTCCAGGACGGCCAAGATCACTATTGATGTGGCCATGATGGCCGGCTGGGCGTTCTCGGTTGCGGTGAGTTCGGCATTGGTACCTTCGGCGATCACTTTGGTGAGCGGATATTTGACTATCTCGTCGATCTCGGAGAGGATGGGTTTCACGGTTGAGGGGAAGGCTTCGAGCCAGGGCTGGATCATGCCGACGCGTTGGACGCCTTGGCCTTGGTCATGTCAGTGCGAGTGACGATTGTTGGGCGTGTAAGACGTACCTGGGAAGAAGATGGCTGTCGGAGGCCTCGTCTTAGGTTGGGCATACCAGCGTAGCTGCCTGGGTGTGTGGGGAAGCTGCAGGCTGGGGAGCTGTTGGCTGGGGTGTTTCGCACGCAGCCGGAGAGGCCGGGAGCTGGTCTTGATCATTGTGATTGTGTCTTCACTCTAAGAACGCATTGTAGGCAGTATTTAGATGGAATGTGTGGATTGATAGATATGTAGGGTGCGCGTAGGGCCAGCTGCTTCAGATGGGGTCCGGGCGATGAGATCAGACGCAGGCCTCGGCTATGGGGGAAGCTGCCTCCGGCCACCCCACAGCTGGAGAACAGCAACACCTCCAGCAGAAACTGACTGTAGGGAAAAGCAATGCGATCAGCTGCATTGCTATCAGACGTGAGAAGAGGGCCTTTGATGTTGTGCCTGACGTTGGTTTAGTGTTGACTACTTAGTACTATTGGCCGTCCAAAACAGGGTCCAGGTAGCCGGCAATGTCCTAACGTTCACGGCCAGCATACGAGATTTGATACTGATACTGATACTGATACTGGAGGATTGGTTTGCTTCCTTCCATCAAGCGAAAGACACCAGTGCCATAGAGAATCCAATGGGTGCTCCGCCGTGTGACCTTCGACTCATGTCTCCCATGCCTTGCGAAGCACAGCGCGGCTCCCCAAGTTTAGGCGCGCAGATGGTGAGCAACGAGACATGGCATGCTCGAATCCGCTGCTGGCGCTGCTTCCTTAAGGGGGAAATGCCCAGCTGCTTCTGCTGATGACCATGCGCTCTTGAGGATACTTCGGGTCATGGCAGGCTGCACAAGCACCGATCCATTCGGTGAGGCGCGCGTGTGCTGTCGTGCCTTGGTACCTTTGTACCTTTGTACCTTTGTACCTCCGCTTGGCTGCGGCGCGGCAATGGTGCTGCTTGCTAGCCGCCGCGGGTGTCACGGCGTGAGGGGCGGCCGTCGCACAAATCCCGAGAAGCCTGATGGCGCCCGCCACCAAGCGGCACAGAAATCTCCCACCTGCCAACACGGCGCGATCGGCGAGGACGTTGTGTCCGGTGAGATGCAAGAAACAGAAACAGCACATCTTGGGACGAGCACAAACGCTGCCCGCGACCGCAACAGGTCTGCGGCCAACCGTCTTGGATGTTGCCCAGCATGCTTGCGGAGGGCGTGTGGACAGTAGGGAAGTGCGAGTTCGTCCAGTGGGATGCGATCCCAGAGGTTCCCATCCACGCAATGCCAGGTGCTGAGACAGCGGTACTCCTCCCGTTGCGGCACTAAGAGTCCATAGTCTCCGATTTGTCGAAGGAAGCAGCAGGCCAAGGATTGCACACTCAGACACAGCCTGTCGGAGTGTCACATGGGACTTGTCACCAAATTACCTTTCCCCGGCTGGCGACACCCACGCCTCCTAGCCGCCTGGCGGAAGGGTTGGCGCTAAGGTCTCATTTAAGCGCCCTGTCCGTCGGTGCTTTGCAGCGCTCTCCACAACTCTAACGGCGTTGAAGGCTCAGCCAGGACCCATCGACTGCTGCCAGCTGATTTGAGACATTGGGCGCGCTCGTTGGCGGCCGTTGGTGTTGGTGGAAGCCTCGCAGCGCGCCGCGCTTGAAGCGCCATGCGGCTTCAATGGCGCGCAAGCCCTCGGCAGCTTAATCCCATGAGCCAAGGCCTGAGACGGTTATCAGCTAGGCGGCGCTGTACGGGCTATTGAGCGGCGGCTTCCTTAGATCCTGGATCTTGCATCGCCCCCTCTTCGATTGAGGCATTGGGGCCGCTCTTCATCATCCCCTCATCCCCTTCCGCTTGGGCCCAGATGTGCAGGCGCAGGTGCACCCAACTTGCCAGCTCATCACCCTGTCGACGGTGCCACGAGCGGCCTCCCACTCTGATGCAATGACCGAGAGTGTAGGTGCTTGCCCATGACAGTGAACACCGTCCTCAGTTAGTTATGCGCTGAATCCCCTCCTGGACAGAGCACAAGTCGATGCGAGCGATCGTACAGAACGACGATTAGTAGGAGCATAGCCGCCTACAAGTCCCTGGAAATGTGACCAATCGTATGCTGCATGCTGGGATTGACACCAGAACCCCCAGCATGCCGCTTGCCGCGCGAGAACTAAAAGAGGTAACAGCCGCCCTCCATCCTCAACTCCGACCTCGCTGCCCTGAACTCACCTCAATGACTGTCGTTGAGCTTGCTGCTACAGCCGAGTATTCGATCGTGTACTTACAAGCAACCCATTCAGCGCTCTCCGCTGTCCATATCACGATATCTGCGCTACCCGCGTTTACTGGCCGCCAACTAACCGTTACCCGCGGGGACAAACGCCGGCATCGCACCGGGATAGACTCAGCAACGCACACTGCTTCCGCGGCGTCAGAGTTTCTCTCGAAAGGTTCCCAAGCACCTTCGAGTAAGAGACGAGTCAGAGAACTGTTGAGGAGGCCGATTCGTCGCTACCGCCGTCATCGCACAACGAGCCTAAGCGCGTAATCAACCGCCGCATACCCTCCCCCTACGACCATCTAAACTTTGAATATCTATACATCGTGGTATTGGAGAGCAGGACGAGGGCGCATTACGTTGTAGTCTAAAAAGCTAGCCCACTTGAACGCTATCTTAAGAGGAGGATCTATTGTCTGGAACGCCTCGAGCCGTTTAGTAGCGTTGTCGCGAAGCGCCCTGCGTATCTCGAAGGAACGTACGGTACAATCTTCAAGACCACTCGCCGCGCTCAGCACCTTGTCGGTTGTCGTGGTGCGAAAGTTGCTGGTACTGGTAGGGGCAGCCACAATTAAAGAAGGATGCCAACCGTAACCCTAGAAGAGACATATCATGCAAAGAATGGAATCGTAACACCCCATACCTCAGGGTTCACTGCAGTGAATGGACGCCAGCCATCGCCGCCCCAGGATATCGGATCGAACGGAATGACACACCACGGTCGTGCATCTCCACGTGGCCACTCAAGCACTGGTAGTCCAGACGAGATGGGATCGGCTTCGAACCATCGCGAGGACTGGCGCTCAACAATATCAAACGGCGACAGGCCGTCACGAGGAACTTCACCAGACAGAAAGCAATCGCCTTCGAGCGCTTCTGGAAAACGAAAACGATCAGTGATGGAAGATGAGCGGGACACTCCACCCAATTGCTGGACGAATCAGGTTTCAACCAGCAGTCGGGCGCCACGCCATCCAGATGCACGCGAACCTGAACTAGATCGGTTGTCGCACAATGCCCATGACCAGCCCAGGCGACACGACACAAGTTCTGGAGCGGAACGGTCGTCAAATTACCGTCTCGAGTATGCGATCACCCCCAATGATGTCGAAGAACCTTGGTCGAGCAGACAGCGAACACAAACCCACAGTTCGGAGGCCCGTGATGCGGAGACCACTTTCCGACGGGACCCTCAAGGTTCAGAGTCGCAGCCGCGAATGTCGAGCGGTGATCTGTCAGGCGATCGATCGATGGGCCCTCCGCCATCGCAATCAGACTTTGATGGTGCTGAGATGATGCACGGTGGTGTACAAATTGCGGACCCAAAGAAGAGGAAGAGGGTAAGATATACCATAACTAACCAACTTCTCGGTTCAGGCTAAAGAGTTCTCAGGTGTTCAGCAACCGAACCAAGACCGGATGCCAGACATGTCGTAGAAGGAAAAAGAAATGTGACGAACAGAAACCAACATGTAGGCTACCTCACGCCATTTGTACGGTAAAGTCAGGCGCATACTGACCACTATCTAGGCAATAATTGTTATCGCGGTGGATTCAGGTGCGAGGGCTATAATCTAAAATCTACATGGACCAAACCAGGCATGCACAAAGGACCGATCCCACTTCAAGCTAAAGACGGGTTCGCGGACCAACCGCCGGTATACCAGAAGTAAGTCAGCTTGAGGCTCCCTGCCTGGTCATGTTCCTTTAGCAAGTTCAGCCCGTCTTTTCGCCTGAGAGAAAAAACGGTCGCGAAGCCACAAGTACTGACACTGTTACAGCGTGCGACAGGCGCCTGAACAATACAGCGACTACGGAACCGTACAAGTTGCCGACGGCAGCCATAGCAGGCCTGTTCGCCACGAGGACGCGGAGCCTCAGTACTCGAAGCGCAAAAGCCACTGGGGCGAGCCATCGAATTCACCTTGGGGAGAGCTGCCTCAACGGCCCTACGTCTCCGATCGCGCTGCTGTAAACGACCCATATCTGAAGCGACCGCCAGAAAAAACAAAAACACATGCACAGGACTACGCGGAGCAGCCTGCGACCACCCCGCACCATCCACGCTCTCTGACGTCGCACACGCAGTCCATGCCAGGGTATATTGATGCTCCTTCCCCTTTTCGACCGCATTGACACGAAGCTGATACACCTCTCACAGAAGCAGCAATCGCAGCTTTACAGACGTAGACACAGACCGCAACCGCTCCAGCAGCATCAACAGCTCCCTATCAGCAGCGACCGCCCAACTCGCCCTCCAGCAACAATACCCCAAGCCCCCTATGGCGCCCCTACCGCCTCAGCAGCAGCAGCAGCAGCAGCAGCAGCAGCAGCAGCAGCAACAGCAGCAACAGCAGCCGCCACCACCGCCACCACCACCCGTCCGCACCGAGAAAGAAAAGATGCTCAACGAAGAGTACTATCTCCCCTTCAGCCCCCAACTCGTCGACGAACGCGAGCAATGCAAAGCAGCCCTGTGGCGCTTCAACAACGCGACCAACCCCGCCGTCGGCGTGAGCCGCGCAGAGCGCACCCGCCTCTTCCGCGCCGTCCTTGAGCCAGCCCATACACCTGCCTCGCGCGCCTCATCCGCCAATCCGATCGGTCGCCTTGGCAACGACGTCGAGATCGAGGCGCCTTTCATGTGCGATTATGGGTACAACATCAACATCGGGGATGAGGTGGTCATTGGGCACGGCTGCACCATTCTGGATCCGTGCGAGGTGTTTATTGGGCCAAGGACTGTGCTGGGACCCAATGTGAATATTTATGGGAACACGTTGAGTACCGAACCGAGGTGTAGGAATGGGAGCGTGGGACCGGCGATTGGGCAGAAGGTTTTCATTGATGAAGATGTTTTTGTGGGAGGTGGGGTGACGATTCTGCCGGGGTTGAAAGTAGGCAAGGGGAGTACGATTGGGGCGGGGAGTGTGGTTACGAGGGTGAGTAGACTCGAAAGTCACTGTGGAAGTGAAACGTGCTGACAGTGTCTTGTGCGTTAGGACGTCCCCCCTTTTACGGTGGTAGCGGGGAATCCGACGAGGGTCAAGCGCGGCATTTACCGTGATCGCCCGAATTGAGCGCACAGCGATGGTGTTTTGCATTGTTTCGGTTTTTGATGGTTTGGCGCGCGGTGCGGCTACGGCTCACCCGTATGCATTTCGGTTTGTTTCGCGGCATATACGATGGCGAATGTTATGAGTCTTTCAGGTATATGGGCATGGATGGCTGTCGATGATTGCCGACGATTGTATGGCTCTTTCGGTGTGCATAGGAAGTAAGATGCTCAGAATATACATATTAGCGTACAGCATCGAGATACCTTATGTCTGATAGGTAGTGCATGCCTGTTGTCAGGAAATATAAAGTTGCTCGCATCAAACCGTTGACTGGTTTGGAGCAATCTCCTTCTTCACTCCTGCTATAGAGCAGGCCAGCAACTGGAAATGCATGCCATGAGGTGGTTTAGATGCGTGAGACTGATACCCCTCAGGTACCTAGCGAGGATTACATAAGTGAGGGCTTGGCGCTCGTGGGCTTCCAGCGCCATTTACCATCCGGCCTATGAGGGCTGGTGAAAGGCCATGGATTTTGAGCGGGACGTCCCTCGAGCCCACCATCTGATTTATGGTTGCTACTACGCTTCATACTAACAGGATCGTTACAGCAGGTTCTTTCCTCTCCACTCTGTTTGGATCTTCCTGAACGATTCCAGCTAACCTCTATCAAAAGCGCTTCCATTGCTCCGATACACCTCGTCCTCGCCGGCGCGACAACTGCTCAGTCTCACGAATACTCAAGGGCTGGCTAAAATAGACGTTGCTACACCTTCTTACTACCATCATATGTAAACTGCGGCAACATCCATTTTAGACTTGCGTTGGCCAAGGGCTTGAAGCTCGGACGGCCTACGGCAGCGGCCCGATATCCGCGCGTCCGTTTGTACTTGCAGTGCCGCGAGCCGCGCGATGGGATATCACAATACTTGTGTGCGTGGGTTCGGACGGTCTTATCTCGAGAGACATGTTGCGCGTTGCATCAGGTCGGTGTTGACGTTACTCGAGCAATGCGCATTCCAGAAGCGTCCCCTCCAGTCGGAGTCATTTTGCATCGGCCAGAATCTCCCGGGACAGCTGTCGCTGAGTGGCCCCCGCGGAACCCCTGAGAGCCAATAAAAGTCTGGTACTGAATCACCATTCAAAGCCAAGGCGTTGTTAGCTGCATGCACTTGCGCAGTGTGCGTCAGTTTCCGGACAAGCCCCCCCGTCTCTGCGGGAATCGGCTTGTGTGTCTGTTTGAGCGGGCAGCGCCCATCTCTCCGGCCATCTTCGTCTCATCATCGCCAGCCGGACCTACATCCCCACAACCTTACTTTCTTACACTTGTCCACAACACGCCCGACCGTGGTTTTATTCTCGTCCGAGCTGCGCGCAGCAACCCACTTCTGGCTCTTCGATCTTGTATTTCAATAAACCTTCTAGAAGCTTCGGTATTGTCCTATCTCTGTTCGCGCAACCTTTACTGTTGCCAATAATCGCATTCCTATCGAGCGTTTCGCCGCTGCACGCCGCCACGGCCTTGTCGTTCTCGTCACTCATTCTCAAGACTTTGTTACTCTTTCTGCTTCTGCCCTCCCACTTCCTTATCGCATAGCTGTTGTTGCGCGCGTTGTCGCGAACTCCAGAGCTATCGGACCTCTCGTTGCGAGATCGGCCGTCGCATCGCAAACCACCCACCACCCGCGCTCCTAGCCAACGCCGCCACAGCACGTCAGATGACCGTCGGATCGAGCAGGCAACCGTCTTCTCTAATATGCAAACTATATGGCGGCTCCCTTGGAGCTCCGAGCCGCCATGCGACAAGATCATGGAGAAGTCTGTGTACAACAAGCCGCGCCAGTCGCCTGCCGTTGAGATTCCGCTGCTGAAAAAGCTGAAAAGAAGGCGGACAAATAGTCCTGAGACGGGCTCGCCTCACGGCGCTCATGTTGCAAAGGTCCCAAAGTACGCGCCGGGGGTTGCCGCTGTGGTGAAGACTGAGTTGCCTAACGGAGCAACTGGGATAGGCGCACCCGCTTTGCATGTCGACACGCAAGGCGGCTCCGTCGCCGCTGAGAATGTGAGTGTTAAGCAAGTGAGCGCTGGTGCTCTGAGTATTTCCCAAGCAGTAAGTTCTAATACCTTAACACTTTGTACCCCTTATATGTCCCCGTTACTGCGCGCTCTTCCACACCAGGCATAAGGATGTCTTGGTTCGGCCGTCTCTCAGACAATCGCCATAACTTGATACGCATTTCACTTCTCTCTTCAGCCTACGACGATCCGAAATCTCTCGGTGGAGAGCGCCTGCCCGATTTTCTCTCCTCCTTCCGCAAAAGCTGCGAATTCACACTGAGCAACTTCCTCATAATCCAGCTTTGCTCGATTCACGAGTCTCGAACTGTGGCAGATTATTCTGTGCATGAATCGTTCCTCCTGCTGACTTCATATCTAGGCGTCAGTCAGCGATACGTCATTTCAGAAAGAGGCCTTAACTGGCACGTCTACTGAAACGCCGCGCCGCACGTCCTGCATTTCACCGACAACTATTTCTTCGCCCGCTATGGCTACTGATCTTGCAGCTCTACGGCGCGGGATTGAGGCCCAGTTCAACTACGAGATCCTACTAAAGCACAACGAGTTGCGCCTCATTGAACAGGAACTCGCCAAGTCCCAGATCGCTCTTGAGCAATTGCGCCGATGTCAGCTGATGCCCTATCCCGGAGCAACCTTCCCCAGCGAAATCGTTAGTCATGGTGTGGGTCCTGCCTTGGCGCCTCCGCCAGGCTTCACCGAGCCGGAACATCCAGCGCCCTACGGAGTTACGGATGGACCGTATAGCCGGCACTACGCCAAGTGGCTCATTCCCGATCCTCACTTCGACTCCGTTCCAGCTCGGCAAAGGTCTCTAGAACATCCAGTTAGCCGTGGCGCACGCGGCTCATTCCTCGAGCAACAACCGCCAGCATCCAAACGCTCGTCACGTGGGTCGGCTGGATCGAAACTGAGCACGGTGCCTGGTGAAGGCCAACCTGCCCCTGGCGTCGTCTTGCAGAAACGCTCTACAGATGGTCAGTGGGTCAGGCTCGTGTGCAAGATCTGTTCGAAAGACTACTTCAACAACATGCAGGGCTTCATTAATCACTGCCGGATAAAGCACAGCCTCAACTACAAGACCCATGACCAGGCCGCCAACGAGTGCGGTGTTCCGGTAGACCTTGACGAGTTCGGTGCTATCATTAGAACCCACGAGGCAAGCCATGTTGCTGCAGCACTTCCACCGGCATCTGCTCAAGTCGCTGCGACTCCGTTTGTCCATCCGCTCATCACGACGACGCCTGCTCCAAGGCCGAGGAAAATTGCGGCGCCCAAGCGAGGTCCGAGTTCCGTCAAGTCCGAGCCGGTGTTCAAACCTGTGGAGCAAGCACCCAGCGACAAGGTAAGCTCGTTATATCCCTTAATGAAGTACCGTAGCGCAGGAATCCGGGGGATTGCGGAAGATTGTGCCGTGTAGCTTCAGCTTCGCACTGAGAATTCCTCGGGTGGCGCACGATATATCCCGAACATTTTCCATACGTCTCGATGGAACGGAGCGCTAACGTTGCTAACAGCCGCGGATCAACCCTGCATTCGTTCCGTCGTCTCAGACGCCGTACATGAGTGCGATTCTTCAAAAACGTGGGTTCGCTGGCAACCTCAGCCACCTAGTCGACTCTGCACGCACGAAGATCGACCTGGCTGCGCTCGATCCTGATGATGAAGACACGGACAGCGTCCTGCCAACGCCCGTCGAGCGTCCTCTAAGCCGCAAGGGCCGCCTGGACGGCATGCGCCTAGCACCGACCTCATTGCAACCGCCGCGCTTCGGCTACAGCCACGATGGAAGTTCCGACAAGGTCATCCCTGAATCGCCGACCATGGAGCTCAGTCCGAACACCGCGGAATCCAATCCGGGACTGATGAGCGACCATGATGACGATGAGGAAGAAGAGGACGACGCGAGGTCTGACGTGGTCATGGGTGACGCCGCGGAATTTGTTGATGACGTGGTCGTCGAGGATGCGAGTGACGCCGAAGGCTTGCGGCCGCAGACGGTGCAGGTGATCTGCCACGCGGGGCCTTCCCGCAAGGCGTAGAACGGACGCGAGTGCGATGATTATCTTCTAGGCGGAGGCTGTTTTACTAGCTTCGAGGCTACGACTATCCCTTGACGGCTGAGCGTTATAGAACTTGGATTGCAGCCAAGCTGCCTGAGCGACGGGATCTAGAAAAGGCACGGTGGCAGGTTATTCCCCCAAAAAAACCACTCCCCTCTTACTTCGCTTCGTCGCGTGCCCGCTTGCAAGATAGCGTGGTGTGTTTTGTACTCTTACCGATCCGTTGTTGTCTGCCATCCTGCCTTGCCGGAGCGGAGGGTTGTATATAGTAAAAGTAATCGCTGTACATATATTGAACTGAATATCCATTCTTGAACCTCCTTGACCGCAACGTGTCTGCGACAGTCGCCGAGACACCTCTCTGGCGCTCTCACACGATGAGTTGCTAACATCTGCCGGAGGTGTGATCACAGCTTCATACAATGCATCAACACTCTCGGCCGCAAGGACTTTCAATAGAGCCCCGCCCATATCGACACTCATGACAATCTTCTTCCCTGTGCTCCGAGGCCGTCCGCCTTGAGCGCGTGTCCACGATGAACAACACCGGGCGGCTTATCCACTGTTGCGCCACTCCGCCGCCCATGCCCGCGAGAAGTTCCCGTATCATACCTCCAGAAACGCGCGCGCTATGCAAAGACGGGACCACCGCCGCCTTTCCCCCGTGTTCTGACCTGTGAACAGCACCCGGCTGAAACCTTACTGGCCGATGAGCAACGACACCTGTAGAGAGCACGATCACGTCAGCTCAGTCCAATCCTCGATCCCCATCTCCCCCTCCACATCTCTCCCTCCTCTCTCCTCTCCCATCGCCCCTCACCACCACCACCACCACCGTCTCAGCGACCCAGCAGGGGACGGGGACCACTCACAGCCATAGCCACGCAACAGAGGCTAACATAAGGACTCAGCCTCTCCCCAATGCGCGCGCACTTCCACACGATGCCGAACACCCCGTCTTTGTTGCGGTCGAGTGGCCCCGGCATCACGTAGTGGAGGTACGAGGACGTGCAGATGGTGAGCAGGATCACGAGGAGGAGGGACTGGAAGTTGAAGAGCGCGGTCTGTGGGGTGGGTGGGTTAGCGGGTTTGTTGTGCGGTTGAGAGTGGGCGAGGGGGGGGGGGGGGGGGGGGGGGAAGGGGTTGGAGACGATGGTGCGCTGAGGAGAATGGGGCATTGGAGAGAGTGGTGGGTGAGTGGTGGGAGAGATGGGGTTTGGGTTACCATTTTGTCAGTGCAGAGCGCGCAGAGGTCTTGCGCAGGTGGTTTCGCAGGCAGTGCGGGACGAAGTCAGTGAAGTGGATGGGTATCGTATTGCTAAAAACTATGGAAAAGGCCGTCGAGAGATGTCGCAGTATGTTGCGAAATGTAGGTCAAGTAGTGCACCAGGCACACACATCAGCGCTGCAGAATGTCGACCAGTGACAGAATCCACCCCCAGACATCACCGCCAAGCCGCGCTAAGCCCCATCCAGCCCAAATCATCTACTTCCTTCCACCAGCACGCCTAGAAGTGCGAGAAGCGCCAGGAACGCCGCTACCATTGAACTGTGCATCCAGCCGCTTTGCAAAGTCCTCATCGCTCTCGCCGGGAGCTGCGGTGGTGGTGTCAGCTGTCGCGCCAGTAGAAAGGCCAGCAGTTCCAGCACCAAAGCTTCCAGCACCAGCACTCCTGACCCCAGTGGTTCCAGCTCCAGTACCTCCAAGGATGCTTTCGGCAAGCGTTCCGAGACCAGCACCGGGAGTCCGAGTCTTTTTCACGGGCCTTCCAGAGATGGCACCTCCAGAGACGGCACCTCCAGAGACGGCACCTCCAGAGCCAGTACCTGTAGAGACGGCACCTTTAGAGCTAGCTCCACCAGAGACAGCGCTGGCAGGTGGCGGGACATCATAAGTGTAGCTCGGATCGAAAGGCGTATACTTCGAGAGCCCCGGGGCTAATGAGCTATACTCGTCTTCATCGGCGTTTCCCCCTGAGTCATAGCGCGGATTGTACTTGTTCAAAGTCGAGGTGTGGGTCGTCGAGCTACGACGCTGCTTCTTCTTGGCGAGTTGACTGTTGCCGGATTTCTTGGGGGGCTGCTGGGTGATGAAGTCGTTGTAGGCATCAGAGTCGTCAGAGTCGTCGTCGTCGTCATCGTCTTCATCGTCGGAGATGGAAGCTGCACGCCGCTTGCGGGAGTTGAAGGGGTTGCTGGGAGCTTGCTGAGTAGCTTGCTGAATGCTTGAAGCCTGCTGAGTTACACCACTGCTCACGGGTGCTTTGCGAGCGGTGCCAGGGAGAACCTTTCCAGACACAGCTGAAGCTCCTGGCGGGCGCTTACCGCTGACGGTGGGCTTGGTTCCAGGAAGGTATTTGCCGGAAACAGTCGAGCTTGGCGGAGCTTTGCCGCTGATGGTAGGCCTAGTACCGGAGAGATTCTTTGCAGATAAGCCCGTGGCTGTTGGGTAGAGGCTTTTTCCGCCGAGGGTGGGTCTGCTTTGCGGCGAGCCGCTCTTTTTATGCTCTGAGGAAGCTGCTGGGGAGGCGGGTGGAGCATCATCAGCGAAGGAGGTGTTGGCGGAGGAGACTTTGGCTGCGGAAGTAGGCGCGGAGGACGTTGGTTTGCTTGCGGAAGAAGTTGGAGCGGAAGACAAGGTTGCTGGTTTTGCGGGTGTGGTGGAGGCAATCCTTCTCTTCTTCGATGCTGGTGCGGATGCATCTGCAGTGGAAGTAATAGGATCGGACTCTCCAGAAGCCTTCCGTTTCTTGCTGGACAGAAGGCTGGTGCGCATCCTGCCAGGATTGGCGGCGCGGCGCTCATCATGCCCGCTGACGAACCTGAGACGGCGGATCCACTGGCTGCGAACAGCATTTGCACCGCGCTTCATGCCATACTTACTCGTCAGATACGCCGAGACTGCGGCCCACAAGTCGTCAATCCGGTGATTGCCAGCTCGCTTGAGCTCCGCGTCGATCCTGGGAAGCTCAAGCATGCACCACTTGTCTTCATCCTGGCTCCATGCTGAACGTTTGGGAGCGTCTTTCAGCTTCTTCCTCTTGACTTTGGTAGAAGCTGCGGGAGCAGCAGGAGATGATGGTAGGTCCGCCTCCGACGAAGATTCGCTCCCCCCGTCAAGGCACTTTGGGCATATCCAGGGGTCAATCACTGTTCACAGGAGTCAGCATAATGGGTTGAAAGATCATCAGACCATCAGTCTGTCGTGGGACTCACACGCCAGCGACTCCGCCGTTTCACTCACGCAAGAGAAATGGTACCACTGTTCTACGGCATGGTGTGGAGGTCCATTCTCACAAGCGACCATGAGGTCGTCGTCAGGCGCATCGCAGAATCCGCAGCAGCCCTCTGGTTCCTCATCTGCATCCGGTTAGCGCATTCCCAATTCTATAGAGTTCCATGATGGGTTGAAGCTTACCAGACTCGGAGGCGGCGGCGGCGGCTGGCGACGGCGAGGCTGTTGGCGAAGGAGGAGGCGCCAGCTCCTCTTCTTCGCCAGAAGAGTATTCGTCGTCTGATGCTACATGTCAATTAGCCATGAAGCTGGAAGCTATCGACTCGTACAAGCGTGGTGAACATACGAGGTAGTGATGAGGCCTCGACCTCATCCTCTTCCTCATCCTCATCCACGCCCTCGTCATCGTCGTCGTCGTCACGCTCGTTGTCGTCGTACTCGACTGCTGCTTCCAATCAGCGTCTGAAGTCTGAACATAGCTACACTCAGCACGTTGGCGGAACATACACTCATGGATATCCGACGGATCGATGGTACCATCATCCAATGCCGCTGTACTTCAAGTCAGCTCACCTTCGGATTGTATGTTTCTTCATGATATTGGTGAACTTACGATTCAACTCCTCCGCGGCCGGCGCGAAAGACGCGTAGTTCTCTGGACGGCCATGAGTTAGCTATGATGCCGACGCAAACAGGTTTTGCAAGGAAGGGTGACGTTACCATCTTCGATTGCAGCTGGGAGAGAAGACCCAGCCGAGGGATAGGTCCCAGCTTGAAGTTGCTCGGGAGAGATATAAGCAGAACCCCAAGGGCCAATGCTGTTGCCGTCGACATTCTGATGAGTAAACATATCGTACTCCGCTCCAAACGGGTCTTCGTCAGTGACACCGGCTGGCTCATAGTGTTGCGGGACGTCATCTCCGTGCCCTCCATCGACAGGGTTGGTATTGTCAGGTCCATGGAGAACCGGGGTAGAACACTTCTCAGAGTGGACAGCGTCATCGAAACCGAAACACGGATCGAAACTCGTAGAAATGCCAAGTTCATTCAGCGAATCCATTATAGCGAGGCGAAATGCAAGTAAGACAGTATGAGCGACCAGCGCTGTAAGACAGGAACAGATTGAGGAAAGCAAGAAGATTACGAAGACGAAGATAGCGAGAGAGATGCAGAAAGGATGGTTGAAGAAGGGAAGGAATTGAGGCGGACGAGAAAGAAATAGTATATGAAAGAGCCATCATGAATAGTCTGCAACCGACAATGGAGGGTGCGGGCATAGCTGTGCGGACAATAACTTTCCAGCGAGACGGAGAAGTCGTTCAGATATGAGGGCAGTTCCCCACGGTGACAGATTATGGCCAACAAACGACCGAACGGAAAAATCGACAATAGGACAGCGGAGTATTGATCCTGAAACCGACTGGCCGCGATCTGACCTTCAAGGGGAGCGAAGTGAAGTGCCTCGCTGCTGGCACCGTGGGCTCGCAGCGAGGCTTGCAGCGCGCTCTGCAGCCATTTGCAACTGTATCAAACGCATATCAAGCGACGTTGACATCTTCAGTGTCTTGAGTTGCTTGTGTTGTTCGAGGCCGGTCATCTTATGTTGGAAGACTGAGCCCTGAAGTCGGTCGTTGATGGATGCTGGAGCGTGAACGAGTCGGCCCCACGACGAGTGAATCGTGCCCCTCACACATTTCTATCCGTACAACACACATCGACCCCGAAACGTGTGCAATGGCTTGAAGCTCACTCGCTGAGAGAAGCTTATGAGAGTAGTTCCTCCTGCCTGCATAGTGTGCTCTGTGAAGTGGGACCGATAACAGGAAACAAGCACGTTGCATGCATGTCACACGGAAGGCCAGCGAGCTCGAAGAACTTCTGACTGCGTTACGCAGATACTAAACGACTACGACTACGACTACGACTACGACTACGACATACAAAAAGAGAAGCTGAATCCCCGAACTAGATGTGACCGCTGCTGATTCCCAAATTCTCACAAGGATCGAAACGACCCTTCGAAGTCAGGCGCCCAGCCATGGGTCGAGTGTCCTCTTCGCTCAGCGCGAAAACAGCCTCCTCACCGAACCGTAAATCGGAGGCTGCCGACAGTAATGTGGTTTGTTGCTGGCGACGATTGAAGAAGGAGAAGAAGTCGGCGTCTGGCAGCGACGTTGGAATTCTCACGGGGATGTTCTGGCGCTAGTCTGCATTGGGGCCCGCAGCCGAGCCTCCGATGTGGCTCCGGGCTCTCCCTCCAGCATCGCGGCTGTTGTGAACTTCGTGGCCATAAGATTATATCGCTGCCGCCCTTCTACCCCCCATCACCGCTGCGCACTCCACCGAGCTCTGCACCCAACTCTGCACCCAGCTCTTCGACTACTTGGGACACAGCTGCCGAGTTCTACCACTACACATCTCAAGCCAGCCTTTCGGGTCCACGGTCCTCCTGCGCACAGCATGGATTACGAGTCGCTGAAGGAGCAGTGGGGGGAGATAGAGGACAGAGATGGCGTCCGCCTCAGCTGGAACACCTTCCCCAGCTCGCGCATGGAAGCTTCGCGCCTCGTCGTCCCCATTGGCGCCCTCTACACCCCTCTAAAGGAGAAATCGGACACCCCACTGTTGCAATACGAGCCCGTCACCTGCAAAGCTCCCTGCAGAGCCGTTCTCAATCCGTTCTGCCAGGTCGACATGCGAGCCAGACTGTGGATATGCCCCTTCTGTCTGCAACGAAACGCCCTTCCTCCGCACTACAAGGACATCTCCCAGGATGCGATACCGCCCGAGCTGCACCCCAGCAGCACGACGATCGAGTACCGGCTGGCGCGCCCTGCGCCCTCTCCACCTATCTTCGTGTTCGTCGTCGATGCGTGTCAGGAGGAGGACAGCTTGAAGGCGCTGAAGGACTCGATAATCATGAGCTTGAGCCTGCTTCCCCCGTACGCTTTGGTCGGTCTCATCACATTTGGGACCATGGCGCAGGTGCACGAGCTTGGATACACCGAGTGCCAGAAGTCGTACGTCTTTAGGGGAAGCAAAGAGTACACCGCCAAGCAGGTTCAGGAGATGCTCGGTCTGTTAGCACCAGGTCTTCGACCGAATATGCAGCAGCAGCCTGGCCGGGCACCCCCGCCGATGGGTCCTGCTGCGCGCTTCCTCCTGCCGGTTCAGCAATGCGAGTTCCAGCTCACGAATGCCCTCGAGCAGCTACAGAAGGACCCATGGCCAGTTGCGAACGACAGGCGAGCCTTACGCTGCACCGGTGTGGCTTTGAGTGTTGCTGTCGGCCTGCTAGAAACGTCGTTCCAGAATGCTGGTGGAAGGATCATGCTGTTCACAGGCGGTCCGGCGACAGAGGGACCAGGAATGGTGGTTGGGCCAGAGCTCAGGGAACCCATCAGGTCACATCACGATATCGACCGGGATAACATCAAGTACTACAAGAAGGCGCTAAAGGTTGGTCCCGGTATCTTCTACATGAGGTACATACTAATGCACATAGTTCTACGACGCCCTGGCCAAGCGGACAGCGCACAACGGCCACATCATCGACATCTTCGCAGGCTGCCTAGACCAAGTCGGCCTCCTCGAAATGAAGGGCCTCTCAAACTCCACCGGCGGCCACATGATCCTAACCGACAGCTTCACCTCCTCGATGTACAAGCAATCCTTCGCGCGCATCTTCGACAAAGACGAAAACGACAACCTCCTCATGGGCTTCAACGCCTCGCTCGAAGTCCTCACGACCAAAGAACTCAAAGTCACCGGCCTGATCGGCCACGCCGTCTCCATGAACAAAAAGTCCGCCTCCGTCGGCGAGACGGAGTGCGGCATCGGCAACACGTGCTCCTGGAAAATGTGCGGCATCGACCCCGCGGCCAGCTACGGCATCTACTTCGAGATCGCGGGCCAGGGGGGACCCAACCAGATCGGCCAGGGCCCGCAGAAGGGCATGATCCAGTTCCTGACTTACTACCAGCACTCGACGGGCCAGTACCACCTGCGCGTCACGACCGTAGCGCGCAACCTCAGCGGGCCCTCGGGCGACCCGGCCATCGCGCAGTCCTTCGACCAAGAAGCCGCCGCAGTGCTAATGTCGCGGATCGCCGTCTTCAAAGCCGAAGTGGACGACGGGCCCGACGTGCTGCGGTGGGTAGACCGGATGCTAATCCGGCTCTGCGGCCGCTTCGCCGAGTACAGAAAAGACGACCCGTCGTCGTTCCGACTGGAGAAGAACTTCACGCTCTACCCGCAATTCATGTTCCACCTACGGCGCAGCCAGTTCCTGCAAGTGTTCAACAACTCGCCCGACGAGACGGCGTTCTACCGGCACGTGCTGAACCACGAGGACGTGGGCAACTCCCTCATCATGATCCAGCCGACCCTCGACTCGTACGGCTTCGACCACGAGGGCTCCCAGCCCGTGCTGCTGGACTCGACCTCCATCCAACCCGAAACCGTTCTGCTGCTCGACACCTTCTTCCACATCCTCATCTTCCACGGCGAGACGATGGCCGAGTGGCGCAAGGCCGGGTACCACGAGCAGGAGGGCTACGAGAACTTCAAGGCGCTGCTGGAGGCGCCCAAGGAGGATGCGAAAGAGCTGATCCAGGACCGTTTCCCGCTGCCGCGGTTCATCGTTTGCGATGCGGGTGGCTCGCAGGCGCGGTTCTTGCTGAGCAAGCTCAATCCGAGCACGACGCACACGACGAGTGGGGCGTATGGCGGCGTGAGTCAGACGGCCCAGACGATCTTCACGGATGACGTCAGTTTGCAGACTTTTATGGATCATTTGATGAAGTGAGTCTTCTTCCCTTCACGCCTTTGGAGACGCCTTTTGTACTGACTACGCATCCTTCTGCTAGGCTTGCGGTTTCCGGAACGAGCTAGTCGGGCGGTCGGCGAAGTGCGTGGACTTGAACGCATGGTTATCCGATTGAGGATACCTGCTGTTTCGAAGAGATGGGAGTGCTGCTTCTGGTAGATTGCATGTGTCACTCGAGCGGGCGCGGGGTGGGGGGCGGCATGGTGCAAGCGGGGTTTGCGGACATCTCCTGTGGTCTCATCCTTGTGCGGTCTATCACGTAGAACTAGACACTTTCCCGACCGACAGGCTGCTGCTCTTCACGGACGAGACGATCCAGCAATGCGAGGTGAATGTGTCCAAGATGTTTGGGGATTATCATACACTACACTAGCAAAGAAGTGAGACGTGACCTATGTGGTCGTGCAGCACATAGCTACGGGTATCTTATGCAGCAAAATCGAAACCAACGCCAGATTGCCGCCCTAAATGTGTTGTACAAGGCGCCAGCAGCCCGGTGTATGAAACCTGTAGCGTAGGGGAGTAAGTCTGAGATCAGCGTCCACACAGCATCCTAGGACCAGACCAACGCCCACAGCAAACTCAACTCCATACGGGCAAGAGGAGGCACCAAAGCGCAGTCCATCTTGTATCCCCTGAAAACAAGCGCAGCTCAGACGCCTCCACGGCCCAACGACGGCATCTTCCACTTCTTCTTCACCAGCCCTATCTGATGCATATAGTCATCCCGCGCCAGCTCATCCAGGCTCTCGCTCCCCGCGCGGTGACGCTGCTTGAGGGTGTCGCGCCGCTCTCTGTGACCGCGGATCTGGCGAGCAGGGGAGCGGCGGTGGCGGATAGTCTTGGTGGGCGTACTACCTTCGGCATGATCCGGGCCGATGAGCGCGCTTGCGAAGGATGCGTTGCTGCGGTCGCGGAAGAGGGTCTGGCCTGGCTGGCCTGTGGTGATCGGTTCGGCGTGAGGAGGGAGTGAGAGACAACGGTGGTGGTGCGCGCGGGAGGAGGGTTGCTCTGCTTCGGCCAAGGGCATGGCGGTGTCTGAGTGTGTGTCGTTGGGAAGGGGATCGAAGATCATGGTGACTTCGGCGGAGGAGTCGACGTCGTCGGTTACGGAGTACCAGGAGCCCGTTGGGCCAGTCGCGTAGTCGGTGATGAGGTCGTTGATGGACTCTGGAGAGTGTCGTTTCTTCTTCTTGGGCTCCACATCTCCCTCGATAAGCAAGCCGGCGTCGGCGGAGTTGCGTTTGAAACCGTCGGAACCTGCCCAAGAATGCCGCTTGGATGATCCTTGGCTGGAAGATGCCGGCCCCGACGATGCCTTCGAATCTTTTGACCCTCTGTTGCTGTTTGACTCGGGAATCCAGGAGTGACGGCGCGGGCTCCCGGCGCTCCGCATTGTGTCCCCTTCTTGATAGCTATAGGGTTCGCCATCGTACAAGAGCGCTCGCTCTGGATGGAATTCCCAGCGATTATCTGTGGACAGCGACTTGTCAGACTGGGTGCTCGCTCTCTTTAGCGGTGATTGGAAAAGGATGAGCCCTTCACGCTTGTGCTTCCCCCGGTACGCACCTCGCGGAGTGGATTGGGCGTCTGGAGGAGACTCTTCGCCCCTGGCCTCCTCGATTCTTGATAGCCGCCCTTTCCTACGCGGCTGGGGTGCGTCCTCTAACGGGGTGATGGTGATGGAAGGTCTTCTGGACTCATCAGAGCTAGGCTCCCTGTCTGCTGTGTTGTCAGCCTGCGCATAGTCCTGACTGCGCAGGCGTTCCGGCATCTCGACGAAGCTCATAACATCTGGGTGGCTTCGCAAGGGATCAATCGGCCGCGTCGCAGGTCCGCCGACCCTCAACAGGATTGGCACTGTCTTCGGAATCTCCATCTTCTTCACGGCTGCGGTAAGCAACGGAGCGGTGCGGAGCTTGAAAGTGACATCGTCTTCGTCCTCTACGTCTTCGTCCATGAGGCTGTCATTGTCTTCGTTGTCTTGATGTCTTGATGCAGGCTCTGCGGAAACCCTGCGGTTATGCAAGGAGACATTGTGCAAGTCATATGGAAGATTGAAACTCGGATCGAAGCCAGCAAACAGCTGAGAGTCAAGACGTGGTGGGAACTGAGGTGTTGCGGTATGATGCGACTCGATGAATGGATCACCCCAATCTCCCTCATAGTACTCGTCCAGTGACTCACAAGACTCGTTGAGCGCCTTGTGGATTTGTGTAAGGTCGCTCATGGAGTATGAATGAGCGCGAGCCTTGTCCTTGGGAGCTTTGTTCCTAGTGGGATTGCCCCTCGCTGAGAATGTTGACTGCGCCTTGGATGGCGAGTCGAAGAGCTGCTGGAGCTTGGGGCTCTCTTGAAGAGCCTGCTCCACTGCACGGCGGCGCTGCACGCGGATCGTCAGATCTTCATCCTCCTCGCCCCGTGTCAGACTGAGCTCATCTTCGTCCAACATGGTGTGCCGTCTGCTCCTACGGCGACTGCTTGAAGTACGTGAGGGCAGGTGTTCTGAGATTGCATCCTTGACTCGACCGAAGACATGCTTGGTTTCGCGGCTGTCAGCCAGGGGCACGAGATTCTCGGGCTTGGGTGCTTTCGTGTGGTTGAAGCCGCGAAAGAGCCCTCGGCTGCGCGTTGGCTTGACCTCATCCTCGGCCGGCTGTTCAGGATAGGAAGCTTTGCTGAGCGTTCTTGCCAAGATCTTGAGGCCCGAAGGCAACCGCGGTAGAGCTGTGAGGTGAGCGTCTGGTGGATCTAAAGGTAACATGATTGGACCGGCCTTGTTCTCGGAGGTGAGCGAACTCTTGCTGGGTAATGTGAAGGATGAGAGCTTCAGGTTAGTAGATTTATCGACGAGTGGAGCGGAGGCCCGCGGATGATCACCAACAGGTAGGTCCCATGCAGGCGGAACTGGAGGCAGAGGTTTGTTGCGTACGTATGAGGGCACACGGGTGAAAGGTGCGTGTGTGAAGGAGGTTGCAGTTGGGCTGCTCCTCAGGCTTGTTGAGCTGCCGGCGGTGTGTCGCCTGTTGCCGATGGTGGCTTCACGATGCGAGTGCCCCTCAACGGTAGGTAAGGTTCCTGTCGGGCCGTCGGACGCGTCAAAGAGTCGCGGGACCGTGTCTGTGTTTGGGGCAGAGCTGGCTGCTTTTTCCGCAGAGGAGCAGTTAGAGACGATGACGCGCGACAGGAGCCGACGGGCTGGTACTGACTTGGTGCTCTCCTGTGGGGATTGGTGGTCTCATCCTCATCGCGAAAGACGGACAAGAAGGGTCTGCCGTTGCGTCGTTTGCCGTAGGTTAACATAGTGGCCGCGCAGAACAAGTTCAAACGAGTGATTGGAGTTGGTCAAAGAGCGTGGGACTCAAACAGAGCTGAGGATGGGATGGTGTGATGATGGTCCTCAACAGGAGAGAAGGCACGACCTCGGGAACTTGGAGGCTGCGGTGAGTGACCGGATCTGGAGAGTTGAAGATGTTGGACAGGCACAGCTGAAGCGGCATGCAATGGAAGAAATCTTTTATTGCAACGAGATGGTCACTAACACTTTGGCAAACTAAGTAAACAACATGGCATCAGAGGTGGCGCAATGCCCTCCAGCACATGGCAGACTGACAGTGCGGTCTGACTTGTCCAGAGCGACTGCCTGCTCGCCCTATCCATTCACATATTCGTGTACGTATCTTCTTAGACTGCTCATTAGCACTGTACAGCATTCTAGCCGCCGTAGAACGCCTCGGTCGCTTGCTGGGGTCGAACAGCGGTTCGAGTTAAGGCAAACACTAGATTGAGATACTGTACGCCTCTATAAAACAGCCAGCGCAGCAATCCCGCCTACAAGATACGCCACCCAGCTAGCTCGACCGACCATTGAATCTGACAGCGGCTTGACGGCATGGACGAAATCTCACGTCAGCCGGCGGTAGTCATAACTGTCGTGCAAGACGCATCGCTGAAACCCTCACCCTCGCCTCAAGCCGTGGATATCTTGAGGAGAGGCTGCGGCGGAGGCAGCTCTGCCTCATGAGAAGGTTGCATGCGCATGGCGACATGGAGCACGTTGGCTACTCCACGGCGGCATAGCTATACATGCTCAGAGGTATTTGGAAGGATTCGATGAGGTGGCGTGGGTGGTTGATCAGAGAGGTCAAGCTGGGCGGAATGGACAAGCGCGAAGCGCGGAGCGCCTCGCCTCGGCTGGGCGGCTCTTCATCGCAGGCGCTGGCGAATGGAACACCCGAAATTCGTCAGCGGACTGATGACCAGAGCCAACTCCACCTTTGTTCATCACCACATACACACACACTCGCTCTCTCTCTCTGCTTTAAGACTACCAAGAGCGCCCTTCTCTAACTTAGTCTTGATTTTGTGTAAGGCACCTCCAGAATTGTAGAACTACAGGCCTCCCCCCAGCCTCACCCGTTATACGCTCAGCCCTACCGCCGCCCCTCCCGCACTTGCAGTGGGAAACTCCGCAAAGCACTCGTACTCGTACTCAGACGAGTAGCATCGTTCTCGAAGAATAGACTGCAAGTGCTGCACGCCCGTCACCTCAACGCAATCCGAGCCACCATGTCCTTCTCATCCCTCGTCTCCGACATTACCTACCGCGACAACGACCGCGATGACCGAAGGTCGCAAGTGTCAAGAGCACGGTCGTATGCCAGTACTGCAGCCACAAGCGTCAGCATATCAGGCGAGGTCTCGAGTCAATTGCACGGAGGGTACAGTCACCCTCTTGCGCGAGCATGGCAAGCTGAGCGGCAATTGACCAAGGTGTGCCTCTACCCTGCGCCGTAGGCTGTGAATGCAGCCACTGACACGCTGCCTTCCCAGGCCATGCTCATATACCCCCTCTTCATGTCCGACCGCCCCGACGAAGAAACGCTGATCCCCTCGCTCCCAAACCAATACCGGCGCGGCCTCAACAAACTCGTCCCCTTCCTGACGCCCCTCGTCCGCAAAGGCCTACGCTCCGTAATCCTCTTCGGTGTGCCCCTCGCCGACGGTTCCAAAGACGCCCTCGGCACCTCCGCCGACGACCCCCAAGGCCCAGTCATCCAATCCATCCGCCTCCTGCGCCGCGCCTTCCCCTCGCTCTTCATCATCGCCGACGTCTGCCTGTGCGAATACACCTCCCACGGCCACTGCGGCATCCTGCGCGACGACGGCAGCCTCAACAACACCCTCTCCGTCGACCGTATCAGCGACGTCGCCATGGCGTATGCCGACGCCGGCGCGCACTGCGTAGCCCCCTCGGACATGAACGACGGCCGCATCCGCGCCATCAAGCTCAAGCTCATCGAGGCCGGCATCGCGCACCAGGTGGTGCTGATGTCGTACTCGGCCAAATTCAGCGGCTGCTTGTACGGCCCCTTCCGCGACGCCGCGGGGTCCGCGCCCTCGTTTGGGGATCGGAGGTGCTACCAGCTCCCCCCCGGCGGCCGCGGGCTGGCGCGAAGAGCGATCCAGCGGGATATCCAGGAGGGCGCGGATGTCATTATGGTGAAGCCGGCGAGCCAGTATTTGGATATCATTAGCGATGCCAAGGAGATTGGGAAGGATTTGCCGGTTGCGGCATATCAGGTCTCGGGGGAGTTTGCGATGATTCATGCGGCGGCGAAGGCGGGCGTGTTTGATCTGAAGACGATGGCTTTTGAGGCTACCGAGGGGATATTGAGGGCCGGGGCGAGTATCGTGGTTAGTTATTTTACGCCGGAGTTTTTGGATTGGTTAGGGAATTAGCGGGGACGAAGGCGATGAAAGGGCGGAAGAGAGCTGTAAAGCGCAGGGAGATGGACATGGCGCTATGTTATTGGAAGAATCATCTCACCGGGTTGTTGCATGGATAACGGCGTGATTTTTAGAGCTAGCCACCTGCTGTGCTGTCCCATTCAGGGTGCGGGCTCAAAAAAAGCGATCAAGGGCTCCCAAGAGCTTACAATACGATTCCAACTCCTCTCCATTTACCATTACTGATTACGACTACACTAGACTAGGAATTATACCAACATGAAGATCCAACTTTCTTCCCCGAACGCAGACAAACGTCCTTTCTTCATCATCCGCGCATTAACAACCAACGCATCGTTTCGCCTTAAGGAACGAACAGACCAGAAAGCGAGCCCAGAGCAACACCAAAACCCTCCACCCCCAGCGCCACCCGCCTAGGCTGCCCTGCAACACCTCCCCTCAGCCTTCAGGATCATAGGTGCGAAAACACTTATAACTCAAGATCCTATTGTCCCACCCACGTGACGCCAGGTCTCCCTCGCCCGGGTAACTGAACCCCCACATATCGCCGTCGTCTTCAGAGTCGCAGCCGTAGTCGCTGCAGCCGGGGTCTCAGCTGTGCTGTGCCGATTGCGGAGACGGGGGGGGGATGAGGGGGGCGTTGTGGTGCCAGGAGAAAAGGACGGAGGAGGGATGTCACATACTCATACACCAAGCAACTCACGCCCTCATCCGGCCCAAAAGACGAGACGCCGCCCTCCCTGCGAAGTGTCAGCGGGGGTATGGCCCCTGGTGCGAGAGGCGGTCTTCGAGCTGCAGTTTAGGGACGGGAGGCTGAGAGACGCACGCTTCGATGGCGCTCAGGTTGTGGCAGACATTTTGGGGCGTGTCGAGTAGCATGTGTCTGCAGACACCGGTCCAGTTGGCGCTGTTGCAGAGGTAGACCTGGAAGGGGTTGTTAGTTGGAGCCCGGGATGGTACAAGGACGGGGCTTTCGGGGGAGCGCACGCCGAGGTCATCGCGCTTGGAGATGCTGGAGTCGGCGTTGGGTACGGGAGAGAAGTCTTCGGCGGGCGGTTTTGGCATTGCTGCGGCGTGGCTGAAGGAGATATGGTAGGCGGCGACGACAATGAGGAGGGAGATGAAGAGGAGGAGGGCTGGGTCGAGCTTGTATGTGAAGGCAAACATGGTGGGAATAGGAGGTTACTCTGAATGGTTCGAATGTAAGAGCACCTTTTGCTTGATGCGTTAGGGACGACGGTATCAAATGTGAGTAGAACGGAGAGAACACACTTCAGACGGCGTGGAATTCGTGCAAGGAAACAGTTAGAAATATATCATCGAGGCATGGTCACTGTCATCGCTTCCACGAAGGCGAGTACACCACTACTATGGCGATGACGCGGTGAAGCGTAGCTGTGGGACCTGGAAGCAATAAAGCTGCCCGGGTGGCACATGTTGCACCACGAAGTGCGACTAGACGTATGCTACCTCAGTGGCGGGTGGACCGAGTAATGGGAGACGATTATTTGGGACGTCGCTACCCCAAGCAAACATGTACGCAATATCCGTGATGTCGGCATCCGTGCTTTATCTCGAGTCCAGCCCATGACTTGAACGACAGCGCACAGGTCATGTAACAGCGACGGGCCATCTGCATCTCCCCTGGCGTTGTTCGTGACGGAAGCCCACGTAAGTAGGATGGAAGAATTATGCTCTATGGAATATGATTAACGAGCTGAGAAGACGTCGTACAGTGCGGCCCTCGCTCAAGAATCCGGAATAGGGCTCGATCAACCCAATACACGTAGGTATGCAGTGACAGGACCTACCGAACGAAATAACCACTCGCAGGACTGCATTAAGAACGACACACCCCGCCTACATGAGATCCATGACCACCCACCCATAAAGTCCTCACTTCTGGCCCGGCAGCGGCAAGCTGTATCTCGATATGCCGCCCGTACACTCCAAAATAGAACGGCACTTCCAGCTCAAGATGTTTTCCGACCAACTGCTCCTGGTTATGTCACCTGTGCCCGGATATCTGTACCCCCACATATCGCTGTTGGGATCTTCGGCGTCGCAGCCGTAACCGCTGTTCCGGCTTAGCTATGCTAGCCGTTGGAGACGAGGAGAGTAGGTAGGGGAGAGAGAACTTACGAATGTACGTAGCAGGAGACACCGGGGTCGGGGGCAATGGATGTGATGTTGCCGGTCCTGGGGGCGAGTCAGTGGGGCTGTGGTGTCGTGTATGAAGCATAATCTCTGGTAGCGAGTGAAGTATACATGAACCCGGAGCAGCGCAGTGTTTAGACACGCAAAACGAAATGGACGCAAGGGACAGAGGGGGTATACCAGTCAAGGGTGTTCAGATTGACGCAAACGTCCTCGATCGAGGCCACGTGCTTGCATACACCGCTCCAATAGGCACCGTTGCAGATGTAGAACTGCGACGGGATTGTTAGCGGCACGGCAAGGTGGGGCGGAGCTTGTGTGAGGCATACCCCCATGTTTGGCGCCGGCGGGTATTGGCGCCGGTCGAGGTAGGCTGTAGGGGCCGGTAGCGCTGGGGAGGTGCTGGCTTGCGGGTCTGGTGCCGCTGCGACATAGCTGGGGGTGAGGAGCTGCGTGGCGAGCAGAAGGGATATGAAGGTTGAGGCGAGCGCGGATGAGAAGGCAAACATGGTGGAAGTCGTAGAGCTTTGGAACCTCTACGGGTGCAGTGCTATGCCTTACTTATGTGAGAGGGTGGAAGATATGAAGTACGCCTAAAAGCGAAGAGCATGACGCCAGGGAGCTTGAAGTAATGCAATGAAGTCATCGCGGATACTCCAATGAAGCACCGCAGGAACTACGAACTGACGTCCTTCCCACAAGGGCGGGTGTATCGCCACTTTAACGATTCCGCTGTTCAGCGTCGATGTAGGGCTGTGAAGCGCGACCCAAGATCTGAACGGTTACCTTGCTATCGTTACACCAACGCAACTTCGTGTCGGCATCCGCACCAAGCCTCCCAGGTTCAGCATAAATTGAGAAAGAGCGGACATACCACGTAACAGCAACGGTGCATCTGTGGCACGCTTCATAGACTATGAAGGAAAGAACGAAGGATATTCATACCCTTTGAGCCTCCATCGAGAATCTCGAACGAAGCTCAGCTGATCCAAGGTAGGTATATGATGACCGCAGGTATCAGACGGTGTAATTGTTCGTAAGACGACAAAGAGCGCAAGGCATCCGTCCTGCGCTAACGCGAATTATCCAAGGAAGACGTGTAAAGAAGGTACAAGAAGGGTGCCGTATGCAAAGTCGCTACATAGACAAGTGCAACGATATCAAGTAACCATCCAAGCTAACAACATGCCATCCGCAATGCAAACGCCCACGAACACCACCGCAACTAGAATGCTATACGACCAGCCGGCAGTGTGCCGTCTACTCAAGCACCACGCAACACCGGCAAAAGCGAATACGGCGGACGCAACCACGCCAAAGACGATGCCTGCATCGACCTCTTTGACCTTCTTGCGCCGGCCTGTGGCTGCGAGGGAAGTGGTGATGATGGCGATGATGAGTGATGAGAGCAGAGAAGTGAAAGACAGATATACTTTGATGTGCTCCCGCTCTTGGTGCTGACTGCTCTCGACCGGGGGTAAAAAGGACCGATGTGCGCTGCTGCGGTGCTGAGAATATGATGGATTACCACTTCGCAGTAAGCCCGTCACGCGGTTAAAGAAACCAGTTGGTGGGGCGACATTCGCCACCGTGGAACCGGGAGGCATAGTCCCGTAAGTGCGGCCTTTGATCGTGCTGGCGGCTTCGCCATCGGAGATGGACGAGTCGTCACCATCGCTATTTGCGGTAGCGGTGCTGGAGCCGCGCGACAGGAGCGGCCTGCTGCTTTCTAATGGCTTGCGCCGGAAATATGATCTTGTCTTTCTAAAAAGTCTGCTTAAGGAATCCTGGCCAGGGAATTTGGAACGTGCATTGGGGTCGATGTAGAGTACATAGGTGTCGTCATCCGATCCGTCCTCGGGATGATCGTATTCGCTCCAATACCGGGGGGCGGGAGCGGTCGCGGCGCCGTCGAGGTCTTTCGCGAGGACACCTGGCTCAAAGGTCGCTTTGCGTCTCTTCTTGGATGCGCTGAGTAGTGCTGTTGCTGGCAGATCAGGCACCGATGTTGCTGGAGAGCTCACTTGCATTGGCGTACTTGCGCTTGTGTCGACTTCTGTCGCTGAGGTTGAGGGGCCTCCAGAGGAGGAGTATTGTGCGCTTCCTGCAAGCCGCCGTCGCTTCGTGTTACCTTCGGGCAACTTGCGGATGTCTTTCGCCAACAAGGGTAACTGTGCGACATGTTAGTGCCACATTTTAGATCCACCATAGAGTTGAAGAGGTTTCATCTAGGCAGCTTCGTCACTGAACACCTACCCAGAATGGCGACTGCATGGTCTTGGGCCTACAGCAGGCCCATACCGCGTGAGCTTCTAGCGAGAAGCCACGTACACGTTCCGTCTGTGAATGGTCAGCATGCATTGAATGACAACAGCGGTCGTCAGTGACATGGACCTCTCACCAAGTGGCTAGAATCGAGAAGCTTTATCAGCTTTGGGGCATTATCACCTTCCCGACGAATCTGGAGAACAGCATAAGGAAAGCCCAGCACCGAGTCAGTGGTATGCGTAGTGTTAGTCCGCTTCAATTTGGCGCGTGATGATCTTTCCATGCTGATGTTCCTGTCCAGGGTAGCCCATGCTCCGTTGCTCGATGAGTTCACTAGGCCAATGAAGCGGGAGCGGTTTGCGCTGACTTCCACGAGGGGTTCGACCTGGGGATGCGCGACAAGCCACCTCCTCGCACTTTCTACCGAAGTCCCTCCTGTTGGGGTTGGAGGGTCGTTGTCGTCCCCAGTAGGAGATTGGTCCGAGGGTTGCCGGACATTGAAAGGTCTTCCAAGGTCAAGGAAGGCGGCGAGGTGCTTGCGCTTCAGTTTTGCAGGCTGTGTCTCACGCAGTTCGGGTGTAGCCTGATCAGGGGATATGGTGACAGCAGCAAGCGCGTCTGCTTGAGTCCATCTTGCGGTACATGCAGCTTTTGTCATGGACGTGCCGGTATTGTCCTCGCCATCGCTGATGGCGCTACTACTCTGCCTCTGCGCGAATCGCTCCAAGTCGTCGAGTAAGAGAGTGCCAGCGTCGGGTTCTCCGTCTGTTTGGGTGTTGCTGTCACTCCCCTGGCGCGACAGTCGGTGAGATGGAGTCCAGGATGGGGTGTCCGCAGGACTGAGGCTCTTCCTGCGTTGTGACATGAACAATCGCATATGCTGCAGCAAGAGCACTTGCAGCTCAACCAGGTTGTCCATATGCACCCAATATAGAGCTCTGTTTCCAGAATGCCCCAGGGGTAGCGTGTCAAACGCTACATCGAAGTCCAGGTCTGTGCCTTCCGCTACAGCAGTCTGTATCTGGATCGTAATGGTTGTCGATGACTCACGCCTTGTTCCGGAGCCTGGCCCAGCCTTTGCGGACGTCGGTTCTGCATTCCCATTCTTGTGTTGGGCTGTTCGAGTAGCCGCCTGGAACGGCGCTCTTACAGCCTCAAGAATGTCTGAATAGTACTCCAACAGCGGCCCAATATCCAAGTTCGTGAATGATTCAGGCTTGTTCAGTACGTCTTGCCTGACCCGACTGCCCAATGTGTCCGATCGAGTCCATTTCTTGTATTTCTTCAGGAGTTTGGTAAAAGCCAGACGCTGGGCGCTGACGAATCGAGCGAGCGATCGGAGGTCGTCACCGGCCCTGGAGAGCAATCAGCTTTAATGAAGAACATAATGGCGTCAAGCTCTATGCGCACCTAAGGACCTCTTCTTCAATCCTTGCATATCGTTCCAGGCGTTTGGCAGGTATCCGGCTAGGCGCAACCAAGGGCTCGCGTGGTTGGAGTCGGCGAATTTGCTTGTTGAGGTGGTCTGTATAGATTAGCAGATGTCCAAAGTACACAGCTGGGAGGTTCAACATACCCAGGCGTCTCTCGATCTCGCCCGACTTGCTCTTGACGAAGAGGTCCACGCGCTGGTGTTCCTCAACGAAGACGGCATAGAGATTGTCCTCGAACTGCGTTTCCGTAATGTTCCCCTGACCAGGTATGGATACCGCTTTGCCTTTGCCTGGCGTTGTGTGTTCTTTGATCAAGAGTTTTATCTCGTCGTAGTCGACGTTGTCTGGCGGTTTGCAGCGATTCGGTTAGCGATCCACAACGGCCATGCAGGATCCCATGAGGCCGTGGCGTTAACAACTCACAATTGGCCCACTCAGGAATCGAACGCTGTCGCAAGGTGTCCCCATACTTCATTGCTGTCTGAGTGATGTTTGACGACTGTAATAAGCCAAGGGTCCAACAAGTGGGAATTGAAGTTGCGCCAGGGCCGGCGGCGGTTATGAACTGCGCTACTCCACAAAATCGCCGCCGCTACCCTGCATTGAAAGGAAATCGCCGGTGACAAGATGGTGACTGCTTTCACAAGGTTCTTGCATTCTCTAAGTCGGGGGCTGCTCCTGTTGTCCCTCCTGCGAGGGTTCCCAACGGATCGCAGGTGTCAAGCATACGACGGCGCGCTCCTTGCCAACATCCTCTCAGCTCTTCAGAATCCTGGTTCGCCTTCTAATTGACCGTGATCCAAAGCTTGTTTAAAACCACATCAATTGGTGCAGCCAAGCAGCTAGACAGGCCGGATTGAATACCGGTTCCTGGGCAAGTTGGAAGGCAAAGGCGCCATGACAGCGTTTTGTGACGGCCGTTTTCCACCTGGCACCTGGGCACACTCGGCAAATCCACGCAATCGGCAGCAGCCCGAGATCCAGGAACCTGCACGCGAGCATCGGAACAAGGCACGACAAGCACGTCAGCCACACAGCTACGATCGGTGTCGGCTCCGAATACGAGGTGTTCCCGCTCCAGATTCACTTCATGACTCTCATTAGTTACCTGCTGCTTCATTGCTGCGCGTATCCCATGTTTCATCGTTCGCCCGCGTAGAGACTCACCAAAGTGTTGCATGAGCAACCAGTGATGGTTGACGCTTCTTGATCTTGATCATACCTTAGGTAACTTTCTCTGAGTCTCCACGTGCCCAGGTGTAAGGTAAACCATGAGGTGGCCACAGTCCGCTAGCCGACGGACAACGGATCCCCCCTCCGTCTCATGCAGGACGCGCTCATCTTCCGCCACTCTAATTCCTGTAGGTGCCTCAAGTTGTCTGGAACACTGCAGGGCTTTCTGCAACACATCGACCCCAAAGGAACAAGCCGAGCACTGCCCGGCCAGTACGGATTAGTGTGGTTCATTGATTGCGTCATCAGAAAGAGCGTGAGACGGAGCTGCATCGTCGAGTGCAACAAAGTAGCCATCTAAGCAGAGAACTTCCAATACTAGGGACCTGATGGGTTACCACGTTGCGTAGCGAGTCGATAGTAGGTTAAGGTGACGGCGGAATTTAACGCCAGGGTGGAGCGGAAACCCGGCGCCCAGCTCGTCCCGGCGGGGCAGTTTTTCGCGACCTCGAAAAATCACTGAAGGCGTTTGACGACCACCGCACAGCACAAAGCTGCCACTTGCAAGCCACCACGCAGTTGCCCTTACATCGCACTGATAGACGTGCGAGCATGGCAACGACATCCTTCAGCCCCACAACTTCGATATCTTCTCACACCCTCTCCGCACAATCTCACCAACCACCCACCATGTCCCTCGCCGATCCAGCGACCTCCGCCCTCCTCACAACCCTCAGCACAACCCCTCACGCCTTCCTCCAACCTCCATCAACCCTCCACATCTCGGCTCTAGCGCTAGCTAAAAGATTCCTCGACCCTCTTGCCGCCGGTGTCTCGGACGCCCAGACGCAGCGCCAGCGGGAAGCGCGTAAGCGCAAGCGTGGCGCGGATGGGGATGAGGTACCGTTGCGGCTGAGGAAGGTGCATTTGGAGGGCTTTGGATTTGAGCAGGTTTGGGAGCAGGCGAGGAGGGTGTTGGATGCGAGTCGTGGAGAGGTGGAGAGAGCATTACCTGAGATTGAGGATGGGCTGGTTAATGGCGAATTAGAGGGGCCGCTGATGAATGGTCACGCGGGTGACGATGGTTATGAGGATGTTAAGATGGTCCGGTTCGACGAGGATGGGTTCGAGGTTAGTGGGTCTGAGGAGGAGGACAATGACGATGACGTAAGTCTGGGAGAAGAAGGTGTAGATTGGGAGTATGACGGCGAAGATGTATCCGGGGATGAACATGTTGACGGGCTGGAGGATGAGAACGGAGAGCCAGCCGCGGATGGAGAGAACTTCGCCGATGATGCGGACGAGCTTGCCGAAGACGAACCATTCGACGAAGAACCCGCTGAAGAATACAAGCCCGATACATTCGGTTTGAACGATGGCTTCTTCTCCATCGACGATTTTAACAGACAGTCCGAGTTCCTCGAACAACAAGATGCTCGAGGCGACCCCGACGATGGCGCAGCAAGCGACGAAGAGGACATTGATTGGGATGCCGATCCGTTATCCGCGGGTCCAGGAGGTAGCCGTGCTCCAACCAAAGACAAAGATGTTGACGTAGAAGACGAGGACGAGGAAGACGGCCCGACTTTCGGCAACGTCGACCTCAATGCACCCGAAGGCGCCAGTGACGACGATATGGACGACGACGAGCTCGAAGCAGGCGAGATGGATGACATGGGCGGCCTCACAAACACGAACAACATCATGTACGCCGACTTCTTCGCGCCACCCGCCCGCAAGGCCAGCAAGAACAAGAAGAAGCGTGGTCGCCCCAACCCACATAACTTCCCAGACGCAGCCAACGGCGTCGCCGCCACCAACGCGGAAGAGGCCGAGGACGACATGGAACGCACGATGTCTCGCGTCCAGCGCGACCTCTTCGAAGACGAAGACCCAGCCGAATCCGAAGACGAGCTGGAGAACCTCGATCCCTCGGATCCTAGATCCCGTCGCTCAAACCACGAACGCCGCCAAGCTGCCCTCGCGACCGAGATCCGCCGCCTCGAAGCCGCAAATGTCGCAAAGCGGGAATGGGTCCTGGCCGGTGAGGCGCGCGCGGCTGACCGGCCCGTGAACTCGCTCCTGGAGCAAGACCTTGAGTTCGAGCGCGCGGGCAAGCCGGTCCCGGTTATCACGCAGGAAGTCAGCAACGACATCGAGGCGCTGATCAAGCGGCGAATCCTCGCCCGCGAATTCGACGAGGTGCGCAAGCGGCGACCGGATGAGGTTCTGGCGGCCAGTACGCGGAGAGGCAGGTTCGAGCTCGATGACACGAAGGCGAGCAAGGGGTTGGCGGAGGAGTATGAGGAGGAGCACCTCAAGCGCACAGATCCGAACTACGTGGACATCAAAGACGAGAAATTGAGGAAGGAGCATAAGGAGATTGAGGCATTGTGGAAGGACGTCTGCGCTAAGCTTGACTCGTTGAGCAGTTGGCACTACAGACCCAAACCCGCAGCCGCGAGTCTGGAAATCAGGACGGATGCACCTACCATCTCAATGGAAGACGCAAGACCTTCTGCTGGTGGTGATATCGGAGCGGCGAGTCAGCTGGCGCCGCAGGAGGTTTATAGGCCGGGCGAAGAGAAGGAGAAGGGGAACGCAGAGGTAGTCACGAAGGCCGGATTGCCTGTTGCAAGGGAGGAGATGAGCAGGGAGCAGAAGCTCAGACGGAGGAGGAGGGAGAAGGAAAGAATTAGGAAGGCGGGTGAGAACGATGGGGAAAAAGTCGAGAACAAGAAGGCAGCGGAGCAGAAGAACGTAGTTGGCGACTTGAAGAGAGGTGGTGTGAGGGTTATTGGCAAGAAGGGTGAGCTCAGGGATATCGACGGCAAAGCTGTCGAGGGACAGCGGGTAAGGGCTGGGGGCGGGAGCTTCAAGCTGTAGATGGAAAGCGCACTGAGGGTGCCATCTGCTTCGATATACAACATGCTTCATTCACCGTCTTCCATCCTTCATATTCCATCCGCAATCAATCAATCAATCAATCATCCATCGTTCTCCATCCAGACTTGCAACAGCTCAATGATCGCAGCACTTTACTCGCAACAGCTCAACTCACCACGCCCTACTCGCAACCGCTTAACCGTCATGGTGCTCCGCCTTCTATCAGCGCTCGCAGTAGCCATTGTCTCCCTCATCCTTGCCCTCATCCTCGTCGGCCGGCATGTCGTGTTGAAGGAGCTCAACTGCGACAACACCTCTGACGACAAAGGCAAAGTTCTTGTATGTCGGGCTGGATTTATCCCCCTCGATTAGTAGCGCCGCTCACAACCGCTATCAGGTCACGTACTGCGACGAGCCTGTCGGCAATAATTGGAACTGTAACTTCTACCCTTCGCGAGCACTCACCTGCGTAAATGTCGACACCACCAAGATGTACGTGTCATGCTCTACATCTCTCCCTCACCCTACTCAGTCTGCTCACAGGTCATCACAGAAACGGCGGCATCACAAAATTCTGGCCCGCTCTCGAGGTAACCTGTTGGATCTACAAGTGGGTGGTTTAGCTGCCAGCATTCGTTCCATGCTGGCGCTGTAGCTGACGGATCGGCATACAGGCAGCGCGGCTGTCCTATGGGCGGCGTTGTCATGCGCGTTGACGCTGGTGACGACTTGCAGCTGAAGAATATTGGATGGGACGAGGCCATCCACAGCTATTGGTGCAGCCGCTCTACGTGAGCCCATGGTGCTCGTCGAACGGAGCTCACCGGCTAGGGGAGACCTATGGATGGAGGTGCTCTCCGGTGAGGTTGTCTTTCTACAGCATATTTAACACTCACTAGGTTGAGGTTTTGTGGGCGGTTAGGGCGGCGCCCATGGAGATAGTCACGTCGCGTGAGAGGGCTGCAATTACGCTAGTTATTGTCGCTAGAAAAGCTTTACATAGTCATCCGCAATGAGCTTGACGAACGCAACTGCGTATCATTCGAGAATGGTTTGAGTCCTTTCGCTGGTACTATCCAGACCAACTTACGACCGGTCAATTTGCAGACTTCGAGAGCTCTGTGTAGCCACCGATCGAGCTATCGTACCAATATAAGTCATCGTCGAAGCAGAGATTTGGATCAAAGTCTCAATGGTGCACTGGTGACGAGCGGTCCGCACTGGAATGAATCATCCGTGCAAATGTTGGAAGTATGGTAGATGTTTCATCGAAACGCAGACGCAGTAGCACTGAGCACAGATAGTCCGATAGACGCCATAGCATTAGCAAAATATTCGAAGGGCAAGATACTAAGACCATCGTCCCGATTACCCAGCGGTAGGGAGTTAAGAACGCTGGGAAGGGAGAGGAGAACAATCAGCGTCGGATTGCCCGATTGCAAGGGTCTTCCCTGCCGACCGCGATCTGGTGCTGAAGCCTTGAAAAGGTCAAGCCCTTCAGATACCCTATTATACGCTGCCAGCACAGTAATGCCTCAACCTCAAAATGGCACGGCAATGGATGCCCAGTTACAGGTTTCCCATACCATGAAAAGAACGAGAAAAGGTGGCCCAAAATCCTACTCTGGCTGCCCTACTTGCAAGTGTGTCCCTCGCTGTATTTTTGCGACCCTTCCTCCGCTGACAGTACGTCAAGAGTTCGACGAGTCAAATGCGATGAGATCAGGCCGTACTGCAATAGATGCACAAGTACTGGCCGAAAGTGCGAAGGCTTCACTAGTGCTGCTGCGGCAAAGAAAGCCGTTCTGTGGGCTGCACCATTAACTATCTCGAGCCTCCCACCATGTACTGTCGGTCTTGACGGAGAGAAAGAGGCCCAGCACCTCAATGTCTTCCGTCACCTGCTCATTCCTGGTATTTCGGGCTATGCCAAATCGCGAAAATGGACAAGGCTGGTCCTGCAAGTCATGCATGAAGAGCCAGCCGTTCGACATGCTGCAATAGCCTTCAGCGCTTTGCAGTTTCCAAACCATAATGGTCGGTTTGGGCAACATGAGCATAGCTCATTTGCATTACAACAGTATGGCAAGAGCGTTAGGGCGTTTCAGAAGCTCTTATCTCAACGAGACTGTCGCTCAGTTGAAGCAGCTTTGATGTGCTCAATCCTTTGCATATGTTTCGAAGTCCTGGAAGGGAGTCATACACTTGCCGAAAAGCATCTGGAGAACGGTCTCCGAGTAGTTTCGTCTGTTGAAGGTATGAAGAATCAATAGCACTTTCAAGCTAAGGCTGACTGCGTTGACAGTGGACGAAGATCTAGTCGAAGCCTTCACTCGTCTCGATGTCCAAGCTTCATCGTATGTTGCGCGTAGAGCACCGGCGATAACGAGGCAGCCCGTTTTCGACAGCTCGTCTGTCTTTGTTGAAGTGAACAACGCCGAAGAACACCTGTACCAGGAACTCAACTGTGTGTGGAGCTTCCTGCGGAATACGGCCGAGGATTACCGCTACCGGGAAGCAAATTTGATACCGCTAGATGTCCTAGCGCAAGCTCAAAGTATTCAGTCAAGGCTCAGACAATGGGAGACTGCATTCATGCCTTTTTGGGCCGTTTATCAATCAGAGACCTCGGAAGGAGCTCACCAGGCAAAGCTGCTTCGAATCTATCACGATACAGCTACTGTTCTCATGGCCGACGCCCTACATCCTGTGGAGGTGGTCTTTGATGCCTTCGATGATACTTTTCGGCGCATTGTCCTTCTTTCAGAGGAGTTGCTTCGCAAAAAATTTGCCGGCTCTTCAGCAAACACCTTTTCCATCGAAATGGGTATTGTTTACCCGTTGTACCTCACAGCCGTCAAGTGCCGCATCGTCGATCTTCGAGCCAAAGCAATTCAGCTTCTTTTATCTGTCCCACAGCCGGAAGGCATTTGGGATGGGAGGGTCATGGCCAAGATCGCGGAACAAGTCAAGCAGATCGAGGAGGAGGGACTTCACGCAACCTTCTTGAACGTTCACAGGGTGCCAGAATTTCGTCGCGTTCATGCCATAGGCATCGACATTGATGCGAAAGCTCGGACAGCCGAATTTTCTTGCAAATTGCGCCCGAACGGTCCTGACGGAGAATGGGAAGAGCGCAAGCATTTCGTCAGGTGGTAACCTCTCAGAGAGCCATATTTGAAGATCAACTTGCTGCTATAGTTCCTAACGAACGCCGATTATTACAGAATTAAGCTCGGTTGAGGTTTCATCATAGTACCTTTGTTAATCTGATCCCCAGGAACTGCGGCTCAACACAAATCGCCACGCCACTTGCATCGAGATCAAAAACAAATTCGTCTACGCCCACCCGCCCATACATCGTCTGATCAACCTTCGCCCACGCATTGAGGCTCTCCTCGAACACCCTGTCGGCTGTTTCTGCCTCCTTTACGGTGTCAAATATGGCTCTGTACGCCACACGCTTCCCAGCGCCCGACTCTTGAACTAAAGTTGTCGGGTAAAGCCTTACCGACCCAATTATACCTGAATTGGTGGCCTGGGAGTACGCTTGAGCTGTCGCCAAGAGATCGGATCCGTTGCTCAGCCATTTCTCGATGACCAGTCCTGGACCGTTACGCACGCCAAGTACGACAGAAGAATCGGTCCCAGAATTCGAGACATAGTGACCCGCAAAGTTTGCCGCCGCTTCATCTCGAGCCGCTTGTTTCAAGACAGGAATAAATATTTGCATGACTATCTCGGCAACAGAGTTAACAACACTACCATTGGGGCCAGCGGTCATGATCGCAATAGCGATGTCAAAATCTGGAATCAGGATAAGAAGTGAGCTGTAGAGACCAATGCCGCCGGCTTTTGTGTACAACTCAATTGTGGTGTTGCCTTTCGTGCGCCAGATCTCCCAGGGTGCTCCGATGGAGAGCGTCAAGGCTGACGTGTGGGCCAGTGGCTTAAGCCAGCGTCGAGTCACCGAAGGTGACAGTCGAGTGTTGCTTAGGATACTGCGAGCTAGCTTTGTTAAGTCCGATGAGGTGGAATAGATACCACCGCTTCTGTGGCGATTCGTCAGCCAAAGTAAGAACGGGATCTCAAGGACATACGGCGCTTCATCACCATCGTCGAAAGCCCACATACTGTCGCCCTCAGGAATGACGCCTAGAGAGTCATCTTGCGGCTTTCGGACACTTGTATGCGTCATTCCAAGGTCCTGAAACACATCTCTCTCCATGATGTTTTCGAAGCTGTCGCCCGCTGTGGTTTCAAGGACATAGCTCAAAAGTCGGAACGCCGTGTTGGAGTAGATTGGAGTTGACTGTGGGGAAAAAACCGGGTGGCGCTTGAGGAACCCTTGAAAGTACTCTGTCGTAGACGTCAGTCGACACCGCTCACTATCAGATCGAGAGGATGGGATCAATACCCTTTCTCGTGCATGGAGGCTGCACTTTATCTCCACCGCAAGCCGGTATGTCTGCCGCCGCCAGTTGCGGAAGGCCGAGCTCAGTCCACGGAAGCGGAAAGGTTGAGAGATCCGAGCTGCTGTCTGTCGGAACATCCCGCTGTCAGCTCCGATCTTTGTTCTTGGGTGGGTTCCCTCACAATCCCGTCCGATGCCAGACATATGGCTGGCGAGCGATCCAACAGTGACCTCTTCCCACTGTACACGGTTTATCCCGTCCTTGTCGCGAGGCTGTCCAGTATTGTGACGCAGTTCAGGAATGTAATCCGTGACAGGACGTTCCCAATGTACCAACCCGCTCTTTAAGAGCAGAGCGTACACAGTCAAAAGCTTGGATATGCTCCCGATGCGAAAGATGCTGTCACCAGACACCTTCCTTGTGCCGTTTGCAGTGACGTTCAGCAAAGATGACGTATACTGGAACTCGAAGAGTGGGCTTTCTTGAGCTGCGCTAACCATGGAGATGGAGACTGATGTTGCATCTCGGGTGAAGGAACCGAATGGACTTGCACCACTACTCAAAACGTCTTCGAGATGCCTCGAAAGCTGGGAGCTTGCTGAGAGGAAGCCAATGTTTGTGTCAAGTCCGCGAGGAGCCTGGAAGACGGGCCCGAGGAGAACACGAGGAGCTTCTGTGGGGCCTTGAGTCATGACTACGACGAACAGGACTAGGAGCGGAATGATGAGTGAAAAATGCATAGTGAGCGGCAACAGGATCGTGGTTTGGTAGGGTTGAGACAGTAACAGAGGATCAGACAAGGCAGGCGTCTTAAATATTTTACCAGTAGATACTGGCCCCCTGGTATGTCCGATCTAGCAATACGACTTACGAGGTGAGCCTTTCTTGATACAGTATTGCAGTGCCGCCGGAATTACGTCGCGATTCATCGTTCACCATTTCTTTAAGAGAACTCGTCATCGCCGCGACGCCGATCGTTGTCTCTGTAGTCACCTCCTTCGCATCACACCTCCACTGTCACCGTGCCGTTTTACTATACTACCCCAAATCGGGCTTGGTGTTCTTTCGTCAGAGACTGTCCATCCGATCTCATTGGTGGGCTCGTGTTATCCGTCCGAAAACGGACTAGGGCGGCCCTGAAAGCTCATGAGTTCTATCATAAGTCCATACTTCATGCGAGCAGGCCGCGTGTGTATTGCAACTTGTCACCGTCTAGATGAAACGCTTGACGCGTCACGCTTTAGTTAGGTAAGATCGTTGTGGAAGGCCAAACACCTTGTCCACGTTCTATAAGAGAACATGATTGGATTTCCACATCTTCCATCTAAAATTTCTCATCGCTTCATTTACCATCGACCCCAGCTTCCTGTTTGAAATCATGTCGACTTATCCCAGTGCGTTATCGGCGGACGGCGCCTTCGACCAACTCAGCGATTTTCAAGGCCGTCTCAATACTAGCACAAGCATTGATGGTCGGTCGTGAATACCTACTCTTCTTCTTTTTATTGCGTTGACATCTCTACTACAGACGATGGCCGAGTAAGCATCAATATTCGCCAGAGAAAACATGGTCTCTCGACCTTATTTCACCCTCGTCTAAGAGGACCAAGTTCGAGTGACAGTCTCACGGATTTGCCATTACTTGGTGAATCTTCTGAAACCAGCAGCATTTCCGAGCAGGGACCACCACCTCGATTGAATATCGTGATTCAAGTTGTTGGATCTCGAGGCGATGTTCAGCCCTTCATCGCGCTAGGGCTTGTATTGAAGAACACCTTTGGCCACCGAGTCCGTATTGCAACACACTCTGTATTCAAAAAGATGGTTGAGGGGCACGATCTGGAGTTCTTCAACATCGGCGGCAATCCTGAAGAGCTCATGAGCTTCATGGTCAGAAATCCAGGCCTCTTACCCAGCTATAAATCTATACATAGCGGGGATGTCAAGCAGCAACGGAAGATCATTTACGAAATTCTGGAAGGATGCTGGAGGTCTTGTATTGCGACTGGGAATGGGATGAAAGTCGAGGATGAGCGGGAACATTCGGGGGCCCATGGACCCCAGAAAAGTCGGACACCTTTTATCGCGGAAGCAATCATTGCCAACCCGCCAAGCTTTGCGCATATCCATTGTGCGGAGAAGTTAGGGGTACCGCTGCATCTCATGTTCACGTAAGTTCTGACACCATGGCTCAAAGCTACCAAAGTTGACTTGATGGCAGCAGAATGCCGTACTCTCCTACAGAGGCATTCCCCCATCCCCTCGCAAGGATTCGAGGTTCGACTTTGAGAAAGGGCATGACAAGTCGTTTGTCTTACGCCTTGATCGAGAGACTCATCTGGCACGGACTTGGTGATTTGCTCAACAGGTTTCGAGAAAACACCCTCCATCTCGAGCCTCTCAACTTGATGTGGGCGACCGGACTGCTGACCCGACTGAAGATACCATACACATACTGCTGGTACAGATGAGCACTTGCACCTTTGCAACGATATAGTATAGTGCTGATTCCTCGGCAGGTCTCCTCATCTGTTACCCAAACCCAAAGACTGGAGCTCTCATATTAGCGTTTCTGGATTCTATATCTTGCCAGGAGACGAGACTTTCGAGCCTTCCGCGGAGCTGCAGAAATTTCTTCAAGATGGGGAGCCACCAGTCTACATCGGCTTTGGATCGATTGTTGTCGACAACCCTGAAGCAATGACATCCATGGTTTTAGAAGCTGTGAGGCTAGCCGGTGTTCGAGCAATTATCTCGAAAGGATGGCTTGGTCTTGGAGCCGATGGGAGCGAGCTCCCAAAGGACGTGTTCCTGTTAGGGAATGTGCCCCACAGTTGGCTTTTCGAGCATGTCTCTGCAGTTGTACACCATGGTGGTGCCGGTACTACTGCAGCTGGACTAGCCGCTGGGAAGCCCACAGTCATAGTCCCGTTCTTTGGCGATGTAAGTTTCCACCAGGAATCCCGAGGACAAAATGCTGACGTGCTCTCAAGCAACACTTCTGGGGCAGAATAGTAGCGGATGTAGGAGCTGGACCATGTCCAATTCCCTACTCGAAGCAAACAGCGCACAAACTTGCGCAACAACTTCGCGAAGCTATTCACCCAGAAGTACGCATCAGAGCCAGACGCATAGGCTTGAAGCTTCAACAGGAACGTGGTTGTGAGAATGGAGCAAGAAGCTTTCATCGCTCATTGAAGATCTGTGAATCGAGATGCTGTATCGCCCCAGATCGAGTCGCAACTTGGGAAGTGGGAGGAAAGCAGGTTCGTCTCAGCGCGCTCGCTGCCGCAGTACTTCTTGATCGAGGTCTCCTGGGGTCGAAGCAGCTGACGGTGTGAGTGCTTTCCCACCTACTCCTGCTTGCAATGCCGCAGTTAATTTGACTCTATCAGATTCCGACAGCGAGAGTATCAAGTGGAAGATCGTCCAACAGATCCTCTGACTGGAGGCGCATCGGCATTCTTTGGCTCGTTCGGAGAAGTTGCTTATCGCACTTACGATCTGCCCAAACAAATCGTAAAGGCAATGCGGGATGAATCCAAGAGGCAACAACGGTGCGAAGTCACAATTACCCGTGAGAATCAGCCCACCGATGACGGGAACGTCACCACCAGTCCAACTAGCGCTTCCGCACTCCAACGAAGGATCGAGGACGCTCACCCACCAATCGTACGAGTGGATGACGATTCGAGTGAACCGGAAAGTATCGGGTCTTCGCTGCCGAAAGGTCTTACTGTAGCTCTTGCAGTGGGACAAGGCGTGGGTCGTCTTGGCAAGGCAGTCCTCTCATCACCAATGCATTTCAGTCTGGGCATTGCGCGGGGGTTCCAAAGCATCCCGATAGCTTACGGGGACACCACGGTCAGAAAGCCCGAGAAAGTCTCCGGCATCCTGAGCGGAATCGAAGTTGGCAGCAAGGTGAGCCTTCCCCTTCAACCCGCAGGTCCACAAGCCACGGTTCTGAGATGTTTGATCGCAGGAACTTGGTTATGGGTTTTACGATGGTGTCACGGGTATTGTCATGCAGCCAGTCCGTGGCGCCAAAGAAGGCGGTGCTATCGGGCTCGTCAAAGGTATCGGCAAGGGAGTAGGGGGCTTGGTCTTCAAGCCTGGAGCTGGTGAGTTGTGGGAATACCGGTGCACGGAAACGTCATGTTGACGTCGGCTAGGACTCTTCGGCCTACCTGCATATGCTTTCCAGGGTGTATCACAAGAGCTGCACAAGCTGTTCGGGACTGACTACAAGCGCCACATTGCAGCCAGTCGACTGGCACAAGGAAGAGAAGAGTTGAGCAGATGTGGCGTGGAAGAACAGAACGAGATTGTACGTACTTGGGAGAAGATCTGTGGCTGAAGGTGAGAAATGACTATGTCGTCGATGTGCTCTGCTCAATGTTGTCAATCGGTCGTCGCTCAGCCCCCTGTTCATCAGATCCACAAGCATTGTAAGAGAGCGATTACACAGTCTATAGAGGCGGCTAGCCTTATCGGGTGGCTATAACTCGCTAATCCGTGACTATCACCTGTCTTAGTACCACGTTCTAGGCATTCTGGACAATGTTCATTGATAGTCGAAGTATTCACGTGATTACGAAGGAACTTCGCCTTAATACTATACTAAGACTGATGGTAATCTAACTACAAGCAAGTCAGTGACGACGGAATGCTAATATATTCCCTTGGGGAAATCGACATTTTGTTAGGAGTCCTGCTACTCATATCTCAGTGAACCTCAGCTGCGAGGTAATCTTACCTACATAATCACATGAGGTGCGTTGCCGGCGGCACCCCGGCCTGCCCGGATTAACTGCGGCACTGTGGCCCTGCGGCCGCTTATGCACGAGGGATTAGTCGGGGCGGCCTAAACTTTTGTCTAGTGACTGTATCCCTACAAACACAAGGCTACATATGCGCCTGCATCCTACAAGGCCACCACTTGAACGTGTACAGCCTCGCTCAGCACCGCCCCGGAGTCGCCAGGCATCAAATACGAGTTGATCTCCCTTCCTTCCAGCTAGGTCTTTTCACGCCCCTTCCACTCATCAGGACGCTGAAAGAGAAAACTCCGAGCCAATTGCACTACTAGATGCCTAAAAATCTTTCCACGATGAAGGCGGACAGTTCTACGATGCAGCTCAAGCGGGAATCTCGGTCCACCTTCATCAGTCCGCTCTTGACAGCTTTCGCCGTTGCACAACTCGTCGTAGTCGGATTCATTCTAGTGCACGGAGCTCCTTCTGCTGGAGAGGCCTGCGTCGGCGTGCGGTTTAGCTTCAACAAGACGTATACCCCGTTCGGTGCCGACTCTCTCTTCACTCCGACCTTGGCCTTCGGCTCGTTCTCTTTCTCTACAGCCAAGACCATCGATATCATTTGGGACCTGTTCGTTGGCCGCGGCGGCCAGGCTATCCTTATATACATTGCTTACCGCGTGTTCACGAGGTCACTGGTGTTTTCCATGGAGTCTCGGCCCACACCCTACCAAGTGTTCGCCGCAATAGCCTTCGACACTGTCTCTATAAGCACGATTCACATTTTGGGTAAAGAATGCGTAGCACCATGGCAACGGACCCGTAGGTGCACGCTGACAGTTGTGGGGCTGATCTTGGCAAGCTCGTACATCCTAGCGTTCCCCACGCTTATCAGTGCGTTGACCGGTTACGACGCCACCTATCGGCCATACGTGAATGTTACGGATGGCTCGATGATCCCGTTTTCTAGCTTTGAAACCGTAGACTGGGTTGTGTGGGATGGTTCTCGTATAGGCCTGGCAGATGGTGCTTTGATTGTTGAGGACTCGAGTTCTTCATTCTACCCACTTCGTAATATCTCCAGCTCTATCGCCAGGTGTAAGTCACCGCTCTTGGCGCGTTTCGAATTCACTCGCGGCTGATCTGATACTCATCGCTTCAGACAAGCGCAACTACAACGAGAGCAACTACTACGATAGCTCCCAGGGATTAAGGCCTTCGAACGGATCCAGTAACTTCACCCTGGGTAAAACCACGTATTACCTCGATCGGCCCTACCTCAGTATTGACGAGCTTGTCGATACGCTGGTATACCAGGATCAGAATTACAGCAAGAGCTTTGTCGCAGACAACGGTGTTTGTCAGCCGGGAAAGACTTACCGATGGGGTTTTTCTTCGCAGATCTTGTTCTTCTTCAGCATCTCCCACGTGCTCTGGATTTGCGTCATGTGGACGATCTGGGGAGACGCGCGTAAGAATAGTCATGTCGCGCGACAGGGCTATACCATAGGTACTTACCGTGCGGTGGTTGATCTTTCCAAGGCTATCCGGCACGAAACAGGCGAAGACTGTGACGTTTTGTCCGAGAAGGACTTGCAATCAAGGCTGCATAACAGTGGGAATGGCATGGTCTTCCAGCGATCAGCCGTCGACAGCCTAGACATCGGTGTTGAGCTAAATCAGCTATTGCCAGACAATGAAGCGAACAAGAACACTGACCAGTCTACAACCTCATCTCTGTACGACGGACGCTGGATGTAAAATTCACCAGAGCTCCAACCAATGCACCGACAGTGCGACCTGCTCGGATAACTATCATGCCGCTTTTGGCGATATAAGAGGCCGTATGAGTTCGGCATTCGACGATTCAATCCGGTCTCGAAACTCGCTCCGCTGTTGGATCGGAAGGAGTGTATCGGATGCCAGCGCCGTCCGCAAAAAACCCCACAGCGACTCGCCCTGCCACTGAAATGTAGTCGCGAAGTCCAGCGTCCTTGCAACCGCTTCGACTCGCACAGCCTCAGCACAGCCGGGAAGCCCGAGAAGATAGGACAGGAATGACCACCCAGATGTATCGCTTGGATGACGCAAGCACCACCCATGTACCGCTGCCGTATGGATATTATCTACTCCTGAACCACTTGCACCGGACCCATTGGAGTGTGCCGACGTCTTAGCCAGGTGGATCACACGTCTGGCGTAGTTCCATGCATAATAGTTCCTAGGATGTCTCTCTCCAGCCCTAAAGACCACCCCAAGCTCTCGCCGGAAGCTTGTGAGCGGGACTTCCAGGGTAGAGTTGTTGCCAGCCGTGCCTATGGTGGAGACGAGGATGGTATGGAGCCAGTACCGGTGATGCCACAAGGTTGGACTCTTAGTGTGACGGTTCAGCGGAGACATCAGGAAGGTATTGAGGAGGCACATCTCTTGTTGGGCGGCTATATTTAGTGCTTGTTCATGCACGCCAGTAGCGCCGTCCTGTATGAGTTTCTGTATATACTGCTTTCGGTAGTTGGCTGCCGTGATATGCTCTGCGTCGAATAGTAGGATGATTCTTGTTGCATCGAGAATAGACTAGCTGCGGTAAGCTCAGACGAAACGAACCAAACTCAAAACTGCTCTCACTTTGGTCCACGAGAATGATAGTTTCCGTGTAAATGCTGCATGTGCACTGTGGTCAATCTCTTGCTCATGACGCCTAGAGAAGATTGCCCTCGCATATAGGAAAGCATGGATAAGCACGGCCTTGGGTATGCCGATACACAAGCCATCAACTAACAGGAGTGACCCATCAACGGGTGTAAAGGCTTTCGGCAAGATCTCGATCTCTAGGACCTCGTTCCCATGCTTATCAAAGATGCAGCTGAGAGCGTTATACGCTTGCTCCTGGGCATTGTGGACGCAGCCTAACTCCATCGATAGGATTAGTGAACTGAGCAGCTCTGACGACACACCTTTCGAGTGGTATAGAATTGATCCTCCTTGCTTGTGCGCGAGCAGATTACCTAGGTACTTTAGATGGACATGCGGTCACGAAGAAGCGAAATGTTTGCCTCAGGCACTAAGACGCGTCACTAGCCAAGACATCTGGAGGGACCAGAGAACTGTCAAGACGGCGGTGCACCTACAACCACTGCACAAATCGACAGAGACTTGCCCGAAAGATGGTTTCCCCATTACTACTAGTATTCATCCTGCAAGTAGTCATTCATCTGATCAATACGGTCGGCGCAACAGCCATCAACGAGCTGGTAAGTAATTTGTTCCGGATCGTATATGGCACCAGGGACGCTGACTCCCCTCTTTGCATAGCTATGGATTCTTTACAACAAATCTCCTACGCCGACAGCAAAAGCCGCGCATGACCAGATGCGTCTGAAACGCGAAGTAGTCCGCCTTAAGCGAGAGATGAACGCTGTGAGCGCTCAGGACGACTTCGCACGATGGGCCAAGCTACGTAGACAACATGATAAAGCTGTGGCAGAGTTCAACACGAGTGGTAAGCGTCATGCTCTCGTGCCCCTCCTTCCTAGTATTTTCGGTCTGAGGGCGAGCGCTGACATCGTCCAAAGATTCAGCGATCCAAGCCGCCAGGACTACCTTCAACACAACCATAACCTCTATCCGCTGGCTCAGCACAAACGGCCTTCGCCTCTTTCTCCAGTTCTGGTACGCGCGTCAAGCGCTGTTCTGGATACCGAAGGGCTGGCTGCCGGGATACATGGAGTGGATTCTGGCATTCCCGAGGGCGCCACGAGGGAGTGTGAGCATACAGATCTGGGCTATCGCTTGTGCGAGCGTCGTTGGGATGATTAGCGAGGCGGTCGTTGCGGCATATGCGCTGGGAACGAATACGGAGGCGCGGACGAAGGGGAAGCCGATGGCTTTCACGGCAGCAGAGAAAGGCGGAGGGCAGAAGGAGTTGTAGTTTTGAACTATGATACAGCCAATTTTCCTTCCATCAAAGACTATCCTTCAATACCCCGTGAAAACCTTTGCACAAACCCCTCCGGCACTCATCTTGCACAATGAATGGCATGTCTCTCATCAATTAGACGCAAAGTCCTCAGGGCTTTCGCTCAGACACTGCAACACGAGTGAGATGACCTTGGCAGGTCGTTGGGCTTTCTCTGGGCATTCTTTTTGAACTCGTGATCTTGGTAGGTAGTGATCTCCGAGTCTTCGAAAGCGCCCGTTGTACTTACAGATATTCGACGAAAGGAGTGCCCGTGAGCGACGAGGGGTTCGTCGAGAAGAAGCTTCAGTGTAGCACTACGATGCTAGATTGCGGCATAGAGATACAAACGAATTCGTCTCAGTATAGTGCTCGCATCTGCAATTTTGTAGCGCCTCTGAGCAGCAGGGCTTTCCGCAGACTCTTCCGCGAGCCGCCATCGGCCTTCTCAAGGCGTGACGAAGCGTACCTTCATGAGTTTGCTTGTTTGAAACCCTGGAAGTTTGGGGACAGTTTGTTAGCACCGAAAAATTGTCGAAGAGTTGTCAAAGCCGAGCAGTTTCTCCGACTCCGGAAACCTTGTTTCAGCCCTACGCTTGACTTGCAGCCGTGGTTCGTTAACGTGCTTCGCGAGATCCAGTCCAGTATACATTTCCCACAAAGTTACTTTAATGCTGCGTAAAGGCGCGGGAAGTGTAATCACTTTGTAGCAGGTCTTCACAAGGGCACTCACTATGGTATCTGCTTCGACGTAGGTCAGTCCTAGATTATATCCTGAGTTTCACTAACTCCGACTCAGTCTCTGGACACTAGTGGTCGCCGTTGGCCCCTTCGTCCTTCCAAAGATTCCCGCATTCATACGATCCCTACGATCGTTAGGCCAGAACGCAGCTATCCGTCGAATCACGCCTAAGGCGAAGCGCGCTACCAACATCCTTACGTTCGCCTTTGCCTTCTTTCTGATCGCATCATTCCCCGGCCTTGCGCCGGAGAACATCTTTCAAGCCACGCAATCCCGTCTGATTATTCCGAACGATGTCCTCTTCGCCCGACTATCCCAGCTCCGTCCGCTGACCCTGCTTGATGAAGCGCTCAAAATGAAGTTTGTCTCACTGGAATCGCGGCTACTGTACCTTCGATTTGGACCGGATGTTCTTGCAACGTGCACATTCTGCAACCCGGACGACGAGTTCAGCCACCTTTACTTTGCTCTCCCGATGCTGCTGCTGCCGCACCTTGCCAACCTCATCGTCGTAGGATTGGCGACCGCCTCACTGCTTGCCGGCTCCCATGCTTCACGCTGGAGGAACCACGCGGTTACTGCGAGCTTGGCCTTCCTCGTCGCCGATATTTATCTGCTCGCTACCTACGACCATAGCGAGAACAAAACGGCCACAACGCTCGGCGCTCTGGACTGCTTCTTCTGGCGCATGCGGACGCTGCGCTACGTTATGTTTATGGCTATCGACGCTGTGCTCGGCTTGGTGATCTGGGCATCTTCGACGAACCGCGCGTTTGTGAAGCCACTATCAGCTGTGGAAAGGCAGGAATATAGTGTGCGAATGCTCGAAGCGATCACCGGCAGACTTATGGGCTTGAGCCTTGTTATGAGTGCCGAACGCAGCGACATGAGCAGTGGTGGCCTGTTCGGGAGGGCTGCAAACTACTGGATGCGGGAGGATGCCGCAAACAACGAAATGCATGGAGAGCCGGAAGTTGTGCAGGCCATGCAAAACGCGAAGTCAAGGATTAATCTCGCACGGGTCGAGCTGGAGGCGAAGATACTGGCCGCCGGGATCATACGCGATGCGCATGATGTGAGGGCATCAGGCCTCATATACCAGCCTCCGCTTGAGTAGATGAAGGTGTATCACATGTTACAACAGGCACGATAGATGTCTTTTAGAATATTAAGTTTTCCTCTCGCGATAGCTGTAATATCACGGACTGTAAAGCTACCTCCAGCGCCAGGCTTCCCAAAAGCAATGCATAATACGCCTTGATCCAGCTTTTGACTCGCGCACCTCCCGTTTGGACGGCCAGAGCTTCTCTTGCTCTCTACTCTTCTTCCTCAATAACAACACCCCACTCATGCTGGCACCTTCCATACATGATGTCCATCAACCACGTCTTGATAGCGCCCGCATAGGCACCCGTATCGCCCTTTGCCATAGGGATCTTCAAGTCCTTACCCCTAAAGCTGATTGCCGCGATGGGCGCAATAAAGAACGCGGTACCGGCCGCAAAGGCTTCGACCAACCTCCCCTCCTCGACGGCCTCAACGAGCTCATGCATCTGGAACTTGCGCTCCACAACCTCGACAGCCTCCAACTCCTCGTCCCGTCCGCTCAATCTCTCCCTCGCCAACTCAAGCACACTCCTCCGCGTGACGCCATCCAGGATGATCTTCTCCCCGAGCGGCGCCGTCACAAGCTGCAGGCCGCCCTCCCTCGTCCTCCACACAACGAAGAAATTGCTCGCGCCCGCCTCCGTGACTTCGCAGTCCTCCCCAAAGAGCCACAGAATCTGATCATACCCCTTCGCGCGCGCCTCGCCCTGCGCCAGCAAAGACGGCCCATAGTTCGCGCCCACCTTCGCGTATCCGAACCCTCCGGGCCACGCCCTGACCATGTCTTCCTGGCTCGCGAGCAGCTTCATCCCCGGCTTCGGACCCGTGCCCGCGGACATGTTGGGGAAGCACGCCACGATGATGTACAGCAGCGCCTCCTTGGGCTTCTGCACGCCGAGCGCAGGATCATTCCCGATCATCGTCGGGCGTATATAGAGGAAACTGCCCGGTCGCTCCTTGGGGAGCCACTTGGGCCCATCTCTCGCACACAGCGCAATGATCAGTTGCTCGAGCTCGGCGGGTGGGAAGCTGGGCAGCGCGATGCGCGTGCTGGAGACGAGCATGCGGCGGCAGTTGAGGCTGGGTCGGAAGAGACGAAGGCGGCCGTCGAAGCCCCGGTAGAGTTTCATGCCCTCGAAGCATTCGGTCGCGTAGTGGAGACATGAGCTTGTCGGCATGAGGGAGAGCGGGCCGTACGGCTTTAGCTCCGGTGCGGCCCACCCGGCTGAGAGCGTCCATTGCGCAGTTACCATGTGGTCGGTGCATGTTCGTTGCGCTTTGACTTCGTCGCTGTCGGGGAGGGGTACGGAGCGCGGGTGGGAGGTTAGAGTGGTGGTTAGGCGGGAGGCGTCGAGCTCGGGGAGGGCGTGGACGCCGTTGGGGATGAGGGAAGGGGCGGTTTTGGTGATTGTGCGCTTGAGGCCGTCGTTGACGAGCTGGGAGGTCGTTTCGGGGGCTTCGAGCGTCGGTGCCATCGCGGTTAGTGGCTGTGGTGGTGTGGTTGAGGAGTAGAAGGCTGCGGTGTTTGAGAAGAGATGCTTTAGGATTAGAGGGACAAAGCCTTTGTAAGGCTGGAGCGGTGAGAGAGCGGAAGAAACTTTTGATGGAGGTACAAAGTCAATTGGGACTGAAGTTCAGGTTATATACAGTACATATCCCCTCCAGGTACTCTGACTCTTATCAGACGCCCTACGGCCCATGCCTCGGAGCCCGCAAACTCGGCAGCAAATCCTGCTCGCCATGCTTGACTAGTGGGGCCGCTATGATTGAGGGGGAGGAGGCATCCCAGATCGCAAATTTGACAAGTGACGCAATGCGCCAGTCGCAATGCGCCAGCTGATATAGATATTGTCAAAGGCAAAGGCAGCGGCTGAGGAAAAGTCAGGGACAAGAGAGTGATGTTCTCCGCCCATTGCCGATGGAAAGCGGTGAGACTTGGCTTGGCATCTGCGAACAGGGGGAACGATATCAATAACGACAGACGCTTGATAATCCTCTGTGGTCGTGTGATGTGGAGAGATCGCTTGCCAGAGTTTTCGAGGACGTGCTTGTGTACTAGTCGAATGTGAGTGAGCAGTTTAGAGATGCAGTATTATGTCAAGAAGCAGACGGTGAGGCCTACCATCTGCATCTGACTTGGGTACTGGTACTTGTAAGGTCGTCTACAGCGAGGCTCTAAGAGTACCTCGCCCTATGTCATATTAGTAGCACTGACAGGGTTCACAGTAGGCAGGTGGTAAATCATGAAGTACTCAGAGAGCGCTGCCCGAGGGCCAGAGAGCACTCGACGGACTTCATGGCAGCATCTTTCCTACCCAAACAATATCCAAGCACCCCATTTGAAAATCTTCTCTTGTCCCTAAACAATCTCCAAGTTGCCGTGTTTCATCTCAGAATCGCCAGAGTACCCATATTCTGCACAATCTTCGGTTTCAGCCATAGTGTCCCAATGAGCAGGAGCTCCACCAGGAGGAAAGCTTTCCCTCATCCTCAAAACGCCAGAGAGTGGCCCCATTTTCAATCCTAGGATACGAATCAGGACCAAAAACAACCAAGCAAACTCCAGCGTCAACCCAAAGCAGGAAGTCGGTGTAATGCTTAGGAGTTGTGTCTTCTCGACACCCTGGGTTGTCGTCAGCCCGAGATGCCAAGCAGTACCACGTTCGAGGTCGACAGTGCTCCAGACTTCTCGCCATCACCACGTCGAATTCCTCTTCGCGAAGCCCGCGATGTCTAACCCGATCAAGCCGTAAGCCATTCTCTCACCCAGGCCCTATCATTTTGAGCGAGCCAGACCACCATTCAGCCTAGACGACGATCCAGGTCTCAGCGACAGCAACCGTCGGCAATCCGCATCGATGTTGCAGCACCCTCTACCGACCCGCCACGGTCCCCGAATCAAATCACCTCCAGCACCACCGCAGCGGCCGAAGCCCCATTAGCACTCAAACTCTCCCATTGGCAAACGAACCAGGAAGGCATCACCGTCACCCCATGTCTGACCAGGATAAACCTGTGCATGGTCAGGGAGTCGGACGCCTGTACCTGCGTCGCCAAAATGAGGATTCGAGTGCGTGAATAGGAACCGACGACTATGGAAGTGCTCTTGGATCCTTAAATCAAGAACATGTGGTAAGCTGGAGGGGGGATGCTGTGTCGAAATGTCGAAGCATGAGGGACGGGGCTACAGCTCTCTACCACGGACAGGAGAGGAGAAGTCTTGCGTCGATTGTGCGGATGCGAACGTACGGTGCGTCTACAACTCCTCGTCGTCATCCATGATGAAGCTAGGGATCTCTTTGGGCGGTTGGTAGGCCGCGATCTCAGCGCTGGAAGGTAAAGGTGCCACACCACGCTGAGCGCTCGGGGTCGCTGGCATACCTTCGTCCAGAGTCTGGGGTGGACTACAGCGCCGCTTTGGAGTCGTGGTGTCACCATCATCATCTGGGCTACCACTTCTTCGTCGCTTTACTGAGGTAGGAGAAGACTCTTCGCCAACATCAGGACTCTTGCTGCGTTGGCGTTTTGAAGGCGAAGTGGGGCCGGCGTCATCTCCCTCGTCCTCTTCGCGGCGGCGCTTTGGTGAGGTTCTAGTGGCTGCATCGTGGGCAGTAGTTCTCTTCCGTCCGCGGCTTGGCGACCTGGGGGCGCCTGCGTGGGAGGTATGCGGTGAGTTCAGGGGCGGTGTCGACTTCTTGCTCGCTTCTGCCATGTGGGTGAAGGTTATCACTGGCTTCTTTCCTTTCTTCGTGGCATCCTGCGTCTTTCCTCCGCCGCGAGCCTCCAACTCTCTCCTGTGTTTTTCGTACACCGCGCCTAGCTCAGCTTCCTTGTCGGCCTTGAGCTTCTCCTCACGTTCTTTCCACTGCTGCCTCAACTTTCCCACGCTCTGTGCATACTGCGTAGCGTACTTTGCCTCTACGGCTTGCATTTCTTCTTCCAACTCCTGCTTGTAGCGGCCTTGAGCCTCTTTCCACCTTGACTGATAGACCTCCGAATTTCGCATGATGATGAAGTCCTACGTAGCAGCAAAAGCTCTGCTACGCGCAGCACGCATGTTCGCATCGTACTCTTTCCTCTTCGTGATGAGCTTCGCTTTCTCGGCTCTGTGCAGCTCTTCCTCCTTCACAAGCCTCTGTCTCCGTTCTTCGAGCTTGCGCACCCTGAGACCATACTCCGCCTTTGCATCTTCACACTTCTGCCGCTCTTCATCGTATGCTTCACTGCGCTCCAGCATCTGCGCACGGAACTCATCTCGATGCTTCCACTTCCCCACATCTTCCCAGTACTTCTTGTCCCATTTGAGTCTATCCTCGCGGGCGTTAACTATCTTTTCGCGCTTGATCACCAGCTCCTCACGCCTGGTTACCCGCTCCTCGCGTCGAAGGAGATCGGCTTCGCGCTTGCTCTTTGCGGCACATCGGTCTTCGTAGGCGGGGTCTACTATGCCGAAGAAGTGACGGACGCCTTCCGGGAGACGCTGCCACTGGTCACGGGCGGTGGTGGTGATGGGTCCGGGCTCGACTGCGGAAACGTGAACCGGAGCGTCCGGATCTGAGGGAGCTGTGCAAGGTGAGCTTATGATCTTCCGGGTCGCGAGATCAGATAGCAGTAAAGAAGTGTAAGAGCTAGAAGAAAGGAGACGAGGGTTAAGTGCCGCCAACTCAGGAACCCTCCTCATATGAATGGATCCTCTTTCACGCAGACACAGGCAGCGGCGAAGATAGGTGACAGGAAAGCGAAGATTGCCAAAGGCATGGAATGTCTCTGATACATGCTTTCGAGAGTGCGGCAAGGAAGTTTTGGGACGAGTGCAGACACCGGCGCGGATCACCTATCCGTTGACAAGTTCATCTCTACCTTCTGCGCGACGCTGACACTACGAAGCATTGGCATGCCGAAGACTCTCGGACTCGAAAGCCCTTGCAGAGTTCGTCTACACAGATGCGAGGCAAAGAAGTAAGACGAGAAATGAACCTACTGCTGTTCCCGCTTGGGTAGGCGAAGCCGGCTTTGACGACGCCGAAAGCAGTGACGAAAGGCATTCTGGAGTTACTGAAAGCTCTGATAGCTTGGTAATGATCGTAGGAAGAGGCTGTATCTGGGATAGAAGACGGCTTTGAAAGCTGGTGGTTGCGTTTGAAAGCCGTGGTTGATGGATAGATTTGGAGGTGAGCTGTTGTGGGAGAAGTTGTTCAGACGCGAGCGCAGGCCATAGCATTAAGTGAATCATTGTTGCAATAGCTATGCAAACGAAGATCTCTTCACTCACTCACTTCACGGCCAATATCAAAATGGTGGACCCTGGCCCGACTCTATGCTCTGATTGGTCAGCCCTGCCAAGCCAAAAAGTTCGTGATATCGGACGTTGGAGAGCTTCGCGAACTCCTGCATCAATTCCATTGTCTGCGCTTCTACCTGCCACCACGCCTTCTGGTTGAGAGGTCGGACACTAAAACGTATAAGTTGAGCCCGCGAAGCAGCAAAATGGATATCCGTGTGCTGAGGCCGTCGGATATCCCAAATGTGCAAACAGCCAATATCACGAATCTGCCCGAGAACTATTTCTGCAAATACTATCTTTACCACGCGATGTCATGGCCGCAATTATCATATGTAGCAGTCGATGTACGTTCAGTTTCGCTCTTCTGCTCCCACAAGTGCACCGCGGCGGTTTCCTTTCCATTTCTATCCATAAGCTCTCAGGCCTCGGAAAATTCGAGCCAGCCCGTCTATCCTCTCTCCAGCGTTCGCAAGACCCAACAGCCGGCGTGTTGACACATTTCAGGTTTCACGCCCACCGAAGACACCGTATGACCCGCCAAAGATTGTCGGCTACGTCCTCGCGAAGATGGAAGAGGAACCCGCGGACGGCGTGCAGCACGGCCACATCACGAGCCTGAGCGTCATGCGAACGCATCGCCGACTCGGACTCGCCGAGAAACTTATGAGGCAGAGCCGTACGTCCTGGTCATTACTCCTTCAAATCCCTCGAATTGTCCGTGGATCACATGACTTGGACTTACCGACTAACAACCTTACAGAACGCGCCATGGCAGAGACCTACGGTGCAAACTACGTTTCCCTCCACGTGCGTGTCTCGAACGCCGCGGCGAAGCACCTATACAGCGACACGCTTGGCTTCACGATCGAGAAGACGGAGCCGAAGTACTACGCCGACGGCGAGGATGCGTTCAGCATGCGCATGGATCTGTCGGACCTGCGTCTCAAGATGCAAGACAGCGATGATGAGGACGAGGAGGGAAGTGTGGGGCAGGATGAGGGCGGTGAGGTTGGCAGCGCAGGGAAGAAAGGGGAGGGGGCGGAGGCGGAGAAGAAGGCGAAGAAGAGGAAGGTTAAGATGGGGAGGGGGTTGGGTGTGGGAGAGCTGGTTGAGAGGAACGAGATACAGAAGGCCTGAGATGCTTGTGTGGGAGTGTTGCATAGACGGTATTATATATCTGTGTTTCCAGATACCTTCAGAATACATGGTTATCAAACGATTCCAAACCAGCAAATCTGAAGTTCAAACTAAATAACTGGGTATCTCTTGAGCTGAAGCAACGCCTAGCCATGCTATGCTCTCCCAAATTAAAAGCGCCAGAGGCAGCAACGCTCGTCGGCTTAGCCGGGCAGAGCGACCTGTCTTTTGCGGTAACATAAAGCTGCAAGGTCCACGAGACGCATCAATCGTCTCCTCCTGACAACAAGGAAACCAGATTCAACTGCTCGCAGCCGTCGAGGCCTGCTCCCCGAACCTTCTCCTCAGCTCCGGAACCGGCATCCGGCTCATGTATATCGTGATGACCGGTATCTGCCGCACCTTCTGCCTCTCCTCCTCTCCAGGAACTCTCATCTTCTCAAAAACCTCCTCCTCACCGTCTTCCTCACCTTCGCTTTCACCCTCACTCCCATGAGTCCTCTTCTTACCCCTCAAGCCCGCGCTATCTGCGCTGCCCCCATCCTTTTCCCCCATCTCATCCAAGATGCCATGCACCCCGCTGTACTGCCACCACCCCAACCCCCTACCATCCAGCTCCCGCTTCACAACTTCGACCACGCTGACCAGCTTCGTTGCTGCCTTAGATCTGGCGCTCAATGCTACTATTGTGGTACGTTCAGCCTTCTTCGGCGCGTCTGTGTGATCTACTGCAGCGGACGCCTCGTTCGTGAGCTGCGAGAGTACTGACACGACTTTTGTGTGCATCTTAGAGGACGAGGTGATCGGGTGCGTGTGGAGTGTATATTTGACTTTCAGCGCTTCAATCTCGGAGGGGAAGAGCGAGGAAGATGGCGGCGCGGTGGTAGTCGCAGGGAGGGAGACTGAGAGGGAATCCGCTGCTGGTTGTGCTGGCGCTGTTGCGGCCTTGATTGCCGAGGGAGCCTTTGCTGGGGCGAACTGAGGCGCCTGCTCGTCATCTGTCTCCTGCCTGGCGGTCCGTTTTCGCTTGGTACCACGGGGAGGCGTCTCGGCTTGCGTGTCGTCTGATATGAGAGGCTTAGTGGGCAGGATCTTGCTCGCTTTTGGGGATCTAGTGGTTGTATGGCGGGCGGCTAGTTTCGGCGTTTTGAATTTATTTGGACGCGTCATGGCGGAGAGATCGGGTGAAGGATGTGGATGATATGGTATACACAGCTCGCAGGTGTCTGGAATCAATGCTTGGTATAGTCCCTGAAAAGCTCCAAGAACCGAATCTTGCAATCCAGGATCCAGGAACGTCAGATACGAGTATAAGGACGAGTGTAAGGAAGTGAAGTTACTAGTAGTGCCGAACGGCCTAGACTGGAGAATTACGAGCGGAGGTTGTAGCGTTGCAATACTGTGCCGGTCGAAAACCTCTCTGCGATGTTGAGGTATGTTAGAAACCAAAGGCGACACCAGATCACTGGACGGTTCTGTGGGCTTCTCGCCTCGGGACTAATTGCAATGGTGCACCTCTACAACACGTATATGATCTTCCTACAACTATTCTGAGATTACAATGGATTTAGAGAATATCGCGCACACACCACCGCGGCAGCGCGTTGTGCCTCGCGTAGTGACGTCAGCAGCGTGATTTGGCCGTCGAAGCTGTCGGATCCTCTCGCCGTAACTAACCAGAGCAATACTCAGTCGGAGAACCGTGTGGTACATATGGCGAGAGCCGTATCAAAGTAGCATGATAATTTTCTTTTGCCCCTTTTCAGTGTGGTCCTTAACTCCACCACTTCGGGCGAACCAAACGCCAAGTCTTACAAACTCCTTCGTACTTGCTCCATGAGGCTCCACAAGAATACTCCAAACATAACGGAGGATTCTCTCTGGTTCCATGGCGGCTAGAGCCTTCACGTTCGCTTGATCCGCAAGAACCGCACTTCCGCAGTCAAAAACACATCTTGCTAGCTGAGTGTACGGCCTTTCAGTGCTATACACCGTAACGTCATGCCCTTCAATGCCGACCGGAAACTCTATGTCGGTAAGTGGGCTTGGTTTAGTGTTCCACGTTGCTGGCATCAGGCAACCTTCCAACGTCAGTTTGGCAGAGGCGATCTGGCCGAACTTTTCCATCCCATCGACAGCGTTTACCTCCACCTCCACAATCCGCGCAAACTCTTCGTTGGTATCCGATAAGATCTCTGGGAGTTCTACGCCGCCATCCACACTTACCCAGCTCCATGTCGGAGCGACGTACATTTCGCTAAAGCGCTCTCTCGGCGTACCGGGTGTTGAGAACACGCGCCATAGCAGCGTTCGGGGTAGCTCTTTCTTCCACAACCCTGCGACGTATTCGCTCCGGCTGTCTGCTGCCATACGCTCTGCCACGCCGGCTAGTGCTGCGAGTCTGTCCGGGCAGGGGTATGTCAGGTTGAGATTGCTGTATTCCGAGACTATATTCTGCCACAGGATGTCTTTCGTGGATAGTCCACTACTCTCGTTCAAATCTTCTTCCGGTGCAACCGCCCGCTGGTCAAGCGAAAATGGCGCCATGCCTCGGGATGCCATCCCCGGTGGCAAACCGGAGCGTCTGGTCTTGCAAGCCTTCATCTCTGAGCACTCCCAAAACAGCTGATTGGCATCAAAATGTAGGACGCGAGGGGCCAATAGCCGTTCTTGTAACACCCAAGCTCGCCTTCCTAACGGCGTGAGAGAGCCTATCCCATCTCGAAGCAGGTAACCATCGATCACCTGGAATGCATGGTGTGGTGATTCTTCAGCATCTGTGGCGTTGAGACAGACATACTGGGGCCTGATACCTTCTGGATCTCTGGAAGTAAAGCATCCGGCTGTGGATTCTAATGCCCACGTCGCCGCGATATCGAGCACACCATTTTGGTATATCTTCCTCATGTCTACGATGTGTTTCTGCTAGTCCTTGCTGCTGTTTTCACCTGACCGGATAATGCAGGGCGCGTCTATCCAAACAAAGGATATGTTCAGTCTTCGGCAAATCTCAAGCGCATGTTGGAACGTGCGAGGGAGCGCTGCTAAGTCGATCCCGTCGCATAGTGCTTCGAGGTTTCCATCCGTGAGTGTGAGGAAAATTGGCTTGTTCCCCCAGCAATGACTGAGCGTTGCGTATGGCCCCCTAGGACGCTCGAGCTGCGTGAGTAATAGCCGTGGTTTATCTGTGGTAAGGTCCAATAACCCTTCCGGATACCAGCCCTGTTCAACATCTTTGTTACAGTTTGAGTGTTCATCAATACACGTCACCAGCCACTCACGAATGACCTCGGTGAGAGCTGTGTGGCCGGTGTTTGTGGACACGGTGTCGTCCTGAGATGTATCCTGCAGCACTGGATTCCAATGGTATACTATAGGACTGCCATTGACCTGTCAGCCTCCTAGGAGTAGGGCGTTTGTCGAACGGGCACGCTCACTCGCCTGCCTTCCTATTATCTGGAGGTCTACTTGGCTTTCGAGGCTTGCCCCCTTCAGCTTCACACACAGTTGGTAGCAAAAGGCACCGTATATATGGGCGACTACCGCTGATTGAGCGCTCGGGAACGTCCATGTGGATATTCCGTCGCGTAATCCAGAACCACAGCCCACCTTTGCCTTCCTTGAACAGTTCCTCCATGCCGTATTCCGAGTAGAGGAGCCTGCAGACTTACAGTTTTGCTCTATAACTGTGCGGAAACTGCCAGCATCAGGATGATGGCGCCCGGTTAGGTCGCTGTTCATTGCTGACTGGCATGCATCACAAAGAATACCGGCGTCTCGAAATGGCGATTGCATCTCGCTAGTTTGTGGCTGGCGTGATACTGGATTTCAAGAAATCAAATCTCATGCGGACGACCATGCAGCTGAGAGATCCTGCTACCATCAGCCTCACTACCTATGTACCTCAACTAAAGATGAAACCGCTAGGAACCCTCATCAACACACCCGGCAAACGCCGAGATGATCATCTCATCGGCCGCGGCAGCGGCCCGAATCTCGGATGCAGCCTCAAGGCTGGATGACGTCAACTTCGTGATCCCTCCAGTCTGACAATCATGCCGAGTATGATGGCCGATATGTAATTGATCACAAAGACAGCCACTACATCCTAGACGCTGATTTCGTAAGCGATAAGCTCTCATTAAAGTATCACAGCCAAATCCATACACTCCTGTCTAGTCGGACATCCAGAGCTAAACCCTCCAAGCAGTTACACTACATAATACCCTTCCCGCATCATCAATCCACCCCTCCCCATTCCCACTCCAACCGCACACAATGGTGTCCTTCCACCTCGCCTACACCGCCCCCATTAACCCCTCCGACGCCTCGCCCACCCTCACAGTCCCCCAGGTATGGGCCGGCATGGAGCGCAAAGCGAAGAACGCCCACGAGTTCGTGCCCGCGATTACGGAGTGCGTGGTAGAGAAAGAGGAGACGGACGAGAAGGGCAATGCCGTCGTCACTAGGATCGTGAAGTTCAAGGAGGGTATGGGCCCGCCGGGGGACGTAAGGGAGGTCTGCGTGCATTCCAAGCCGGCGAAGGTAAGTTCAAGCCAGGGGGGGCTTGCACCGCGTGGCCAGCCAGCGGGTGAGCGAGCACCGAGCAGCCGGGGGCTGACGGATCCATAGGTCGACTATCACCAGGAGAACGGCAGCCTGATCACGAATATAATCTCAGCAGGGCCGTCCGGAAAGCCGGAGGATGTGTATATGACTTTTGCGTTTGATTGGCTGCATCCTGAGCTTGAGGATGAGGATGGCGAGGAGGCGCGGAAGCTCAAGGAGAGGTACCAGCGCGTGGCTAAGATGGCGGTGCATACTACTATTGATACCATACGGAGGCTGGTTCAGGAAGGACAGATACAGTGATGGGTAGGGGAAAAATTAGGGGGCTTGGGAGTTAATGCTCATGGTCTTGGGGCCTGGAAGCAGCCTGGAAGCAGCCTGGGCTGAAGAAACAAGACGAGATGATGCTGCGACGCTTCACCATGGAACTCATCGTATTTCGAAACTCACTTCTCCGCTAAAGCAAGCGTTACGCCATCATCGTAGCTTATGTCACGATGGGCCGATCTGGTGGTCGCGCTTGGACGATGCCTGGACGGCTGTAATCATCGGTTCTGACATCACTTCCAAAACTATGGAGATCGACGGCGCATGTATCAATATGCATTGATGAATGATACTTACAAGTAATGACTTCAAGGGGGGGTTAGCAGGTGGTATCGCCGATAAGAGAATGAAGCAGAGCCTGTCCTAAATTCCCTAACGCCTCATGACCAGTCATTCCAGCCAGGCCATCCTAAGATCAACCGCCGGAGACGAGGGTCCTCGTCTTCCTCAGAAATACATATCCTCAGCTTTCCTCCTCGGTCCGCCTCTACCTTTGATCTTCTCGGCGAACAGTTCCTTGCCAGCGTTGCCTCCCGTTCTCAAGGGGAACAACTCCACCGGCGCAGTGATATCAGGGGTCTGGGCAGCGCCCCTAATCGAGAAACCCGGCGCTTGCTGACTGGTTCCAGAACCGCGTATACTGAAGCCTTCAGTCTCATCTCCTCCGGCCGTCGGCGCTGTTGGCCTGTCGTGCAATCTACCAAAGGAGGAACCTCCGCTGTTAATTCGGTCGAAGAGATCTCGTTGCTTACATTCCTGAGTTCCGTTGGCGACAAGGTCAGCCGACTCGCCGGCATCCAGCGCGTCCGTTCGGCGATGGTTGCTGACAGCCGTCTTGTGCGGGAAGAGCTCTCTCGATCGTTTCGCCGGCGATGACTTCCTCGGGAACAGTTCTTTCACGCTGTTCGCGGGCGGCGAGCTGAGGATCATGACTGGCTCCTTTGCTGGGAACAGCTCTTTCCCCACGTTCCCCGAAGGATGCGGATTCGGGTCGCGCTTTCGGTAGGCGGGAGGTGGAGTCGAACTCCTGCGCCGCAGCCTTCTCCGCGCTGCTGTCTCGTCGCCCACAAAGCCTAGACGTCCGTCTCCATCTCCAGCTGGTGATGCGCTCCTGTCGCGCAGCCGTCCGTAGGTCTCATCGGGCTTCTTCGCCGCTCTGTTTGCAAAAAGATCTCCGTCGTCTCTGCCTCTACCCCCTGTTCGCCTCCCTCCCGGGCCCTCGCCAGACGAAGAGTATCCGGAGTGGGATTCTTGCCGACTGCGCGCTGCTGGACGGGTAGGCGCAGCTCCTGCGTCGTCGTCATACATGCTGACATCGAAGGCCGTCTCTTGCTCTCCATCGCGCCTGCGCCTGTGTTCTCGATCGTCGAAACGCCTTCGCCGGTAATCCCCGTTCTCGTCAGAAGCCCGTCTTCCACCGCGACCTCTCCGTGAGTCAAATCGCTTCCTCCGCTCGCTCGGGTCCTTGTCCGGGTTCATCAAATAGAATCGGCTTGCTTCCCGCGCGCCCTTCTTCTTGACATCTGTGCTGAATGCTTGTCTGACGTGGAGATCGGCATCAGGATGCGTCGCGAGCCTCTTCGCCTTCCTGAGCTCTGACAGTGGGACGAGGGCGGGATCAACGACTTGATAGAAGTCCGAGAACGCGGCCAATGCTGCGGTTGCTGCTTCGGCTGTCTGGTACACGATGTTGGCTGAGGTGTCGTCGATCCATTCTACCCGCACGAAGAGGTCTGAGGGGTATAGCTCTGAGGCGAAGAACTTGATGTCGGCTGTCGTCAAATTGTCGACGCCTCGGATGTGGACTCTCTCGGGTGCTGCATGGATGTCTGTGGCTGCTCCGTCGGCGGAGGGCGCGGCTACCAAGACCGAAGTATTCTGTCCTTCCTGAGTGGGCGTCGCGTCAGCAGATGTCTGACATTGGGTCGTTCGTAGTGGGAAGGCTCGATGAAGGACGTACGATTCGCATGGCCTCGGCTTCAAGCGCTGCTATCTCTGCGTCGCCGCCGAGGTCTATGTCCATTTCGATGTCCATGTCCACGTTGTAGTTCGGGTCTGAGGGGTGAGTGAAGGAGACAGGCGGGTGGATATTGGACACCTCCATTGTTGCACTTAGGTGATTGTTGTAGATAGGTGTTGGCGGGGTGGTAGCTGCGCGCTAATAGGGTTATAAAAGAGAGAGGAGCAGTGCCAGGGCGGTGTTGTGTCAAGCAGTTTGTGTGTGATGAAGCGCTCAGCCAGCGCGACTTGGAGGATATCTGAGCGACAGAGAAGGCAGTTCAGCCTGCCCAGGCGATGGAGTTCCGATTCCGCACAGGGCTGAGAGCGGGGCGGAGCGGAGGCCAAAGCTCCCTTGAATTCACCTCTCGCCTGTCTACCGTCAACATTACCTCCGTACACCTTTCAACACGCCCTGGCTGTCGCGTAGTCGTCTTCCTCCCCTATAACAGCGCGAAGATGACCGAACCGCGCATGCGACTGCGGCACAAAGGCCAGCAGTTTCCAACAGCAGACCGTACGCAGCCCACTCGCTGCCCGTTCCGCCGCAGCACGCTAAAGGCGTAGACAGTGGAGGCCTACCTTGTCGCATTCGGCGACGACCGTAACCCGCTTCCCGAAACCGTCAAGGTCCTGGACGAGATAGTGACAGAGTGCGCCTCCGCCTCCGCTTCCACCATCACCTCTACCATACAGCCCGCGTTGCACAAGGCTAACGCCAACCCAGCTTCATTATAGAGACCTGCCATGAAGCCGCCCAGAGCGCCGCATACGCCCGGCGCGCGAAGATCAAGGTTGACGACTTCAAGTTCATGCTGCGTAAGGATCCGAAGAAGCTTGGGCGTGTCACAGAGTTGCTCAACCTTGACAAGGAGCTGAAGAAGAAGAGGAAGGCGTTTGATGTTGAGGATGATCAGCTGGGGAAGGAGAACGTGAAGGAGGAGAAGGCGGTGGAGAAGGCGGAGAGGAAATCTAAGAAGGCTAGGTCGGAGAAGTGAGGGGCTACTGGTGGGGGGGAAAGAGATCTGGTTTTACGGTCGTTGCATTGCGAGGGCGTCTGGTATGGGAAAGCATCGCTTTGGAGTTAGAGATGGTCAGCATCTTGAAGGCGTTCGGATCGTGGACTGCCATTTGGACAGAAGTTTTGTGATTTTTTGGTATGCTATAGCCGATCGCTCCATGCCCTCTCATCCGGTGAAGCTCCAGGAGTTGGACACTACTAGATCCTCCTCGTTACCTCGTAGAACATGTGACTCGGACCTTTTATGACTGATCTATAATGCAATCACCAACTCCGACGCCATGATCTTGCTCGAGTCAATGCGCATCTCAGAAGCGTCAAATCCTCATACAGCGCGCCGTGGCCGCGCTCACTCTTCACGCTGTCTGTTATCACCCCTGCCGCCCCTTCCTCTTCCACCACGTCTCGAATCGCCGCCGCCTCGCTGGGGTTGCTCGCCACCTTTGGCCGACTCACCTAGAGCATCGCCAGTGCCCATTGTGAGCGCTGCGGTCGCTAACCGGTTGGAGAGGTCGATCTGCGTGCGGATGGTATTGGCAAGATAAGAAACTGCTAGAACGTCTTGGATGTGGTTGTTGCTATACAGTGTTAGTCCCTCGTCTTTCGCTCACACCTGGGAGGACTCACAAATCGCGCTCGATATTCGCCGGATCCACCTTGGGCGCCAAGCTGAGCGCATTCATCAGAAACTGGCCCAGCGCGCTGCTCGGCTGCGCCTCCTCATCCAGCACATTGTTGACGTAGTTGCTGACCCTCTCCAACATCTCGAGAACCTGCTCTATCGCCCTCTCCAAGCTCTCGATGTCCGTTAAGATAGGCTGCGTCCTGTCCTCCCTGTCCTTCGCTCCCGCAATCATCTCCAACCCACTCTTCTCCGCCTCCCCGTACTTGATCTCATGCGGCACAGGAATGAACAAACAGCTATCCGCCGCCCTCTCCGGCGTCGTCCCAATCGGCGCCGAAATATACGTCCTAGCCTCGATATCCTGCCCAGGCGCCGTCGACACCGTCAAATGCACAGCGGGATGCGGGAACGTGCCGTCCCCCTGCTGGCCGTAGAAATTCTGAATGAGCGCCGAGAACGTGTTCAGCTCGCTGCTCGTCGCGTACCAGCCCACAAGCACCTCCTTCGGGTTCGCGCGGTGGTGCAGCCGCAGCATCTCCTTCTGGTAGTCCATGTCTACCTCCACTTGCTCGGCGGTTTCGGTGTGCGGCACCGCGTAGCAGTTGCGGATCTCGACTTCGGTGCCATCTTCGCTGCGGATGCCGAGGAGGGTCCCGATCACGCGTTCTTGGTCTGCGTTGCGCCGCAGGGAGTGGTCGAGGATGCTGAAGAGGGCTTGCGGCTGGACTGTTACGGAGAGGGGCGCTGTGGAGGGCTGGGTGGTGATTTGGGCGGGGCCGAGGGGGCGGGCGAGGTGGAGGAAGGAGTCGGCGGAGGCCATGCCGGGCAGATATGGCGCGGGCCTACAAGTGTACTTGAAAGGTTCGGCTGTGTATATCCTGTTTGCGATGCGGAGTTGTTGATATGGCTTGGTGTCACTCGAGCAATCCTCCGCTGTGTGGAAAATTCGCCTAACTTATGACTGGCTTATCGATAAGGAATTTTCTGGATGGATTTCATGCAGACATGCTCCAACACCTGTAAGTTTACTTCGACATCCGACATCGACAAGCGGAGGGAGAGAAGGACGTTTTACAATATCGCCATCTATACGTTCTCATGGTAGCAGCACGGGGTAGAGGGGAGGGGAGAGGAGCCCGTGGAGGGCGCAGCAGAGGAGGGTTTCGTGGAGGATCTCGTGGGGGTTCTCGAGGAGGATCCCGAGGCGGGTTTCGAGGAGGCAAACGAGAAAACTTCAGAACGAGCCGGATTGAGGACCCGGTAGATGAAGCGTCCGTTGTGTCAGAACCTGAAGAGCCGGATGTAGATGATGTAGAAGATGCGCCGAGTGATCTCTCAAGCGACGAGGAAGAGGCGCAAGTGGACAACCCTAGGCCGTACAATGCGCTGCTCCAGTCACTTCAACAACCGTCCCACCGGGATCAACCAAGGCGGAAAAGGCGAAAACTCAGCCATGACGCAGAGAACGGGGGGGATCCGCGGGGGCAGTCACCTGTGGCAGCCACTGTGGATGTAGATGGCGAGCTTGAACAAGTCGCAGCGGACGACGCTGATGAAGATGCTGAAGACCCGGGCACTGCTGAGGTGGAAGAGATGGTAGATGATGAGGAGGACGCCTCGGACCCGTTTGAGTCCCACTTTGCCAATCCGGACGAGAATGAGTTATCCAAGAACCTGAAGACCATCGCGGCAAATGGGTGGGACACGCGGAAGACTCAGCTGGAGAATTTGGGGACAGCATCCGTCAGTTACCCGCAAGGGTGCCTTTCGAAGTCCACGACCAAGCGCTCGTTACGTTCACCGAGGCAGCTCAAGTTGAAGAAGAGGTTAATTGAGCCAGCTCAGAAAGTAATCCCGGAGTTTACGGCCCTGGAGGGAGCTATAGCGCCGATTATCTTCGAATATCAAGATCTCTTGTTTGGCGCTCGCAGTGTGAGCAACGCAGGAAACCTCCGCAGGTTGGTATGCCTACATGCCCTGAATCACATCTTCAAGACCCGCGATCGAATCATCAAAAACAATGCTCGCCTGGCTAGGGATCAGGACAAGGACAACCTTGAGCTACGAGATCAGGGGTTCACAAGGCCAAAAGTGCTGATGCTATTGGAGACTCGGCAGTCCTGTGTCCGAGCCGTCGATACCATCATGAGTTTATGCGAGCCGGAGCAACAGGAGAACAAGAAGCGGTTTCAAGACTACTACGTGCAGACCGAGGACAAGTTCTCCGAGGATCGGCCTGCAGATTTTCGAGAGCTTTTCGAAGGCAATGATGATAACGAGTTCAGACTCGGGATGAAATTCACCAGGAAAACCGTCAAATACTTCTCGCAGTTCTACAACTCTGACATCGTGTTCGCCAGTCCACTTGGCTTACGGCGCGCGATTGAGTCAGGAGACCCCAAAAAACAAGACAGCGATTTCCTCAGCTCCATCGAGGTGGTGATTGTGGACCAGGCAGACGCTATGCTGATGCAGAACTGGGAGCATGTGGAGTTCGTCTTTGAGCATCTGAACCTCCAACCGAAGGACCCTCACGGTTGCGATTTCAGCCGCGTACGGAGCTGGTACCTGGACGGCAACGCCAAATACTTGCGACAGACACTCGTCTTCTCCGCGTACCTCACACCCGAACTGAACAGACTACATTCAGGACACATGCAAAACCTCGCCGGCAAAATAAAACACCAACCCTCGTACGATGGCGCGATGCTCGACATCGGTCTCCAGCTCAAGCAGACCTTCTCGCGCTACGACTCGCCCTCACCAGCCAGCGACCCGGACGCACGCTTCAAATACTTCACCACAGCCGTCGTACCATCACTATCACGCTACCCGAAGCCCGCGGATGACGGCCAAGGCATCCTCGTCTTCATCCCCTCGTACCTCGACTTCGTCCGCATCAGGAACTACTTCGCCACCTCCACCGCCACGCAGAACATCTCTTTCGGCGCCATCTCGGAGTACACGGAGCAGCCGGATGCCCGTCGTGCGCGGTCGCACTTCCTCACTGGTCGCCATTCTGTGCTGCTTTATACGGGCAGAGCGCACCATTTCCGCAGATACTTCATCCGCGGCGTGAAGAGGGTTGTTATGTACGGCCTTCCGGAGAACCCGATCTTCTATCAGGAGCTTGTGGGCGGGTATCTGGGTGCGACGATCACCGAGGGCAAGATCGACCCTTCGGAGGCGGTTGTGAGGGTGCTGTTCTCGAAGTGGGATGGGCTCAGGCTGGAGAGGGTTGTGGGGACTAAGCGTGTGGGTGGTATGTTGAGGGAGAAGAGTGGGGACACGTTTGATTTTGTATGAGCATTGTAAGAAAGTAACACAATACTGAGCAAAGAACTACAGCCATTCTCGCGCTTTGATAGTCCCCGCAAAGGCGAGGAAGAAAATCATCTACAACCTGCCCACATATATGGAGGGCCGAGAGAAGCTCTGTTTCAGTCAAAACGTTGCAAGCTCAAAGCGGCCTAAGCTCAAGGTATCTACATCGTACGACCGCGGATCATAAGCTACTTAAGACCGTGCTTTCTGGACGTCCATCGCCAATCATTCATACCATCCCCGCCTCTGCCTTCTCAAAGCCCGCTTTATAGACCAGCCCGGCTGATCTTTCTATTCCCCATCGTGCCTTGATCGTCTCTGCAAATCCCAGCACCCCGAAGTCATCAATCATAACCCGTACCCCCTCTCAATCTCCTGAATACTCCTCGTCCTTTCCAGCTCCCTCAACTCCGCCCTCGCCTTCGCCTCCGCCTCCAGCACCTCCCTCTTCCTCGTCGCATCCTCGCCCACGCTCTTCACCCCCTTCATGCGCTGCCTTGCCTCGTACATGGTCCGGCCCTTGAGGATGCGCTCGACGATCTCCCCCGCGTTCACGTGCGCGTACTCGTGCGAGGGGATCTCCACGAAGATGCCGAGCTCTTTCGCCGCGGTGTAGGGATCGTAGGTCAGCGGCATGAAGGCGGTCGGGCCGTGGTAGACGGCGTGGGGTGGGCCGTAGGGGAGGGCGGCGAGGAAGGACTTCGTGGGGGTGAAGGGGGCGCTGAAGATGAGGGCGTGGACGTACTGGGAGAGGGGCGTTGTGAGTTTAGCCTGTTGGGGATTGGGGGAAAGGGAGGGCATGGTGGCGTACCTTGCATTGCAGCACGCAGAGCCCGCGCTCGAAGATGTTCATGATCGGGTAGTTTATGCCTTTCCAGTGGTTTATGACTTCGTCGTCGTGCACGCCTGCGATGAGGTAGTAGGGAGGGTAGTCTTCGCCGGCCTCTTCGATCCGCCGTTGTCGAGCCTCGTCGGTGTACCAGTCTAGCTGTTTGGCAAGCGCCTCCTCGTCTTCGCTTACACGGCGTAGAAACTCAATGTGGCCCGAGGAGAAGAGATCGAAGCCTCCGTCAACATAGATGATGCGCTGATGCTTGCGCGGAGGCTTGCCGTCGACCATCTTTGTGAGCTCACCCGCTTGCTCACGCGAGGAATGGTGGTTTCGGTGTGAGCGGGAGCTGCGACGTCGTTCGTTCTTCGGTGCTGAACCCCCTGCTGGCGGTGGATGGGAAGGTCTCCTCTCTTTGGCTTCTCTCGACGCATGCCACGACCAGACTTCGGAGCCAGGGTGGTGGCCAGTCTCATCGCTCGCATAGTCCCTGATCCTCTGCAGCATCTCCTCGCCACTCCGCTTGCGCTCTTCCTCACTGCCGTGACCCCCCTCGCCTGCCAGCACCTTGTCCAGATCTCGTATAAAGTGGCCTTTTGTACACAGCAGCATTCGCCCAACCAAGTCTGTCGTGCTGATCCCGGGCGTCCGCTTCACGACCTTGAATCTCCCCGCGGCTTTGACATACCGGTAGCAATCCTCCCCGGAGCTGTCGGAAGTGATGTCGTCACCGTGTACGACGTACTGACACCCGTAATGGCTTATCCACGGCAAACTCGTCACATACGGCGCACACGGTATGCTCTGCGTCGCCCACCTGCAGGCGTCTACCGCGGCGACCCGCTCCTTCAGCGTCATGACAGTCGGCCCCTTGTTCTCCATAATGGCCTCGTCCGAGTGCACGCCCACGAGCAGGACGTCTCCCAGCCGTCGGGCTTGCAGCATGGCGCCGGCGTGGCCGTGGTGGGTGAAGTCGAAGCAGCCATCTATCCAGATGCGGGACGGGGAGATGGGGACGTCTTCTTGGGGGTCGGCGGGCCATTGGCCGGGTTTGGGGGTGGATTCGCGCTGTGAACTGGCGTTAGCACTGCCTGTAGCTGCTTGCAATGTGCTGCTCTGCGGAAGCTTGCCTTTGAGCTTCCCATGACTGCGGTTGTGGATGTTGAAGGCTCTGCTGGCAACGGACAGTTGCACGGGCTTGGAGTTGCACAGTTCGCCGGTCTCAGATTATATGGAGAGTTATGATATGGCTCAGGATGTATGTTTCTCCACCTGGGTAGTACTGGTAGTACTGGTAGTACTGGTAGTACTGGTAGTACCTTGTGTATGAATGACGAGGGTAGAGAGCAGCCAAGCACTTCTGACGGGCTGTCACCCACTAGACACCCGGACGTGCCAGATGACTGCTTGGCGCGCAAGATCGCCGGGGGGGAGGGCGGCCCGAGGGGTAAGGCGGGGTCAAGGCGGGGGGTAAACCAAGTCGCGGGAGAGGGGCGGGACGGGGCGGGATAGGGCGGAATGGGATCGGATTGGCGGAGCGACGGGAGTTCCTGACTCGGCGTTGCACGTGTTTGACATGTCGTGCAGCTCAGCCGCATGCGATGCGCATAACGTTGGAAGTAAAGAAGGGGGGTTGCTCCCGAGAAAATTGATGGATGTAGTCCATAGCACTCTTGGTAGCAACTTCGTAGCAGCTTCGTAGCATCCTCTGTCGCATCCGCCATGGACGACTTGATAGCCAACTCCCTTTTCATGCAGCAGCGTAAGTGTGGTTTGGCGCCAAGAGAGATGGACGCCAGCCAGCTAACCCGAAACCCTTGAACAGGCCCGGCGGCGGCGCTACAAGTAGGAACCTGTCAAGGGGTCCACACGACGCCGGAGTCGGGGAAGTGGAAACGACGCGGCAGCGTTGCGCTACTTGCATCTTCTCCCCCTTCGGCCGTGCATGCCCCCCAGGAACAAGGTCGCGGAGGGAAGAACGCATCGGACCCGCCACAGACGCCCCACAGCATGCCCCGGCCCTCTAGCAGCAGCGGAGGCCTCTTTGGCAGGAAAAGCACAATCTTTGGCCGTCGACAGAAGGCTGACACAGACGCGCAAACGACAACGACAACGACAGCGACAGCGACAGCAACAACGACGGCTTCACCCCCGGATCAGTCAGAAACCAGCACCACCTCCTCACACCGCCGCCGCACCGCTTCCTCTCGCCACTCAATATCTTCCTCCGTCACAGACATTGGGGCAAGCTTACGAAGATCCACATCCTTGCGCTCCTCGTCCAACGCTTCCTCCCTGAAGCTCACATCGCCCTCCACCACAACCCTGGCGACGATATCCTACTCCCCCGAAAAGGGCGCCACCGCCGCCAATGCCTCAAAGCCAACCCTTTCCGTGTCGACATTCACAAGAAGACAGAGGTCGTCGGACAATGTCCAGAAGGAGGCCAGTCTCTTCTCCAAGTCCCCTCTATCGGCGTCGGATCCGAAGGCCACAGTCGGCATGACAGCCGTGCCATTGAGACACGCCCACCAGTCCGGACGGCTGCCAGGAACAGCACAGTCGAACATCAGCTTTACCCAGAGCAATGGCAGTCTGGGTCCACCAGCGCCAGTCCTTCCCTCCGCAAACTCACCCAACCCTTACGCTGTCTTCCAGCACATCCACGACACGGCGTCGAAGCGCATCGCGACACTAGACTACCTCCGCAAAGTGTTCGTCCTGCCATCCATCCCATCCTCCCCTCCATCCCACTTACCCCCACTAACCCCCTCCCCATGCAGACACGAAGGCCACACGTACTACCTCAACACCCTCCACCTCCCCCCCTCAACCCTACACACCCTCCCCACATACACGCCCCGCAAGCTCGCCAAGCGCGCAACCCACTACCTGCACCTCGGCTTCTCGCTCCCGACCGTGCTCGACCTAAACTCCGCCTCGGCAACCGAGTACCTCCGCGCGCTAAACGCGCTGCTACTCGAATACGAAACCTACCAAAGCATCCACGGCGCCGACGGACAAGCCAGCTCGCTCTCGCGCGGAAAAGTCGCCGGCATGTTCAAGCGCGCGACGCACGCCGCCGCCTCCACGAAGGCACGGCGGACGAGCTCGGCGGCGGATGCTTTCCATCCCCAGGGCAGCAGCGGGGAGGCGGCGGATGCGAGCAGGCCGTCGACTGGTAGCCTAGGCGGGCCCGGCGCGGGCCCGGCATCCACGACGGCGTCGTTCGCGTCCGCGCTGCCGAGCGGAGAGGACGAGCTGCTGCCGGGCGAGGAGTACAGCTTCCTGCTGACGCCGAGCCTGCCGTTCGAGCCGGACTTCTTCGAGACGTTCGCCACGCTGTGCGATGTCTTGATTGATTGCTACACGCGTATCCTGCAGCTGCTGCCCACGCCTGAGGCGCTGGCCGAGGAGGGGAGGAGGGCTGGCGGTGGTGGTGGCGGGATTGCTGGCGGAGGCGGAGGTGCCGTGGGCGATTTGTTCGCGAAGGCGGATGCGAGGATTAGGAAGACGATCGTTGCGGGGATTGTGAGGGAGTTTGAGGGCGCGAGTAGGGAGGGGATTAGGGTTGAGGTGGCGAGTGTGGGGAAGGTGGTGCTTGGGGGACTCGTTTGAGGGATCGGATGCCGAGGGTTGGACATGTGAAGCCGTATATTTTGAAGATTTAGCGACGGAGTTTGGAGTGCTGGGTTTGCTCCACTTGAGAGACGGGCCATAGGGATCACGACGATGTCGGGTGATTGCAGGGGAGTTGGATATGTAGACCTCGCCACCACAGCCGGCGTTTTCAGGCACAAAGACAAGTAAGAAGAAACGCGTGCAGATCTTTACGTTTCTAGTAAACCATGACAGCCGCTCCGAACGGCAACCGGCTTCGCGACCCAACACAGCGCTACCTCCACAACCCCAGCCTTACGTACAATCCTTCTTCGCATACGTAAAGTCGTCAATCTGGAAAGCCGCACACCTCTCATCCCCATACTCGTCCACAAAGAGCGACGGTCCAAAGCTCACGCTCACGAGGTCCTTCCACTTGCTGCTATTCGTGAACTCGACCTTGGTCATCACGAACGGCACCGAGCTATCCAAAGCCGGGTACACGAGCTCCTGGGAAATCTTGTTGCCGTTCTTGCGCGTGCCGGTTACCGTGGTGCGGCAGGCGCCCTGCGGGTAGCCCGCGTTGCACGCAATGTAGGTGCTGAGCAGGTCGAAGTTGTCGCCCGGCTTCGCGACGGCGATGCTGCGCGGTGCGGCGCCGCAGTCGTAGGAGATGGCGACGTTGGGGGAGGAGGAGGGGTTGATGCCGCCGTCGTAGGCGTCCTGTGTGGCCGTTAGATTGTCTGGTTTGGCGCGAGAAAGTAGATATACGTCGCATGAAGGCGGCTTGGTAGGCGAGACGGTGGAGAAGAGCGACTTACGACGTAGAAGTTGGTGTACTTCAGTCCGAGGTAGTTGTTGCCGATAGGGGTTGAGTCATCGGGGCTCTCGGTGAAGGGGAGGTCGTCGTACTTTGCGACATAGGTTCGCTCCTTGCCGCGCTGTTTGCATTCTCCGGCTTTCTTGTCGTCGTCGTCTGAGGGGATGGCGGAGGCGGAGGTGAGCGCTGAGAGCACGAGGCAAGAGAGGGACAGGAATTTCAACATCTTGAAGTGCTGCTGGAAAAACGAGAGTGTGTTGATACGATGCTGAGAATGAATGAGATTGATGATCTATAGAAGAAAAACGTCCGACTTTTATGGCACTCTGCAACTGCCGGATTGACCTGCCATTGTGTGAGCAGGCCTTGACTGGGCTTGACGCAGCTGCGATGGTCTGAAGCTATTGTCATAGTCTTCTGATCAGCGTTCTTCTAGAAGGCCTGGATGCCCTTGTAAAGCATTGGTCCGTCGTACGGCAAAAGTCTCTTTGTTTCCAGGCTTCTGCAGACTCGTAGCTCGTACTCGTGTAGGCTAGCCTGTGTTGCAGAAGTCTGGACAAGCTATTGTCTGGCGTCGCTGTGCTACAAGCCAAATATAAAACCCCAGCCTGTGGTTGACCCGCCTCCGGGTCTGGAGGGAGATGGTCGCATGTCAAGATCGAGCTAGCGAATGCCGAGGCCTGTTAGCCCGCTGCAAGACAGAAAAGCACGGGCCAAGAGAGCTTTCTTGGAGGAATCAAGACTTCGGTTGGCAGCAGATCGGCGGCAGACAAGCAAGCAGGAACGGAGGACCGGCATCTTCTATATCCAATCAAGAGTTTCAGGGAATCGACTTCGATCGCGCTTGTGTACCTGGACAAAGAAGCATCGCTTGCACAAACTCGCGTTGTGACGTCCCTAGGCGACTCTCGATGGCGGGGTCCGCTTAATGTTCGATGCTCGCATGGTTGAGTACTGAATTACGGCGAAAGTGACATCGCCACAAGCGGCGTTAGCAGGCCGTGCTTCAGTATTGCGTCAAGGCCCTACGCATCGTTGTGTCTCGGGACGACTCCTAGATAAATCTGCTACCAGTATATTCGTATGGCTTCGAGCAAAGACCTTGAAGAAGACCCGAAAGATAGAAGCTTGGAACCAAACGCAAATTTCATTCAAACCGAGATGGGTATAGCGCTGACAAATGTGCGGAAAATTACGAGACCATGTAACACAAACCAACAGCACGGAAGACCAAAGACTCAAATACCCGGACTACAACCAGCTTCACTTCAAGCCAGTGTAGAACTGTATCATCGATGCGATCTGCGCGTGCCCGTTGGCGCGAGCAAGCTCCGCTGCGGTGCCAGAGTTACCATCCCACGATGCAGTGCATATTGTGCGGTCCGCACCTGCGTCGAGAAGAAGCTTGACACAAGCACGATGTCCGCGGCTCGCGGCGCAGTGGAGCGGAGTGGTGGCGGAGTCTGCCAGCAGATCTTTCTCGGCATCGCCATCCAACAAGGCTTCCAGTGCGTCCCTGTGGCCTTTGTGCGCGGCCCAGTGGAGGGCAGACAAGCCCTGGTTCTGGACATCGCTGTGTCGCGCTCCTTCATGCAGGAGCACAGAAATGACGGATTTTTGGCCGGTCGTTGCCGCGTAATGCAGCGGAGTATTGCCTTCTCCGTCTCGGCAGTGGATATCCGCGCCGTGTTCTGCGAGCAGCTTGCATAGCTTGTCTTGACCAGACACAGCAGCGTGATGCAACGGTAGCAGGTCTGTTGATGAGCGGATGTCTGGGTCGGCACCCCTGTCGAGAAAGAGCTCGGTTAACGCAGAGTCCCCTTTCGAGATCGCGCACCATAGCGGCGTGTTTCCATCTCGACCGCTCAGTCGGTCGATGTCGGCGCCGTGTGTAAGGAGCGCGTCTACGACTTCCGCATGGCCTTTCCATGTCGCAAGATGTAGGGCCGTGTCTCCCTTCCCCTCTTCCGCATCTACCAGCGCCCCGTTATCAACCAGTAGGCGCACACATTCCGCGCGATTGTGGAGGGCTGTCTGATGGAGGGCGTTGCGTTGAAGTCGGCCGGACTGAGCGTTTGGATCTACGCCCTCTTGCAGGAGGTGCTTTATTTTCCGTAAATCGTTCTGCTCGATCGCAGAATGCAGATCATTGACCAATGTTCCTGACTGTTGCGCTTCCCGTGTCTCTTCATCGAAGCAATTGCTTCTCTCGCTAGCCGGAGTTATGGCTTCAGTCTTGGCAGATGTAGTTGATAAGGACCCCGGAAGTGGTTGGGTCGGCGGGCTGTACGCAGGTAGCTCATCGTTGCTCGGCGGCTCTTCAATTAGTGTCTTGAGCTCGTGGCCGGATATTCGAATCTCTATGCGTTGTTGAGACTGGTCTGTCAAGGGGCCAGATGCTGAGATACTACCGAACAGGTTAGCTGTGAGTATAGCTGGGGCTTTGGGCGTGGGTACAGTTTGAGGCTGAGCGTCAAAGACTTTGCGGTGGCCAAGGTCTCATGGACCGAAGACAAGACGCTTGCAAATTGGCTTAAACTGACAGACTCGTGAGCTGCGGCGTCCTCAGTGCGTTGCGCCCCCTCATGCTGCTTCAGCTGCTGAACATGAAGTTCAAACGAGCTGCAGGCGGATGCAAAGCCAACGGTGGCAGTCTTCAAGCCTGCCGCAACGTCCAAATCGAGCTCCAATGGGTCGTTCAGAGCGCGTAAAGCCCCTTCCAAATCTCGTGAGCCGTCGATGCAGAGCTCTATCTGTCGCTCAAGAACAGACCTCACATCGCGGAACCAGTTCTCATCGCATGGGATGGAGTAAAGATCACCCAAGATACGATAGAACGACCTCAAGTAATGCGATATGACTGAGATGCTGTCTTTGCGATCAACCGTGGCTCTCCGAGGCGAGTTAAGACTTGATCCATGGAGATGCGGGCCAGACAGCTGTCTGCTCTGTTCGCCGGAAGGTCGCTGAGTGTGCTTGTGGGTGCCGTGTTCTACTGGCGTAGCGGATCCAGTCTTCCAAGCAGACCTCAGAGCCAGGAAGGAGACGCTCAGGCATGCGATTGCGAAGAGTGTAGACGGTTGGGTAAGCCTTGTTATGAGCGACGGTTGAGCTGACAGGTCCATCTTGCAGTGGTGAGCTGCGCGGGCAGCAAGGCCTCCCGAACCAGGCGCATACAGAGATGTGCACTCTCAACTGCTCGTATATAACGAGCGGATGTCGCGGGCACGTACGACCAGACTGGTGCAGGTCGTTGTCGACCTTTTTTTAGGTTAGAGCAAAACAGAGGCGTTCTGCCGCCAAGTCGCGGAACCCCAGTCTTCGGGACAATTCTCCGGATATCCTTGCGAAGCCCTATGCCCTGATCTTGACCTCGCGCGTTCCATACCTAATGGAGCGAGGCGGAGATGTTCAGATCTGGGCATTCTTGTGGGAACTCCTTGGGTAGAGAGAGACGAGGCATGGATCACACATCGGAAGTAAGTACTGAAGCGCACCTAATTGCTTTCACGTTATGGATAGGCGTACACTCGAGCTGTCCATCACGCTGTAAACGGATCCTTGAATATGTGGGAAATCCAACGCCTCTGCCCTCTTCTACCTCTATAAGCCTACATGTCCATTACATCACCACCTCACACTTATGACCCTTTGGCGCGACCAGGAAATAGTTCTCGAGCTCCATCATACCATCAGTCATTGCTGACGAGAGTCGAGCGGTAGGACATTCACGGAAGAAGGTAGCCGCAGCGAGAGCCATCTCCATCTTAGCAAGATGCATGCCGATGCATACTGGAAGTGTAACGGTTAGTATATTTAAGAACATGAGCAACAGTCGACTTACTCCTTGAGCCTGCACCGAATGGCAGGAGAGCATCTGTCATCTCCTTTGTGGGACTCTCCCACCTCTCCGGGTTGAATCTACGATATCGTTAATTCGGTAGCGCGGTCGAAGAGTCCTAGAAAGCTTACTCCAACGGTTGTGCGAATACGCTCGGATCTCGATGCAGGGTGTATGCCTGCGTCGTCACGACCGTCCCTTCAGGAAAGAAGTAGCCACCCAACTCCCTCCCGCCCTTTGGAACAGTTCGTGGGAGGCCCCCAGGAACAGCGCCATAGAGTCTCAGCGCCTCATCAGTAACCATGCTCAGGTATCGTAGTTTCCTTGCGTCTTGGCTGCTGAAGTCGGGGCGCAATGTCTTGACTTCCTCAACAAGCTTTTGTTGGACCTCTGGATGTTTCAGGACAGCCCAAACCAGATACGTTAGGGTGATGGCTGTGGTATCTGTCCCTGCGATGATCATGCTCTTTGCTTCGCGGATTTTCTCGAAGTCGGACAAGCTGTTGGCCGAGACGCCATTGTCGGCGAACACTTTGGAAAAGATGGTCATGTCGTTCTCTTGGACCTTGCCGCGCTGGAGAGAACTGCGGCCGTACTCGATGAGGCGCTGGCGGGAGCCAAGGAAGTGCTGCAGAGCGGGAATGGGCAGGTAGCATATCGTTTTCATGATCACGGACAGCTCTTCTGTGAGCATGTCACGGATGGCAGCGTGCTCGAGGTCGTGGAGGTAGGGAGATTTCTGCAAAGGTGTCAGCACCACGTTTTGAAAGCGCGGCCTGCAGATTGTCTGCAAAGCGGGTCAAACACACTTCACCAGCCTCAAGGGTTTTGAAGCTTCTGCCAAAAGCCAGCTCGCTGATCACGTCGGTTGCCATGAAGGTGAACCATGCCAGGACATCTGCTCCGCCGGTCTGGGCCTTTTCTTTGATATTCTGCACGGCAAGTTTCACCCTTCCTTCCACAAGGGGCTCCCAGAACTCCAGTAGAGCCCTTTCGGAGAAGGCATTTGAGAACTGCTTTCGACGCTGACTGTGTTCTTTCGAATCCGCAATCGAAAACATGGACTGCACCCCATCAGTCTCGCCTGTGAACCTCGCGTACCATAGAGATTTGCCATAGTTGCCGCCAACCTTGTGGATGGCACGCGTGGAGGGCAGGTCCACGATTGAGAACTCCTCGGGGCTGATGCGGACGCAAGTGCCATACTTGTGATGGAGTCCATCCACGAAGAACACTCGGCGGCCTTGGAGAGTTGCAAGCTTCAAGGGGAGATTGCTGAATCGACAGACCAAGGGGCCGGGAATTTTGCTCAGGGGACCTGTGAAAGCCTTACGAGCGAGGCGGATGACATGGTAGGTAAACCAGACCGCGGATAGAAAAAGCGTCAGGTGGAAGTAGCGGATTTGAGCCATTGCTGTGAGCGTTGTCGAGTCGAGGGATCACGGGCAGAGCGAGTAACACAGGAGGAAACCATGGCGACGTCTAGTTATCTGTTGCTTCTGAAAGGCTTCTGAATCCGGAATCAGCTTGTGTCGCTTATATGGGGATCCGAAGGCCGAACCAATTTAAATAGAAACAGACGGGCGGTAGCGTGGATGGGAGCCGCTGGCGGCCGGCAGACACTGCGGATCTTGTCGCCATTGCTCAGTGCAAGAAAAAATCGAGGAAGCATGCATCCGTTTGACATGCGTTTTAGGTGGGACGCCGGTGTCGTGTGACATCCACGATAACACGAAGACCGACCGACATGTCAAGAAGCACCTCTTCGGAGGCTCTACACAGTTCTTTGCTCGGCTGCAAATGCTCTAATTGCCAAGATTAGAACTAACCTTCTGAAGTGCCAATGAAGTCATGCGAGAGCAAAAGCCTCAAAGCGAACAAGCGACCACAACAAGCGACATCTAGTCTGGCAAAAAAAAGCTTGATCGTCGCGCCGCGCCTGCCGCCCGTCCAGCTCCGCGCCAATCCCCGAGAGCGAGCCAGGGTGCTGAAAGTCCGTATCCCGGTAAGATCCTAGTTCTGCAAGCGTGGATCACCCCGGACAACTAACATTAGGAGGAGCTTGTTCCGACCTTCTTTGCCATCCCGGCTGCCCTATCGACAGATGCTTGCCCGGCGACGAGCGCTATACCGGAAATGGAGCTGAGAACCGAAAGCGGATCTGGCTTGCATACTGGAATGCACCTACTTTTTCAGACCAGTACTCCAGTTTGGTTTCATGCCTCACATCCTGTCGTGCTTGCTGATACAAGATTTTCACCACCTCTCTGTACCCGATAGGTAGGCTGCAGATGGCGTTCAGGTATGTCTTTAGGCCGATAGATCGAGATCTGAATGTTCAACAGCGCGCCCACCGCATCTTCGCAGCGTTCTCAGTCAATAAGTGCTTGAAGGATTTCGTATAATATAGGAAACGCACCATACAGACTGCCCGTTAGACGCGCCCAGATGGTGTGCTCGGAAACCCTAGGATTGCGTATGCACACAATACTGCGAGGCTAGTGAAGCCATCAGAAGCTGCTGAGTTCGGATCCGCCTGCCGTGGTCGAGCATGTAAAGCGCTGCTCCGGCCTGTGTTCACTGCTGCCGCTCTTTGTATTTCTATACCATGCCTGTTACCAGTGTATTCGTCGTTAAACTCGCTGGAGAGACCTACAAAAGCAACATCGTGCTCATCATATCCGGCGCCTGCGAATTTTGGGCTTTCCAAGACGATTCAAATTAGCGAAACGTCGACTATGCCCCTACTGCACAAGCACATGCCAGAGATTGTCACCAGCCAAGTCCGAACGGTGGAAGCTGCTTGGCCTATCCTCGACGGAGACCGGACTACAACACGTTCCAAGTTCTCTGCTCGTTTGAAGCGGATCCACACGGCGGACATCCGTGTCTCTATGCCCAAAACGAAGCTTTTTGACTGAACGCCAGCGCTATGGATACTGGCGGAGATTCTGGCATCAACATCGTGCATGAAAACCAAGTGCATATCCGAAAAGTGACCACCTGCTGCCACTCCATGCCTCCAACTAGGTCAACTTATCCTTAGAAGCTGGAAGTAGACAGGCAGTCTGAAGTAATCTCTGAGATCAGTGATTGGCACTAGTCCGACTGCCTCTTACAGCACTCATGTCGGGACTGCCGAAGTCGGCTACCAGATCTACCCCGTATGGATGCTTAACATCGGGGGTGGATACAGGTCGAAGCCTTACGAGCACCGAACAGTCAAATCAGCGCTCTCTGCTCTGCACATAGTTCAATGTATTATCCACAAGCTTTCAACATTATCTAGTCCTTATCGAACGAGCCTCTGGGAAGGGCTCTCGGATTTTATGGACGAAACCGCTACACGAATATTATTGATTGTGCGGACCAGCATCCAGTTTATTTATGATTTAACAACGAGCGCTTGTACCAACCTCCAGACGATCGTCGGTATAGCAAAAGAATACAAATATATCGGCTTGAACAGCCATTAGTATGCGACTACTGGTAGAGTGATCCTCGCGACCAATCTGGCATTAACCTTCAACATCGTCTCGAGCATGGGCCCGTCATCCCCACTTGCCAGCAGTTGTCTTGTCGAGTTTACAGGCAACATCTTATAGTAGCAGATCGAGGTCCACGGCTGGTTCGAAACTTTGCTGGGGGCCATCAACTCGCCGTGGAGTGGACAGCTAATAACGCCGACTTGGGTCCGTATGGCTAAATCGTGGTCCCTGACAGGCTTCCTCGAACCCTGTAGAAAAACCAAATGTCGAATTGTCTTCGCAATGAAGGTCCGTAATGTTGACGGCTACCAAGCGTTCTCTTTCCTCAGAGTCATTATCATCTTGTGTGTTGGCCTCTCCATCATTTTCGTCTCAATATTCCTAGAGTGTGCGGCCAGTGTTCCGAATTGTGCGATCCCAAATCGTATGATATCGTTTAAACGGAGTCGTGCGATTGTCAACCGGATCTTCGAGTCGCCCGCTAGCCCTTTCTAGAGCTTCTGCGCTAGATTTGGAACTTCCGAACTATAAGATCATAAGCCTTGGCATGATGGGGGACCGGATGCCTTGGAAGCTCTTCCGTCATCGCTTACTCACTACCATTGGTTTCTTACCATTGATACTTGGTCGCTCGGCTGCGTGTTCTCGATGGCAGCCACATGGGTGGTTCTTGGTTATCAGGGCATCACCCAGTTCAGCAAGGTGCGAGAAGATGCAATCAAGAGGATAATTGAAGACCGAACACACGTTGTGGTTGCACCGTTGGGCCCACCGCTTCCGCCAGGTGACTACTTCCATGACGGAAAAGACGTCCTTGATGATGTACGAAATTGGCACACCTTGATGCGCAGCTCCGTACGTCGAATCGATGCAATCACCTCTCACGTCCTTAATATGGTTGATGCAAGAATGTTCATCAGCGATGGCGATGAAAGAGCTACTGCTGGACAAATCTGGCACGAATTGAAGGCAATCCTACCATCATGCGACGCAGTTACCATGCCCCTTGCCACCGAAAACATAAGGGACAGATTGATTGACATGGACAAAAAGTTACCTTCGACGACTGCCGGATCAAGACCAGGACCGGGAGTGATTCCCGACGATCGTAAAGCCCGGGAAGAAGTACTTCTAAAAGCCCAGGCTCCTCTGATGAAGACCTCTCATCGATGAGAAGTGTTTGGCGGCCAGTGGAAAGACTCGTCATCATACCGAGCTACGAAAGCCACCATCCCTCAAGTTGTATTAGAGAACATAGCTGAGGACGACCCAAGTAGTGATCAACCATCAATCCAGGACAATGATGATCGAAGCTCGTTTTATTCGGCTCAATCGTAAGCATCCGCTCAACAGAGGGGCTCTAGTTTCGGTCAACGAAGTATGGGACCTCCAGTGTGTACTCATCTCTTGGCTGAATCGGAGCCGGAAGTACCCCAGACGTACGGTTCATCTATGATGTCACTCTCGAATCGCGGCGGGCAAGCGGTCACGCCAAAGAGGAAGCCCAAAGAGAATGTCGTTCAGGCATATGAATCCATTCGTCGACACAAACCACTCAGGGGAGTAGAGAAGGATTCTCTGCCGAGTCATTATTTCAGAGACAAGAACGGGGACAGTGTGAGCCAGCCCGCTCACTGATCCAACTACCCAATAAATATCCGCAAATCAAGATTAACAGTTTCCTCTCTCTTCGCAGAAGTCTCTCGTCGACAACGCAGACAGCATGAACAAGTTCTGGGACGAGGCGACATTCCTACTCGAGGTTCTCTTCTTAAAGCTTATTGGTCAGGACAAAGATGGGATAGATCTCAGCTTCACTGAAAGCAAAGTTGCCGTTTCCTGCACGAAGCGCGAGTCGAACCTCAGGAAAGCTATGGAAAGAGCAAGGCCGAAGTACCAGCAGAGTGTTCTTGAGACGGACATGCACGCAGCACTCAAAGGAATCTTCGACCAGTATTCCTTCGACGAGCCGAAGCCAAGAAAAAGGGAAAGCGGATTAAAGATCTCACACTCATTGTGCTCACAGATGGAATCTGGACTGGCATGAGAGATCCAGATCAAGTGAGAAGAGAAGTCATCGGGTTCCGCCAAAGACTTGAAAGGCAAAGGATAGTCATAAAAGGACGGCCAGTAAGCATTGAGTTCGTCCAGTTCGGGGACGACGAAATCGCCGTAGGGAGACTCAGGCACCTGGACAACGATGTGGTTCTTTACGGCATTGAGTATGTTACTCTCTTCCCTGATCAGTGGCTGAAGACAACTGACCCGATCAAACAGGGACATGATCGATCACGAAATATTCGCGGTCCAGGGTGACATCCACAAGGTGCTTCTAGGAAGCTTCGTTGAATCGTACGATCGCCTGGACGAAACCGAAGAGCAAGACAGAGACAGTCTTGTGAGCAGGAGGACTTGGCCGCCGTTCCAGCAGCCTCAGATCGGAAGCATGAGTGAGTCTCCGGGTCACCAGGATCCACGCGAGAGCTTTGGTGTCTATCCAAGATCCGCGGGCAGAAGGGATTCCGAGGCAACTGTCATGCCTCCGCGTGGACAAAATGCTGAGCGGAATTCATGGTGGGACAGATCTCACCGCTGATGATCTGGTCCTCTTACAGTCGAACGCCGTGCAGGCCCACACCTTGCGGCTCATCAGTGGCTATCAGACGGCTTGGCCAGGTGTTGGGACAGTGGTTACTTATTCATCGCCTCCGTGAGGAAGATGCATCAAGGACCACATCAAGGATCATCATCGCTACTGCCACCACAGCCAGCTACAGACGGTCGATAAACCACACGATTGGCTTCACAACTCCACACCCACAGAGGCGCCATCATCCAGCGCGAAGCCGCCGACGCATGGAAGGCCTGAGCGATTACAAACACTGCACTGGACCGCCGACGTAACCCGCTTGCGGACGCACCGCAGGTCGAGCCAGCGACAAAACTGCAATGCTCGAGGCCGGAACACCAGAACACGGCCCTTTCAGCCATGTCACGGCATGTGGTTTTCGACGAAGGTGTTTTGGTTTACGAAACCGGCGCGCTGCTTGTTGGGTATGGTAGGATTCCTGCGTGGAAGATGTTGTCGGGGAAGGAGGTTCAGCGGTGTGGCAGCGGATCAGTGGTCCTTTCTAAGGATATCTGGGCCGCACGCATAACGAGGAACCACCTGAGGAGAGGATACTGTGGGATGAAGTAGCTCGAGCCCAATTGATTGTGACATTGTCTCAACTTCCTCGGCCTGTTTTCGCTAGTCGCTCACAGGCTGTAATGTGTAACATTAATGCAACGAAGAGATGACACGCAGTAGGATGCGGCCTCAGATCACTTCAAGTACATGCCTCGTTCGCTGAAGGTTCCGTCAAACGTCGTTAGTCCGGAAACGTGAGCTTGCTCGATCTTACGTCTCTCTCATTTAACTACTCTGCTACAGTAGAAACCCCCTGCCCTCCCGCGCAGCCCAAAAAGTCCCGTCTACCCGCCCCAAGGCACCCCAGACAGGCCATCGCATCGCACCGCCCCACCGATAGAGAATGATACGAACAGAAACACAAAACGAGCGCCTGCCCCAGATGCGAATCTAGCGATACAGGAAGCCGCCACGCCGCGCCGCGCCGCGCCGCGCCTCGGCCCACAGACAGAACACAGAGACAGACAGATACAAGAAACAAGTCAAAGCAAAAAGACATCTTGCGCAACGCCCCCCGCTAATTTTTGGCCCCGAACAGAGGAGACAGTAATGAGTCGATTGATTAATTACCCGTTGCCCAAAGAGACACGACACAAGCCCGAGAACGCCAAGAATGCAAAGTGATCAAGCTGCACCGTCGTGGAAAAGGTGGGGAAGGGTGACAGATGGGGATGGTTGGTAATGGCTGCGGCGATTATCCTGCTGTTAGACGCACAGGTCAGTGATGACACTTGATTTGCTGCGTTCTCCGATGGCAACGTTCCTCGTGCAGCAACGACCGAGCCTGGAATAACACCTGACGAGAATTCAAAACTCACCACAGCACAACACCTTCATGATCTTCTTGAACGCCGACTCCTTCTGCTCAGGTTGTGCTTGTTGCGCCCTCGGCGCCGCCTGCACGTTTCCCGTCGGTGGCGAGGTTCCCTGCTGCGTCTGCAGCCCCCCCGGCGGCGTAAGGTTCTGCCTGCTATTCTGGAACTGCGCCGCCGTGCTCCCCTCTGGAGGTCCCAGATCCGCCGTACTCCGCCTCTTCGCCATGTCTGGATGGTACGGCACCTGGTCTCTGCGGGTACCCGGTTGGCGGGCATTGACGCCCGGCGCGCCGCGCGTGGCGCCTGGTTTGGGGAGCTCGGCATCCAGGCGGCCCGGAGGGACGGGGGTTTTGGAGATGCGGGCGTTCTGGCCGTGCAGTTCGCGGTTTGAGGAATTGGGCACTGCGTTCGGGTGGTGTAGGTGTGCGGCTGAGGGGTGCGCTTTCATGGCCTCCCAGCCCTTGCCGTTGTTCAGCTTCATCCAGTCGTACTCGCCGTCCTCGACCTCGCCGGTGGATTTGAGGGCTTGAGTGAAGAGTTCGCGGAGGTAGTCGTAGTCAGGTTGATCTTCGAAGCCGAGATTGCGCACGTAGGAGAGGTATTTATTGAACTCTTCGGGGTAGCCGTCGCAGAGGTCTTTGATGGCTGTCGTCTGTTTCTTCTCGCCAATCTTCTCGTATTTTTGCTTGTTGGTTGCCGCCTTCAGGCCTTGCCAGGGTAGTCCGCCTCGTAGAAAGTACATGAACACGTGCCCTAGTGCCTCCAGATCATCTCGCCGTGACTGCTCTCGGCCCAAGTGTGTATTGATGCTCATGTAACGCGCCGTCCCCGAAAGTGATTTTCGCTCCCGATAAGGTATGTGTTGCTTTGTTTTTGGATCGCGATACTGTTTCGCCATGCCGAAGTCGACTACATGGATGACATTTGCGGATTTCGAGCCCGGTCGGCCAATGAGGAAGTTGTCTGGTTTGATGTCTCGGTAGATAAGGTTCTTTTCGTGTATCGTCTGGACGCGGGAAAGCTGGTATAGTGTAAGTTGCACGTTCGGATGGCACAAGGCTGAGGGTAAAATACCATTTGTTTCGCAACCATGACCACTGTTTTGATGGAGAACCGGCGATTGCAATGATCGAAGAGGTCTTCCAAGCTCGGTCCCAGCAGATCGATAACCAAAATGTTATGTAGGCCTTCTTGGCCGAAGTAATAGACATTGGGAATACCAGCTGTTGGACGTTAGCGACGTATCGCAGCTGCATGACGAAGAACAAGGAGCCATGCTGAACGAATGCGGCGGCCATTGCTCTAGCCTGTCGAGCTCGGCATGCTGAAGAGCGGCGCCTTTGCAGCCGGGCTCGAAGTTATAGCCGTAGTAGAGTCTCGATCCAGTATACCCTGCCTTCGACGCGTATAAGCCGACTAGTAAGAAAACACTACTACTTACGGCATCCCACGAGTATCTTGTAGGTCCTATACTCGTCTCTCAGCTGCGGAGCATCGCTCTTGCGCGGTTCCTACAAGTCTCTCAGTATTGCCTTACCAGCCGGCTTTGTAGGGCTCAATGGCGCGACAACGTACGAATTTGATGGCGACCTGCTGGTTGTTGAGGAGGTTTGTGCCCTCGAAGATGACACCAAAGGAGCCCTCGCCGATCTTCTTACCCACGCGGTAGTGGACGCCGACGACGTTGGACGACGACGAGGCCATGGTTGTTTGCGTCCTCGGCGGTCGGGGCGGGCGACGGCTGTGGCAAGTCCCGAGTGTGCGCTGAGGCGAGTTCACGATCAGCGGCACGTATGTCTTCAAGGCGGGTAGAGTGGATGCAGGAGCGGGAGATGGTCGTCGCAGCCGTGTTGAGGCAGAGGAGGGCTGGTCGTGCCAAGTAGGGGCCGCCGGAGAACAAGACGACGCTACCGCCGCTTGGAGGGATCCCTCGCCTAACCACCAACGAGCGGCGCGGCGATTGAAATAAGCAATAACAGCCAGACGGCGCCGAAGCTGTCGAGGACGTCTGGAAAGGGCGGGCGCTCGAGTCGTTGGTGGTAGGGAAAGAGGCGCTCCTGTGGTTTGATGTCTGGTGCGAAGACGCGAAACCGTTGGAAACTCCGGGCAGGCCAGGCGAGAGGCTGTGGAACAGGTCCTGGCGTCTGTAAAATGAGTTGCGGCAGGCAATCCGCCATTAACGAACGAGAGAAGCCCTAGAAGGCCGATGGATGTTTGTTCTGGCGAATTAACAGCTTCAACCTATGAGCACCGTTCGATATAGAGCGGCGTGCTGACTAGGTAACCAGAGGAGCTACACGATGGATATATACGTCACGTGACATTAACCCAGCTATCGTCACGAAGAATCGATGCCGTAGCGCTCGGAACTGTTGAGCATCGTCGTGCTCGATGAAGAATTCACAGAACGCCGACGCTATGCTGTACACAACCTGCTGGCATCCCGCCATGTACCATACGCTCAAACCGCCCCGGAGAACTGCCCTCGAGTCGACTAACAGTTCACTTCCTCGGTCTCTTGTTGCTCTTGTTACTAGCCGAGCTCATCACGCTCGCGGAACGCTTATGACCTGCCTGCCCAGCACCAGAAGACGGTGGTCGTATGGCACCGCTGCTCGCCTCCTCCATCTTGACATCCTCATCTCCATCAGCATCCGCCTCTCCATTCGCGCCCCCAGCGGTAGCAGCAGCGCCATCCGCCCCTTCCTCCCCTTCTCCCGGATCTACCGCCTCACTCTGCTCCTCCCCCGCCTGCAGTGCCTGCCCCCCCGGACCCCCTTCCAGTGCCTTCTGCGTCTCCTCTGCAATTCTCAGCTCCGCCTCCTCTTTCTCAAGCACCTTCCGCACATCCAACAGCTTCACGATCGTGCCAACCAACCGCTCTAGCGCATCGCACGCCCGCTCCGTCGGCAAGGGCAACAGCTCTGGGACCTTCAGCTCCGCAAGCGCGGCCGCGATCTTCTGCGTCTGGATTGTCGATTTCGCCTGCCGGATCTTGAGCAGCTTGTCGAGCCTGAAGGTGACGCCAGATGTGAGACGCTCGTGAGTGGAGTACCCGAACCGCGCCGCTTGCCGCGGGGAGAGCTGTTTAGCGGGACCATTGGTAGGCGTCGCAGCCGCAGCTTGCGGGGCAGAGCCTTTCTTCTGCTGGGCCGAGCCTGCCGCGACACTGATAGAATCGCGATGGCCGGGTCCGCCTCCGGAGACGGGCGTTTGAGCGCCATTCGGCGTCCCAATCATGTCGCCCATATTCAGCGACAGCCGGCCACGCTTCTTGGCCCTATCCGCAGTAATGAGTTGGGTAAAGAGAAGCTGTAGCCCAGGACTCGTCGAGTATTGCGCGACGCTTGTATTGCCAGAGGTCTGCGGTCCTTCCAACCTTTGCCTGATCTCCTGCCGCTCTGTCTCGAGCTTCTTGTAGTTGAGGGCTATGCGCTGCAGTTCGGCGAGCAGGAATTCTTCTTCCTTGATCTCGTCGGCACTGCGCCGGAGGAGGCTTTCGGCATATTTCTTGCGTGTTGTCTCGTGCGCGGCGGAGAACTTGGAAAGGGTTTCGTGGAGACTGAACTCGGAAGGGTTCATGCGGGAGACGGGTGTTTGGAGAGTCATGCAGATGGCGGAGAGTTGGTAGTAGCGCTGCTTCAGGTCCTCCATGGAGCGGCGTTTGAGGGTCTTCGGCGGTGTTGCGGCGGCGTCTGGAGGTTCTGCTTCTTGAGAGGGTTCGGAAGGTTGGAAGTCGTAACGATCCGCGATGACGGGCCACCGCTGGTAGTATGCCTTGACTTGTTGGCACAGATAGTCCGTCTCTTCTTTTGACCAGTCATCGTTGCGAAGATGCGCCTCGTATTGCTCGTCGGTGTATTGTGGGGTTTCTATCTGGACGTTGTATTTGGCGAACGCAGAATCCTCTTCCACCTCGGGTTCAGTGCTCGCAAAATTCTCTTTGGTGTCTTCAGACCCCTCGAGAGGCTTGTGCGATACCTTAGCCTTCTTCCAGTGTCGCAAGACCAGTCCGTCTGACCGTGCGGAGTTAACGAAAGGTGTCCATGCCCTGCGGACTACCCGTCAGCATTGTGCGCGCTCCGTATGATGTATCGGTATAGATACCATCGTTGCACTGGCTTCTTGTCGATCAATTTCTTGCCCCGATATGCTTTGCTCTCGTCCTGGATCACCACCGGTGCTTGATCGCGATCGCCATGTAGGTCGGCCAGTTCTCGAGCAATGCCACCTGCGCGAAGCAATTAATAACATGCGCCTTGTCTCACCCCACAGTGTTCACCAACCCTTCCGTCTCTGCTGCGTCTTCTGGACCGTCTTTTGTCGTTGAGGCGGAGGAACGGGCTTCAGTGCCGCATCTAAGCCTAGGATGTCGTCCACGTCGCGTCTTGAGGCCATGATGACAGGCAACGCTGCGAGGCGCAATGGGTCGTGGACGTACGATGATCGAGAGGAGGCTTATCGGGTGTTGTCGCGAGAATGGTCGATATCGAGACTTCAATCTCACAAGTCGAAGTCGGCGGGAGCCCATCACGTGATTCTCTCGTAGGTGTCAAGGCATGCATATGGACTCTCTCATGGCGCAAGGTCTGAAGAGGTGAAACCAGAGTCTCTCAATGTTGCCTGACGCTGTCCTTTGCTCTATCACCGCTCTACAGCGCCTTCTAGCCCAACTCAAACGCCAGAACACCAATCATGCCAGCCAATCCAACCTGGGCTACCTATCCGCACTCCGAGCTCCTCGCGAATGCAAAACAACACATAATAAATCAAAGCTGTACATCGTTGTTGAGAAGCCGCACCTCCTCGCCAGGCTTGAACGCCGGCAGTCCAATGTACGGACAGCCATCGCAGCGGAACGCATCACCAAGAGCGCAGTTGCCGCAGCTGCCGACCTTGCCCTGTACCGTAAAGTCGACTTCCGCCAGATCATCTGCATCCAGCTTCATGGCGTTGAGAGCATTATCGGCGGCCGATCGCTTAGCGGCATCTTCTGCTTCGATCTTCTCCTTCAATCCGCAAGTGCAGTCTTTGCAGGCTCGACGGCGCTTGCCCGCCTTGGGCCGACACTCGGGAGCTGAAGTAGTGAGTCAGTAACAGGCTCTCTCGCAGTAAAACTGTCGATACTTACGTTGTGTGATAGGCCGAGCAAGATCTGCTTCCGTCAAGAGATCGTCCTCATCGATAAGCTCGTCATCCTCGCCGGTGACTATCGGCATGCCGAAATCGTCGCTGAAATCCACAAAGCCCACACCAGCCGGCCTTATCGGTTCATCTGACATGCTCTTCCGCTTGCCGTTTGATGTGAGTGGCACCGCGCCGTTGGCATTCGCCACTCCGTTTGTTGCAGTGTCTGCCTTCTTCCTGCCAAGTCGCAGCGGTACAGCAGCGCTCCCTACGTCTTCTGGCTTCACCATACTGTCTGCTCCGCTTACTAGACCGGCCAAGATGGCCTCTGTCCTCTCCGCGCCATCCAGACCAAACGTGCCGTCCTGACTCCTAAACCTCCCGCCAGCCTTGAGCGCCTGTACCAACTTTGACATGACGTCTCTCCCAAGAAGTCTCTGGCTCTCTACCCTTGTTCCATCGGCATCGGTGAGGAGGAGAACAACGTCGTAGGTGGCGGCGGGAAGGGAAACGAGGCCCAGGGCCAGACGATCTAGCATCTGAATGTCCGTGAGAGTGCGGTCGTGGGCCTCTATGACGCGATTGAGCGCCTCCGGGTGCGCTGATATTGACGGCGGTGCAAGTAGCAGCGTGCGCAGGCTTGAGGCCGCTTTCATGGTGGGCGGAGGAGGGGTAAAGTCGAAGTCGCAGGTGTTTTCTATCGTGATTGAAGGCGCCATGGCGGGGTCTGTTCGTTGTGGTGTAAACGTAGGCGTTATTTCAGGTTGCGGAGTGCCCTGAGTGTAGTTATGGCGAGTTGTGTCTTTAGTGTTGTATCAAAAGCGTATCCAACAAATTTCCGCGGGAAGTCGCCGCGGTTGCGTGATGCGGATTACAGAGCCGGATCTTGGCACCGAAAGTCGGCAGTTTAATCCCAAAGAAGCATAGTTGGCAGATAAGGCGGCCGTTAGCGGAATCCGGGGTATGCAACATGCCGCGTCAGAATGTTGTTTGGAACCTTCGCTCTCATTCTGAAAAGCAGCTCTCAATCCAAGGACTGACCCAGCTGTGAAGCTTCAGGACCACCAAGGCAAACGGTGCGAACCATTCTAAAGTAGACCTGGTCACTTACAGTGGCTCACCAAATCACGCCTTTCGGATAAGAGAGTCGTTTGTAGGGTAACCTAGGGACAGCGGGCGGGAGCATGCCCGTTGTACCTGAGCATCCACAGGCGGCATCCTGCAGTGACTCGGAACTGGAGAGGAGGCCTGGGCACAGCTTCCCGGGCTGTGTCTGTCTGTCGGCATACCCCGCAGCCTGAAGGGCTATCAGCTCCCCGCTCCCCGCTCCCCATGGGGAGCTTTCCATCTGTTCTTTACGCTGTCTGAGCCCTCCACGAACGGCTCATACACCATCCCGAGCCGCGAACATCTCTGATCCAATCACTTGCATCGTGTTAAGACAGACCTGCAAGGTACAGAAGCGGAACGGTGGCGTCACTCCTGTGGCTTGGCCAGAGCTCCACTTGTGGTCACGAGAGCAGCTGGGGAAGCTCACCGAACACCCATTCCCGAGCTCTGAACATCTGCAACACCTGCAACATCCTACAAGCCATCCTAGATACTCAGTAACCCGCCTCAATCTACACCGTACTATACATTCCTTCATATCAGTGAGTCTGTTCCCTCTCCGCAACCCGCCATTGCGTCACGCCAGGGCTCCCGGAAGCTCACGGAGCAATCTCCTACGAGCGACATCGAGCGACATCAGGCTCTATCCGCGTCCCTAGAATCGTCAAACCCAATGCTGACTATACGCTCACGCAGTGACTCGCTCGCACAAGCACAACGACCGCGACCACGTCGGCCTGGCTGACGGCACCGCCGATCCGGAAGCTCATCTCCCTCGCTACTTCGCCAAGTCCGGCTTCGCCGGCGCCGACCCCAAGAAGACGAAGAAAGAGGGCGGCGGCAAAGGCAACTGGTACTCTCCCCTTCCTCACAAACCTCCCCATCTACTAATCCGTCCAACCCCAGGGGCCGCGACGGCGACGAAGTCCAAGACTTCACGTACAATATGACAAACCCACGTCGGCGCTCCAACAGCAGCTCGACCGGCCCAAGCAGCGCCCTCAAGACCAAGTTCGAGACCGTCGAGGCCGAGCCCGTGTTCGAGGAGGAGCTGCACGGGCCCGTCACCGTTCCCGGCGGTGGCTCCGAGGACTCAGCCGCCGAGCTCGAACATAGCATTACGGGGAGCAGCAGCGACTTGAGCGTGCAGGAAGAGGAGTCGGGTAAGAAGATGTGAGGGGACGTGGGTTGATGGAGAGGCGTTTCTAGGGAGGGTATGTGGGAGTTAGCAGGATGATCTTGTGTATGCTGGTGGAACGTTGTTGCTGGCCATGCTAGAATTTCCCCAAGTCTCCATCCCATCATGATGACTGGCTGGCACTTTCTTGCTGGTCGAGCTGTGTTATTGTGGCCTCGATGGCTTCTCCTCTGTGGATCAGCATCTGCAGTTGACTTGGTAGCGATTCAATGAAGAATAATGTAAAACGCTCAACTTTGTGCTGAGCTCTACTTGCCCCATACATTAAGAGTTGTATGCATGCAGGCGCCGTTTCTGCTAGAAGCTCATGATGATGTCGCCATCGCTCGTCCCGTCCTGCGTCCATCCCCTTCCTTGTTCGATATCAATCTCGTGCATCTCAACAAAAGGTTCGAGGTAACTATCTGCCCCGCTTCTGCTTTCTGAAGAGGGTGAAATACGTTGCCCAAAGCCACTATCAGTAAAAGACAACCGAGCAGGCCTGCGTGGAACAGGCATAAGCAGACCCTCAGCAGAATCATCAGCGCCCTGATCTGGAGGCCATGCGGGCATAGAATTCCATAGACTCTCCGGGTCCTCCAAATCTTCAGGCTCCTCCAGCTCGTCAGGCTCCGGGTCGAACAACAGATCATCATCCGAAGGGTAATCGTCAAGGCTGTCGTCGGCCCAATCTAACAGCTCATTCTCAGCGGCGAAGGCAAGCAGGTCGTCTCGCCTGTTGGCTGCTGTTAGATCTTCCAGTAGGTCATCACCATCCTGTCTGGCCATAGCAACTGCGTCTTCTGGAACCTTCAGCGGCTTCAGTCGTCTCGCAGCTTTCTCGTCGAAGATCTCTCGTTGCAGAAGCTGCCACAGCTTTGTAGAGATCGTGTCGTACGCACCGCTCGCTGACAAGGGTGCGGTCACGTGAAAGATCGTGTCCTCTGTACTCGAGTTGCCCTCAGCGGGATCCGTATACTTCGTAGCCAGCGTCTCAATCTTAGATCGCAATGACGCCGATCGAGCATTCTTGTATAAGCTGTTCGATAACGCGTGCGCGATTGTGGGAATGAAGACCGCACGCTGCGAGACAGCCTGCCTGTTGTCAGCAATTAGAACCCCAAGCAGAGAAACAGAGTTTTAGTACCGGCAGGTAACCTGGACTCCACAAAGCGGGAGCGAACTCAGACAACCTCGCCACAAGATCGGTTCTCTTGACTTTCAGACCGGGCGGGAGCTTGGTAGCTCGCTCACGTATTGTCAGGCGGAGGGCTGCATCAACTAGCTGGGTCAGTTTGTCTGGGCTGACACTGTCTTCATGTTCTTCATCGACTTCGTCCTCTGGATTCAAGGCAGCTGTAGTCCATTTCGACGAAGGTAGAACGTTGGCGGCATCCACGTGACCAGGACCATCCGTAGGTTGACGCTCTTCCTCCCATAGAAGCTCATCTGACGGCGACGTGCACAGTAGAGGTCCTTCAAGCAGCAGTATATCGTCTTCATATAAGCTCGACTGTGAGGCTGCCTCTTCCAAGCTCTCAAACCACGCATCCTCCTGGCTGTTGTACAGCCCGGATAAGGAGTCGGCAGAAACGCAAAGTCTTCTCTTCTTCCTCGGAGGTTTTGTTTTAGTGACACGAATCTTGAGGTTGATGGCCTCAAGGGCGATTTGCTCCACCCCTTCAGGAGGCTTGACATCCGCAAAAGATCCGCCGAGGGAGAGCTGGTGATGAACGTTCTTCTGCGGTACGTCTTCAAGGCGATCATGATCCAGTTTGATGCTTATCAATCCTTTCGAAGAGCCTAGTCCGTCAAGACCTGTGTGCTCTGGCGCTACCCATGTTCGTAAGCGTAGCTGAGCCCACATCTAATCGACGTTAGCATCCGTCCTGTAGGTTTGGAATATTCACAGACGTCGGCCTTGTAAATAGCTGCTCTGAGCGACTCAAGACGTTCATCGTCCAACGGCTTCCCATCTATAGTCACTTCAAGCTCCAGCTGTAGGCCTACACCCCGGCAAACCCATGCCGCTTTTGATGTAAGCCAGTCCGAACTGTTCAGATGTAAGTGCTGCGAGGTTAGTGTGCCATTTTGCACCTTAGAGGTTGTGATGCTCGCATTGAGAGCGAGCTGTAGTTTGCTTTTTGGGCAGCTCAGACGAAGATGTCCCAGATTTGTTATTGTAGACATGGAGTCTGGTTACCGACCATCTTCGCCCGCCTCAAAATAGCCGGAATATGGTTTAGCCTGTCTAGTTGAAGGACATCGAGTCTCTCCAGAAATTTGATGCTTGGTCGGAGGTTCTCGGAGTTTGCGCGGAGGGAGTCCCGTTGGCAGCGGGTCGTCCCGCAAGCTCACCAATGTTAAAGCAAACAACCACCCAGTCTTTGAGATGTAGCTTGAACAAGAATCTAGCAGAAGTAATGGCGTCTCTACCGAGAACAGCATGGAAGCGGCTACTACGTACCCAGCGAGTAGCGAAGAATCAATTGGAGCTTCCCAAACTGCGACGCGTCGACATACGAAGCTTCCATGCAACCACGAGGCACGCGACAGACGGGGTATTCCAGGCATTGACGCAAGCCAGGATCCAGACACCATGGATCGAAGCTCTCCGCAAGAAGCAGAATGAGGGCCACGATCCTACCCAAGGCTCCGGCAAGCCAGAAACCCCCGCAAACCGCAGCCTCGAGCCCAAGCGGATGTCAGACAGCTACCACAGCGTGGTAAGCTGTCACCTGGCGTGTGGGCACAGGTGCATGACTGATTGATCCAGTCCTAGATTCTGCCGCTTGCACAAGATCCATGGCTGTCTGATACTTACCTTAATTCATCTGGTCAGATCAGGTCTGTTATACGGAATCACTTCTCAGGACGCTGCGTATAGCTGACCATCTGCAGGCTTGGCACCATTTTCATGGACCTCGATGCTTTGTCAGGCATCATTGCGTACAAGCACACAGGCGAGGATGTAACTACGGTTACAGCAGCCTGCGACAGAATCACCATCAATCACCCCCTGACTGAGATATGCGACCTCGAGCTCAGCGGTCAGGTGACTTATGCTACCGGCAGAAGCAGCATGGAGATTTCAATCCAAGTTGCTAAGGCGCCCAAGGAGGGTCAGAAAGTCGAGGACGAGGATGTCCTGCTGAACTGTACCTTCACGATGGTGTCGCTAGATCCTGGGACGAAGAAGTATGTACAATGAGTTATTCGGCCTCTGCCCTCGGTAACGTGTCTAGACCCGTACCCATCAATCCCGTCATCGTCGAGACAGAGGAAGAACGCCGTCTGTTCGAGAGAGGCGAGCGGAACTCCAAGCGCAGAAAGGAGCGCGCCCGGACGTCTCTCCTCGAGCACACGCCCAATGACGAAGAGAGCGATCTAATCCACGCCCTCTGGCAACGCCAACTGCAATACCACGGCAAGCCCTCTAACCTCCATGTCCAAAGCCCCTCACTAACAGCACCCCTAGACCCCAGCGACGCCCTCCGCAAACCCGACAACGTCCACTTCATGGACGCCACCGTGCTGCGCACCGCTAGCATAATGCAGCCCCAATACCGCAACCGGCACCACTTCATGATCTTCGGCGGGTTCCTGCTAAAGGCAACCTTCGAGCTCGCCTTCTGCGCCGCGGCCTCCTTCGCGCACACACGGCCAACCTTCGTCTCGCTCGACCCGAGCACATTCCAGAACCCCGTCCCCGTGGGCAGCGTGCTCTACCTGACCGCCACCATCACGTATACCGATCCGCCGCTCGTGTATGCAGTGAGTGACGAGAAGGATGCGACGGGCGAGAGCCGGTATACGCGCATTCAGGTGCGCGTGGATAGTAAGGTTAGGGATGTGGAACATGGGGTTGCGAAGCCGACGGGGCAGTTCAACTATACATTTACGGTCGATAAGGATATCAAGGTCATGCCGAGGACGTATAGTGAGTTCATGATGTACATTGATGCCCGCAGGAGGGTGAAGCAGGTAGCGGCGAGCATCAATGAACAAGAGCCGGCGGTGGGCGAGCGCGTTGACGCTGGGGAGAAGAAGAGGGTTACGGAGTAGCAGTGTACTGTCCTTGATTGGAAAGAACTGGAATATTGAGTCTAGTGCAAACTGAATCTAGAACGCCACGTGCTCCTGCGCTCAAACGCTCGAAGCAAGCAATACCAACAGACAAACCAACCCCGATTTTCCTCCTGCGCCTGATTCCAAAGACTTGATATGTACCATATCACCCTATATCAACGCCTACTATGGAACATTCTGGTCTACTAGCCAACAGAGTCAGCCGCCAGTCCCACGTGCACCACTCAGGCACTCTCACCTAGTCGGCTACCACATGTGCTTTGTCTGGCTATATCTCATCCAGCTCGAACTCCAGCGCGACATCTTCGGAGCAGTCCGAGCAGTAGTAGTTGCTGAAGCCGCCGCAGGTGACCTGCATGTTCTTGCACATGTCGACGCTCCATGCATCGTACGAGTAGCCGGACAGCAGTCGGTTATGGCAGACCTCGATGCTGTTGGCCCAGAGGTAGTAGTCGCAGCCGCAGTGGTACCAGGAGTAGGTGTAGGAGCACATGACTGGCGGGTTGATTTGGGGAGTGGCGGTTGGGGCGCGCTGGAATGGGTTGACGGACGAAAAGGCAAGGTTTCTTCAAAGATTGTGAGAAGTTGGTCCTGCGGCGGATTAAGTGGCTGTCCAGTGATGCTCGCATCAAGAATATGGAGGAATTACTCACGAGTCTGCCGTGCAGCGCAACTACAACAAAAGCGAACGGGGATACGTAAGGTCGTCGTGTTCAATTCCGATTCTCTCTCGACGGCCCTTTCTTGACAGTATATACACTTTCCCCCACGACAAGTCTAGAACCTTCTTACCCTCTTTCATCTTTGTCCCCTCGTGGGGCGCGCGTGGCTATTTTATCTATCCTTTGTCCTCGCCCGAGATCGGGTCCAGCCCTCGTAGCCATGGCAACGCTCGAGCACTGGTACCCATCCGCTGGGTACCACGATGCCAGAGCGCACTGGCTACCTGGCATAAAGCTTCGGTCTCACTGCTCGACGCCCGATGTGCACTACATTGGCGGCATCTGCCAGCCTACGCGGATGTACCTTCGGACATCCGGTTCGCGGAGGAGGTACGTAGCGCATGCTTATCTTGGCCTCAGCGCCGGTGAGCGGAAGAAGAAGTGAGCAGTCGCGTGTCCTTCAACCGTTCATGCACGCGCCCTGCAGCAACATGGGACGGTATTTCTGCTGCTGCAGGAGAGAACCGGATGCCGCGTTCCGCATGCGCCAAGCCGGGCGTTCAGGGAGTTTCCGAACCCGTTTGAAGGGGGCTTCATGATTGGAAGCCCTGGATTTGCGGCTGCGTCGGCAGGGTGTTGGCGATGAGGTCGGGGGGAAGGGGCGGTCAACAGGTGAGGTGGCTTTCGGAGGCGGCGGGAACGCGGATGGGAGGTCAGCGCGGGACTGTGCGGCTCTTCCTTTGTGAGTGCGCTTTGGGCATCGTGAGACGAAAGACGGGACATGCTCGTGGATGTGCAGTTCGGCGGTGTGACAAGCAGACTGCATACTCGTAGTACGCGGCGAATTAACAAGTGCCACGAAGGGCCTCAAGCCTCGTAAGCTTCTGCGGCAGCTGCTGTGAACACAACCTGGAACATCTCCTGCTCAGACAGCGGTCGTTACGGGCACTACAACCCGCTCACATAAATGCCCTACACCTGGATGGACCGAGCAGTGCTGCAAGCGCATGCCAAAACAAAAGACTTCCTGAGGTGCAGATAAAGAAGGTCCGCCGTTATTAGCGCCAGGTACTAGCGCCATCTGCAGGCACCGCATTCTTCGACCAAGTGGCTGCGTCGAAAGCATGCCGATGCACGAAAGCCGCGCGAGCTGGAATCAAGGATGGGATACGCACGGTACTGTTATCTTGAGGTGAGACGGATCCAGCATTCAAGCCCCGAAGACCCAGCCGCGAACCCTGGGGGCTCCTCATCGCATTCATGCTGGGCAGATCCCTTGCGCTGAGCGTCCGCTTTCGCCGCAGACGTGGAATGTCCTTCTAGACAGGACTGAGTGGACTTTTTGAACTGCGGTGTTCTACGGAGAAATCTAGTGTTACCGTTTTGGGAACGATCTTGGAGGTGTTTGACCATCACACCTGAGTGCATTTGAACCGCCAAAGCGACTGATAGCAAGGGAATGTGGACCACCGCGAACGCAAGCTAGCTGTCAACTAGAGAGTTGCGTGTTCTGCTTGAGTATGACACTGTTAATAACTGGGCGTTTCCGGTAACGATGGTCAAGGATGCTTGATGACCTGTTCGATACTTCCGTGCCGCAGCGAGATCTCAACGCTATTTTCTCTATCATAAACTGCTCATTACCAATAGAACGTACTGAGACAGACGCGCATAGACTTGGTACGAAAGGGTTGACAAAGTTATGTTCATTTGATGAGAATATACAAGAATCCCAAAACAGGGCCAGATATCCCGCAGGCGAACCGGCGTCTTAAATACAGATACTTTCATTTGCCGTGAGATTCCAGCAGCTCCTTGTCATACTCTAGCCGGTTGATGTGCTTCTTCGAAAACTCGAACGCTGAGAAGAAGATCGCATTGACGACGCAAGAGCGCATCATGGACACCCACAAACCTGAATCGATAGTACTACGTTAGTTTACATTCGAGGGTAATGGAGAAGAGCGATGACGTGGGACAAGAGCATGACGCCTACCTCGATACATGCGCCGATTGAAGAACTGGATATGCGGCCTCTTCGGCTTCGCGGTGCGGTCGATTTGTGTAGTCAGGCAGTTGCGCTGGTAGATGCTCTTCGCCGAGTCGATAGGGTATATCTATGGGGAATGTCAGCGTTGAATGAAGAGCCTGAGGGCCAGCCTCCGAGACACAGTGACATACGCAAGCCCAGCTGACAAGCCCACACAAGCCTCCCGCAATAACGACCGCGAGCGGCGAGGTCGGAGAAGCGCCGCGCCCGTTCGCAAGCACCTGCTTCGCACTCTCGTACGTCATAAAATAGATCGCTGTGCCGATAGTATCGCGCACTGTACTCAGCTGCCGTCAGTGCTGATTCCGCAAACACCCGCTACTACACCCAGTATCTTTCTGGAATGATGGAGCTCTGCTAGCACTCACATAGATGAAACTGCAATCCCGAATATAAACCCCGAAAACCTCTATGCTTGACAATAGCCCGCGCCGTCTTGATCGTGCCCATCTGCTGGTAGCTCTGGATCCGTTTCCGCAGCGGTTCATCTACACTCGATCTGTTGCGGTCGTTCATAAGGACGGCGATCTGTGCACTTAGCTTCGTCAATTCGAAGGGACCTATTCAGACACGATCAGTACCTCAACCCGCTCATCTATTATCAAAAGCTGTTCATCTTACATGCGATAAACGTTATGACCGCTCCTGCCGTTGCGCCCGCAGCACCGAAACACGTCACCGTCCCCAGCGTGGGCAGCGCATCCTTTGTATTCGCGATGACGAGGGGAGAACTGCCGGTGGCTCTGCGTATCCAGCCGTCGTACGTGTACTTGGCCTTCTGGTAGATGGAGAAGGAGACTGTCCGGACAAGTGTGATGCTCGCTAGGGGGGACCAAACGCCTGTTATCGGTTGCTATCAGCGGACGTCATACCCAGCAGCTTTCTGAGAGGAGCAAGGCTCACCGCGCCAAAACCCGTGAACGCCCTCTGTTCTATACGTGTGTCGAACGCAGTCCGCAAAGTTGTTGAACTTGTATCTGATGTGCATGTGAGCACCTGCCTTGCTAGATTGGTAGCTGAGAAGAGGGGTCCAGCACTCACGCCTGCATCCGCGTCTTTACAGAGTCCAAAGGATACTGCCACCCCCTAAGTCAGCCCTCTCTTCCACATCACCCCTGAGCTCCCACAAGGAATCCCCTTACAGCAGCCAAAGTGCTCAACAAGCTGCTCGAGCTCGCCGCAATCTCAGTCCTGTACTTCTTCATCCATCGCTTGCTCTGGTGGCTCATGAGCAGCGACGCCGAGGGCGGGAGCCGCGGCTGCTGCGCGGCGCGAGCATCGTCGGTGTGGTCGGGCATAACTGGCGGTCGCTAGCTGTTGAAGACGGGGCACGTCCTCAAGGCAATCGCGACGGGGCCAGTAGCCAGAGGTGCTCCATGAAGGCGTCTGCAGTCCTCCGGGGGAAGATGGTGTGCCCGTCCCTCTGGTGGGTCAATTGCAATGGCAATGGTGATGCTCAGGGGAGCTCTGACGGACGGCGGACGTGGAGTGCAGCTTAGGATCGAGCTTGGTGGTGGTGGTGGTTGTTGGTGATACGGGCGAGTTGTGGAGGCTTGACGTTTGCTGTAGCACCCGAGACGGTGGGGTGCAGCCCGAAATCATGACTGCGGAGGGATTGCCCCTCTACCGCTGATTGGTTCGGCGGTTGCAGCGGTCATACACAGCAGCGATCGCCGTTGAACTGTTGCCAGATCGGTAATTGCATGCGGGTGGTTAAATATTTACACTGCAGTCGTGACAGCTTCCACAAGCAGTATGTATGTATGGGCATGTCTACGGCCCTTGTGCCGCCCAGCCAGAATGAATCTCAATGAACATATGTTGTCAGCATCTTAGAACATTACCCAGCCCAACCGCCCAGGCTGCTCAGCTACATTGCTGATGAAGCGGTCAGCTCACAGGACATGTGTCGAAATGCGTATCAGAATCAGGATTTATCTGCCAGTTGACCTAAGCTAACCCCAGCCGTTCTTCCCGACTCCCCCTTGAAACCCCAAACTATGCTCAGAGCCCCGTCGCCAAACCTGCAATGCACCGCCCATCTCCACAAACACCAAGCCCGATAAAACTCAACCACTACCGCAAACGAACTCATTGACCGCACCGTCTATTGCCTCCCAACCCGCCATCTCCCTCAGAACCCCAGCTACTTCGACCCGTTGCCACTCACGACACCACCCCCTTTCATCGCATTCACCATCGCGAGACCATTTGCCGGGAAGCCCGTGCCGGTTTGCCCGCCAGCCTGCACCCCGTTCCCCATCCTCATCGGCGGGTAGGGCAAGCCCTTCGGTGGCTGCATTGACACGGGCGGTGGCGGCTTGGGTGGCAGATGGGCGGGTGTGCCCCATTTGGCTATGCTGCTCTGGCCAGTCGTTGCAGGACTCGTTGCAGGCTTCGGTGACTTCTGCGCGAGAGGCTGGGGAAGGGGGTGCGAGAACGGCTGAGCGGTGCCAGCGGTGCCTTTGGGAGCGCTGCCATTGTTGGTGCTTTGGGTGGCACGGTTGGAGCTGAAAGAGGGAAGCTGGGGGGTCGCAGGGCTCTGGCGCGGGAGTTGGGGAGACATTTGGAGGGGGAAGTTGGAGTAGCCACTCATGCTTGGCGAGCCTATTGGGATCGTGCCGTGCATTGGTGCCGGGCCTGCGCGGCCGCCGGGGACAAAGGCTTGGCTCTGTGGGTTGAACTGCTGACGATTGTAGCTTCCAGGGAGCGGGTGCTGGGAATTGCGCGGCGGCTTTCCGTTCTGATAGGGAGAGGTGGGATACTGGCCGTACATGTGCTGCTGCTGCTGCTGCTGCTGCTGGAGTTGTCCCTGGTTGGTGGGCATGCCGGACGGATCAGTGTAGCCCATTTGCGGGTATTGCATCTGAGGCAGCTGATAAGCGTTTTGGTACTGAGGCTGCGCCCAGGATGGTTGAAGGGGCTGCGATTGAGGTTGAAAGGCAGGGTAATTTGCCAGCGGCGGAGAAGGCATTGTCATCTTGGCTGATCCTTGAGGGGGTGTGTTCACCATCTGGAATGACTGCATCGCAGTTTGGAAGCTGGCAGATAGATCATACTGGGCTGGTGGCGAGTAGCTCTGGCCACCAATGACTGGCGTACCGGCAGTGTAGTTCTGTGGCCAGCAGTATTGTCGCTGAGCACCCTGCTGGGCCATGTAGGGGAAAGTACCGTTGTAGGCTATCGGCGGCGACGCATTTGAAGGCATGGCTGGGTACTGAGCTGGTGGCATCATGGCGGGATAAGTCCCGTAGTACATGTCCTCTTCGGAATATCCGGCAGCAGCTTGGGAGGGACCGTAGTACGAAACGAACTGTGATCGGGCTTCAAAACCGTCATCGTTGTTGCCACGCTGCTTCTTGCCCTTCTTCTTGCCAGAAGCGGAGCTTGAGCGTGACGCATCTTTATCTCTGTCCTTCTCTTCTGCAGCAATCTCTCCATCCGCCTTCGTTTCCTCCACGTTGCCGAAGATGCGCAGTCTAGCCTCGTTATACTTGGCTTCCCGCTCTTGACGGGTGAGCGCAGCCTTGCTCTTGCCCTCACCCTCGCCACCGTCACTACCTTCCGCCTCGGATGTGGCCTTTGACGCTCCTTCGGAATTGGTAGATGTATTGACGCCGGAAGCATTCTTTCCTCCATCTCCTCGACGCATAATCTTGCGTGCTGGCTGGAGGTTAGGGGGGGTGTTTGCACCAGTGGGCGGATTCGATATACCAGACAACGGAGGGGGCCTACGGAAGTCAGTTGTCGAATGGTCGTGTCTCGCAACGATATGAACCTACAGTCTGGCTATCGTCGTTTGCTTGAAGATCCGCACAGCGCTGAGAGAATCATCTAGCACGTGACCGAGGTCATAGTAGTCGGCCAATCGGTGGGTCAACATTCTATAGAAAGCGTTACACTGAGGCAAATCGGTAGAAGTGTTTCTAAGCTATTTGTTAGCGATTGTGAAACGATAGACGCGGTCTACATACTTTGAGTCGTTCACGAAATCAATGATGTCCTGCTCTGTTTTCAGCACAAACAGCCTATCCCTGGGAGACTCGAGAGCTTCGAGCAGCTTCTCATCTGGTGCGGGTTGTCCGATCTCTGGAACGACAATCTGCGGACTGTCGTTGGCTAGACGTGGTCCAAAGACAGAGACAGAGCCGGTAGGAGAGGCCGTTCCGAAACCCGCTGCCCCATTGGCAACCGCAGGCGATTGGAACCTATTGACCACAGCCGGGCGCGGAGTGAAGGGACCCATGACAGGTATCTCTTGCAGCTGATCGCGAAAAGCTTTCACTCCACAATCTGATCCAACTCTTGATCCTGCGACAACCGAACCGGGCGCTGAGAACACGTCTTCCTCTTCGATAGCCCTCGCACTAGCACTGTCATCCGGGCGGAGAGACTCTTTCTCGTCCAATGCGAACGTCGTGGCCGAAGTCACGCTTTTGCCGTCCAGGCTCGGCGGCTTGCCAGAGCCACTTGACGACGACACCTGTGTAGTGTTGTCGTCCGTGATAGACTTGGGAAGACCAGCGAGCGGATGCGTACCGTCTAGGGGCCGCTCCTGCCGCCGCGGGTCGCGAAGAAGGACCTGCGGAGTGACCTGACCAGCGCGCCCAATCTGGCGCACCTCTTCACCAGTAGGCTCAGCACCTGCATTGTCACCGGCGCTACCTTCTCCGCGTATGCGTGGGTGGCTAGTGACCACTACGGTCGAATTATTATGGGACATCAACGACATCTCTGTCGTTTTCGACGGAAGTTTTGGTGGCATAGCAAGGTCCTTTCGAACTTGTGATCTGAGGGCAGAGGCAGCAACCTGCGGCTGTTAGCGAGAGCACCGAGAGGACTGCCGTGCGGCCGCTTCTGAGCATGGGAGATGTACTTTTGCGAAAGACGGCTTCAATGCCGTAGGCTCTACGGGTATGGACGCCATTGCGACCGCGCTGACGTGCTCCTTCCCGGTAATCGTTGAAGATGCGTGAACTGAGGTCGCAGGCGTCCCGTCCGAAAAGCGCCAAACAGCCGGTTCCCCGAAAGATGTGGATGTGTTGTACGGAAGACAGGTAAAGTCAAGAAACGGGTTGCTCAAGGAAAACGGTAAGCGCCGGGAGCAGTGGGCTGGACATGGTGGACCCGCGACATGAGAAGGTTGGCCAAGTATGTTACGCGCAGGCGAAGGGTGAAAAGGTGAGTTCGTAGGTACCGGTGAACGGCCAACTGCGTTCGCTGCGCGTGGTGGACCCACAGGTGCTCTCCTGGATTTCCGAACTCGCGCGCTCACGCTGGAAGTGAGGATCTTGACTCGTCGAGGCGACTGGATATCCGGTAGCAAACCGCGTCCAGGGAGGGGTCGGTGTTGGTGTCGGTGTCTCTTACCGGTGACAGTTGCAGAATGCTCAGGCTCTCGTGCTGACTGAGGAAAGCCCGTGTGCTCGGTGAGGCTTAATCCGCCCCGGCTTGGCCGTCGGTGCTTACAGTAGAGTACAGTAGGTTCAGCCGCAAAACGCCGTCGACATCCATCCTGACAGAACCCCCCCCCCATGCAGTTGTATACAGCCCTTCATGGCCGCTCCGTATCGCCCGCCATATAGGGGACGATCCCTAGCGACGCCCACCACACTCTGTCAGAAGTGCCTGCAGCGAGATATGTAACCCTGGTTTTCTTCAACTGAGCCATACTAACTATTCTCTACGGCACTACAGCTACGAATGCAAAGCTTCCGCGCAGGAGCGACCTTACGCCTCGCGGCCCTCGCGGACACAACAGCTGTTCAACCCAAAGCTTGTCCCTAAGCTGACGAGCGACGTCCCTAACGACCTTCTCCAGAAGTGAGCAATTTCGAACCCAGCAAATACCAGACCATATCTGATATGCCGCAGGAAAGGCGTAGCGGACCAGCTTCTAGCCAAGAACGCCGAAGAGCGTGGCCGTAAGCGCGCACCTGACGGCGATGACACGACCGCCCCTCCTCGCAAGCGCACCCGATCCGTCTCATCATACTCCTCCTCCACCGTCTCCACCATCTCAACAAACCTCTCCCGCTCACCTTCCCCAAAGCGCGCACCACCCCGCGACCGCATCCAAGCTAGCATCCCACCACGCGAGGGGCCCCCGCACCGTAGCCGTAGCCCTGACCGCAAGAGGCGGAGGCGCTCATACTCGTCATCGCCGGACTCCGACCACAAGAACCGGCAGAGAGGCAGGGAGCCCGACCGTAACACCAGGCGCAGACTAAGCTCGTTCAGTCCCGACGGCCGCGGCCGACAAATTAGCAGGTCTTCTGACCGGCGGAAACCCACACGAAGTCGCGAGGAGAACAGGAGCCCTCTGAACCGGCGACTGCGTTCTCCGTCGCCTTATTCAGGCCGGCGCGACTCAGCTCCGCGGAGGAGTCCACCGCGGAGAAGTCCACCGCGGAGAAGACCACGGTCCCGCAGTCCGGCCAGGAATGGATCGAGTCAGCAGGGCGATGGGCGCAGTAATCGGCTGGGTGGATTCGATGACAGGCCGCCATTGAACGGCGCTAGCAATAGTGCCTACGCCGGTCGTCCACCTCCCCACGTGCGAAGGGAGCGGAGCTTGAGTCCTTACAGCAAGCGCTTGGCTTTGACGCAAGCAATGGGCACGGGAGGAGGGGGAGGAGCTCCGCCTTGGAGATGATAGCGCCTGAAGCTCGCTTTCATATCTCAAGAAATGAGGCTCAAATGCGAAATAGTCATTACTACCCAAGCGCATTTGTATCTTTTGAGGGAAGGTTGTTCCTTTTTTTTTCCCCCAGAAAAGATACCCATATCGCAGCGTTGCATAGGCTTTGGACTATCATTTAGCTATATAAACTGATGAACTCTGTGTATGCAGCTACTTAATGCAGACTCTCATGCAACCTAAAGAGACCGCTAAAACTGCACCGCTGCCACGTAGGAATCGCATTGCAAACCCACACTTAACCCTTCTATAAAAAGAAGTTCTAAACTGCACTATGCTGACATCATTTGCCAACAGCCTGAAGAGCTTTGCCGCTCAAGCCTAACAGGCAACCAAAACAGCAAAAACTCATTTCTGAGAAAATCTCCGTTGTCTAGGGGATTTTTTGCCGTACCTAGAGGCTAGTACTTTTCCGTACCTAAATGTTAGCAGAATGGGGCAAGTGAGAAGCGAACCAACGCCTCTGAACTACTGTAAAGCAAAGCTCGAGCCACAGTCATTACGTACTGGGCGGAGATAAAACCGAGCTTTGTGACTTGTGTAGTAGCAAAACGCTGGAAGTGTGCTTACTTTGAGGTTTCGTCGCCGGCGAAGCAGGAGTAACTTTCCCACCGCATTATGGTACCGATGGAGTGAATGACGGTTCGTGAAATACGCAGGGTGTTGTGAGTTGTGGAAGCTCTGATATTGCAGGCTGCTTCAGAAAGGAGACTACAGATTGCTTGACTGGGGATGATTGTGGCTGTTTGATTTTGAACCATGTTCTTGCGCGCGAGGACGACTCTCCGGCTCGAGAAGGAAAACGTAGCTGATAACTACCTCAGAGGACCTTACTGCAGGGACCTGATAGAGCACATAGCATAGTGTGCTGCGCATGCATGCCGCCGCGACGCTCCGTCTACACTTCTCGCTCACTCATCATCCGGCCGCCGGCGCAAGGTAAGCCTCATGCTCAAACTCGCTTGTCTCGTGCTCCACGGCTTCCCCCTCCGCAGCTCCACTCTTCACCCGCGTAACTGCGCCTACATCACCAACTGCGTCCTCCCCTCTACCCTCTACCCCAAGCGCCTTCGCCACCCTCCCCCTGTCCCTCAAATGTCCCAACGCCGCAACCGTATACCCATCCATCTGCACCCCCTCCCCCTCCATCCTCTTCAGCGCCCCCACCGCGCCCTCCACATCTTGCGCCCCCGCATACCCTGCCACAAGACTATTCCACGTAACAACATTCAGCTCCGCCCCGCGCTTCCGCATGAGCTGTAGCACCTTCTCCGCCGCCTGCGTCTGCCGATGCCGCATAAACCCGTTCAGCAGAATCGTCCATGTCTGCGTTGTCGGCGTCGCCTGACGAATCGGCCTCTGCTCCGCGACGTGGATAGCAGCGGGCGGCAGGGCGATGGTCATGTCCTTTATGACCTGCGGGCAACAGGACAGCGATTCGGCGCTCCGGGCGAACGCCATCAAGAACGCGTTGGATGTGTGGTCTGTTTCAGCCAGCGGGGCGATGGCCGCGTGGCCCGCTTTGACGAGGCGCCGGTAGGAGACGTACAGGCGGTATGTGGCTTGCGGGGAGGGCTTTTCGGCGTGGCGGAGGGAGGCGAGGATCATGAGGCCCAGGGCCGGGGTAGTAGTAGGGATGGTGGCGGAGTTGTGGGGTGAGGGCGCGGCAAAGTAGTGGGCGGAGAGGAGGCCGAGGTCTACGAGGGGCCCGCCGGAGAAGAGCGAGCGGTAGATGTCGACGAGGGTGGCGAAGAGGTTTGGGGTGGAGCGCTCGACGAGCTGGAGATAGAAGCAGTACAGGAGGTTGGTGGTGAGATATGGGTTTTTGAAGTCCCTGATCTTGTGGCTGCAGGACCGGAGGACCCTGCTAGCAGCCTCGGAGTTGGACTGCGCCATGCAGCCTTTCAGGAGTGCCCAGTAAATGAACGAGTTCGGCTCGACGTTGTTTTCTTGGAGGAGGTCGAAGATGCGGAGCACCGTTGAGAAATCGCCCGCTTCGACGGCGTTGAACATGAGGCTGGAATAATGGTGGATAGAGAGCTTGACTCCCATTTCGAGAAAGCGGGAAACGATTTGCGTGTTTGCCTGATAGCCGTTTTCTTGTTTTATACTGAATCGAAGGATGGTGGTGCAGGTCTCCAGGAATGGACCACAGTTCACGTCTGCTCCAACGTCTATGGCTTGCTGAAGCATGTCTAGCCCACGCAAATAGTCTCCGCGCTTTCCGAATGACACTGCGAATCGCAGGCAGTTTTGCCAGTTGAGAACGACTTCCTTTTCTAGCAAAGCTTCATGCAGCTTTATGGCTTGCTCAGCGGAGCAGACGAACAGCAGGCGGGTGATGAGATTTTGTGACACAGTTAAGCGGAACTCGCGCACCCCTTCGAGGAGCTCGTGAAAAGCGCTGAGCAACGCATCTAAGCCTTCCTCAGTGCGTTCATCCTTGAGCTCATTGTACTGCTTAGCTACAAATTCCAATGCGTCCGCCATAGCGTAGATCGGAGGGCGCGGCTCTTGATGGGTTGCCATAAGCACTCTGCAAGCAGTTTCGGCAGCACAGTTGCGCAGTATCCACGGTATGAGACGCGGCCATACAGAAAGACGTGTTTTGGGCTGAAGACGAAGCCATGTATAGCGCAGAGTCTCTTCACCCGCGGCCGGGTTGGCAAATCTCTTCTTCAGATCGTTGATGTCGACATCTCCGCTGATTCTTGAAATCGGAATCGCCCCATGATCGCCTATAATTCGATTAGGAAGCACACTGCGCACTTGTGCCAGCCCCGCTGTCCAGACATCATCAAAGTCACGGGGCAATGAGTGCATCCGCGCAAAATCTGGATTGCGCTCGTATATCTCCAGTACACGATCTGACTGCACAGCCTGCGGGTCACACTCCTCTTTAGGTGCCGACTGCAGGGCCTGCCTTATTCGCCGTTCTCGCCGGACTTCTGGGTAGTACATTGGTTTGAATCTGCTTCGCCATTGCCTTTGCTCGCGAGATTCCGTTGGTGGTAACGTTCGTCCCGTTTTCGGACCGCGGCTTCTGTGCGGATGCTTTAGGCGCAGCTGGGCGCGCACGCATGCCAATGATGAACGCACATGGATTGAAGGCACCCAGGTAACAAGAGTCCGCTCCCGCTGCTTCGGTGAACTGTCAGGGGATTCTTGGCTTATATCTCTGCTGTCATTCGCGTCTTCCCCAACCGAGGTGTCTGCAGACATGGCCGAATTGGTGGCGCTGGAAGCCGTAGTATAGCTTCTGCAGAAGTTCATTCGTATAAAAGTCGAGATTTGGGAGTATTGAGGGTGTGATATTGGGGATGCGCGTGCAAAAGGACGCGCTGTCACCCGATCCTGTTGCACTGCTGACGCCTGCAGCGTACAAGACGAGACCGTGTTGGGGTTCGATGTCGTATAGGCGGCTGAGCTTGACCGGGCCTGACTAGGTCTCCTCCCTGTAGAAGCTTTTCCATTTGCATCTTTTGTTCGGTCTGATCGGGCGTCCTTCTCTTCTGCTGCGCGGCAAGCTCTGCGAGGTCGAGAGCAATGGTCACGCTGTAACCCTCCTCTTTCCATCCCTCCTGACCCGCCAGCATGAATCCACCGAGCACCTTTCGAGACCGGCCATTGCGCGAAGACTCTCGGCGCAAGGAATGGCAGGATGGGCAGTTCGGCGCAGTTGAGACATCCGGCATTGACAAACTTCCTGCCGGGCATGAGTAGTTGTGCTTGCGATTCTCATCGGTCCATTGTTGGTTGGATGAAGCTCGGGGGTGGAGCGCTGGAGCTCCGCAAGAAAAGTTGACCGGGGATCGCGAACTCCAGTCAGAGCCGCGATGCCAACCTCACCACCACCACAATCTACCTACCCATAACCCACTATCCAGCGAATCCGCCGAAAGGAATACCACCCAGCACGAATACTCGATCTCACGCTCTTAAACTATCTACAAGAGGGCATCAAGTCAATTCTTGCGCCTCTGAGCTCACCCGGCGCATACCCTACCTCCGCCCTCACCTCTCCCGGCATCAGATCGCAACCACTCCACACCTACTTTACCGGTCAACCATAATCTTGCCACCACCTCACCACCATGTCATCCACCCACGCCTCCCTCACAGCCGCGACCCAGGACCGCAAAGCGCGCCTCGCAGCCCTTAAATCCCTCAAGCGCAAAGCCCCCGACGTAGAGCTCGAAGCCTCCGAAGACGCCGCCGCACGCGTCTCACCTCCCCCCAACTCGACCGCCGCCTCCGCCCCCGACGCAACAATCACCTACCTCTCCGGTCGGAACTACGACCCCTCGACCCGCGGCCCAAAACTCGGCTTCGAAGCCGCGCCCTCAGCCGACCAACCGACACTCGAAGCCGCCGCCGCCGAGCTTGCGGCGCAGACGAAAGCGGCGCAGGAAGCTGCGGAAAGGGAGGATAGACCCATAGATCTTTTCGCGATTCAGCCGAAGAAGCCGAATTGGGACCTTAAGAGGGATCTGAATAGGAGGCTCGAGGTGCTGAATGTGAGGACTGATAATGCGATTGCGAGGTTGGTGAGGGAGAGGATTGAGGCGCAGAGGGTGGTGGCGAAGGAGAGGAAGAGGGTGGAGGGGATACAAGAAGATGAAGAAGGGGAGGGAGAGGAGGTGGGGATGGAGGGGAGTACGTTGGTGGAGGCAATGAGGGTCAGAGAGGCGGAAGACGAGGAGGAGGAACGGAGAGAACGGGAGGAGATTGAGGAGATTGGGGATAGCTGAGACGGAAGAGTGGGTTTGTGAGGCTCTTGTGTGGGTTAGCGGGTGCATCGTGTTGGCGCTTTTGGAGTTGAGGGTTTACCAAGCAGTTATGCATGATTTTACATCGCCGGCTACAGGAGGAAAGAAGAACGGTAGCTATGAGGACATCAGCAACCGTTAAGCTTTCAAGGACATCTACTCTACCATACGTTGCTGATCATATATTGAGATGACCGAAGCCCTGCAGTCTAACATCGAGACTTGTCTCGAAAAGCGTCTGAAGTGTACAAGCGTTTTTGATCGATAAGTCGAATTGTTGCTTACGGATTGTTACAACCAGAGCGCCGTAATACAGATGTGGCACGAACAAACCAGAAACACGCACAACCTGTTACAATCCAGCTCGCAACCATGAACGCCTTAATCCTTGAAGCATCATACTACCCAAAACCATCTATACCTCACCAGGCCATCTAACCACTGCACATAATACAAGCCTCCTTGTTCTCAATACTGCACTGCAGCACCGCATCTGCATAGATATCACCCTCCCTTCCCTTACTCTCCTCATCCAGATCCTCCTTCTGCTTCTTGGCATCAACAGCCGCCTCAGGCAGCTCCTCTTCCTTCGGCGCGATCTCGTCCGGCTCAGCCGCAAGCACTTTCGGGCTCTCGCCCTCCGGGATATCTGCCTTGAACGCCGGCGCTGAAATGGCATCCTTCTTAGGCGAAATGGATACGCGCTTGTTCTCCGAGACCTGAGGTGGTGGGGTGGACGAAGGGGTAGGCACACCGTTTGGCGTCGTCGTCGGCGGCGTCTTTTGCATGTACATGGGCCTGGGCACGGCGGATGGTGTCGAACCATAGCCCGCTGGAGCGATCGGCCGCTTCTTTGCGCCAAGAGCGCGTGCGACGTTGGTGTCGGCCACCTTGAGAGCCTCCTGGTCGACCGTGAACTGGATGGGAGCAGAGGCGGCCATCGTACGGAGATAGTACATGCCGGTCTTGAGACCTAGTTTCCATCCCGCGAAGTGCATGCTGGTAATCTTGCCCATCGTTGGCTCCTTCATGTGGATGTTCAGAGATTGAGACTGGTCGATGAACGCGCCGCGGTCGGCAGCCATTTGGACAATAGTCCGCTGGCTGATTTCCCAGACGGTCTTGTAGAGCGCTTTGATGTCGTCTGGGATGTTGGGAATGCGCTGGATGGAGCCGCCGTCCGCGATGATGCGGTTCTTCATGTTGTCTGACCAGAGACCCATGTCCACGAGATCCTTGAGGAGCCAGGGGTTGACGACTTGGAACTCGCCAGCAAGTACACGGCGGGAGTAGATGTTCGAGGTGTATGGCTCAAAGCACTCGTTGAAGCCGAGGATTTGAGAGGTGCTGGCTGTAGGCATGGGAGCCACGAGCAAGCTGTTGCGGACGCCGTGCTCGGCGATCTGCTCCTTGAGAGAAGCCCAGTCCCAGAGGTCGGTAGGCTTCACACCCCACATATCGTATTGCAGTTCCCCTTTCGAAATCGGCGAACCCTCGTAGGTCGAATACGGACCGAGGTTCTTTGCAATCTGGCAGGAAGCAGTCAAAGCGGCATGGTAGATAGTTTCGAATATCTGGATATTCAGCTGCTTGGCCTCAGGGGAGTCGAACGGAAGACGAAGTGCAAGGAAGGCGTCAGCCAGACCTTGAACACCAACACCGATGGGACGATGCCGGAAGTTGCTACGCCTGGCCTCTTCGACTGGGTAATGATTGACTTCGATAGTCTTGTTGAGGTTGCGGACAACGACCTGAGTAACTTCGTGCAGTTTTTCGAAGTTGAATTCTCCCTCGTTGATGTCAACGAAGGTCGGAAGAGCGATCGATGCAAGATTGCAGACGGCGACCTCGTCAGGTGCAGTATACTCAACAATCTCGCAGCAAAGATTGGAGCTCCGGATGGTGCCAAGATTCTTCTGGTTGCTCTTGCGATTGCATGCGTCCTTGTAGAGCATGAAAGGGTTGCCGGTCTCTGTTTGCGCCTCTAAAATGGCGTACCAGAGCTTTTGGGCACGAACAGTCTCGCGACCACGGCCTTCTGCTTCATATCTGCAAAACTGATATTAGAACAGTACAATGTAGAAAGATACGACCAACCTACTTCGCATAGAGCTCTTCAAACTCGTCGCCGTAGACATCCGCCAGACCTGGAGCCTCATTCGGACAGAAGAGAGTCCAGTTGCCGTTCTGCTCGACGCGCTTCATGAAGAGGTCGGGTATCCACAGGGCGTAGAATAGGTCGCGAGCACGAACCTCCTCCTTTCCGTGGTTCTTCCTCAAGTCAAGGAAGGCGAACACATCCGCATGCCACGGTTCAAGGTAGATAGCGAAAGCCCCCGGTCGCTTGTTTCCACCCTGATCGACGTATCGTGCGGTATTGTTGTACACCCGAAGCATTGGGACGAGACCATTGGAGGTACCGTTCGTACCGCCAATGTACGATCCTGTGGCCCGGATACGGTGGACATTCAAGCCGATACCGCCAGCAGTCTTCGAAATCATGGCACATGTCTTGAGCGTATCGTAGATGCCCTCAATGCTGTCTTCCTTCATGTCGATAAGAAAGCATGACGCCAGCTGTGGCGAGGGAGTTCCTGCGTTGAACAGTGTCGGTGAGGCGTGGGTGAAGTACTTATTCGACATATAGTTATATGTCTCAATGGCACTCTCAATATCCTCGCCATGTATGCCAACAGCCACCCGCATGATCATGTGTTGAGGACGTTCGGCAACCTTGCCGTCTATCCGGAGAAGGTAAGACCGCTCTAGGGTCTTGAAGCCGAAATATTGATACTGAAAGTCTCGATCGTAAACGATTGCCGAGTTCAACTCCTCTTGGTGCTTCATGACGGTATCGTAGGTCTCCTTCGATATCATTGGAGACAGCTTCTTATTCTTCGGATTGATGTAGTGGTAAAGGTCAGATATTACAGCTGAGAACTGCTTCTTTGTCTGTTTGTGGAGATTCGAGACGGCGATGCGTGCCGCCAAAATGGCATAGTCGGGATGTGTGACGGTCATGTAAGCTGCTGTTTCGGCGGCCTGGTTCGAAGACATTAGCCCACTATGCGGCACTCAACGACGCATGACAGGTACTCACCAGGTTGTCAAGCTCGACTGTTGTTACGCCCTGATACACGCCAGAGATGACTTTCTGCGTAATTGCGGCGGCATCGACATGCTCCGGGTCTAGACCGTAGCACAGTCTGGAGACACGGGCTGTGATTTTGTCGAACTGGACGCGTTCAGTGCGCCCATCTACAGATGATAGGGTTAGCACCATGATCACAAAGAGCCTATAAGGTTCGGACGTACTGCGCTTGTAGACAAACATGGTGTATAGAGGGAGTCTTCGGTCGAGGAAAAGGATTTGATTTAGAGAAAGATGGAGTGGTGGTGTAAGTTTGGGTGCAGAGTCGTCGAACGGAGAAGAGGTTGCAGAGGTGACGGCGTTCGGTTGTTATTGCTTTAAAGTGGCACGCGCGAAAGACCTGACGCGTTCGCGGGGCGCGTCTTGAAAGCTTTAGGGTGGAAATGCATGTGGCGTGACAATACCCGATGAGAAGCCTCAAGGACCCGCCACGCGTTATTTATCAACCCCCTGTCCACTGCAACCACTTCAAGAAGATTGCCGATTTGGCATCTCGAACGTATCAATCGGTTTGAACATGATAATTCTATGAGGTTTCGAATGAATCAGTAGTGCTATCACGGCCTTGCGATGAGAGTCATTAATATTCAAAGCTAGTTCATAAGTCACCATCGGCTTTACAACTTCATTGTAGCTCCCGTGATGAGGCCTACCTAGGTAGGCGCCTTGATCTCGCTGTAATCAAAAGAGTGTCAGATAAATCAAAGAAGTACGTGATTCTTTACAGGCGGTGATTGCTCGCTCCCTGATGTTATCCCAAGAGTGATGGGTAGCGCCAGAACCAGGCATTACTAGTAAGATTTACCAACCGCCTTGCTGCTACAACCGATTTACTGCCTTCTTCTATCCTCCAGCACTCAAACTTCCTCGATTGAAGACAAGTAAAGGTTGTCGACTGAACGCGAGATGGCCCGCTACTTGTGAAATATGAGCCACCTCCAACCCCAGGCCGACATCACGCCTACACTCGGTGACTCGAGCAGAGTTGCCTCATGTGCATCACAAACGTCCCTTCAACGGCCAAGAGAAAGTGGTGAGATGCCTGCAAATGGCGATGCGAGCGCCTCGAATCGACTAGCATCGGCCTGCTGCTTCCGCGACGACAATGTCCTCATTCAGCCCTTTTTCGTAATCTTATACCTGCGCCGGTGTTAACACAGCGTCCGTATAAAGCGAACTCCACTCACAAGAAGATGTTTTCTCGTGCATAGACCTCCTTCTCCGGATCATCGCTGACCTCCTCGACAGTGAACATCTTCTTGATCGCCTTCACAAAATTCATATCCGCTCTTCTTCGCTTCTTGAAGCAGAAGAAGCACACCGATCTTTCACCAATGAGGTCTTGGAGCGTTCTTTGTAACAGTGGAAACGCAGGCTCGAAATACACACAGTCTGCGGCTAGGATGATGTCTGGATGTGTCGGTACGCTCGGAGGCGGAGCTTCTCCCCAGTCATAGATATCTGCTTCGACGCGGCCTTGGAGGTTATTTAGAGTGATGTTCTGCTGCATGAGCGCGAACATAGGCTTTTGGTCCGTGATAAGCAGGTTCTTGTCAACATTACAGCCGAGTGCCACAGCGAGCCTACGCCCTCCGAAACTCTATGTTAGCAAATTTCAGCGTATCTGCGGGCATAGTAACCCAGTACCCGACAAGACCGCCTCCGGCGCCAAGCTCAACGCTGCTGTCTATTAGCTCAATCCTATTTGGGCGTGATTCTTATGGAGCGTACAAACATTGTTCGGCCCTTCATCGTATTCCTGTGATTTCGAAGTAGATATTTTGAGAGCACCATGCCCGCGGGCCAAAGCTGGCCTCCACATCCTTCAGCCAGATCTTCTTGCAACTTCAGTGGCGTAGAAAGTAGGCCATCGAAGTCGATTGAGGAGGCGCCAGCAGTTTTATGAGCAGGAGATTGTACAAGGTCTTCGCTAACGCCGAACTTGTAGTTGGTATCATCATCGTTCTCCATGACTTTTAGAGTGTGAAATCTGAAGGTGATGAATGATGCGGATTTGGTAGGGAAAGTTTGCCGAGGCGGTTTGCGTCGACACCCACGTCGTGGCCAAAATAACGCCGACTCCAGGCTTGTGAGCATTGAAGATCAACCCGTTACCACAGGGTAAACATATTGAAAAATAGTCTGCATAGTAGAGTGCAGATCTCAAAGTGTGTTTCTTATACTAATCAAGTACACATATGAGCTGGCATTGATCCAGAAAAACTTCAAACCCGTGTCGAAGGGTGATGTTCATGGTTGGAGTCGGGGTATTTTTGGCCACGACGTGACACCCTCAGGCCCTCACACAACCAAATTAGGTACATACAACGCCAGACGTCAACGCCAGACGTCAACGCAAGTTCAGATCACATACCACCGATCTCGGGACGACTTTCTCGGACAGATACGTCCGTTTTGCTCATTGGCCGCATTCTGAGCAGTCAAAATTAACCTCCACTTTCCTTATAATGAAGCTGGGTATCACCTAAGATTACCGAAGTCCTGTTTGCTATTAGTACGAGACGCACGACAGGCTTTTACTCTCGCGTCAGACTCAAACCCCGGAGGAGCGGGTCTGCAGTAAAGGTGTGTTCATGTCCAAGTAGCTGGTGGGTTCGAACGAGGAAAATGGCCAGTTCCTAGAGGTGGTTGAACGATGCGCGCTCCAGCAGAGGACTGTTGCCATACGGCTCACCATCTCGTCTACTATTCATTGCATACGTGTAGACCTGCCATGTTTCTCACCTTCCGTTTCTAGGTTGCGTTTCATCTTTGGTGATAGAAGGCGCCCAGGTAGAGCCAGGTAAGTAGAGCATCTGGAGTCAGCTACTAACAATCACCGCAACAAAGCGTCATCAAATGAAGCTAAACTCCGTGAATTTACCACGGTAATATTCCCGCATCTCTTTCTTGCTTCTCTTGTCGACGCCGTCGCATGATTTTCCTTGTCAGAGTCTTGAGTCTCCTCTTCATCCCTTGCTCACTCCTCGCTTGGCCGACCTTGATGTTTTTGACTGCATTCCTTTGTAGCCACCTCCTCTAGATTCCTAATATCCACGCAAGGGCTTGAAGCCCGCGGCGGTCACCAACGCGCCATGCGCGAGGAAGCGCGAATCTCGACCTGCCTTCCGCTAGGTGGCTGTAGGCGGGGAATCCTACGCCGCCACCAGAACCTCTCTGTCACCGACGAGTCACTCGAGATCGTACGTTTCACGGATATACGGCACCAAAGGCAATTGTGTGCCTCCCAACCGTTAAGAGATAGCAGGGAGAAGCGCTGAAGCCGAAAGCCTCCGGAAGCTCGACGCCGCATCCCGCCGAGGGGCAGTCTCATACTCGACATGTTCCTGCCTCTATGCATCTTACTGCTTGCGTCTTCTGTCATTGCAGTATCACGGGTGTCATTACCGTTCAATGCACAGGTTCCGCCCGTCGCCCGAGTCGCACAATACTTTAGCTTCCAATTATCGTCCTCGACATTCGAGCCGGAAGCAGAACCTTATCAGTACTCTCTGACTGCCGCTCCACCATGGCTAAACATCGATGGCGCTAGCCGCACCTTATGGGGTACGCCAGGTGCGGCCGACGTCGGGTCAAAGGTGTTCAACATCACGGCCGCGAGGGCTGGCGGCGGGTCTGCTGTCATGGAGGCGACACTAGAGGTGGTTGATTACCGTGGCCCGCAACTGAAGATGAGCGTCTCAGATCAGTTGCGGGATATTGGAAAACAGTCACACCCTAGCAATCTCCTACTCAAGGCATCAGAGCCGTTTGGTTTCGCCTTCTCAAGGGATACCTTCGTCGCTGACGGGAAGAGTCTGACATATTACACTACAATGATCGACAGAACTCCTCTTCCAGCATGGCTCTCCTTTGGCGCGGATGAAGTAAGGTTCTCCGGTGTAGCACCGCCGCCTGATGCGTCCCCGCAGCACTTTGACGTGCTCCTGATCGCGTCAGATGTAATTGGGTATGCAGGAGGTTGGGCTCAGTTTACGTTGGTGATCTCCAGTCATGAGCTTGTCTTCGAGCCGCCGAAAGTAGAAGTTAAGATCTCGAAAGACACACCACTCGAGTACAGAGAGCTTCGTAGTCATCTCAAACTCGACGGGCAACCCATCGACTATGCGGATATTGCGAATACAAGCGCCAGGATGCCGTCGTGGTTGACATTTGATTCGAGCACCATGGATCTCGAAGGCACGCCTCCGGAAGGAACGGAATCCCAGGACGTCGAAGTTACAGTTTACAGTCGCTTTGGGGATGCCGCGACCACCACGATTCGCCTAGTATATGTGTCGGACTTGTTCACCGCGGGGATTGGGCCTCTGGTTGCCACAATTGGGAAGCGCTTTAGCTACACGTTTTCCCAGTCCATCTTCACGCAAGACAACGTCGAGGTTAGGGTGAACCTAGGATCTTCTCCTCGGTGGCTCACATACGATTCGGCAAGCCTTACCATTTCAGCCAACGTACCGGACGACGTCAAGCCGGGAGTCGTCACTGGAGTTGTTACTGTCAATGTTGCGGGGTCGTCTGCTAGCGACTCTCAGACCTTCCAGATCCAGCTTCAAGCGGCGGACTTGCCGGAGTCCAACCCGACGCCATTGGTTTCCACCTCCAATTCCGCAACCTCGCAAAGTACAGATCAAGTGTTGATCGAATCATCTGCGTCTGTCTCGGATGATGTTTCGCCTCCAAAGAACAGCAAGCTACTCGTGACCATCATTGCCACCGTTGTTGGCCTCGTGCTACTCGTCGCTGCCTTTGTAGCAGTTGTGCTGCTCTGCTGCTGTAGGAAACGAAAAACGAGAAGTCCGCCGTCGGGTCCAAGAAAATCTGAAATCTCGAGGCCAATCATCCAAGACGACGCATGTCAGAGACAACATGACCAGACGCTTGATCAGGATGTGGAGAAGGGCTCAGACGAGTTCGAAAGGACACCGGAACCCCCACCTCAGATACAGATTGACTTTCCCATACCCATTCCACCCAAGTCGAAGCTCAGAGGTCAAGTGAGACAGTCCCAAGTTAGCTCCCTAGGGGAAGGCGACGCTGTGATTCTAGCAAACTTCAACCGGTCCAGTGATTGGGGTTACGACGCCTCTACGCCAAACTCACATACTCCGCACGACTCGATGAAACTGCCTACAGAGAGTCTTCGTATGGCACTGGTAGACTCTCAGTCACGATCTTCACGAGTACAATCCGCCAGAATTGCGGCGGCATCACCTACAAGAGAAAGACCGCAAAGCACAATCTACCATGATCCTCCAGCCAACACAGGCCTGCCAGTAAATCGGAGAATCACAGGTCTTGGCCATGGGCGGAACAATACATACTCGTCTCCTACGCGCAGCATGAATAGACTATCCGCACTGCGAGCGCGTGACTGTAACAGCTATAGCTCCTACAGCACACAGTCGACAGGTCTGCTCTCTACTACTCCTTCGACCTTTCCGGCACCGCCGTCAGGCCGCCCAGCGCCACCACACTTTTCCCTACCGTCCGCAGAGAAGCGGAAGAGCATACGGATGGTCCCACAAGGGAGAAGTGGAGGCTCGATATCCGATCGCCGCCCACTGCACGACCGCCGCCAAAGCTACATCCGCAACCGCGCCGCAAGCCGCTCGCCCTTCTTCGGTGCGCGAGAGTCCAACGCCCGCCTAAGCTCACTCCGGCCCCTATCAACACTCACATCGACAGCCGCAACCCCCGCTTCCGAGAATCACGACCCTTTGAACACAATAGCCATCGACTCAGCAAAACCGCGGAGTGAGAATGACCGCAACCGCATCAGCGAGCTCTACCCAATAAAAGACTCCCTGCGCCGCCAACACACCCACAAATCCGTCGCGACCTCCAAAAGCATCGGCACGAACTGGTCTGCCTCCTCCTCCGCCGAGCCCCCATGCGCATCCGCAAGACCTGGGACGTGCATCTGCGCGCACGCCTTGCAGGGGCAGCTGGTATCTCGCGCCCCAACCTCGCCCGCCATAGCAGCACGCGCTCCAGCCTGCGCCACTCCCGCCTCTTTGAGAGCGCAACGGAGAGTCTGTACTCGCAGCCGTCCATGACGCTGACCGCGCAGGAGCAGGAAGGAAAGACAGAGGACGACGACTCAGCTTGGGAAGACGCGCGCTCAGGCTCCGCGAGCCGCTCAGCGTCGTTCGTACTGCCGCCCGGTCCCGCGGGTATAGGCCTCGGGCTCAGCAGCCTGGACACCTCGGCGCCGGGCGAGGGCCTAAGGGATTTCAGCGGCCATCTCGCGCGGGATGAGAGGGGGAATATCCTCGTGTATGACTCCCCAACCATAGAGCAGATGAACGTCGGGATTGTGGTTGGCAACACGGGACGGATGTCACAGCAACGCAGGTCGCGGTATACGTCCGGCCAGGCGGTGGGGCACAGGAGGAGGCCGAGCGAGGCGATGCTGAGTCGGGGGCAGAGGCTCGGCAGGGCGGTAAGGGAGAGTGTTAGGGTGCCGTTGGGGGTTGTGAAGGGGGAGAATGAACGACTGAGTCCGAGGTTGAAGGTTGGGGAGAGTAGGGAGAAGAGGCCGGTTGGTGTAGAGAATGGGAGGTGGGGGAGTCAGAGGGGAGTGGTGGATGAGAGGGGGGATTTGGCGTTTTTGTAGGGTTAGTAGCGAGGGAGGATCTGTGTTGTAGTGTGTCCCTAGATTGTTTCCTGGTATTATTTAGCTTGCGAATCTTGCGGTTGCTTAAGCTAGATAATCAAGTTATATAGATCTTAGCGTACTGGCGTAGTGATTATTATGTTCATGCTACGTTGACCGATCCTCTGCAATTGCTCACTCTGTCAAACGGCAACAGAACTGAGTACATGTGGTGTTTTTACATAAGTTTTCAATCAAGTACCATAGAGTCCTCAACGGTCAAATTAAGATCTGGTTGGCACAGCGCAGCGACAGCCTATACCTTACTAACCACGCGAGGCATCCTCTGTGCCTCCAACTCAAACCGTGCTCTATTCTGTTCGCCCCAAACCCCCGCCACTCATCCCTCCCTCTCCCTCCGCTGCGCCCTCGCCTTCCTCTCAAACAACCCCGGCAGCGACACAACCAAGCCCACAATCCCACTCAGCAGAAAGAAGTTAAACAGCATACTCGCCCCACCCGCCCCATCCTCCCCCAGCCCACTCCTCGCCCTCCTGAGCTTCTGCAACCTCGACTCGACCCCCTCCTGCGTCCTTCTATGCCCCTCACGATCCCAATACGGGATATCGTTCTCATACCCTCTCGCCCCCGGGTGTTCCTGCCCCGGCCCAAACCCGCCCGTCCCCCCCGCCGCTGCGCCCTCAGCCGAAGCTTGCGACGTCTGGCCCGCCGGCCCCCCTGATCCGGCATCTCCGCCTCCCCCGCCGAAGCCAGGCGCATGCTCCCGCCGCTTCGCGCCGTGCGTCCCGTAGCCCCCGCTGCGGTAGAAACTGGGCGGGGGACCGCGGAACTGAGTCCGTCGTCGACTTAGCCCGGACGCGGGCCGCGAGCCGGCGTGTGAGGAGTAGGAGCCGTGGTGCGGAGCGTCATGGTGGCGGGGGTGCGGGCGGAGGGACTCGTCGTATTTGGCGCGCTTTTCGGCGACGCCGAGAACGTGGTAGGCTTCGCTGATTTGAACGAAGCGGGTTGAGGCGGCGGGGTCGTTGGGGTTGTGGTCGGGGTGGTGCTGCTTGGAGAGGGTGTAGAATTGGCTGTGGGGGGTTGTTAGTGGGACGGTGGGGATTGGAAGATGGAACGGGGCGTGGAAGGTGGAGGTCGTATGTACCGCTTTATATCAGCGGCAGACGCTGTTTGCGATAGACCTAAGGTGTCGTAGTGGTTTACGGCCTCGGTGTCGCGCCGAGTCGAGGCGTGGAAGCATCGCTGTTGGAGCTGGCGGTGGAGACATTGAGGCCGTTGGAGACGCTGGATGTATGAAGCAGTAGGCGGGCGAAGAGTCATGCTTCAATCTGGGCACGAGTGCTATATTGTAAAGTGTCGTGTGTTCGCGCAGCAGCAGCAGCAATTGGGATCGCTTGAGCATGAAGACGTCATGCACGGTTAGTCGACACCTCAGGCAGACACGCCAGACTGCGAACATGTCAATAGCAGAATAACCAGACCGATTTCGCACCACAAAAGGGATGAAAGATTTAGCAGTACTATAACTTCATGCACAGAGTACCTGAAATCTCCTCAAGCTGTATTTGACGTCCAGCTTGTCCAGCCCAAGGTTGGAGCCGTCCGATTGACAGCCGCGGCGGAGTATTCCACTGACCCCTGCGCATGGCGGGGCGGAGCTTATCCGCGATAACCCGCCTCCAACTCACATCTCGTAGAAATATCACAGTTTCGCTATCGTAGCCTTTACTGCTGTAACTTTCTCCAGCATGACTGCCGCCGCTGCTGACGGCATCAAGGATCTCAGACGTAAGCTTCGCTAAACCGCTCGAAAGCTCCTCTTAACATTCACGCAGTAGAAGAAGCCAAAGGAAATCTCCCGCAAGGCGCCGCCAACGGCCTGCCGAAGGTTGAAAATGGAGACGTAGACGACTCAGATGACGACGCGGAGGCTGGCAATGGGGTCGTAGATGGTGGCGCGGCAGGCGGTCAGTCTTCCCTGCGTTTCATGCAACAACCCTCAAGGCCTGACGGTGAACAGCAAAGAAGAAGAAGAGAAAGCCGAGGAAGAAGAAGAAGGCTGGCGCTGCCACGAATGGTACCAACGGCGCAAAAGTACAATCTGACCCTCCCCGCGTCCCCGTATCGCAACTCTTCCCCAACAGCCAGTACCCCACCGGTGAGGAAGTCGAGTACAAGGACGACAACGCCTACCGCACAACCAGTGAAGAAAAGCGCCACCTGGACCGTATGAACAACGACTTCCTCACCGAGTACAGACAGGGCGCAGAAGTGCATCGGCAGGTGCGGCAATGGGCGCAGAAGAACATCAAACCCGGCCAAACCCTTACGGAGATTGCGGAAGGAATTGAGGACAGCGTAAGGGCTTTGACCGGGCATCAGGGTTTGGAGGAAGGCGACAACATTAGGGGCGGTATGGGCTTTCCCACCGGACTAAGCATCAACCATTGCGCAGCGCACTACACGCCGAATGCGGGCAATAAGATGGTTCTGGGCGAGAAGGATGTGATGAAAGTTGATTTCGGTGTCCACTTCAATGGAAGGATAGTCGATTCTGCATTCACGTTAGCCTTCGATCCTATGTATGACAATCTCCTGGCTGCGGTAAAGGACGCGACGAATGCAGGCGTCAGGGTACGCGTTCCCTGAGCCACTAACTTTTTCGACGCAGCTGCTGACACAACGGACAGGAAGCTGGTATCGACGTTCGTATGTGCGACATCGGCGCGGCAATTCAAGAGGTCATGGAGAGCTACGAGGTGGAGATCAACGGACAGACACACCCCGTCAAGGCCATCCGGAATCTAAACGGCCACAACATCGGACAGTACAACATCCATGGCGGCAAGAGCGTGCCCATTGTCAAAGGAGGTGATCAGACGAAGATGGAGGAAGGCGAAGTTTTCGCTATTGAGACGTTCGGTAGCACAGGCAAGGGCTACGTGAGAGATGACGTGAGTGGTCCCAGCGATCGCTTCGGTATACGGCACCTACTGACGAATTTTGCAGATGGAGACATCGCATTATGCGAAGAAAGAAGACGCGCCGAAGGTGGCACTGCGAGTGTCCTCGGCGAAGACTCTCCTGAATTCGATAACAAAGAACTTCGGAACCCTTCCTTTCTGCAGGCGTTATCTGGATCGATTGGGACATGAAAAGTACTTGCTTGGAGTAAGTATCATACAGAACTATTCACACTAAAAGGCTCATGCTAACAGTCTGACTAGCTGAACAACTTGGTGCAAAGCGGCATCGTCGAGGCGTATCCGCCTCTTTGCGATGTCAAGGGCTCCTACACAGCTCAGTACGAACACGTAAGTGGAGTGATCCCGTGCAAAGGTGCTGTAGTTAATAAGCTTACTGACTGTTCTGCAGACGATTTTGCTTAGGCCGAATGTCAAGGAGGTTATTAGCCGTGGCGATGATTACTAGCGTGTATTACGCGTGGTGGGTTTCGACGCGTCGGCTGGGCGGGTTGAGGTGGTGCTGTCGCGTTGTGCGTGAGTGCGTTGTGGACCAAGTTCATGGTGCCTCCAGAAGGCCCGCCACTGGGGGGATCCGGGGCTATCATAGGTGTAATCGTCTTCTCACCGACCGGTTTACCCGACCTAGTAGGCGTGATGGATGGATCTAATTCATTAGATCTCTTGGTATGGGATTGTAGCAATACAAGTACCTAGTGCTAAGAGGTATTAGGGACGTTGGTGGCAATCATTTGATGTCCGAGGCGCAGTTGAAAAAGTCAAGCGACTTCGCTTTGTGCCCAGGTGGATTTCCCGCTGAATATTGGAGCGGGATTGCCAAGCGAAGTGCCTGCGTGCTGGGCCAACACTGCTCAGCCTTCCTCCCTTGCTGCGTCTCTTGGAAATTTTTAATAAGAAGCTCGAAAGTTTCCACTGGTATCTCGCTCTGTACAGATACACAAACCATGGCTCAGCCAATAATCCCCTTGGCTCCGCTTCGTGGAGCAGCCGCTCAGTCCGCACAACCTGTTGCTATAGCCGTTATACAACCGACTGCATCACATCAAATCCAAGGGCAACCGCCTCAACCGCAGCAACCTCAACAACTGCACCAAGGCCAACAGCTTCATGCGGCTCAGCAGAATGCCCAGATGTTCCCGAAAACGATCTCTCTCAAACGTCATATAATGCCGTTGGTCAACGGTGCATTCGCGGTCGCTGCAATTGTCGTAGCCGTTTACTATGGCTGGTGGATCTTGAAATACCAACGCTGGAGCGCAGAGAACGATTTTTGAGGATCTTGTAAAGATAAAACAAGAGCTCCAAGCCCCAAGCAAACAATTACCCCATGCTAAGCGGTACAATTAACAGGCCGACGATGTGACAAGCGCTCAATGTGAAGCGATCCTTGCCAGCTCACCGAAACCTCCACCTTCTATCTTCCGCCCCGCCAGAATGCTCTTTAGGCAACAAATCTTCGAAGCTATGTCATCAAATTGCTATTTTTGGTTGATGGATATGGCCGTGCTTGTCGCCCTTTTCACTTCGACATATCTAGCATTACGATTGCTAGATACCACATCTGAGTACGGATATGTCTACTTAGACGACGAAAGGCCATCTCTCTGGACAAGATATCTGCCCACTCGACACTCATTTAAGAGGCTCGTAAGCCTTTGTGTCAGTACTTGCATGTTTGCATTCGCTTTCATCACTTGTCGTTGGATCACGGTGCTCTTAATAGCGGGTAAAAGTCCGGCTCCCGAGACTTTCTCCTATCGTTCTCTGACTATCCAAGTTCTGGTCGCCAGGTTACTGATACCTGTCTTGCGCTTCGCGATCAGAAAGGATAGGCTTCGGAATGACCGAAAGCAGACTTCTATAGCTGCGAACCCGGATATTGCGCTCAAACCAATCAGTCAGGACACCGGGTTGTGACGGCTGATGATATCGCAGTCAGCGCTTTCGGGAGCCAGTTACAGAATCGGCGGCGGCGCGGCAAGTAAGCCCCATCCAGGAACAGCCACCCTAGGTCATGGAATGCGACAAGTGCGGTGAGCCAAAGCCGGTGAAATACTTTTTGATCCGATTCAGGAAGTGGACCGCTCAAAGGAGGCTACCAGGCCGTCAAGCTGGAGAACTGGCGGCCAATGTGGTACCTCTATTTGGTGGATGGCACGATTACAGACATCAGAGAGGAAGACTATTGTGTGGATGTGGGAGGGGCGAAGGAGGTGTTGAGGGAGCATTCGCTGCGTAGTATATGAGACAGACGATACATGAAGCTATGGTGAAGTTAAGCAGATGTGGACACTTTGGCACGTCGAGATCTACAAGGGCAAACATCCACGCAGGCTTCTGGGGACGTCATCATATGTCACATCATGAGGTTCTTCGAGGTCTACTAGCTGCAGAGCTCGCTGTGTGTCGCTATGAACGCCTGTTGTGTCTCCAGTGAATTTCGTCATTGATGGATACGCGGTCGAAGCCCGCCTCAGCCAGCGTCAGTAAACGGCCAGCCTTGCCTGTTCATGCTTCAGTGATGCTTGCTCGGGTTCAGCATTTTGGGGGGGGGGGGGTTGCCTGAGGCAGCAGGTATCAAAAAGATGCCAGGCGCCAAAACCCCTGCAGCGTTCCTGACAGGCGGTTGCGGCTGCGGCTTGGGCGGGCTGGACCCTGTTCCACGCTTTGATGCTCTTCAACGCTTGTCGATAACTGCGCACTTCCACTACAATAATGTCCCCCCAGCCCTGAACAAACACTTGTTCCTCTTATTCTGCAATAGATCAGCTCGCTATGCGTTCATCCGTCGCTACTGCAGTCATTGAGCCCGTAAAGGTCTCCAATGTCGCCCAGCGTAAAGGGCCGGAGCAGGTCTCCGCCTCAGCACCACCAACAGAATCAGACCACGACCGTTTCTTCTGGACATACACCGAGGAGCCTCACCGGACGCGGAGGCAGGCCATCATCAAGGCCCATCCAGAGGTATACTAAGCCCAACGTCTTCTCAGGTCTGCGCAAACTAACGATTCCCAGATCACGAAGCTCTGCGGCCCAGAACCCCTTACGAAATACTTCGTCCTCGCAGTCGTTGTCCTCCAGATAACCTGTGCCTACCTATTGCGACGCACCCCGATACTATCATGGTCCTTTTTCTTAACGGCCTATATCATCGGAGCGACCGCAAACCAGAACCTCTTCCTCGCGATCCACGAAATCTCACATAACCTCGCCTTCCGCTCTCCTCTGGCCAACAGAGTCTTCGCTGTGTTCGCCAACCTGCCAATTGGCATACCATACAGTGCCTCATTTAGGGTGAGCCAGCCGCTGCATTCCAATCTTTGATAAACCATCAGCAATGCCAGAATCTAACCTTCCCACCAGCCCTACCATCTAACCCACCACAAATCCCTCGGCGTTGACGGCCTCGACACCGACCTCCCCACCGCGCTCGAAGCCCTCTTCCTCGACTCGATCCTCGGCAAAGCCTTCTTCTGCACCTTCCAGATCCTCTTCTACGCCCTGCGCCCCATGCTCATCTACCAGCTTCCGCTCACGAAGATCCACCTCTTCAACGTCCTTGTGCAACTCGCCTTCGACGTTGCGCTCGTCAAGTTAGCCGGCTGGAACGCGCTGGCCTACTTCGTCATGAGCAGCTTCCTCGCCGGGTCACTGCATCCGTGCGCCGGGCACTTTATTGCGGAACACTACGTTTTCTCGCAGCACAAGCCTGTGGCGAAGAGTCAGGCCAGTGATCCAACGGTGCCGGTACCGGAGACGTACTCGTACTATGGGCCCCTGAACCTCCTGACCTATAACGTTGGCTATCACAATGAACACCACGACTTCCCTGCCGTGCCTTGGACGCGGCTGCCGGCGGTCCGGCGTATAGCCGCCGAGTTTTACAAGGAGCTGCCGAGCCATGAGAGCTGGGTGCGTGTGATCTGGCAGTTCATTCTGGATAACGAGACTGGGCTGTGGTGTCGGGTGAAGAGGGCGGAGGGAGGAAGGAAAGTGGGTGGGTGGAAGGAGGAGGAGTTGGGGGCGAATGAGCGGAGGGGTATTCCGGGAGTCAAATAGATCTGCGTCTCTGCTTTAGTAATGGGCAGCATGCGGTTGACAGAAATCGCTAGACTCCGAAATTATGGAAACTTACAAAATTTGCCATGGTTCTGAAGATCCTTTAGTCTGACCGTTTCACTTTTAGTGATGGATTGGCCCGCGGATGAGGCTGTATACGCTGCCTTACGCCTAGGTGCACTCAAAGCTACGGTAACCAGTCTAGTAAAGCTCAAGCTATTGTAGCTATCTTCTCAATGGTAATGCTGAATGAACTGCTTGCACGATAACCACCGAACATGGATCCTTCCAGGCCGAGCCTTCATCTGATACTCCTCCATACACAGAAGTCCATCGCTAGCTCTCATACGAACACAGCTGACTACCCTTGCGACACCGCCCCAGCTTCCGATCCTCCCGGGACTTCCCTTGAAGGGACTATGAGGCGGTGCGGATTTTGAGCCTGCAACCACGGGTCCTCCAGGAGCTCTTCAGCCAACTTCCTGTCTTCGGGCTTCCACTGCAGCATCCTCCGTATGAAGCGGAGGAACGCAGCCTTCTCCTCCCCTTCAGAATTTCCCTCTTCGTCTTCCAGTGTGATTGCAGGAAGGATGTCCGCCGTGAATTCGCCTTGACAGAGTTAGTTTTACCGAAGCCAGCGCAACGAATGCTCGTGGTAATTGCGGAGGATCCCGGCGAGCACTCACCGTTCTCGCTGAAGAACTATTCTGAATCCTTCCCACGCGTGAGTGACTCCTTTGGCGGGGGACCGAGCAAAGCGATCAGCCAAGCCACAGGAGCCGCGCTTGACACGCCGCCATCCAGTAGTCTCTCGTCGAAGAGGGGCTTGCCTTTAAACAGCTCCCAGATCTGGGCAGAAGTCAGTGACACAGCTGTGGAACAGTGGCATCGCCGTACGCTAACTCACCATTGTCCCGGCGCATCAGATGTCTATTCTGTGGTCCTAAGAGATTCCGAGAAGGGTTTCGGGCGTTCGGTAGGCGATGGGCTTGGTCTGTCCAACTTACCGGCCAGTCGGCGAGCCGAGCTGTGCATAGCCAAAGTCGCACAGCGCCCAACGGCCGTCATTTCTCGGCGTGACGAGGGGCCTTGATGCGTAAATGCCACGGTCTCCAGCAAGCCTGTAAACACTCGGCTTGGCCGACTCGCTCTGTTCGAACGCTTTGAGACTCGAGTCGTCTGTGAGTGACATCACAATGTTGCCCGCTTGGATGTCTGCGTGATAAATCAACACAAACTGCTCAGGTCAAGAAAATGGATGATCTAGTTGTAAGTTACAACATACCGGCATGTACTACCTTGGCTTCACCGCGAAGAAAGTCAAGCGCACCTAGAAGGTACTCTATGACACACTTGAGCTTGTTCCCAAGTACCTTCCCACGACACATCCACCGGAGTTTCGACATCGTCAAGCCCACAGGGTCGTCTACGATACATCGATGTAGATCCTTCGTCCCCGGCAGTTCGAAGGTATCGAGCATGCGCCGGACCAGGTACCAGCCAGCATGGTTTGGTTCCGTTGTGCTGTAAACTCGGCCAATTGATGGTTCTGTATTTCTGAAAGTTGGAAGATTCGGGAGCCTCCGATGGGATGCGAGAAAGCATTCGTGCACTGCACATTGTCCAACAAAGTTAGAACCTGATGCTGTAGACCACGGATGATTGACTCAGACGGAACTTACATCTGTACCAAATTCACCCCGGTCGAAGAGCACCACGCCGCCAAAGATATGGTATTCGGCCAATAGCCCACAACGTCAGCGATGCCCTGAGGGTACTGTTCCCAAGCAGAGTTCCTCATGCTTGGAATCCATTGGTCGGCCTTCGAGTGCAGCTTTACACATTTCGGCATCTTAACCTTCTCGGCGGAGACCGGGTCCGGTATTGGCATTGAGCAAAGCCGCGATGTCATGACAAGTGACAGCCAACATTTCTAGCAGCTGCATGTTGAAGCCCCTTGACCCCGGTAACGGGTCTTGATATGCTTGTGCCACGTGGCGCAATTATCAGAGATCGGCTGCCGCAGGGACCGCTCCAGTAATACTGACTTTTCCATTCATCTGGATAAATCTGCCTTGAAATGCGCTCGGAATGCTTCCGCTGCCTCTAAGGCTTCCTGAGAAGGTAGAGCATTCTTCTCTATCTCTTTGCTATATACTGGGAAACCCCCAATGTCGTCACGCGTCGGGAGGCCATCGATGATTTGTGCGAAAGTACGCTCTGCAATAATCGTGAAAAGGACGCGAGAGAGAGCCCGATGGAACCTGTCGAGGTGTTCAGGTCCCAGGTCGTTACATAGACTTTGTCCGGCTCATCTTTTGAACATAACGTGTTTGACATGGAGCGGTAGTGGACCACGAGATGCAATAAGATAATGGCAAGCCCACTTAGGTCAATCTCTTCGGCGAAGGGTATGATGGCTCATGGCAGATCAGCGCTTCTATGCGTGTTTACCTGGGGATCCTGAGATACAAGAGGGAACCCAGGGACTTGATTTGACTTCGATCTCAAGGATGCAGCACAACATTGACTTCGTGTGCTTACGACCACACAGCGAAGTAAGATTAAGGTAAGGATGACTTCGCGGATGCACAGTCACGTGTGCCGGTCACACAGGCACAGCCCCGTCCCCTCGAATTATTATCTCCACTCTCTAGGCATCCTCAATGGCTTTCTCTAATAACCCGCAGCTCAACGAAGACGACAGCCAACCTTACCGAACTCTATACCGATCAGGCTCTAGATGGCCACTCTCTGCAACGCCTGTCGCACCAGCGGGCCGTTCCGTAAAGATTTCAGGTGGGATATACATGCAATTAGGACAACCAACTTCATCGAGTCCGACTAAGAGGACGCTTTCGACTTCCACCTAACACATGAAGACCTGCACGCTTCAGCACGGGGAGGATGCTGGGTTTGTGCCGTTCTCCAACAGCAGGTGGAAGCTGACGAGTCACGTGGGCTGGTGTATTCGCCGCACAACAGAAGCGGGCACTTCGTCAAGTACCTAGTAATGGGAGTAGATCCTTTCACACTTTACTACTACTTCTGGTACGGAGCAGAACCGGACAGGGGCGCATACCCGGATGGGGGCGTAGATATTGAAGTTTTGCCTGCCTATGGTGGGTTTGCCGAGATCGATACTTTCACAATGAATACTCTAACGATCAGTGTCAGACGTAGAGGAATTGTTCGACAGCTACGAACTCACCGGCAGCACCGATGCTGCAGCGACCTGGAGTCTTGTAAGCAAGTGGATCCGTAACTGTGCCACTGGTCACGCGAAGTGCGGTCACATCAATCAACAGTCGTGGGCGCCTACTCGTCTTCTCGACGTTGCTGCAGAGAATAGCAACGAGGGACTACGTTTGTGTGAACTCAGGGGGGACCTTAAAGGAGAGCGGTACATGACACTGAGCCATTGCTGGGGCAAGACTCAACCAATCCGACTTCTGCGAGGTAATCTTGAGGCAATGTTACGATCAGTAAGCCTGAAGAGCTTGCCAAAGACTTTCAAAGACGCTATCCATATCACCAGGCGCCTGGGAGTGAAGTATCTCTGGATTGATGCCATGTTCGTAAATTGCATCACACATTGAGAAAGCATTGACACTAATACAAATGAGCAGGTGTATTCTCCAAGACTCTACTACGGACTGGCTCAGCGAATCGGCCTTGATGGAACAAGTCTACAGACGTTCCTTCTGCAACATTGCTGCCTCCGACGCGTTCGATAGCGACGGCGGATGCTACTATACCAGGAATCCGTACTTCATACAGCCTTTTTGGGTCGACATCAACAATGGAAGTTCACCGGAGCAACATTGTCTCGTAAAAAGCAGTCCCCATTGGGTGACCCGGCTTGGAAGAGCGCCTTTGAATCGCCGAGCTTGGGTAATACAGGAGCGATTTTTAGCCCCCCGCGCCTTGCACTTGGGCAAGGATCAGATCACCTGGGAGTGTCGAGAGCTAATCGCCTCGGAATCCTTTCCAAAGGGCCTACCAGACACCGATCTTGACTTTCTGTACGAGTCTCTGAGAGAGATTATAGCCGGAGCCGAAACGTTCCCAAATCCATCCTCAACGTGCTCGGTGCACACTAAGGAGGGACTGATCTACGCCTGGAATTATCTTGTGGATATTTACATTAGGTGCGATCTGACAAAACCCGAGGATAAGCTCATAGCGATTTCAGGTCTGGCAACAGCAATGCAGAGGTCGCTCGGCACTTATCTTGCAGGCATCTGGGAATGCTCTCTCCCTGACGGATTGCTTTGGACCACTGTTCACCCAAGTCGCTCTAGACCATCTCAGTATAGAGCCCCTTCCTGGTCGTGGGCTTCGGTGGAAGGCCTTGTTCACTATTACTCAACATATGCACACGAGTTGTACTGGGGCTATTGGGTTTTCATTCTCAACGCACAAGTTACTGCTTATGGTGCAAACGGCACTGGACAAGTCACCGCTGGCTCTTTGCGCATTCAGGGTCGCCCCGCTTTGACTCGGTTTTCGAAGAAATCAGAATGGCCCTTTGCCATCGCAAGTGTCAGAAACCCCAGAGGCAACGAATTGTCAATGAGCGCATACTTTTACCCCGATGGTAAAGATCAAGCCGCGATGGGCGAGTTCACATGTCTTCCAATTGGTGTTCTCACCAAAGGTGATTCTGATCCTTGGCTAGATGAAGACGATGTTGATACAGACGATGTTGATACAGACGATGTTGATACAGACGATGTTGATACAGACGATGTTGATACAGACGATGTTGATACAGACGATGTTGGCACAGATGGTGCATTCTTGAGGTTGTATGGTTTGGTCCTTCAACGTGAAACCTGGTGTTTCAAGCGCGTCGGTGTGTTCATCCTGCACAACAAACATAGTGCAATCTTTCAGAGTCTGCCTGAGTGCGCCATTACCATTGTCTGAGTTGAATTTGAGTTGACTAGGCTGTTCATGAAGACCTACCGTCCTGTCTGGAGCTCTATCGGGTTTTCAGTAGCTTAGAAATGAATGGCATGTTCCTTTACTAATCATAGATTCGTGAAAACAATCACTTCTTGGCTCGGTAAATCGCCAAGAAAAAGTGATTGTTTTCACAAATCTATGATTACTGTGACGGTTTTAAGGATTTGACGCTCGGTGCAGGCAGAATCGAGCTGAAGTTGTTTGCCAGTGTTCCTTGCACACAGAACCGCTGCAGATTCGTGATCCTCGATAGCCAGCTCTTTAGAAAATGTTAGATAGGAGACTTCTTTGCTCCTGATCAGCGTACTCCTAAAGAACTCATTGTGAGCTAAAACGCAGCGATGAAGTCGAGCCAGATAATCACGTGTTGTTGCGGCATGTCGCTAAGACTCCTATCCCCTAACCCCAAAGAGGAACCCGGCAATTGGCGACGTACAATATTGAACAGAGGCACCTTGATAACAGCACTAGTACAACAACAATGGCACGCTCGCCGTCAATACCCAGCATAATGGCCTCCCTTCTCCCAGTCCTCGCCGTCGCGGCGCTCATCCTCCCCACAAACGCACTCTACTTCTACATGGATAGCACGCAACCCAAGTGCTTCTTCGAGGAACTCCCCAAAGACACACTCGTAGTCGGTCCGTAACGCTTCCAACCCCTAAATTCTTCCTCTCTAAAACTCACACCAACAGGCCACTACACCGCCGAACAATGGGACTCCCACACCCGGACCTACCGCCCCTCCCCCGACCTCCGCATCCACATCACCGTCGAAGAAGTCTTCGACAACGACCACCGCGTCGTCTCACAGACGGGCGACTCCAAGGGCCGCTTCACGTTCAGCGCGGCGGACAGCGGGGACCACCGGCTGTGCTTCACGCCCGTGGGCGCGACAGTGGGGGGCGGATGGCTTAGCAGCGGGGAACCGAGGGAGGGTGGCATCAAGTTTAATCTGGATCTGGTGATCGGGGAGACGAGCAAGATTGAAAGTACGGATAAGGGCAAGATTGCGGATATCGTGCAGAAGGTGCGGGATTTGAATCTTAGGCTGCAGGATATTAGGAGGGAGCAGGTGTTTCAGAGGGTGAGTCTACCTGTTCAAATTCCTCATTGGCCCCCCCAATTCAGGTTGGGTTGAACAAGAAGCGGTTCTGTCTGGGGGTGGTAGACGATCTATAAGGCAACTGTTTCTGATAAAGATCACAGGAGCGCGAAGCCGAGTTCAGAGATCAATCCGAGTCGACCAACGCGCGAGTTGTGCGCTGGACGCTGGTGCAGCTGGCCGTGCTGGGGGTCACTTGTGCTTGGCAGCTGTCGCATTTGCGGGCTTTTTTCATCAAGCAGAAGTTGACGTAGGGCGTTCGTGTTTCAATACTTCTAGGCTTTCTATCATAGGGAAATTAGAGAGAAGCAGAGGATGGGGGCGGTGTTCTTCTGATATAATACTCGTTCTATCTGAGACTGTTCGCGTGCGTCCTTGCAATTCAAGCATGCTCTACTGCAAGGTTCGCCTGCCGCTCGTTGCATACCTCGTCTTCGAGTGTCTTCGTCGCCGTTCAACAGGTAGGAGCTTTTTCTAGGGAGCGGATCTGCTACAGGCTTGGTGGCTCTTCGATCTGAGGGTTGTTACTTGAGCTCGAATTCAGCACTTGCTAAAGTCGCTTCTGCTGCTTCCCCAACACGCCCAACGTTGTGCGCCGTCCAGGCGTTGGGCGACTTGCTGAGATGATCTAGGGGTTACCGTTCGGGTTGCTGCTGAGGCCTAGATGTTTAAGTTTTGACTCAGGCCCTGCGCGAGTTCTGTCGCTGAGGGGCCTGCAGAACAAAACTCCAACCCGGTTGGCAGCGGACCCCCAAAAACGAAGGCGAGATCCTCTGGACATCGTTCACGGCTCGTAAGCCATCGAAATTGTTTTTGGATCTTTACCATATACTGTCACTCTTACTCACGCACATTTCTGCGGCGGTACTCGGCAGGAACTGCATGCTGCTAGCCTTCTTGCTTTGCGGATTTTGCAGCGCTGCTGGCTTGAGGAGCACTTTCTGGTGCGATTTCAGAAGTCGTATGTTGAAAGTTGGCAAGTTCCAGCTGCATTTGCTCCCGCAGGATGGCCAAGTCTGATCTACCTATTGAGAGCTGCCTCTCGTAAGAACTTATCTTGGCTGGAGTGAGACGTGGGATATATGAGGTATGCTCTCTGGTCCATTCGTATTCTTTCGCTACCTCAACTTGGAGCTCATTCAAGACACCCATAATGCCCGTGGTCGAGCTCTGCAGCTCCTCTGCGACGGAAGTGCGTGCTGTACCAAGGATGCTATAATCATCTCGGATGTCCGCCATGAGATATGCTAGCGTTGTTAGAGTGTCGCGCAGCCGGTCGATGTCTCGGTTTTGCGTATGGACGAGCTTGAGCCTTTGAGACAACCGGGTGTACAACTTCAACGTTGTTGGAAGAAGCCTTGATACGGCTTCAAAAAATTCCATCACAGGGCCGTCCTGAGCGCCAAGGGAGGGTTGTCCTGCAGCAGCAGTCACCGAGTGCTTGTACCCCGAAGGCACTGATAACATCAGAAGCAGCCGATTTGCTTGTAAGGCACTTAGAGCACCTGACAAAGTATCTGTCCCATCGTACAAACCTCGCTCGTAGCTGGATAGCTTACTGGACTCGATGCGCTGTGCGAGGGGAGTCATGGCCGAGATATCCTCATGCAGATGTTCCAAGTCTCTTGCCAAGAGAAGGGCTGTTGAGCGGATAATGCCAGACCAATGTAGAGGAACTTGTCCCTCTCTAAGGCTGTTGCAATGCTCTTTCAGGTCTTCAACAACCAAGGCGAGATTCAGTAGCGTAGAGCGTAAAGATTCGATGCCTTCGTCAACACCGTACTTGGATTGGATGATAGCATGGCTATCATTGACGGAGAAAATAGCGGTCTTAAGAAACAAGGAGAGCGTCGCCAAGCTGGACTCCGGATCGGCCGTGCGGTCGTACGTGATGCGGCCTTGGGAGTCACCATGGTCAAATGTGCCTGAAGGTCCTTGCCCGGCCGGAAAAATCTTGCCTGCTGAACTTTGATTGCGGCTGCTGATCTCTGCCGTGCGATCTGCGAACTTCTGAATCTCCGCTTTCGTGAGAACCCGGAGCACGATCACCGAGTCCATGCGCTCCACGAACCGTTCGTTGGCCTCCTCGAGCGCTTGGGGGCTGACGAGTTTGCGGTCGATCTTGGTCCAGCGAGCGCCACGTGGGATGTTCTTGTCCTTCTTTGCGTCTTTTAGGAGCGCAACGCCTTCCACAGTCGGATTCAGGTCTTCAGGAAATTCCTTTGTAGGTTTTCGGAGTATCCCCTTGACAGGATGTGGTGGCGAGAACGCCTTTGCCGGTTCGACAATCCCAACGCGAGCGTCGCGTGACTTGAGCATGCTCTCTGTGTCTGGCTGCTCCTCCTGCTCTGGCAGCCGGGGTGTTTGAAGCTGGCAATCTATGCAGCGCTCATGGCTACATGCAAGGCATGTCATACATGACACAGTAAATGGTCCATTCCTACACTGACAGCAGAACCATTCATACTTCTCCGGTGTGAGCTCCAGGTCATCCTCTAGTGGGAAGTCCAGCTCCTGCTGCGGCCTTGGACCAAGCGCAATGCCCTCACTTTCAGTCACGCTCGCATGGTGAGTCTCAGAAACGAGATCAGTTGGAGGGAAGTAGAGCCTACGGAATCCAACAGAGTTAGCTCATGTAACATTCGACAACTGAACCAAACGATGGTCAGGACTAGCCAATACGAGCTCAAAAACACTGCCTATGGCAGTCACACTTACGGAATGGAGTCCCGGTAACAGTCATAATCCTCATTCGTGAAGACGCAGAATATGATTCTTTCCAGGCTCTCTCCATAGCCACTATCGAGGAACTCACGAATGGCGCCGATGGCGCATAGAGCAGCTTCTTCGGTTGGGAAACGGTATCCACCTGCGCTAAGAGTTGGGAACGCTATGCTCTTAAGACCGTTTGCTATCGCTATCTCTAAGGATCTCATATAGCAGCTCCATAGGAGACGTTCGTGATCCTTTCCGCCGCCAGATCTCCTGTAATATGGCCTCACGGCGTGGATGACTCTTCGACAAGGTAGACCGTAGGCCAGGGTGATTACCGCGTCCCCGACCTCACAAACACCGATCGCTCTGCATTGACGCTCTAAATCAGGACCAGCCGCGGTATGCACCCGGTAGTTTAGTGTACCGATATCCCGAGAATTTTCCAGCAACCTATCGGTAGGGTTGACAATGGCATCGACTTGGAGCTCCGTCAAATCGGACAGAAAAACTGAGATCTTTTGATTGAAGGTCGCATCTGGCGGCTTCTTCGCCCGCACTGGATTCAACTGCAGGCGGCGATACAGCTCAGAAATCGTGGGTATCATGTTCAGAGTCAGCGGAGCAGAAGAATCTCTGTCTAAGTTTGGGGATGGCGTTTGTGCAGGAACTGGAGGCTCGACCGGTAGGACTGCCGTTTCTGATAGACTAGAAGTTTCATCCGGTGCAGCGCTTAGAAGTCCTAACGAGCGCAACTTATCGAGAGTTGCGTCCGGCACTTGTTTGAGAGCTTCTACGGATAATTCTGTGCCAGAGCCCTCAGCCTTCAACTTTCTGCATTCTGCTGTTAGACTCCGAACTATTGCCGTCAAAGATGTCAATTCTGTCTCAGCCTTGGTCAGCTTCGCCGGAGAGGCCAGAGCAGCGGGTTGACTTAGAAAGCTATCAGTCTTAGCAAGCAGTGCTCTCCAGGACCAGATGGCACTAGCATGTTCGGACCGTATCAAATCACCGCGCCATCCTTCAGCAAGGTCCTTCAGAGCAATGTGAAGACCTAACATAGACATGCTGAGGTGGCGTAATTCTGGCGAAGGGTCATCGAAGACGGTGTAAGCGTCTTTGGAGAGCTTGTAAGCGTCCACATAATTTCTGTAAGCTGACCATGCAAGAGATTGAAGGTCTTCGACTTCTTGGATGGGGCTTGCTTCGTCCGTAGTGAGCTTCGCTGACCTTGCTCGACCATTCAGATCCGCAAGCTCTACACTTGTGTTTGAACTCTTCTCCCTGGATGACCAACCGGTGCCGCTGCGACCTTGTAAGGCGTCGTTGGAGGCTCCAGAGCAATCTTCTGCGGTCTGAGCATCTCTTGGAAGCGCAAAGGCGGCAAGTCTTTCAAGGTGATTTGCAAGGTGGTCGGAAAGCGGCCCGATATCATCAACGTCCGCAAAACATACAGGACAAGATTTACGCTCATCGATACCGGTAGTCTCCCCCACAGAAAGTAAACTGCGGATTTGCTGCTCTGAGAGAAGTTCTGGATGGCTTGCGCGGATGTGGTTCTCGAAGGCTGCAGGAGATTTATACACGCAATCTGAATGTGCCGGACATCTCCAAAGCTTCCGATGTACGCAGCTTTCGTGATCTGTCCATTCACGACGGGTTCGAAAGAATTGTTCAGGATCAGCGCAGTCGCTGTACGTACACACGTAAGGTTGGAGATCTTGGAGTATGTGCGTCCTTTACCACCGTCAGCGTGCCCGCGAGCCACGTCATGGCCGCCATTTTGCAGAACGAAAATGTCTAGTACAGAACACGAAGGAACTTGAGACGCACCTCCAGGCTCTCGTCTTGCTATACCTCGCTGGGCAGATGATGTAGCAATAAGGACACTCGAAGTCCCTCTTACCGGTAGCGGACGTTGGAGGTGGAGGTAGATCAACAGTGGGACCGCTGACATCTCGTGTGGTTGTCGCAATTGATGTCACGGATTGGCTGTCAACTGCGTCGTCCAGCGTGCGATGGTGCGCAGTAGCTTCGGTGCCAGACATGAGAGTTTTAGTCGCCGCCTCACTTGCCGGGACGCAATCAATTTTTATGGCTTCCGGGAGCTGCTCTACCTCACGAGAAATGTTCCTCACATCGGCTTGGTCCTGCGTTTCGGTCGCTCTGGATGTGTACGCATCGTCTTTTGGGAGATCAGCGAGCTTCTCGCGGTGCTTCCGCCAATACCTGAAGTGTTGCCGACGCTTCGTGATTGCTCGCGCAAGCCGCTCAATCAAAAAGTCATCCTCTTGAAGCTTGTTGCCCGCAGTTCGACGAAGATCCTTCGCAACTTCACGTGTAAACCGTCGATCAAAGGCGGCGTATCCATGAATACCAGAGAAAACATCGATATTCGTCTCTCTGTCAACTTGTTTGAAAGTTCCTGCTTTTAAGGAACGTGACGCCAACGTAGGGGTTCGAATGCTTATGGACAGCTTATACAAGTTGTCGTTGATGTCGGTCAACTCCAGGAAGCGCTGCTCCAGCTCCGTTTGTGGCCCTTCTCCATTGCTGCTGTCTACTACGGACGAGTCATCGGATACATCGCTATCAGTATCGTTGGAGTCTTCCGCCTGCTGCTCGTAGGGCAACCTCGAGCCACGAACAACTGCAATTGCTTCAAATTGAGAAATTAGTGTAAGAGACGATCTTCTAGGATACAAAGGAAGAACTCTCAAGCAAGCAACATCTGAGTATGGAAAATGCGCACATTCTGAAGCTTGATGTATGCAGAGTTCCCGTCAACAAATAGCTCTGGCGAAGGTCATACACAATGCTTTCGAACCCTCTCCTAAGGACGGCTCTTGCGGGTTCTTTGATAGAGACCGTGAACCGTTCCTTGCACAAAAACCACTGCATATGGACGCTGAAACACCACTACTCACCTTCCTTTAAATTCAGTTGCAGCTCCTTGAGCAGCTTGATAACGTTCGTGTTCAGTAACGGTGACGCCCGCAATCTGTAGTCAAGCGAGCTATGACCCTTTTGGAGCACGCCCAGATTGGCGGCCCAGACTCTAAACCGTCCGTACTCATCTTCGAGGCTGGAAGGTTGAAGCAAATTTCGAATAGCTGGTGCTGCTTCGCGGAGCGAGGTACAAAGCTCATGGAAAGACTGCGAGCAGGATGAAGCATTTAGCCGAATGTCTGACATTGCCGCAGATGAAAGACAATCAGGTCGCCGAACGAATGCAAACTATATCGTGGTGAGCGACGAACGGGTTGAAGCCTGCTGGCGACGTTCACCTGCGAGATGGAAGCTTGCACTCAAGCTGGTGAGCGTCAGCATCGTGAGGCTGAAAGAAGTCATGCATTGTCAGCCTGGTGCGGGGCGGAGCACATCGCAACCTGCCAAACCACCGATCCATCGACCTACTCTCAACATGCTCCCCGTTCGAGGGCTTGGGACGATCTGAATTGCGAACATGAGCGGTCTGGAAGTTGCTGGCGTGGTGTTAGGAGTGTTGCCGCTATTAGTATCCGCTCTCGAGCATTACAATGAAGGGCTTGACCCCATAAAGGCTTTCTGGGGCTGGGAAAGAGAGCTGCCGCAATTCATTCGCAAGCTGAGAAATCAAGTAAGACATTATGATTGTTCCGTACACCTGACATTGACAGAGGTAAAATAGCATGTCCACTACGAGCAGACTCTCAAGCTACTCCTGGCCCCGATCACCGAGGATGCCGAGCTGGCGGACATGGTTGCAAACCCAGGACAAGGCCTTTGGAAGGACGCTGAGATAGCAATCAAACTAGAGAACAGGCTCAATGAATCCTACAAGGCATATATAGGTACGATAGCCGACATCGAAGGCATCATGAAAAAGATTGCAAGCAAGTTAGATTTGGGGAGTGGGAATAGCGTAAGTACGGAGAGCGTTTCAAATATTGCATGGCCGACAACTGACTAGCGCTCAAGATGACCCGCGATAACCTAGAAACCTTGCTCTCCGCCAACCCGCAGAAGGCGGACAACAAGTTCGAGTTTTCTAAGAGGATCAAATTCAGCATATCCAAAAAGAGAATTAAGGGTTTACTAGAGGACCTTAACGAATGTAACAAAGAACTAGAACGATTCACGGATAAGAGCGAGAGGTTGGAGCCGTATCGCAGCGCATGGAAGGCATCACAGGTTGCCCCGCTGCAACGCGTACAGAGATATGCGAAGCGTCTCCACGACGTGCTGTCCCTGGCATGGACCTGCTCATGTAACGCATCTCACTCGACAACCCTCCGGTTGGAGCCGAGGGCGATTACTGCAAGGTCCAAGAACATGAAGATCAAAGGCCGCCAAGGCGATGTAACATGCTTCAAAGTATGCTTCTCCAGCTCGTCCTCTCCATGGACATGGCAAGAGGCAGAGATACGAGTAGAGGATCAGCCAAGCGATCAAGGTAGCCTTCGCACACCTGGGTATGCACCACTAGTTGATTCCAGACACTGAAAGCTCCTTCATAGACCCTCGCTTGTTTCGGAAACCTCAAGAAAGCGCAGGCCACTAATGGTATAGCAGGTGCAGCGGTAAAGTTCAGTTCACGACCCTTCCGCCAACCCCGTCACCGCCGGCCGAAAGCCGCGCAGGAGGACCTTCAGATAGTCTGAAAACGGACCTGCAGGAGATTGACGATATTTGTCACGCGATATGCAAGGCGAACCTCACCACACCCCGGGCTGGCTTTTTGCTTGATCCACACGGGAAGCTTCGGGGCATATATCCAGTCGACGACGACAGTCACCAAGCAAGCGCCATTTGGCAAGGTCAGACTGTAACCCTCAAGGATTTACTTGGTGGTAAAGGCGCTCCACTCAGCAAATCAGACCGCCTGACCAGGCGGGAACGATATATGCTCGCGGTCACCTTGGCATCCTCGATCTTGCAGCTCCACACAACCCCTTGGTTAACCAACCGTTGGGACAAGAACGACATCATCTTCTTACGAGCGGTGGGCGGACCACATTCCGTCGACGCCAGCAACCCCTATATCGTGCACAAACAATTGCATCCGAGCCTCTACTCCAGTGGAGGCCTTGACTCTTTCGGCAACCAGAATTCAGCCCTCCTTGCCCTCGGTCTCATGCTCCTGGAGCTTTACTTCGGCGGACTTTATGAGCAGCAACATTCGTTCAGCTGTGGCCCGGATTTTGCGAACATAGACACGGCTTTGGGCATGCTTCAAGTCGCTCATCAGTGGGTGAAAGAAGAGAAAGAGAACCTGTCAGCCGGGTTTTTGGGCGCAGTATCGTATTGTCTTCGCTGCTATGCAGACCCGAGAAGTAGCTTACAGGATCCGGTGTGCTTGCAGGCTGCGCTGGAGAACATCGTACTTCCTCTCCATGAAGAGCTCTGCCACTTCATGGGGACCATCTGATATCTCCTGCACGGTGGCCTGTAGACGCCCTAGACCACATGTGATGTCCGATCACGACGGTCATGAAGCCTAGCAATAGACCAGGTGTTCCGTCAGACCCATCGGGGTGCACAACCTCTTTCTGGCAGAGCATCCGGCCCGCCTCCAAAGCAGTTTCTTGAAGCTGCCCCGCCTTGGCGGCAAGAAACCGCACATTGAAGTGGCCCGACAGGTTTCCCGGCTCCTTGAGAAGCTACCGTCGCAGCGTGAGCTCGAGGTGATATACGACGACTTCCATCGCTCTGCTGACGAAGCGGAACACTCTACTGCACAAGATGCATGAACCCAACAAGCCAACGCAACTTATCTGGCTTCCAGGCCTGCGCCAACTGTTGCACACCCTGACCTGAAGCGCTCTCTCCTAGAAGGTTTACTTTTCACTCCTGACCCTCTGCTTCAGCCTTCGGCCAAGGCGTTCGCTGACGCTTTGAGCGCTGCTGGCGGCCTTTCCTGTCTTGAGCATTTCCCATCGCCGCCCTCAGCACTCTCAGAGAAGTCATCTACAGCGCGCCCTCTGCTCTTCCCCACCGCGCAATGTTGGCATGACGAACACGGGGTTCACGATAGACTGAACCAGATACTTTAGTGTGCTTTGGCGATACGAAGATGTTTGTTTGTGGCAGTTTCTATGCGTCAGACAACCGTGTCTCAAAGGCTGTCAAACAGCTAGGGCGCTTGGCTCCGTTCTCGCCCTACTATACCATCAATCTAAGATCCGGTATGTTCATCGATCAGACGCAGCACCTCTTGCTCGTCCATCTCAGCTATGCGTCGCCTGTTCGCCTCCCACTGCACCCAGGCCGCTGCTTGGAGGAGGCAGTCCGCCAGGTCATCCAGCTTCCTGATATCCTCCGCTGTCTCAACAGGCACCGCCTTGCTATCCGCAACGCTGACGCTCTCAACCAGAATCTGCGTGTCTTCTTGATCTTCCACCTTCTTCCTCCTCTTCGCTCTTGGCTTCTTCGTCGCAGATCCCTTTCGCGAGCCCCTTCCCTCCATAATATTCCCCACAAACGCCTTCCTCGCACTCTCCGCCTCCCCACTGAACTCCATCCTGATGCCTGTGCCTTCTGCCCCACCGCCCGCACCACCGACCCCCACAGCAACACCGACTCTCTCCCCACCAACCCACCGCCCCACAAGCCCAACCTTCTCCCTCTTCCCTTTGGCCCCCTTCTCCCTCCCTCTCCCATCCCCAACCCAGAACCCCATCACCCGTGCCGGACTCACGTCCCAGACCTCTGGCCCTTCCCCTCCATCACTCTCTCCCTCACCCACCTCTTCCTTCCCAACCTTCCCAACCTTCCGTTTCCCCTTCCTCCCCCTCCCCGCTCTCTCACTCTGTAACGTCCGCAGCACAGCCCACAACATGCCCTCAAGCATGTTAACGCGGTACGTCCAGTCCTGAACGGCCGCCCCGCCGCCCGAGCGGTACCGCTGGCGCTCGATCAGGAGGGTGTGCGGGGCATGCGGGAGGAGGAGCGTGGTAAGGAGGGTGTGTGCTGTTTGGGCTAGGGCGCGGGGGTGGTAGGGGTCGGCTCCGGGTTCGGGTTTACCTGGCGGCGGTGGCGTGGGGGTGTGGATTGAGGTAGCGGAGGGGGACGAGGGGGGCGAGGTGGTGGACGGGAGGGGGAGGACGGCTATGCGGCGCCAGGTTGTGAGGGTCATGGTGGGCGGGTCTTGGGGTGCCGGTGAAGCGTCTTCAGTTTTACTTTCCGTGCTCTTGGAAGCGGTGGAGGGGGTCGAAGGCGGGAGCTTGACGTCTACGACGCAGTAGGCGAGGTTCTTGATCCCCATATCGATGCTCAGGATCCGCGTCGTGCCGGTTCCCTGTCTGTGGGATGGCAGAGTTGAGGTTTCAAGTTTTTGTTGCAGCCGGGCGAGCAAGATTGGCTTGGTCCCGGTTATGGGCGCGCCGACGAGCGTGAGTAGGCGCCGGAGGCCGGAGTTCTTGAGTTTGGCGAAGGGGGCGGCCATGATGGTACATACGGTACGTCCGCCCCTTGACTGACTTATCCCTCTCTTTTGGGCAAGATGAAATGAGTACTGAGAAAACAACGATGGCGGTGTTTAGGGACGTAGCGCGAAACCGTTCGGATGCTTTCCTGGAACGCTCCTGATCTAACAAGACAAGTGATGGAAACAAGGAAAGACAGTATTAGACAGGGGAAATTGTTATACCTTCGGAACCCCAATTTAGATGATGGATCAATCGCGTTATATTAGATGCAGGAACAGTGCGAACAACTTGCAAGTTTACCGCGAATTGGAATCAAAAGCACAATGGCGGCTAACAAGAGGTCTGTGTATGTGAGAGAGGCTTGCAGGTAAAGACTGTAAGCAACTGGAGATGGACGCGGCATTAAAGAGATTGAAGCCTGCTTGAGAAGGCAAGAAACGAACCACGCAGACAGGTGAGCACGTGACAGGCTCACGGCGACCGCTAAAGAGGATCTAACGTAGGAATATCTATCCAACCCCATTTGTGTAATGATCAATAGCTGGCCCACTAAAGCACGTAACGCAGCCCTCGAGCATGTGTCAAGAACAGCGATAAGTCATCGAAGGCAAGCTTAATATCAGTTTTCCAGAGCAGCACACATCTGCGCCTGATTGTATGGTTGGCAACATCAAAAGCTTCTTCTCATCCTTCACGTTTTGCAACTACATCTCCCGCCCCTCAAACATGAATGCCGCTTACAACGACCCGCCCGCTCCAAACGCTCCAAAAATGCTCACACTACTCTTACGAAACGAAGAAAGAGAGAACCCAGCTCAAAGCCCCGCCCGATTATCTATAAGCAACCCGCCCATCTTACACAGCGCCCTATACAGAAGCCCCTTCTATATGCTCACGCACCCCGCCTTAAGTATGTATGTCCAGCAGCCACGACCAGCAGCTCCCGGTTTTTCTAGCGGTAGAGCACAAAAAGCGGCCGTCACTACTCTGTTCGTCACGTAACAGCAGCCAAAAGCCAAGATCGAACGAGACATGCTGAGAAAGTGCATCCAGTCCGGCCTCGGTCCATCATCTCTCTCCTTGGTTTCAAGCCCTGATTCCCGCCGCTCCATCACGCATATCCCATTTCGGCTTCAACTCGCTCATGAGGTCGTTCTTGGTGCCCACAACATCCTTCGGTATACGGCTAACACGGTAGGCGCCCGCGCGCAGGCTATTAAGCTGCACGGGGTTCATGTTGCTGCGGCCGGAGCGGATGCTGGATGCGTCGCTGCCGGGGTCTGCGTTCTTGAAGCGCGGCTGGGGCGCGAAGTCTAGACCTGTAAAGGTGCTGGAGTTGCGGAGCATGTGTCTGTGAGTTTGTTAGCTGAGATGGGCTTTGGGGGAGGACTAAAAACTGAGCGGGGACGGAGAAACTCACGGGCTAGGCATGAGAGCCAGATCATCGAACGACGACGCAAGCGGCGTATGCGCTCTAACGACAGGCGAATATTGTCTCTGGCCGCCGAGCGGGCTGTCAGGTCTTCGACCGGCTTGCCGGTCGCGGTAGGAGGCGGGAGGAGCGAAGTCGATCGGGCTAAACACCATCGAATCCTCCTTGAGCATGTGCGGTGTCGGAAGTGTGGCCAGCGGCGCGGGAGGGGGCACCGGCTTCTTTGCTGTCGAGTAGTTGCTCATGGCAGATTGGCCGCGTGACGGGGGCCCGTATCTGCTTGAGCCGGTTGATAAGTGGCCTTGAGGGGGACCTTGAGGGCCGCGGAAACGAGGAGGGGCGCGAGGAGGCGGCGTCATGGCACGGCGGGTTACTGGCTGTGCGTATGGCATGCGCTGAGCCGCAACGAAGTTGCCGCTCTGTGGGTCGAACACGGTGCCATCGCCCTGATATTCCTGGCCGTAGTCTTCGTAGTAGTCGCCATAGGTGTGCTGCACAGGGGGCTCGGCTTTGGACTCATCGAAGTACTCCTTGTAGAAAGAGCGGATCCGATTCGCACGCTCTTCCGGGTTCTCAGTTGGATCGAATTCAGGGAGGGGCCGGACGCTCATGGAGAGTCTGTGGGGATCATATTCGAGGCCTTGCACGCCTAGACCTCTTGCAGGTGCTTCCTCAGGCACCGGCGATGGGGCATCTATCGACCGCCTGTTGACATGTGGAGCCCGGGCGGAATTTTTTTGTGGCGGTGATGGCGGTGTGATCTTTAGTGCATCGCCGTAGTCGCTGGTTTCACTGATGAAGCTTGTGGTATCGGGCTTATGAACGGTCGCTTGCTGGGATTGTAATCTTGGTGGGTGCGGGTGGAGTTGCGAGGGCTGAGTAGGAATTGCCTTGGAAGACACATCCACACTGGATAGAGTAGGTTCTGATGAGGCGTATCCTGAGTCTACTGGGGAGGTCGGAGCCACTGAAGGTTCTTGGCCGTAGATGAAGGCTCCAAGATAGTTGTTGTTCTTGCGCAGTTCCTTGGCGTTCCGATCATAGTAGGAATCGCGATCGGTGGTCGAAGGGGCTGGGGCGAGCCCAGTGTTTGCAGATGGCTTAGCGACTGGTTGAGGATATTGGATAGGATTTACTTCAGAAGTAGCCTTAGAGTCTCCTCTAGTCGGAAATGCCTGGGACATTCTCTTGGCGTTGCGGACGAGACTGGCGTTCATTCCCTCAGTGCCGCCGCTGGACGCCGTGAAAACCGAGCCATTGTCATGAGCTTGCCGTGATTGTGAGCGCGAAAAGGCATCGCCGCCCTTGACGAAGGTCACTGGGCGGTATGGATCGTTGGGGTCGGTGTGGGAACGCGACATTGAGCGGACCGATTCTCGAGAACCGTGCAGTCCGGCCGGTAGGAGGTAAGGGCTGTTTCCCAAATCCATGGAGAGTCCTCGACCTCGGCGCAACGTCTGCTCTGTGTCCGCAGCGCTCATCTCCGGCATTCCGCCTTTGCCTTTCTTGCCCGTCCCAGCAGCCGGCACGTCGTCCATGCCGAAGTCGAGAGATTTGTGAGGATCCTTCTCGTCATCTAGACGCTGCTTCTTCCTGTTCCGGCGGTGAAGGAAGATGAGTACTACAAGAGCGCATACAAGAGGGATACTGTAACACGATGGTCAGCACGCGAATGCTCCCCGCGGGAATAAAAACGTACGCGGCACCGAGGGCAATTGGCAGGGCGTTGGAGCTGTGCGGCTTTTCGCACAGGTTGGCATTGTCCGCATTGCAAGTTCTGGTAGCCTTTGGAGAGGAGGATGTCGCGTCGGGGCTCCTCCTAACGAGCTCTGATATGCTGTGCATGTCGTCTACTTGTTGGAGGGGAGGATGTGGCAGATCTACTCGGGGCTCGGGCGCTCGTTGTACGATATGGTGTAGGTGATGAATGTGGTGCAGACCGTGCATGTTGGATAAGAGTGATATGGGTGTTGTTTATTAAGCGCTCACAGAGCGTAGGTACCGCGACGGTCCAATGTCCGATTATCCCAACACTCATTAACTGGTTCAGTATTTTGACATTGGTCTATCAACTGCGTGCGTAATAGGCGGTGTGGTGCGGTGTGGTGTGGTGTTTGAGCGAGCGACTGTACAAGACAAAGGAGTGACTAACGCAAACGGCTAGGTTGAGAAAGTAATGTTCGAAATCCTCTCAAAGGAATGACTTGGGTAAGCTGGAAGGACGGCGAATGGGTCGAAACAGTACTGAAGCCGCTGGGGCAGGTTGGTGGTGGTGGTGGTGGAAGTGAAGCTGGAGAGGAGACAGAAGAAGCGTGAGCAATTGAGGAGGATTACCGATGCGGCAGGCCGCAGAAAGCAGGATATGGCGGTGATTGGACGAGTCGATTCTGACCCAAGCTCGTCGCACCAACGAGAATGGCCGAGGGCAGATTCAGGTACAGATACAGGGATGCTGCGTACAGGGGGGTTTAGTCGGATAAATTACCTAAGCGTCCACGCTCTCGAGCTGTGCGGTTTCTATGAATACATTCCTGGGCTACTGTGTTGTGCCTGCTCTGCTTCGATGGCTTAAACGGGATACATGAGTTCTGGTCTCTGCCGGGACGAGCCAACAGTGACCATGAGCTGGGTACAAACCGTCAGGCAGCACCTGTGTATCTCAACATCTACCGTTTAAAAGTTGAACAGCCCTGGAGGACGAGACGTCAAAGTTGGCGCTTCGATGCACGTTAGCACGGGACCGGGGATGGGGGATTGCGCTACGACGGAACAGGTCAAGCGCCAGGTGCAGGCGAGATTCAGGGGCTCCGGCGAAGTTCCGCGGGGAACTTGCCGCCAACGCCGACGATGCAGCCGTCCAAGGGTCTGTCAGCCAAACGCTTCAGACCTCAACATCCGCCCGTACCACGCCACGGCCGTCATCAGATGTCGGTGGTTGCTGTGGAAGAGCTTGTCCTCCCAAAGCTCCGATAAGCAAGGCCTACCAGGCCACCAGCTGGCCGTGTCGCTCCAGCAGCCAACCCTTTAAACCATAGGCCCGACCGCTATCCAAGCAATCTCCTCGGCAGGCGCACGAGAGCAGAAGCTTTCCTGTACCGTGCGCTTCATCTCCGAACATCCTAGCATGCCTGTCTTTTGCATTGCGCAGATCAGCATCGACTGCGGCTAGAACACAGTGTTGGACTCTCTCCTGTTGCATGTCCAACGGTTTGTACATACACCCGTCCTCTGACAACGGCACCGATAAAGCCGCAATGCTTCTTCGTGAGGATCGAGGGGGAAATCTCCCCTAGGCTTTGCCCTCGTGAGGTCTCGGGATCAGGTCCTCCAACTTGACCGAAGACCTGGCCGTTTTACCCGGTCTTCATATACATTGGTTTCTCTGCGTGTGTGAAGGCTCGGCCTACAGCGAACCGATAGTGTCGACTCGACTGAGGACTGGTCAGGACTTCGACCCCTCATGCCGAGAACGCGCATGTATTGGACGGTAAACGGTGGGGGTTTCAGTACTCCGCATGTTCATATGGAATGGTGATTGTGCTGGAGTTGCAGCCATGTTGCTGTAGAAAGTGTAGGATCAACCTTACACGGGTTGTGGTGTGTCAAGACCAGAGTTGGGTTCTACGAAAACGGTTTGTACATCTCCAATATCCTCAATAATTGTCTTAATGCGCTGCACCCTTTCCCGGAACCACTCTTGCGCGCATGCTTTCGTCACGAGCATCAGCAGCCGAATCTTCAGTTCTTCATACTGGTGTGCATCATGATAGTATTCTGCCCATCGTTTTCTAAATGTAGATCGCTTTGACAAGATCTCGCTCCTCTTTAAACACATTGAGTATGGACCGTTGAGTTCTTTCAGACATGACTACCTAGTCGGCGTGCAAGCGGACATCTATCATACGTCTCGGGTTTATTGCAACACCATTCAGTAGTGTGGCCAGGAGCGCCCTCTGGACATCGGCATGGGTACATTAAGTTGTTTCCACAAGTAGAAACAAACACATCCCTCCAAATCCTGCACATTCGCTAGAGAACACAGATAGTACGAATATCCCAGTCGAATTGTATATTGCCCATCACACCCTCAATTCAGCCATATCACAGCTGCCGCCCGTTTCCATCACCAAGAGTATAATCCACTACGCCCCCTAATTCCCCCTTTCACTCTTTCCTCCAGCCCTCACGCTCCCTTCATCCTCCTCCCTCACAACCTCCAGTCTCCTCCTCCCGCTCCCTCCAGCCTGACTCCCCAACTCCCTCCCCAGCACCTCTCTCCCTTCCCTCAAGCCCTCCGCCGCCCACTCGACAAACCGATCCGTGGGGCTCTTCCACTGCTCGCCGGCTTTAGCGGCCCCCTGCTGCGGCTTTGCCCGCGGCCGCCGCGTCGGCAGCGCCGGGTCAAAGGTGTGGTAGGATGGTGCTTCGGGGCTGCGATAGGAGGGGAGGGAGGTGCTGGGGTGGGGTGTTGGGGCTGAGCCTGAGGCGGGTGAGGCGGTGGAGGGGGGCAGGACTTGCTGCCTGCGGGGATTTCTCTCGGAGGTGGGTGTTCTGCGTTCACTGTGGGACCTGACAGGGCCTAACGACCGAAGTCTCGTCGTAGCGCTTGACCCGACACTCACGGTGCGCAGGCTCATACCGTCATAGTTGTTGTCGGTGGAGCTTCTGCTGCGGACGCTGCTGCCATCGCTTCCGGCCCCCTCGTCCTCGGGACCTCGCTCGTAAAAGAAGGGGTTGCGCTGCCTGCTTAGGGTGCTGGCGGGCCGCGAGTCGCTGAGGATACTGAAGCTGGGTTTGGGCCGCAGATTTGGGTTCAAGAACCTCGCCGCCAGCGTCCGCGGCGTTGCGGAGCGGGATATCAGGCTCGGCTGTTCGATGCTGATGAGGCTTGGTGAGTAGGATGGAGGGATGCCCTGCTGGCAGCGGGCGATGCGGGCGGGATCAATGACTTCAGCGGCGGTGAGGCCGCGGAAGGCGTATTTGTGAGAAGAGTCCGTGAAGGCGTGGTGGAGGTTTGAGGGGGAGGGCGAGCGGTGGGCTTCGAGGCGGTTAAAGGAGGCGCGGGAGCCAGTGTCGAGATTCAGGAGGGAGGGGTTATCTGTCAAGGTGATGCTGGAGGGTGTGGAGATTGTGGAGTTTCTGCTGGTCTATGATCAGGGGAAGAGCGGTTAGCTTCGTGGCTGATGAAAGGGAAAAACTATACGGGAGACTTAGGAGACTCACTGATCGCTTCCTAGAAAGCCGACTAATTGTCCTCTTGAGCATCTTCGATCCTTGACGTCCGCCCTCGGAAGACTCAGCTGTTAGATCAGTGACTGGAGTCGGTCCCCGGACTGTATCTGAATACGGCAGCCCCACCGGATCTTCGTTTGCCACAGATCCAGCATAGATCCAGTTAGGCTCCCTGCCCGCTGTCTGCTGCTGCAAGCCCTCGACATACCTCTCAAGTTTCCTATGCAGCGACAGATAACTACGGAACGAACGGATTCCAGATAGTCGCCGTTCGAGCGGTGCGCTAAGGTTGTTTGTTCTCTCGTCGTACGCATGGTATGCAGCTAGTGAGGAGGAGGTAGACCCGCGACGGTATCTCTCTGCGTCGACAACGTCGGCGTGATTGCCCAAAGAGTGGGTGCTCACACGCTCGAGCTGCACGGGACGTGGGCGGCGTTGATGCTTTCTGGAGAAAATACTGTTCTCTTGCGAGTCTTGCCGATCGCTCCGGAACGTTTTTTGACAGTCTTCCTGTAGAACCTCTAGCGGAGGTTCATCGTGCGCTTCTAGTGAGAGACGGTGCAGAGGCACGTATCCTGTCAGCGCCAGCATCTGTTTGGCTTCATCTCCTGCCAGGACCATATGGGCAGGCAGTGAAGTTGGCCGAGGATGTTCAGTCTCGATACTCTGATCGTAATGCTCTACGTCAAACAAGGAGGAGCCTCGAAGGTTGTCTCGCTGCGGTGTGTCAGGATCGCCAGTATCTGAGTCAACTCTATGCTGCGCGGCAGCAAGAAGAGGTCGACCCGTCGAGGACGTCGTCGACGTGTAAGGAGCTATACCAGACGACCTGGAAGACGACGCCTGCGGGATATCATCTTCATCGCGCGAATACACTGACGAAGCCGCTGATGACGACCTGTTTGATCGAAGAAGCGGCAGTAGGCTATCCACTCGCGGTGGCCGAGGTATGGAAATGCGCCTAACGGGGTCATAGATATCAGTCGGCGACAATGGTGAAAGTGGTGGAGAGGTAAGCGGCGCCGGTTGAGGGGCGCGAAGGAGGGTGTGTTCAATGATGGTCTCTTTTATACGGTTACCGGCAACTTCGTTGTCTGTGGGCGCTTCGTTTCGAGATGGCGTCGGAGATGCTGTGTATAGTGCAAGAATCTCGGGATTGCCTTCGAACTCAGACTCTGTTGTTAGTTGCAGCCACTGTTGGCAAGTCGAGGAGAAATCTTGGACTGAGTCGTGGCTGGTCGGATATCCTTCGTTAGGGAGTTCATCCTCACTGCCGGTCTGCTCATTCCGTGCGGGACTTCCATCTTCTGGCTCAGCTTCTAGGTCTTGGAGCTCCTGCTCGTGACTACCATTTCCGTCTCCTGGCCAGATTCGATGATAATCCTGGACGTCGTCATCCCGCAACACCTTTCTTTCCTCATCTCTCGGCCACTCGATCACAAGCGGCCGTTCCCTCTCGAATCCCGCATCCCTACCATCGTCATTTTCGCTGTCAGTCTCATCACCTTCATCATACTCTGGCTCCTGACATCCGTTTCTGAGACTGTCGAAGGTACCGATGAGCTCCCGGTAAAAGGCCGCATATATCTCGCTTGTTTCCTTCGAAGCCGTTTCATAGACCTCACCCGTTCGAGGATTGTGCACTGTTGTCGTGGTAAGGTACGCTTCAGCCCGCTGCTGGAAATCCTTGTGTCGGTCTTGAGTAATCATGAGTGCTCAGTTGTGGAGTTGCTGGATCCGGGGCGATAGAGGTAGATGTGCGAAGGGGAATCCAATGACTTACACCGCGTTGAGCGCGCCCAGCACAGTAGCAGAAGCGGTGGTATAATGAGACTTGGTCCATGTGATCACGCAGGTGGTAGACTCGTCATAATATAGTGAATGACTGTGACGTTTGAGGCCATAGGCCGTACGAAACCGAGAGCCTGGATAGGGACACTACCTATAGAAAGACAATACTTCGGAGCTTGCGGGTTATTGATACCTAGTAATCAAGACGATATGTAACCCTAAGCCAGTCGATGGGCTGACGCATTTGAGAACCCCTCAGCACTATGGTGGAGCGTCTATATTGACCGGAGGCTAGGCAAAAATTCGATGGATAGACAGACTAAAACTGTACCTACAGGTGAAGTCTATCAGCGCTCTATGTCCATATCTACACCATCTAGCATCACGCCGCCTCTATATTACTTCAACGTAACCAGCTCCTCCGAGCTCGTCGGATGGATCGCAACACAGCGATCAAAGTCCGCCTTCGTCGCGCCCATCTTCATCGCAACACCAAAGCCCTGCAACATCTCACTGACACCCGCGCCCATGATATGCAGCCCCACGACGCGCTCATGCGGACCCTCGCAGATGACCTTGAACGCCGTTGGGCCCTTCTCATCAGGCTCCATCATCGCGTAGTACATGGCCGTGAAGTTTGTCTGGTAGACCTTGACGGTATCACCATACTTCTCGCGCGCCTGTGGCTCCGTCAACCCGATCGTGCCGACCTCGGGATGCGCAAAGACGACGGAAGGAATGTTGGCGTATTCAACATGTGCGTCCTTCTTGCCGCCGAAGAGGCGGTCACTCAGTCGGCGCCCGGCGGCGATGGCGACGGGTGTGAGCTCGAAGTTCTTGTCACATGCGTCGCCTAACGCGTAAATATTCTCCACATTGGTGTTTTGATACTCGTCTACATTGACGTGGCCGTTTTCTGCGAGTTTGACGCCGACCGCATCAAGGTTTAGGTCCGTGAGCTCTGGGTCGCGGCCGATGGCGAAGAGCACGACGTCGACGTCCATGGTGTATTGCTTGTCCCTCAGTTTGTGCTCGGTGTAGGTTATTCGCTTCTTGCCGTTGCCTATGTCTTCAATCTTGGAGATGTCGGAGCCCCGGTGGAGGTCGATGCCCTGCTTCACGTACGTCTCGGTCACCGTCTTCTGGATCATCGGGTCGAACGTCCGCAGCAGGTTGTCTTCGCGGATGAAGAAATGCGTCTCGGTGCCCAGAGCCATGAACATGCCGGACATCTCCACGCCTATATAGCCCGCGCCAACCGTCGCAACCTTCTTAGGCTGCTCCTCGAGGTCGAAGAAGCCGTCGCTGGATATGGCGTGTTCGATGCCCGGTATCTTGGGGAACCTGGGTTTCCCACCGACGGCGATGAGGATCTTCTTTGCCTTGACGATTTCCTTGCCCCCATCATGTGTCTTGACCTCAACGGTGTTCTTGTCCACAAACGAAGCGCGGCCGCGGATGAGTTCAACCTTGTCGTTGTCGAGGTTCCTGGCGTAGATGCCGTTCAGACGCTCCACATAAGCGTCTCGCTTCTTCTTCATGGTATTCCAATCGAAGGAGAAGTTGTCGTAGCCGAACCCATACGCTTTCGCATCCTTGAATGTTTCCGCTATTGCTGCCGCGTTCCAGGTAACCTTCTTCGGCACGCAACTGAGCGCTGTCAGCAATGATCATTCACTGATATAGGGTACTGCGCGCGTACCCAACATTGACACATGTCCCTCCTAGGCGCTTGTCCTCAATCGCAATGGTCTTTGCGCCGTATACGCCGCTCGCTCTCCGCGCAGAGGCAAGGCCGCCACTACCGCCACCTATTACTAGGAAATCGCATTCCTTCGGTGTCGGCGCCATAGTGGTTGACGAGGTGGAGAGTTGGCGCGAAAAGGCAGATAGTCTTGTGTTCGCCAGCCTTGAAGGCTTGACTATCAGACGGAAGGGAGTGAAGGACGACAGCTTGACTGCTACGACGGGTTCTTGGACAGATGTCTTATGTAGGGACTTGGGGCAAGGTCTTTGAAGCGGATGCGAGCAAGTGGATTGCCTGAATTTGATGATGTAAGGCTCTGGACTGGACTGTGTGTGTGGGATATGTAATCAAGGCTGACGGAAGGTCTACAAGACGGGCTTCTGAGTAAACGAGAAGCAGAGAGAACGAAGAAACCAAAAGGAGATCATAAACACTGCGTAGATCTTCTATTCAAGCTGCAATCTTCTTAAGAGGGACTGAAGGACTGAAGGACTGGGGCACCGAGGCACCAAGGCGGCTTTTCTGTCGCTGCTGGAAATCCATGTCCATCCTATCGATACGGCGATGACGCCGTTAGTAAGCGCTCTCGGGAGTCGCGCGGCGATGCTCACAGCGAGTCAGTCACTGTGACATCGAAGCAACGACTACTCCGTACAGCTCCTTCATTCTGTTTCCTGCATACAACAACAATAGTAGCTGCGTCGCCAAATGTGCTAAGGCTGCCGCGACCTATGTAGCGTAGACCACCATCACAGCTCGAGCTCAGAGCTCCAGCTTCCACATTACACGCACGCGAGCAATAAAGCTTCTTGAAGCACACCACTTCCCCAAACTCCAGCAATGGGCGGCCGCCTCTCCGTGCCCCGCGGCCCCGAAGGCCTCACAGAAACCTCTCGCCCCACACGCCCACCTCGCCCCCGCAACTTCAACATCAACTCCCGCGTAAAACCCCCACCCTCCCCACATAAACCTCCACTTACACCTCCTCCCAGACAGTAGTTGCCCCCCTAGCAGCCCTAACAATGGCCTGTCTCCTCTTTGTCTACAGCAGGACCAGCATCCGCGCCGCAAAACTCAACGCGCAGAAGCAGCGCGAGGCCGACGGCGGCCAGATCAGCTGGCACCGGGAGTCGATGCGGCGGCATGGCCAGCTCGAGACGGTGAGTGATCGGGAGAATCTCAGGGATGCGCTGTGGGGCGCGAAGAAGAACAAGGAGGTTAAGGCCAAGGTTGAGGAGGACATGGGTGGGAAGGTTGGCGAGGATGCGGTGAGGGGGAGGGTTAAGAGGAGCGCGGAGGAGGCGGCGCTGAGGAGGGCTATGAGGAAGGATGATGGATGAGGAGGAGTTTGCTAGGAGAAAGGCTAAGGGGGGATTGGTGATGGGAGACTTACATCGGCGTTTGGTGGTCACATTGCGCAAAAGGCGCGACTGGGTTTCACGATCAGGGGCGAAGTTTGATCTTCAAGTGCCCATAAAGTCGCTTTACAATCCGACGTAGAAAAGCTCGGATGTCTCCATCCCGGTGGGGATGCTGCGTATACATCTATGTACATACCCTGGCTTCTTATGATCCCGCGCAACTGTCGAACCCGCTCCAAAAACATCATGTCCTACGGGTAACCCGATCACGGTGAAGAATGCCCAACCTCCAAAACACAGAGTACGCCAACAACTAGCATGTCTGCCACTCAACGACTGCTCCACCTTGAGAGCTCCACGCCTAAACGCCATACCTTCACTGATGCTCTTTACAGCTTCTGCATCGCGCCGACAAACCCTGGGAAAACTTGTGAAGTCCAATCCATGGTGTAAGGTCTGCGAAAATCTTCAAACAAAGTGCTGGCGGAAGAAAAGGTGTTGACAGAAGATGTCTGCGCAGTGGTGTGGTCTCTCAGGCGAGGCCCGCGTCGCGTTCGTGTCTCCCCTCCTCTTGTAATCTATGGCATGCGTTCTTCAGCGTCTCGAAAGTGACCATCGTGGTCATGGCTGCAGGCACCGCACGGACCATGTTCGTGCCCATGCCGTTGTAGAACGCCCTCCACCCCTCTTCGTGCAAGATGACCCGGATGGTTCTTATCATACCGCGGTATCGAGGCAGATTCCTCATTCCATCCGACGATGCAGTTCCTGGCGGCTTGGTCTGGTGGCCATGGTGAGCCATCCCGGCATGGATGATTCCGTCAGGGGAATGGTGCATCAACGACCGTTGCTGGGTCTGTAACCGCGTCCGGAGGACTTCGTGCGGGTAAGTTGCAGACGTTGCGCAGACTTTGCTCAGGAACGTTGCGGCCAGGATCCCGCCCCAGTGCATGTCCGAGCTCTGCGTCGAGGATTCTCCCATCTCGAGGCCGGTGAATTGCATCTTGAAGAATTCGTACATGGGGAATTGAATAGCGACGTGAGTAAGGCCGAGGAGTGCTGGTGCCAGTCCTGAGTAGAAGGCGAGTATGCCCTCTTGCGCGTACATCTTTCGAGCTGCGTCCCAGGTTGACTTGTAGTGCCACGGCGGCCGCGCATCTTCTGATGCACGAGAGCTCACTTGAGCCATCAGTCTCGTCTTGATAACCCATATAGGGTTCGTGGCCAGAGTGGAGCAGGCGCCAGCGGTGATAGAAGCGTATATTCGAGCGAACCACTTGTTCTCTGCCGGCCGTCAGTTTTGCCCTGTGTTAAAGGCAGATCAACCAACCTATCCGAGTGTAGTAGTAGTCTCTAGACGCTTCATATGCGCTCATATACACCGCCCATGTCGGAAGATAGCCAAGCAACATAGGACCAAGCCCTCTGTACAGCCCGCGGAGTCCGTCTTGTTTCCAGATTACTCTGGCTGTGCCAACCATGCCATTGTACAGTGCGCTCGACTTCGGCGATGCCGATCCCCTGTAGTGACGCGGTCTAAAGGAGCCCTGAGCCTGCAGTTTTGTCTTTATAACGTCCAGCGGGCAAGTCACGATACCAGACGCAACTCCCGCCATCGCGCCGCAAAAGCTGTTTATGCTGGTATTGGGAAGCTGCGCAACACGGACGGCGAGCCCTGGAAACATGTGGGATACCGTGACAGCCCTAGGTCCGCGGTGTTGCGGCGAACTGCCCGCTTGGGTGGGGGCATATTGCTGGGGGTCCGAGGACGGCGGCTGGGTGCCCTCGACTGACATCGTGAGAGCGGCACCTTGAAACTTGGTAAGCCCTCAACATCGCCCCCACAGACAGCGGCCCTGGTTGCAATCACCAGCTTGAGCAGTCAAGTGTCCCCGGTGGCGGCCCCGACAATGCTTCCTCGGTGTGCGGAAGACCCCGCAGCACTCGAGCGAGACTTTGCTAGCGATTGAGAAGCTCCATTGACGGTCGAAATGGATAAGGAAGCCGTATCTGAAGCAAGAGGCAAAGGAGAGTTCAGAACAGTATGCGATGCGCAACTGAAGTGCGTGTGTCGTGGGTGTCGTGGGTGTCGTGGGTATCGTGACCGTTGCGTTGCGGTGAAGATGCGGTTCCAAACACGGAGCAGTTCGGGTGGGCAGCAAAAGACCCGGATGACAGCAGCGGGGCTTGCCCGGGTCAACGCAGCGGAACTCTTCCGAGGGGCGGGAGCCACACGGCGGGTATTCTTGGCACGATACGTTACTGACTAAGGCGCCTACTGCCCGCCTGTCAGACATCACGACTTTCCTACCAACCAGCTGTGGACGCCTCTCAGTTCGCCCTTACGCCGACACAGCTTCCTCCGCAGTCGCAATCATGTCGCAGCCGTCGCTCTCAGGTTTCATCATCAGGCGACCATGGCTCCGCCGCTGGTTACAGCCAATGGCGAACTGGTATGCCGATGCCTCTGGATACAGGAAGCTCGGCCTGAAGTAAGTTACCTACACACACAATCAATTGCCGAGTACACACCAGCCCGGAGCTTCCCATAGTTCCTCTTGCTAGAGGGTGAGCTTGCTAATGGTCGGGTTTGCGCAGAGCCGATGATCTGATCCCTGAAGAGTCCGAGACCGTCCTCCTAGCCCTCAAGCGTCTCCCACCGAAGGAGGCATACGACCGTGTTTTCCGCATGCGACGGGCGTTCCAGGTTGGCTACTACAACTGGCGATGATTTGGTTGAACATTGGCTAATTTGCCGCAGCTCTCGCTATCACACCAGCTTCTTCCCAAGCACGAGCAGATGAAGCCGGAGGAGGTAGGGAACAGGCTGGCCGACCCTATATTCTCGCATTGACTAAGCATGCTCCGCAGGATACCCCGTATCTGACACCGCTCATTCAAGAGATCGAGGCAGAATTGAAGGAGCGCGAGGATCTGGAGGCAATGGTGGTGAAGAAGAAGCCGGCGAAGCCGGCAGCCTAGGCATGAACGAAGGCGGTAGAAATGTACAGCGAATTGGTACTGGTCTGAAGCGGCAGCAAACGTGTGCATTAGAGTGTATACTGTACGAATCGAAAGCAGTCACAGTTCTTCGTCACCTGCACAGTCACGTCACGACTCGCATCCCTTAAGCGTCCTGAGCTCAGAATCGTCGATCGAGGAAGACTCTGTTGCTGGCGATGTGGGAAAACCATGTACACTTAAAAACGCGGACCTTGACGGAGTGGTATCAGGTACGTTAATCGGTTCCGCTAAGGCCGCCATGACTGGGTTGGTAACTCTCGCCATCCTGAACCCGAAGACAAGCCTCGAGTCATGATTTGGACATAATGAAGAGTAGATTACGATCCAAAGATCCTATCTAAGATATGCTCTGAAGGCTCTACGCTTCCCTCGAACATGCTCAGCTATGGTCTTAAAGGCGTATTATGAATGCCCTGCAATTAGCTACAAACGACAGGCTGTTTCCTCAGTTTAAAGAACCTGAGCCTCGCAACATATCATGACTGTGACATCTAATAGTGGAGTTGTTGATAGTTATGACAATCTAAAGTATGAACTTTGAGAGCGGTTAATCGCAAGTATTTCTTGTTCGATAGGCACTGCAACCAAAAGAGGCTATCGGCCTGCCCCCAATGTGTAACGGTAGACATAAGTACCTTGAGCAATTAACTAGACCCAGACCACGTGCTATCGCGTTGATCGTGTTCATCCAAGACGCGCACAGTTTAGGCAACACCAAGCCGCACGCGCTTCAACTCACATACAACAACATATGCAGAGATCTTGTCGCACGCTCACTATAGTATACACTTCTAGAATTTGTCATAGATCAATAGCATTTCCACCCTCTAAGTTCTCTCTTTGCACGCGTTGCCGAACGATGACTGTACGGCGCTCCGCCCGCATTCAGGTTAAGTCGCAGTCTATCCAGCCACCAGAAGGTGATAACAATGGTATCCTGACTACTGCTCCTGCGAAAAAAAGAAATAGCAGTGGCTCTGCGCAACTGAATGGGGAAACCCAGGATGGGATCAACCCTTCAAAGGCTCCTGCCAGGCGCTCTCGGACATCTAAACCAGCGGTCCCGAAATCAACGACATCGCCAAATGATCAAAACGACGAGGGCTTTGCTCTCCCAGAGCTCCCAAAGACGCCTCTCCCCAAGCGGCGCAGAACCGCAGCGACCGCCAACCTGCCGCCTATAACGCCCACCCCCTCCGCCGTAGCTCTGATCTCATCGCCCGCAAACCGCTCCTCACCGCCAGTCTCAGACCATCACGCCAGGCCCGCAGGACCGCACGCGACCAACGCGCCCCTTCAGACACCAGGCGGGAGCCGGTTGACAGCCTATTCGGAAGATGACCACGTGCTCGAGAGTCCTGTCAAGGGCGGAGTACGGCTACCCAGACCGACAACTACGACGGAGAACCTGCTCGAAGAGGCGAAAGCGCATCTCCTGAGGGTCGATACCACGGGGAGGCTCAAAGCTGTGGTTGAGAAGTATCCATGTAGGATTTTCTCGCCGGAGGGGCTCATGGAGGAGGTTGATCCCTTTAGGAGTCTGACGAGCGGGATTATCGCACAGCAGGTAGGTGGCAGAATATTCTGTTCCTGTCTAGCGGAGTAATTTGTGCGTTTCCGCGAGAATCGCCATTTGTCACCTGCGAATCGGCCGTTCAGGGGGCCGTCTGCTTTCCGCACTCATGGAAGGGCATCTTATGATCACAAGACTCCGTGGAACACCGACCGCGAACTTTGACAAAACGGCTCGGTGTTTGTTTCAGCGCAAAGGCGTCGAGGACATCCTTTGCTTATGCACGAGCTGTTCTCAGCCGCTTGAGCTTCCTTGTCCATTCGTCCATCTAAATGAGAGACCAATTGGCGCAAACAATTACTGACCCAACCCCCAGGTCTCCGGCGCCGCCGCCTCCTCCATCAAGAACAAGTTCATCGCCCTGTTTCCCGACTGCGCCGGCTTCCCCACCCCCTCCCAAGTCGCCGCGGCCGACCTCTCCTTCCTCCGCACGGCTGGCCTCTCCGGCCGCAAAGCCGAATACATTCAAGGCCTTGCCCAAAAGTTCGCCTCAGGCGAGCTCTCCGCCTCCATGCTACTCTCGGCCTCCGATGACGAGGTAATGGAAAAGCTGACAGCGGTGCGCGGCCTCGGAAGATGGAGTGTCGAGATGTTCGCGTGCTTCGGGCTGAAGCGGATGGATGTATTTAGCACGGGGGATCTGGGGGTGCAGAGGGGGATGGCGGCGTGGATGGGACGGGACGTGGGGAGGTTGAAGGCGAAAGGGGGTGGGAAGTGGAAGTATATGAGTGAGAAGGAGATGGTGGACTTGAGTGAGGTGTTTAGGCCATATAGGTGAGTTTCTTCGTAGGTGTAGTGTTTTGAGAGAATGGAAATGCTGATTGTGGTAAAGGAGCTTGTTCATGTGGTATATGTGGAGGATAGAGGACGTCAACGTCGATGCAGTGCAGAATGCTTGAGCGGCGTAGGAGGAGCAGCACGCTGCAGCGCATATCGCGCAAGGGCCGTTAAAAAACGCTGTTGCCACATTGAAGCTGCGCCCGTTCTGGAGACTGGACATGTAGAATTAAGGAATAGACTCCCGCCTTCCACGTCCTCGCAACTGACTTAGCCATGCCTTTTCATCCTCAGGCAGCAAGGATTGGTCCAAAAAGCCGTTGCCGCATAGAAATCCAGTCGTGAAGATCACGGTGGATGTGAAGAACGCAGTCCGTAGCTCAAAGAATAGCTCAAAAACATTTTTAGATAATCGATGCGCGGAAGTCGTACACTGCTGAATTGCTCATTCTCTATCGCATAGAACCGGTCTAGTTGATCACTCATAAGAGGATTCCGACGCATGTCAGAGCCATGGGGGACTCGGGTGGAGCCGTTTGCGCTGGTGTGGTACAGAGTCAGCAGCTGTGGTGCAACGCCAGGCCGTCCGAGCCCTCGGTGTCCAGCATCAACGCAGGTACACTGCATGTAGGCCAGTCACACTCGGGATCGGGTAAGGAAAAGAGACTTGACAGTTGTATGCATAGAAATCTTGTATATCCTTGAGTTTCGAAGACAGGATAGATTATCTCGGCTGGCTCAAGGAGATCGACAGCAAACGATATCTTCAGTTGGGGCTTGACGGCCAGTTCTTGCATATGTCGTAGTCTGAATGCTCTACGTTTCACCATCTTGCTCATCAATTCGCCGCAAAGCATCTTAATATGTGCTTGGTGAGATGTAGGCAGATTCCGAGGACCTTGTTCGACGCTTTGCATCGCGCCCCGGTAGAAGTTGAGATTTGAGGAGAAGCCGATTAAGGTGTCAACTGTTGACCAGTTCCAGCGGCACACACCGCAAGCTCATTCCAAGCGTGAGAATAAGTAGCCGGTCGTCATCGGGGTGGCAGCGACGAATGTCACCGTGAATGCTGTTGATCTTGCGCTACTGCGTAATTGCAATTGGTATAATTGCTGAGTCCGGCGACGCATCGACCAAGAGAACGAGCGACGTCAAATTTAAGTTGGGTTGCGGCTCACGGACTGCAAATTTCCTCTGCGAGCGCCCCTTCCACAGTGTGAGAGGCTTCCCGCTGCGCTAACAGGGCGTTTGATTCCGAGAGACGAGGCCAATCCTTTCATCCGTGGTCGTCGAAGAGACGGTACACCCACCGTGGTGAGGGACTGACAAGCCATGGAGAAGACTCGCGGATTTGATGCATTCACGTGAAAGTTTCAGGTTCCCCGGTACGGCTAACAAGTTCCATTCTCCGGTCGAGCAGGGAAAGACCCTGCGTGGAGCCGCAATGGAACCGGGGGCTCGTCGGCGACGATCGCTGAAGAATGCCTTGGCATGGGGTGCGTATTCAACGCTGGCGGCGAAGATGGGGAACTATTGGACGTGTGAATCGCCAAGGCAGTGGTATCGCGGCTTGTTGCGCGCTGCGCCGTGCCCAACGATGGCAGAGTTAGAGTCTTGACTACGTGTAATGAGAGAGGGATAGAAACAATTGCGATTCGAGTCTTGGCTTGATGCGCGCCGGATCTTTAGCATCCATAACAGATTTGATTGTGATGTCGAGACTTTTCTGGAGGCAAGCTAAGCGCGAAGTTCAGCGACGGTATGGCTTTCGCTACCGTGGTTACAAGTATCGATCTGTCCCTGGCTGTCTCCGCAAGAAGGGCCGCGGTCGACTGCGGCTACAAACTGGGTACTGCAGCTGCCAGTTGCATGTCATCCGTGGTTCGCCCGGATGCTCCCGTCGGCTCAGGAGTAGCTTTTGCGTAGATCTTCTAGGAGTCGTGGAGAGCGAGGGCGTTCCCAATCTCTCATTCTCAAGGAGGCCAGAGCAGTGGAAGGAAGATACCCAGGTAGCTGAGTCTGATGACCTTCCAGAAGCATGGATAACGGAGATGACAGCGACGGCTAGTTCGGCGGCGAGAGCAGGGGGCGTTCCTTGGTGTGGCTTGCAAGAAACGCCATCCGAGATTAGTCGGTTGCCATGTTGGGATGTGAGCTCCAGTAGCCGAAACTGCTGCCGCCGCTTCTGTGCCGCGAAGAGCGAACGGAGGCCTTGAGCAGTCCAGATCGCCGGCGTCTGAGACGAGGCACGAAACCCGATCGGCGCCGCGTCGTCACACAGAAAAGTTCTGCACAATGCTGCGAGATGCGTGACGACCGTGGCCGGCAGGTAGTTTGGCAGCGGCCAGCCGCGTAGAGAGACTGGCTGCTCCTACCCGGTAGAAGTGAAGCTGGAGAGCAGCTGCATGTTGCCACAGTCGACGGGATGAAGCGGGTGTTTATGCATACAATCGATGACTTTCACAAACCTCAAAGCTCGAACAGCAGGCGGCATTGGCCAATGAGAGCAGCAGCCGGTGCCGCCGCTAGCCCGTGTTAGGCGTTGCCAGGAAAGCATTCGCGTCCCTCTCCTTGTCGTGCTTGCGCGAGGCAGGGGTTCTTGCTCTCAACACCCTTTCTGCTCGCTCTTCCCGGCCTCTTCCTTCTTCACTCACCCCCATCGTCCCCCCAGCCTGCGATAGTTGCAAGCAGCGACCGCGCCTTCCACTGCACCGCGTCCCCCCCGCTCCGAGCTCTATTTCTTCTCTCTTGTTCGTCTTCCTTTCTTGACATTCGCTTCAACCAGCATTCTCATCCGCCAGCAACTCATCCATCCCCAAGACTTATCCCGAGCTGCGTCGCCAGCACTTCTTAATCCACTCAGGTGTGTTCCATCACTGTGTCCATCAGAGATATCCTCCATCCTCATCTGCTGACCCTTCTCTTCCGATCAGCTAGCTTCTTACTCTTCGCGCCACCATGTCTGTGTTGAGATACGCTCTGCCCGTCCTTGCCGTGGCTGGCTCAGTTGCTGGTAAGCTCACCCGTCCTTCATCCCCCCACACAGCGGACACGAAGTGGAGTTCGTGTGCCACGTTGAGTCTGAGAGACTTCCGGTCTGGCTGGTCTACCTACCGAACTGTGGTGCTGACGATCCGTTTCCCAGCTCAGTGCAGCGCTGCAACAACCACGATCCAGAACTCAGGCGATGCCTCTGCTCTGGCACGGTGCTCCACGTTCAGCGGCAGCGTCGCAGTTGCAACAGGAACGACCGACACCCTCCGAATCCCCAGCGTTCGACGGATCACAGGCGACGTGATTGCCGAGAACGTTGCAGGCATACCCTCTCTAGAGGCTTCCGACCTGGAGATGATCGATGGATCGTTCACCCTGACGAACCTCACCATCTTGTCGAACCTGAACATGCCCCGCTTGACCGATGTTGGCCGGATCATTTGGGAAGGCCTGCCGAATCTGCCCCAGCTCTCATTCACCTCGCAAGTCAAGACCGCCTTGAGCGTCTCCATCCAAAACACCTTCCTGAGCTCACTCGAGGGCATCAACTTGGAGACCGTCGAGTCGTTCGTGGTTGCCAACAACGGCTTCCTGAACGAGATCAACCTCCAGCTTGCCAATGTATCCGAGCAGTTCACCCTCGAGGCCAATGGTCCCCAGCTGGTTGTCGCTTTGCCGAACCTGATCTGGGGCAACGAGATGAACTTCCTCAACTGCTCCAGCGTCAACATCCAGTCTCTCCAGACCACGAATGGATCGCTGGGCTTCTACAGCAACTTCTTCACGGAGATTTCTGCGCCCAACCTCACTGAGGTCGCCAACTCCCTTTCCTTTGTCGCCAACAGCGAGCTCTCCAACATCACCTTCCCCCAGCTCAGGTCCGTCGGCGGTGGTCTTTTGATCGCCAACAACAGCCAGCTCGAGAACATCAACGGTTTTCCTGCTTTGGAGACCATTGGAGGCGCTCTTGACTTCAACGGCCAGTTCAATAAGTGAGTAGCGTGTCTTCTGTCGCATGCGTTCCAGTCCTCTAACATTGCACCAGCGTCGAGCTCCCCGAACTCAACAACGTCCGCGGCGCTTTCAATCTGCAGAGCACTGAGGACATCCAGGAGGACTGCGACGCGTTCAGGCGTATCTCTGGTCCTACCAACATCATCAAGGGCAGGTTCCAGTGTGCCGGCAGGCAGTCCAACCCGGGCGGTGCCAACACCACGCCGACCTCTGGCAGCTCTGGCTCGTCGCCCAGCGGTGCTGCTGGTCATCTCGACATCTCATCATCCACCGTGATGGGTGTGTCTGGTGTCCTCGCCGCCATCTTCGGTCTCTTGTAGGAGGTTTCGGGGTGCCGGCGTTTCTTTTCCCAAGTTGAATAGACCTAATCTTCACTTGTTGTTTTCGGGATCACGGGCATGGCAATTGGAGCATCTTCAACTTCGTTGAGCGAGTGCTACACGTTGTTCCTGGCGAAGGGGTGTCTACTCTAGCGGGGAGCAGTGTCATGTACTTAGGGGATTAGGGGCATAGTGGGTTGGTCGAAAGAGTCTTAATAACTGGCTGGGAAGTTTCACATGCAGAATTCTCCCCAGCTGCCTTTGGTTTCTTCGCGAGCGTTACGGCCTTGATTCGTTCGGTGGTAATGGCAGGATGTTGCTTTCCCCCCTTCACCTTCTTGTTTCATAGCATCGATCCGCTCTCTCATGTATGTCACGCTAGAAACTTCCCTTCTTGCCTCCCCGGCTGCCTCCCCAGCGGCCTCCCCGGTCTCCCACCTAGATGCTAACCCGGTAACAAGTCCCGCATGCGAGTCACCATCGCGCCTGCAGTCCCGATCGTCGTGTCCCCCGCAGCAAATCGGATGGGCTGTGATGGGCTGTGCTGTCCTGTGTCAATCTTTCGAAGATTGGGCCTTGTGCTACCTTGGACGCCAGGCAGGGCTTGGCCCACTTCCCTCCCAGACCCTTGACCCGGCTTCCGGGACACGCCCCCCGGCTGAACATCTCCAAGCATACCTACCTAATAGGTAAGGCATCGTGGATCATCAGCGCTGCTCAAGAGCGCCTCAGCATCGTAAGTAGCGACACGCGCAGCGCTTCTAACGCCTCGTTTGCATCTACAGACGCGGCGGCTGTTTTCTACCATTGTTTCGCCTGCCGCGCGAAGCGACTTTTCGTAGGTCATTTGTGAGCAGAATGTAGCACCTCTCATCAAGCCTCGTCTTGCTCTAAGCGCCAGTATTTCTCGCGGCTCGCCGTCTGCACGTTCATGGATGTCAAGCTTTGCTCCACCGTTAGCTTTCTGCTGTGCGGCCGTTGCGCGGCGGCACGATACTGGCGGTGAGCTCTTAACCCGCGAGCGTCTATGCGCCTTGCATTCCACGTCAAGCCTCCAGCACTCTCTCTCTGGTCCAGCTGCTGCATCGCTTCTCAACCTAGGATCTCCCATCACGGAACTACCGGCCTTCTTCCGCGGCAGGTCTTGTGCAACGCGTTTCAGGCTTGGTCGAAGAGCTGACGCAAGGGGCTGGGGCTGGCCAAGCGGCCTTAAGCAAGTATCGTTTGCCCCGAACGAGATACACCAATAGTTTGCTCCACCTTCGGCCTCGACCCTATCGCTATGCTGGAGGTAGCATCTCAACCTCTGATCCAACATCGCTTCTGGATCGCCCAGCAGATGCACGAGAGAAATGCCGTCTGAAGTAGCAGTGCCTGCGTGCTGTAACCTTGGTAGGTTGACGGCTGCATCTGGATGTGGGCCTGATGCAGATTCACCATTCCATTTTTCGTAGGGGCCTTTCCCATCTCAGGGCAAGTTTTTAAACAGGGCCAGTCGCTCTTATTCACGCTCGTCTTTTCACTCGGGTCTATCCTGTTCAATCTGGGGGGTTGTCTGTTTATTTGCGTTCCTACCTGTTGCTATTACCATATACCTCTGATCTTCGTTCGCTTTCGCCGCTCATACCACACTTCCATTGACATCCACTCAATCTGCCCAGTATGAGAGCCTCGGCAAACCCCTTCAACAATCCGTCCGGAGCACCACCTGCTGCCCCGCCGCCTGAAGGCACACCAGCCGGACGGCCAAATGGTCAAGCGTTACCGTCCTTCGATACCCTCACCTCAGGGGTGGAAGACATCCCGTTATGCGCCGATATACGGTTACCACCAGTGCAATACTCAGAGCTTAGGTTGCCGTCGGTCACCCTGCAGGATCAAGAAGATAGCCGGAGAGCACGGTTCGTTATACCTGAAAGGCCGCGCAAGAGGGTTCTCGAATCGCCGCAGTTCAGGACGCCCGACTACGGTTTGCCGCCCCGCAAGCGAACGCCCTCTGCCATTCAATGTCCCTTCAATTCTTGCGAGGCACTCAACTCGCCACTCAGAAAAGAATGTGAACGGTGTGGCACCGAATTCTCCAGAGCTGAGGTTGCCCAAAGGGGACGAAGTCTATCACCAGACAACCCGACCGTCAGCCGTGTGTGTCAGGCCGGCACAAGTTCCAGATTATCGTCCGTTTCGATATCCAGACGGGGCTCTGCAACTTGCAAGCCGCTGAAGAATCCGGTCAAAGCGACAAAGGAGAAACACTGTCGAGCCGAGCATGCAGGTTACCTAAAAGAAATTGAAGATTTCTTCGTGACGAAGGGTTGGAAGGGCGAGAGAGCGCTTAAGGGATATAACTTGATAGAGGGCCATCTGCAGTTCACGAAAAGAGATATATATAAAAAGCTGATCGAACATCTCCACTCTGCGGATGGAGAGATCAACAGCTTGCTTGGGGAGAATGCAGGCCTGCGTGAGGAAAATGCAGGCCTGCGTGAGGAAATTGCAACCCTTCGCAAGGAGCTGGAGACCGAGCGAGCTGGCAACGCTCAACGCAGAGCGAGTCGGTGCTACACCCCCGACTCAAGCGTGGCGTCAAGCGCCTCTTCGTCACCGCGGACGAAACGTCACCCTCACAAGCAGGTCAAGCGGAATGACTCGTAGCTTCTTGTGGCGTGTCTGAGGAGCTGGCGTTGGCCCTCCGGATGCGACTCCATAGTCTTTCACTACCCTGAACGCCTTCCCCGACTACCTCTACAGTCGACGTGGCTCTTGTTCGATTCAACCGGACGCGGTGCAGCCATCATCACCTTCTACATCAACCCATGAAGGCTCATATAGCACTGCTTGTCGAACCACGCTCTACAACACTCTATTCATTCCATTTGTTCAGCACTTGGCTTCACAAAGGTTGGCGGCTGTCTCTATATCTCATGGCGCTGTCGGGCGTCACAGACATATCTTCTTGTGTTCAAGCTTCTTTAATCGGGCACGGCTGTCTGTATCACATTTCTGGGTGGCTGTGTCAACACGTTTTCGGCTATAATCCCCTTCCTTCAGCACTGGCTTAAAACAAAACCTTACAGACTAACAGGAGCGAGATATTGTGTAGTGTAATACGGTGGCGATCTGTGGTCGAGCGGCGGCACCTTTCGGTTTGTACGATTTCAGAAAGAAACAAAATCATTACCAGCTACCACGAGGGCAATGTGCTTCTGTGGCATCAATTTCCAGTACCGCAAATGCGGATTCTGCTCATCCCTCAAGATCATTGTCCATCTGGCAATCCATGCACGGCAACCAAACACGTGAACTAGGGTATCTCCACCATCACATCAGAAACCCCTCATGTTGGAGCAACGAAGTCCATCTGCCTCTATTCACCTTGCAGATCCAAGACGGAAACCCACAGGATCCATATGTCAGCCACAACGTGGAAGCAACTCAAAACTGCCGGCCGCGTCTCAATGCCTGTCAAGTGTGCTGAAACTACTTTTAGACGTGACACGCAAGCGTCTGCCGAGCGGAACTCGAGCCGCTCGTCCCATTCGCCACTTTCTCGATGGGTTTTGCGCGATTGACGCAGACTGCCGTAGCGTTCCTATCTTGAGCATCTGCACGGCGTGAGGTGTTGCAGAAGGTGTGACTACTCGAACGTTGTCATTGCAACCTGATGTGTCTCTAGGTGCAGCTGTAGATCCGCGGCAGTAATACGGTATTGCGAGGATCTCGTGGTTATTCTTGTAGAAGTATCCACGGCCAGTGGACCGTTGCCGGCGAGGATCGGTACCTACGCACGCGGCTAACACAAATCGCCCGACTCAGAGCTTAAGAACATCACAAATTCCTCACGTTTACCAGCACGTCTACGATCACTAATCCACCACCAATCGTACCTGCAACACATTCTAGATTTTACTATTACTTCTGTATACCTTGTTCTTATAGTTGGCGATATTTCTATATTTTATAGAGCTTCATTTCGATAGTAAATGTTGTGTCTAATCTCGTAAGTCGGCGCATTTGTGTCAACAGGGTGCTACGCAAACGTGAGCCTTCCCAAGAGCCATCCGAAAATCCGTTGCCCCACGGAAAGCTACTCGCAGGCCTGGAGGCGGACAGCCTAAGCATACGATCCGTAGATCAAAGCAACCTTGGGTGATTCATACGTCGACCAAGTAGGCTGCTGAGTATCTTCTCCGCTCTATCGCATGAAATCAATCTAGCTGCTCTACAACTGACGAGATCCTGAGTCCAGTTTGATGGTGAGTCTGACTGAAGAAGGTAAAACAGCCACCAGCCAAGATGCGGCAACGCCCTTTTTGAATGGCCCTTGCTCACATTCTCAACCACCAACCCGGTCCTATCACCAACCCTCGCCCGCCGTCTCCCCCGGATCCTTTCACCATTCGCATAACGACCAGCGCCCCAGTTAGACATCGCGGAAAGCGTCCACTCGTTTGAATCTACTGAGCTCACCTGTTCCTAAATCCGCTTGCGATAATCCATCCGCGAGCGCCGCGGGGGTGCCTTCAAGAAAGATGCTTCTTCCCAAGGGCGGCGTGACCTGGAAGTCGGCGCGAGCGCGATTGCCACCCTCACGAGCCGTCCTGCACTTCGTTACACGCACCCGCTTTATACTCCTCGTTCTGTTTTCCGGCATAGTACTACTGTTATGGCGAGGGCTCAGTAGCAGGGCAGGCGAGGTGCAGAGGTACGGCCATAGCCACAGCTAGCATCTTCCCAGGCAGGCGAGTCGACAACAGGAAACTGATCACCGGATTCGTATACAGATTCTACTGCTGGGGCCCCGCCAAAGCGCCCATGGACATGACGGCGAACGAGCAAGCCCGCTGGAACGCCCACCTCCAGACCCCCATAATATTCAACCACCACAAGCCGATAGAGGTCAATGCCACGACGATCGAGCACGTCGACCTCAACCCGATCAAATCGACGCCCAAAGCCCTCGCCAGCGAGGAACGAGTGCTCATCCTCACGCCCCTGCGTGATGCCGCCTACTACATTGAGCAGCACTTTGATCTGCTCTCCCAGCTCACGTACCCGCACCACCTCATCGACCTCGCGTTCCTGGTCGGCGATTCGACAGATGATACACTCGCTGTTCTCTCTAAGGAGCTGGAGCGCGTGCAGACGAGCGAGACGGAAGGGTTGCCCTTCCGCAGCGCCATGATCGTCGAGAAAGATTTCGGCGTTACGTTGAGCCAGAGTGTCGAGGACAGGCACGGTTTCGCGGCGCAGGGGCCCCGGAGAAAGGCGATGGGCAGGGCGCGCAACTATCTGCTGAGTACGGCGCTGAAGCCGGACCATTCGTGGGTGTATTGGAGGGACGTGGATATTAAGGATAGCCCGACAAAGATCATCGAGGACTTTATTGCGCATGATAAGGATATTCTGGTACCGAGTACGTAGTTGGCTATTAGGTGTGTGAGTTGCGGAAGACATACTGACACACGATGCAGACATCTGGTTCCACAGGTACCGAGAGGAGAACGGCAAGATGCGGGACATTGAGGGGCGTTGTACGTCTCCCCAACCCTACCCAAGCGCTTTACATTCGCTGACTTCATCCTAGTCGACTACAATTCCTGGGTAGAATCTGAGCAGGGCCTGAAGCTTGCCGCAACCCTAAACAAGGACGTTGTTTTGGCCGAAGGTACTGAGCTACCCCTATCTTTTCGTCCCATTTTCCATGACGCTAATGCTCGCGCAGGCTACAAAGAGTACCAGACAGGCCGCCGCTACATGGCCAAAGAGGGCGATTGGCGCGACAACAAGGATCTTGAGCTGGAGCTCGATGGCATAGGCGGTGTGAACATCCTCGTCAAGGCAGATGTTCACCGATCAGGTACGGAATCTCCTCTCATTCTGATTTTCTCCGTAAGGGGGTCCCATTTGCTGATCGCTATAGGCATCAACTTCCCTTGCTACGCCTTCGAAAACCAAGCCGAGACAGAAGGCTTCGCAAAGATGGCCAAGCGCGCCGGCTACGGCGTCTACGGTCTACCGAACTACGTCGTCTGGCATATCGACACGGAGGAGAGGCCGGGCAATGCATAGGGTAACCAAAAGCTGCTGTCTTCGCTATCGCTTTAGGTGGTTTTTGGTTTTGCAGCATATATGCAGGTTTTGTCGCCGTGTTCTACGACGTTGTATTGATTACATCACTCAAGGCGTTGAGGGTGTTTGGGCGGGTATGTGTCTCCGAGGGGTGAGAGAGGTAGAGTTACTTTATCCTGCCGGTTGTACGCGGCGGGAATCTGTACAGATCAAGCAGTCGTCTTCAGCAAGAGTCTCGTTGTGCTTGCTACCATGACTATCCACAGGCATTCTCACGGTGACCTCTAAAGGGGTTCCCTCGGTCCGATGGACGAGAGGTATCCAAATGTTACACAAGGCTGCTATTGCACTGCCTAGTTCCACAGCACAGCTGGTTCAAGCTCCGTCTATGTGCTGCTGGACAATAAAACATTGGAGATGCGGTCTTTTTCGTAACGCAGATCGCTCTAAGCCTGCCCATCTCTTTAAGGTCTACGAGCGCCTTGGGAGACAACGCGCTCACAGCGTACTGATATACCCCGGTGCCCTCTAGGCCACATTTGCCAGATTCTAATATCCACGACGAGAGCCTTACCGCCCTATCCCCCTGTTTCTGTATAGATATCGAGGTCCCAACATCCTCACAGCGCCCTCCTAATAGCCGTCTTAAACGGCCACATTTGCACCTACACACTCGTCAGCCCCAGTCACTCAACTCTCCTTCCTCCTCGCCCTCTCCCATCCGCTCTCCCTCCCCCCCTTTCCCCTTCCCCCTTAACAAGCAACCCACCTTATCCCAATCCCACACCCCCTCCCTCGTATACACATCCTTCTTCAACATCTCCACAACCTCCTCCCTGCTCTCTCCCACCGCGATCATCGCACTGCCAGCCAGCTTGAGCGCCTCGCCCTCCTTGGGGAGTTCGGAGAGGAAGGCCCCGCCGAAGGGGACGAGGCCGGCGTCTGCGAGGGGGAGGACTTTTTCGAGGTGTTCGCTGGGGGTGGAGGAAGGTGTCAGACTACGTAGCTGTATATGCGGTTTTCATGCGGGTATGCAAAGCTGGCGCTTGTGGCTGGGCAGCAGCCGTGGAGGGGACTGCAAGGGTCCTGAATTTTTCCAAGTGCAACTGGACCTATACTCACGGCCGGACTTGCATCCGCTTCTCGAGCGCGCCCTCTTTATCGGGGAGTATGACTAGCCACTCGTGCTTTTTGCTCGCGCCGGAGGAGGCCATCGTTCTTCTACCTGGAATATAGCGGGGAGCGGGTCTGGTGAGGTGGGAGGAGAGCTGATTAAGGCGGCGACTCATGAGAATGGTAGGGAAGAGAGGGAGGCAAGAGAAGATATCTGGTCTGTGTATTAAGGACGTATTCACATAGCGTGTCGGCAGTTGACAATAGGGCGCGCAGCAGCGGGAGAGCTTCACGGATCCGGCACGGTGGAGCTCGGAGCGCGGGGTGGGGGGGTTTGATGTGCCGAGCTTCAGGTGCTTGGAGGGCGATGGGCTTGAAGTCCCCCGTCAACACAAATCTGAGTAAGGTGTCTTAATACGGTGGTGGATTCGGAAGGATTCAGATCACGCTTGTATCGGGGTTGTGTATAACGGTCAGCGGACCGCTCTAAACTACAAGATATTACGACCAGTCCATTTGTTATCATGTCGGGTGACCGGATTGAGAACGAGATCCGATATGGATCAACCACCGTGGAGTTTTCATCTTACACTCTACTGGTTGCCTCAATGTGGCCTATAGTCATACAACATGTAGTTCCCATGGCTCTCAGGCTCCCAGCGTCACTCATAGATGCCATTCTCGAACTTCTCCGTATCGAAGAACTTGGCCCGGATGGTGTTGCCATTGAAGATCCTTCCCTCGAGCGCATTGACAGCCTGCAAGCATGAGTTAGCACCCTACCATCGTCTCACCAGCCTTGAGAATCTCCGAGAACTTACCCTCAGCGCACTCAACTGACTCGTGAACTTCACAAACACCGGCACGCTCTCCGCCTCACTGTCCCTGTGAATAAACACCCTCTCAACACGTCCATACTTCTCCCCACACTCCTCCCCAATCTCCTGCATCAGATCCCCCTGCATCTCCGCACCCAGATCCAAGCCATCCACCATGCCAGACAGCACAATGACCTCGGACATCGCCCCGAACTTCCCGCCTTCTTCTTCTGCAGTTTTGGCCTTCTTTCCTCCGACGATCTTTCCCTTGCCGCCTTTGTCCTTGAATCCACCGCCCTGAGCGTCCGACAGCTTTTTGCGCTTATCCGCCTTGACGGCCAAGGGTGTGATGATGCCGCTGCCTGATGCGCCGAGGCCAGAGCCCTTCGTCCAGCCGTACTTAGCCATGAGGCGCTGGGCGAAACCTGCTTGGCCGGGCCTGTTGGACCGTGGTGCGGGTTCGTCGTTCGATGGTGTCTCCTCATCTTGTGCCTCTTGCTTGACCGCTGGTTCTTCTTTGACCGCTGGTTCTTGTTTGAGTGCTGTTTCGAGCTCGGGGCCGGCGGCTAGGAGCTCTGTGGAAGCGGCGGGAAGGCTGTAGCGGACAGGCTCACGTGAGATAGTTGGAGGTGGGGCTTGTGGCGGCGGCGGAGGCGGAGGCGGTAGAGGATGGTAGACTGGAATACGTGGTGAGAGATCTGATGTCAGTAGAGGTGGTGAGGGCTGTTGTTGCTGGCTTAGGCGCAGGCGGCGTGCGTAAGCGTCTTCGCCTGTAGGGTCGTCCGAGATCGATGTGGGCTCCGGGTTCGCGGGAGCAGGCGCGGGCTCCGAGTTGAGATCTAGGGGCGGTGCGAAGGAGTAGTTTGGGGGTGCGAATTGCCCTGTTAGAATTTCTGGTCAGTCTAGGATGGTAGAATGGCACGAAAGGGCGTACTGTTCATCCTCATCCTGCCACGATCTTCAGTGTCGCTCGAGAAGTCACTAGTGGTCCGCCTGGCCATGCGATGGGCATAGAGTCTATCTTTCCACTCTTGCTTCTCTCGGAATTGTTCGTCGCTGCCCTTGTAATCCGCGTAATTGGTAGGTCGCGATGGATCGTAGATGTCGTCCCAGTCCTGGACTAGCACGTCCTCCTCCTTCTTCTTCTTCCTCTTCTTCCGTCCGCCACGTTGCCGCTTCTCGCCGGCGTAGAAACCATTGACATCTTCATCCTCGGCCGTCCAGTCGGCTAGTGTGCTCTTGGCGGCCGGTTGTTGCGTTGCTTGCTGCGCCATAGCCTTGACAGCTGGATCAGGCGAGCTTGAAGTTGCTGGGGGTTGTCCAGGCATTGGAAAGACAGTCGTTTTCGACTTTGCTTTCTGAGATGTCACTTGCGGTCTTTTGGTGGGCTGAAAACGTAGAGCGGCTGCTCAGCGAGACATAGAAACAGTAAGCCATCTCTTAACATGTGCGAAGGGATCTATCGTTCGGTACCGGCATCCACTTGCTTCTTCGCGGCTTCGTTGTCCTGCGAGGGCGAGCCGCTGCTGGGCTGCTTGTAGAGTACTGGCGCGCTTGAGATGGTTCCAGGCGCGGGTGCGGAATTGGGATCGAGCAGGTTGGCGTAGAGTTGGAGGCCTCCAGGCGAGGGTCCGCTAGGATTTGGAGCCATGTTAGAGGCAAGGAGTACCTAGGTATGTATGATGGATGGAAAGATGAAGCAGTGTGAAGTCAAACCTAATCCTACCAGCTGCACTGATCGACTCGGTAGTTAGTTAGTCACGGGCGGTGTTTCTTTGTTTCCAGAGGCTGAGAGGCTGAGCATGACACGAGTAGCGGGAATGCTTGACGAAGATGACTCGCCACCAACTACAGTAATTAACTAATTAGCGCTCTGACGTCATCATTCATTAGCAGTTGAGATCACACCTCGGTAGACATGCAGCGCTCGGCTTCAGCAAACACGCTGTCCTCTACTCCGTACGCTTTGTACATAACTACCAGTCCTCTACCTGCTACTGTCTATCAATCGCATAGCCTTGTTTGGTGCATCTTGCAATGACGACCCTCGCAAATTCCTTCCAGCGCGACTCCTCCTCCACCGCCGTCATCGTCCCCAGCAAGCCAGCCGCCCTCACCATATCCTACCAGCAGCTCTCCGCCGAAGTCTCCTCTTTCCAGAAGAAGCTCGCCGCCCTCGGCATCGCCCCCGAATCCGCCGTCTCGATCGCGCTCCCCAACTCCTACGAATTCATCGTCGCCTTCCTCGCCGCATCGTGGCAACGAGGCATCGCCGCGCCCCTCAACCCCGCATACAAACAAAGCGAGTTCGAGTTCTACATCGATGACCTCAGCTCCGCCGTCGCGCTCGTGCCCAAGGGCGCCTTCAAAGAAGATGCCGCCGCCGTGCGCGCAGCGCGAAAGTACAAAGCCGCCATCGCCGAGTGCTACTGGAACGGCAAAGAGGTGGTGCTAGACGTCAAAGACAAGGGCAAGCTCGCGGGCAAGGAGAACCGAACCGTAGAGCAGGCGCAGCCAGACGACGTCGCGCTGGTGCTGCACACATCCGGCACGACGGGGCGCCCTAAAGCTGTTCCGCTCACCCACCGCAACCTCAGCCGCACGATGAAGAACATCCAGGCGACGTACGACCTCTCGTCCTCCGACCGCACGCTCCTCGTGATGCCCCTCTTCCACGTCCACGGCCTCCTCGCCGGCTTCCTGGCGCCCCTCGCCTCCGGCGGCTCCGTCATCGTGCCCCCGCGCTTCTCCGCCTCAGACTTCTGGGCCAACTTCACGACTCACAAGGCGAACTGGTACACCGCCGTCCCCACGATCCACCAGATCCTCCTGAAGAGCCCGAAGCCGGACCCGAAGCCCGAAATCCGGTTTATTCGCAGCTGCTCAAGCCCACTGAGTCCCAAGACGTTCCATGAGCTGGAGGAGACATTCGACGCGCCGGTCCTAGAGGCCTACGCCATGACGGAGGCGGCACATCAGATGACGTCGAACCCGCTCCCGCCGCGCAAACGGCAGCCCGGCAGCGTGGGAATCGGGCAGGGCGTTGAGGTCAAGATACTCGATCAGGACGGAAAGGAGGTCCCACAGGGTGGCGAGGCGGAGATCTGCATCCGCGGCGAGAATGTGACGAAGGGCTACCTAAACAATCCGGAAGCGAATAAATCGAGCTTCACCAAAGACGGTTTCTTCCGGACGGGCGACCAGGGGAAGATGGACGAGGAGGGTTACGTCTTTATTACGGGTAGGATCAAGGAGTTGATCAACAAGGGCGGTGAAAAGATTAGTCCGATTGAGATCGATAACGTGCTGGCGCAGCATCCGAGCGTAAGCGAGGCGGTGAGCTTCGCGATTGAGGATGAGATGTACGGGCAGGATGTTGGCGCGGCTATCGTACTTAAGGATGATGCGAAGGACAAACTTTCGGCGGATGAGCTGAGAGAGTGGCTGAAGGAGAGGGTGGCTAAGTTTAAGCTGCCAAAGAAGGTAAGTTTCGCTGCTGTGATGTTGGAGTAAGTGATATAAGAACTGATCCGTTGTGATAGATATTCTTTACAGATACGATGCCCAAGACCGCAACAGGGAAGATACAGCGCCGGATGGTGGCGGAGGCGATGCTGAAGCAGGAGAAGCCAAAGGCTAAGCTGTGAGGGGGGCTGCAGTTGCTGTGCTGCTATTCAGATCTATGTGGGCTGGGTAGCCGTAACCAGAGCATTGCTTGCATTTGCAATGAGGGGAAATGTGTTCTGCAGTACTTCCGCACGCGGGAGTGCCCGAGCGCTCAAGATGGGAGACTCTCGTCGTGAAGTCCACAGTCCTCTATCAGAACTATAGTGCGTCAGTTCAAGCCTCGTCCTCGAGTCTTTGAATTTCTACTCCTTTTGAATTCTCTACCCCTTGGCCTGACTTGGCTCCGCGCCCTCCCGTAGCGCACCATAGGACGGCCACATTCATGACCATGGAGCAACAGCAGTGTTTATGTGGTTCCAACAGAGATTACTTGGTTGCCTGTTCCGGAAGTATAGGTCCTAGATCGTAGAACGTCGCAGCGCCCCGTTGCCCGTTTTGGTTGTGTTACCGGTTGCGTTCGCGTTTCCGTGTCCGTTTCGGGTCCCGTTCTGTCTCAGTGAGTGTCGCTGGGTGCTTGGGCAAAGACGCGAGCAATGGGCTACCGAGATGTTGATGATTAGTTGCGCTTGCGATGACGGCTGCCCACGATGACCTTCATAAACACGACGAGAAGTGGGTTGAGATCGTGTGCAGATGATAGGAGAGATGTCAGATGGTCTGCGCTGGCGAGTCCAATGTTACAGTTCTTGTTTGTTGATAGAAAATCGGCCAATCTTCATCACCTGATGAGTCTCTTGAGCTGAGAAGAAGCAGATATAGGACGTTAAAGAAGCAAGAAACTAGTCTTGACGGTAGATTTACTATGTGGACTTATTGCTGGGCTCCAAGGTGATATGTAGCTATCTCCTGTACCTGAATGTGGACTATAAGCAGCCCTTGCTTTCTGTATTCTGGCTTATTTCGTGCATGCATTGTCTCAGTATCGAATCCTGTTTCATATATTCTATAACTAGAAATCAACTAGATTGGCAATGATTGTAGCGTAAATTTGGAGCTTCTGTGCCGTTGCAGCTCGCCTGAGGCTTTAAGGAAGCCGTAGAATGCTCGGAGGGCGTATTGGAGGGTTGCGTGTACAACTGGCGCTCCCATCTGTGAACAGTCGAACAGTCTTATATTCACGGTGCGGAGAACGACACATACCCAATCCAGACAAAGAAACCTCAAATCGTAGAACGTCGCAGTGAAAAAATGGTCAAATCGCGGAAAACGCGGACGCTGGCTCGCTCTTTAGATCCGCCCGATGTTTTCTGCTCAATTGGTGCCGCCTGGCGGCAGCTGGTGGCTTTCATAGCGTCGGCGCGGCAAAGTAGGATGCTGAGTTTTAGACGAAGACGCCGCTCTGGTCTTGATGCACCAACGGCGCAGACGATGTTCCGAAGGAACAACCATCTCGATCTGCCCACCCGTTCGGATCGGGAGGATGGACTCTACGACGTTCTATGAAGAACCACATATGTCCAAGTATGGTAGTGCTGCCAAAGATCGTAGAACGTCAAGTATGCTAACCGCGAGAAGTAAAGATCCTAGATAGCTTTCTGGTAGACTTTTGCGCAGAGATGGATCCCAAGAGAAGGCCATGTCGAGTGAAGTGGCTGAGAGGTATTTTACGCAAGCGTAGTCCAAGGCTACCAGTGAAAGTAAGAGACAACCCTAAAGGGTCCTCACGCCTCACCTATCTCTGTAGACCGGCGGTATCCTCCTTCTTCTCGTACAATCCAGTCAAATGAGCAACATATTCACCGAGCAACCCCAGGGAGATGCCGCCTCCAGTGAACCAACATCCATACTTGAACCACCACCAACAATTCGAGACGTCTTTCAAGTCGACTTTCCAGATCATCGTTGCCAGCGTGGCAGCAGCACTCCCACAGCTGCCAACGAAAAATACCGGCCCCGCACCTACAGCGGCACCAGCTGCGCCAAGCAAGCCGATCTGCGCAACAGCCAGTCCAGTCAGCACGGCCTTGGTCTCCTTCTCATGTCTCAGAGCAATGCTCTTGATACCAGCCTTGGCGTCGTCCTTGATATCCATGTGTGCGTATATCATGTCGTAGAGCACAGTCCAGGCGATATTGCTAGTGTACAGACAAGATGCTGCAGTCAGTGCCGGCTGGTTCGATAGCAGATCGATGCCAAGGGCAGGGAATCCCATTATAGCACCCCATGAGAAGGTGAGACCAAGTACAAATTGCGGATAGTGCGTGACACGCTTGGCAAGAGGGTATGTTGCGACCAGGGCGAGCGACGGTATTCCATACCACAGGCACTGAGTTGGAAGCTGCACCAGTACAGCAAGTCCAGTAAGCAGCTGTGCGCCGGTAAATACGATTGCCTGCCTAGGCTTAATGGCACCGCGGGCGACTGGCCTAAGACGCGTACGGGTCACGTGAGGGTCGAGATTCCGGTCCCAGAGGTCGTTGATGGTGCAGCCTGCTCCACGCATGACGAGTGCACCAGTCAGGAAGAGCACGATGGTTCCAGTGACGGCTAATGGAGGAGCGATCGGTGTGGCTAGCGGAGCAGCAAGTAGCGTGCTGAAGAGGCATGGAAAGAACAAGTAGTACGTTCCGGTCGGCTTGTCGAGACGAATGAGTTCGGCATACGGAACTACAGGGCCAGGTAGGTAGGAGAGGAGTCCTGTCGTTGGAGGCTTATATTCTGCCGGCGATGGCGGTACGGGGGCTGTATCTTGCAGAGCTGACGATGTTGTCCATCGAATCTGCCGGTTGTTATGCCGGCGGCGCGGTTGACATCCGGCTCGTTGTGAGCGAGAACTTTGATATGGCGTTCGGTTGCACTGTTCGTTACGCGTCTCTTGAGGCTTCTCTGCCCTCGGATTGATAAGGGGGAGAATTGGGGAATGGATCCTGCTACGGCAATACCACATCACAGGACATTGTGCAGTTTTGGGGGCCACATTGCGGAGTGCTGGGGACGACGATGGGTATGCTGCTCTCAGAACTCGAGCAGAGAGCATGACGAAGACTTGGACGCTACAAAATGTCAGACTGTTATAAGATAAGCTGTAGCCGTGAAACTTACAGAAGCGACTGAGAGATAAGATACAGCGCCTCTCCTTAGTCCAGCTCCACCCAGCCACTTTATGGCATTTGGCCCATCGGCCTATCTCAAGTAGTCTGAGCAGTTGGCAAAACGTGCTCTTTGTCGCCTCCGCTACTGCTACGAGCCGTTTATATATGAGAGAGTGGTGGACCCAAGTCACGTGGCCCGAGCACCATCTCCGTCTCCAGCCCTCCAAGCTCTCCCACTTGGCTTTTCGGCCACTCACTCCACTTCGCCGCCTGCGCCGCTCGCCCTTCAAGCTCTTCCGTCTTCGTATATAGACTCGGACTGACAGGACTGACACATCCCACGTCTGCTTACAACATCGCCGCAACTAACGCGACGTTCGCGTCCCGAGAGCTCACCTGCCGCGCATTTGACGCTATCCCCGCGTCCGCCTCGCGCCATGCGCCGAGCTTGACTGCTGCAGCTCCCCTCACCCTACCACCACTGAACTCGCGCCACTGCTGCAAATATCACCGGCACCTCACACCAAATTCACCATGCCCGCTCAGCGGCCACGTGCCGCCTTCGAGCCTCTTCCTCCTGATTTCGATGTGAGAGCATTGGTGGAGGGGACCGAGAATTTCCAATATGTCGACAGGATATCATGGGAGATGATAGAGCAAAATGGCTTGGATCAGTTTGAGAAGCTCGTGTTGGCACACGTTGTCAAGGGAGGCAAGCCGCTCGTCATTGATGGATTTGAGGAGAGGCTGGATCCCTGGACCTTTACACCGAAGTGGCTACGCGATAATATGGGCACGAGAGGTAGGCTCGCTGTGTGCTTGGACGATCGCGATTGTATTGCTAACACGCGTTCAGTTGAGCAGTCCTGGGATCTGAGCACTACAACCAGCCTGCCGCTCACTATCAATCACTATCTGCAGAACATGGGTATGTTAACCGACCAGTTCTTCGACAAGCCGGGCAACTACTTGGACAAGAAACGACAGCGTATCTACCTCAAGGACATTGATTGCCCTCCGGTGTGGCAGGACAAGCTGAGAGAGCACATACCACCTTTCCTCTTCTATCTCAACGACAGCACCGGCGAACCCGGTGGACCAGGATCTCTCGACGAGCCGATACCAAACGCAACAGGAAAGAGGAAAGGCAAAGGCATAGCAAGAGCTGGGGACTTGATGAGTAGTCTTCCACCAGCCATGCGAGCAGAGAACCTCATGTGCTACATTGGTCACGAAGGGACATATACTCCGGCACATCGTGAAATGTGCGCTTCACTCGGGCAAAACATCATGGTTGATGCTTCAACTGCCATCGGCGAGAATAACAAGCCGGAGAGGCCTGGTTCATCGATTTGGTTCATGACTGAGACCAAGGATCGCCATATGGTGTCTGAATACTGGCTTTCAATTCTGGGACATGACATTGAAGTGGAGAATCATTTTGCCCAGGTCGTTGCGTGGAAGAAGGCGCCATTCAAGACATATGTGGTCGAGCAGAAGCCGGGCGATTTCATACTCATTCCTCCAATGGCGCCTCACCAGGTCTGGAATAGGGGAACGAGAACGATGAAAGTTGCCTGGAATCGAACGACTGTCGAGACATTGGACCTGGCATTCAAGGAAGCCATACCAAACGCACGCCTTGTCTGCCGCGACGAGCAGTACAAAAACAAATCCATTGTCTACTTCACGCTGTCAAAATACTCTGGTTTGCTTCGAAATGCTAAGGCTTTGAGTCTCAGAAGCCCTGCTGAAGCTGCTGCGATCGCTGGCAGCCGTAAGGTTCGCCAGGTCCAACATGACTTCAAGGAACTGCTCGACCAATTCAAGAATATCATGTTATCGGAGATGTTCGCACCCGAGGGACCGAAGGAGCATCCAGAGTTCCTCGCATATGATAGCAACGTGACGTGTGCGTACTGCCGAGGTAATGTCTTTAACCGCTTCCTGAGCTGCAAGTCCTGCTCGTACGCTCTCCTTACGGACACCGAGGAACCTTACGATCTGTGCATGGACTGCTTCATCATGGGTAGGAGCTGCCGGTGCGTGTCCAACTTCAAGTGGGTTGAACAGTGGAAGTGGAAGGACCTAGTGAAAAACTATGACGACTGGCGAAAGCAGGTAATCGATATTGACAGTGGCAACATACTCGAAAAGACCCCCTTGCCACTACTGGAGGAGAGGAAGCGGCTCCAAAGCAAGACTGTCGCACAGGTGTGCCAGGAGCAACTCAAGCTTCGTCCATGGACAGACATCAAGAAACCCATTGCCGCGAAGGAGTCGGATTCCGAGGAAGAAATTCTTGTGAATGATGATGGCACACTCAAAAAGATCAAGAAAAAGAAGTCGAAGTCCTGGCTCAAAAATCACGCGAGCTGCCACGTCTGCCTCCACAAACACCCCAAGTGGAAGATGGCTCAATGCACGATGTGCAATCGCTGGTGGTGCTACGGTACGCTCTGGCGAGCTCACGACCTGATGCCGCAAACGGTAATGCAGAATCCGAATTGGGAATGTCCTCATTGCCAAAGGGTGTGCTCAACAGGTGCTTGTCGAAAGGACCCGAGACAAACCCCTTACGAGCCTAAGGGCACATTACTGGGGCACGACACGAAGAAGATTGCAGATGAGCGAAGCACAGAAGTCCTGGTTGATTTCAGCGTTTCCAACTTGAACTGGATACAGGAGTCTGTCGAGGCGCCAATAGCAAGCAGCAGGATACAACGGCGCAAAGAGGAGGCTGAGCGCGCCAAGCTCGACAACCTCTCACTAGATGATCACGATATCGACGAGCATGATGTCCAGAATGACTCTCATAATGGCATTGAGTATTCCCCAGTAGATGAATCTCTTGATGCCATCGATCCCGCTTTGGTTGCTCACGATGGCAACATCGACCCGGCTCTGCAAGGTGGCGTTCAGCGGCCCCCTCGCCCAAGTACCAACGGCGTACATTTCTCTCCAGCACCTGCTATGCTGGATGGCGCGCATCCGACGGAATTTGGACCACTAGCATACGATCCTTTCGGGCAACTACGCGATCCACTAGACGACTACGACCCCACATCGAACTTCGTGGCTCCATCTGCCGTCATGTATCAGCAAGAGGACGGCACAGATGAAGATATAGCCTTTGCCTATCCCGATCCAGCTGCGACTGCCGAGGATGGTCAGAACAAGCGCAAGCGTGCGGGCAATGACAAAGACGAACAGATTCGACTGGTGCCCTCGAACAAACGACAGAAGCTTGACGAAAATGGAAAGCCAATCCCACCGAAGAAGGATGCGAACTCACAGTTCCGCAAGAAACAACAGGATAAGGCGCTTGATGACGCTAGGAGAGAAGGCCGCTTCCTTATGGTGTATGCGGCAATGAAAGGCAAGCACAAGATCGTTAAGCTGAGAATCAGCAAAGAGAAGCTGGCCGCCGTAAAGGCACAACAGCTGGCTCAGCGGGCGATGCAGCAGGGTGTTGCCAGCGATGGCACTACCGACAAGGCGATCCTTCAGTCCGATGTTGCACCCAAGAGGAAAGAGACTCAAAGTGCGGGATCCAAGCCGGCACGGCCGAGTCATGTCCGTTACCGTGTAGAGGAAGACGAAGATTTTGGGAGACGGGCCGATCGGAGGGTCAGCACTCTGAATGTCGCAACAAGGCCAAAGAGGCGACTGCACTACGAAGAGATCGATATCGGTTCTGATGAGGATGAGGAGATGGACGATGCAGATGACGATGCGCCAGAGATTATCACGGGCACCCGCCAAGCACGTGGGATCCCATCATACCTCGCTCGGAAGAACGAAGGAGACGAAGACCTGCCCGCGGAGCTACCTGCCGACTGGAAAGACGCTCGTCCTCGAAAAGACCGTCGCAAGACGCTACCTGCGTCTGGTACTTCCAAGGCGCGAATTCGACCAGCAAACGGCGCACGCCGACCTCCTCGCGCCAGCACCGGCAATATGGTTGAAGGTGATGGAAGCGACGTAGATGCTGTAGGAGAATCTGATCATGAGGTCGATCACATTGGCGATTCAATCATTGAAGACATCATTGAAGAGGTAGCGGGACGCGCAGAGCCTCTGACCGAGATCAACGCAAACGGCGCCTCAGCTGCTGCCATGTCAGCTGCCGCTTCAGCTATAGAATTGGCCATATCTGCAACAGCAGCCCTCGAGGCCGAGAACCGAAGGGCGAAACTCGAGGCTCTTAGGTTCGCTGAAAACGGCGATGATGAAGAGTCACCCAGAAACCCCGACTCTCCCAACGAAGCCTCTGTATCCGATGCTGAATCCATCGACTCCGTTTTCGGCCCTGAAGTAAGGACTTCGGCCCAGAAGCCTATCGAGAAGAAACTCCCTGCCGGCAACTCCATCTTCTCCCGGCCGGGCATGACCGGCAAGAAGATCAGGATCGTCTCCGCCACAGCACGACGCCAAACGACGGGTAGCATGCCTACCGCTGCGCCCGCCACATTCACGCCTGTCAACCCGGGTACTCGCATCATCTCCTCCACATCCAAGGTCAATAGATCTGCCAACGATGCCGAACCCGCCACCGCTTCACCCGTCATCAAACGCCCTCGTGGCAGACCACCGAAAGGCAAGCCCTCCGCCAAACACCCCAGCACAAGCTCCGTACTGTCGGTGTCAATGCAAGCGGTAAAGCTCGCTCCAGCCACTAAGGCATCACCACCCTCGAAGCGCGGTCCGGGTAGGCCACCCAAGCAGCCTCAGATCATACAGCTGTCCGAGGACGACTCCTCGGATAGTGCGGGCGAGATACCGGCGAGGGCTCCAATTCCTGCGGTGAAGAGGATGCCGGGTAGGCCTCGTGGTGGTGGACGGAAATCGAGTGGGCGCAGCTAGGCGAGGGGTGCCGGTGGGTTCCGTGCTGTTTTGCTGATGTCGTGAGGGAGGTGGTTTCTTTGCGCTAGTGTTGTGGTAGATACCTTTGAAGTGGCTGGAGCTTGGCCGTGACGGACATCTCTCGTCTAAGCGTTGCTTGAGTCCGTTTAACAATAGCTCTCTGGCCCAGAGTAGCTGACATTGAGTGGCACTTTCTTGATTAGCTGATCTGGATCATTATATCAAATTCTTGCATGGTTGCTCTGTGCGTCCCGCGTGATACGGGTGAGCCTTATGCAACGCTTGCATGATCTTCTTGAATCCATATAATATATCTTGAAGAGTCTTCTGCGATCCAGTTCTACTTGCCTGTTTGCAGCCGAAGAGAGAGTATAGTGAGCAATATCACCTCTAGCAACGGAAAAGCAGCCATCTTCGATCATCCTCGGCGACAAGTATTTCTACACGATCGTACAAGCTATCACATTCAACACATACAACGCAAGATCGCCCATGCCAGCTACCACGCCCCCGCGATCAGAGAGTCAGTATTGAGCTCGACTACCTTGACCCTGCCCGAAGCCTCTCCTTCTCCCTTTCTGCCTTCTTCAGTGCCCAGCGGCCTCTCTACCTTCAGAACTAGGTAGGCAGTGGTGACCTTTCTGGTTTGACAATGGATGTCAAACTTGTTGTAGACAAAGCTTCGGTTTCTCGCTTCGCTGGTAGAGCTGCTTCGTCATGTTTTTGTTCCATCACACTGGATAACGGGAAGCGGGGTTGCGGAATACTGGGACATATATTTATATCGGGCTTTGGCGCGGATAAGAATCCGAGCTGATATCATACCGCGCAATAACTCCACGACCTAGTCATTTCACGGTGCTGCAGTATAGCCTTCTACCTTCGCGTGATTACATAGACAGCCCCTTCTCGTAAATGCGGCAATATTAGTGTTTGCGTAACACGTCGTACCGGTACTCCTGTACCTAACACCTGTCCGCATCCCTATCCGCATCCCTACTCCTGTCCGTGTCCCGGCCCCTGTCCTCATCCTCCCATCTTTAATTCTCATGTCTCCCTGTCTGCCTGGCTTGCGACGTACTACGAGCCTCCTATCCCCGGGGCGGTAGTGTCGGTATTGATGCAGATCCCCGCTGCGGTACGCAGTAGCCCACCCCCTCCGCCTATACCTTTTGACAGCGTACCGAGAATATCTGAGAATACACGGTTTGATTAGGACAACACTGTATTCCGCTAAGACGAGGACGAGAGCTCCAGGACCAACGTCATCTAGTACTCCGTAGCGAATGAGCAATCCATGAAACGGTCGATCAAAGGATGGCCTATGGCCAGAACGCTGCTGAGCAGGAGCTCCAAATTGAGGTGGCGAAGCGATGCGAGTTGAACGAGAAGAAGCTGCGAAATATTAAGACGGACTTATAGGGCGCAATGAAATTGCAGGACGGCGAACAAGGGGAGAAGCTCAACAAGTACGAAGAGTGAACACAGGACGTGTTGAAACGCAACGAGGAAGACGATAGGAGGTTTGGAAGGCAGCCAAGACGAATTGCAACAGCAAATGCGGCTTCAGAGGGAGACAGGCAAACGGCGGGCAGGCTGAGCGGAAGGAGTTAGCGACAGAGGGGCAAACTTGCAATATACGCGGCGCAAGCATAGCAGTAAGACGCAGCTCAGTTTCTCGGATTCCAGCTGGAGGAAGGCGGACCTATTAACCCGAGTACCTAGGACTTCCGTTTTCGCCGGATGGAGGGACAAAAGGACGGGGAAAGAAGCCGCGTTAGTCAGGTGATGTGATCCTACCTTTGCGGCCACTCGGGTTAAAGATGTGGAGAAAGTCCATCACTGTGTCGTGTGCTCCACCGCTGCAGCAACACTAGGGCGATTAGCTGCCGTTGAGTCGCCGGCCCTTTCGTGACTGCCCTGTAAGTCCCCGGTCAACCGTTTGTTACGGTGATGTGTTATCGAGAGTCGAATTATGAGCTTGAAACCTGAGGCTGACGACGAGAGCAGAGAAACCGCGGCCGGCAACAATGACGTCTCTACCGCCGAAGTCGCGGCGAAATCGACCAAGGTGTTACTCCAAGAACTCGGCCAGCAGGAGCACCGCTTGAGTGTTCCTCCAAACCAGTTCCATGGCCCGATACGCGCGCAATCCCCAGACACTTTCTCAGAGCTGTCGATAGAGGACTACCCATCGCTGCGAGCGAGCAGCGCTAGTCCAGCAGCCCGCCGGCGCCATGCCTCGACGTCTCCGGCGCCGTCCCCAAGCCCAAACAGCATAAGACGGTTCTGGAACAGAAACAAAGGCGTGTTCTTGGTCGTGCTCGCCCAATTCTTCGGCACTCTGATGAACGTCACCACGCGCTTGCTCGAGGTCGAGGGCAACCGAGGCAAGGGCATGCACCCATTCCAGATACTCTTCGCACGGATGAGCATCACCTGCGTGCTGGCCACGCTATACATGTGGCGGAAGAAGACTCCGGACTTTCCGCTGGGAAAGCGTGAAGTGAGGCCTCTACTCGTCGCTAGGGGCGTTGGTGGATTCTTTGGGGTGTTTGGCATATACTGTAAGCGCGGAGCAGCTTCATATCCTGTCCCATTGTCTGCGCGATCATGCTTGCTGAATCATCGCCAGACTCCCTTCTCTATCTCCCTCTAGCTGATGCAACCGTCATCACCTTCCTCGCCCCATGCCTTGCCTGCTGGGCCTGCAGCATCTTTATCAAGGAGCCCTTCACCCGCATGGAGCAAGTCGCGGCCCTGATATCCCTCGCCGGCGTTGTCCTCATCGCACGGCCTACGTCCCTCTTCTCGTCGTCCAGTACCAGCAGCGTACCGCCCGCCAGCGGCACAGGTGACATCACGCCCGGCAACACAACCGCCACCGCCGCCCCCAACGCCGGCAACTACGACAACGTGACGCCTGGCCAGCGCGCCGGAGCCGTCGGGATCGCCATGCTCGGCGTCCTCGGCGCCGCAAGCGCCTACACGACGATCCGCTGGATCGGCAAGCGGGCGCACGCGCTCATTTCCGTAAACTACTTTGCGGCGTGGTGCACGATCGTCAGCACCTTCATGCTTCTGGTTTTACCCAACACGTCCTTCGTGCTGCCCGCGACACTAAAGGAGTGGTGCTATCTCATCTTCCTCGGCATCTGCGGGTTTGTAATGCAGTTCTTGCTGGCGTCGGGCCTGCAGTACGAGAAGAGCAGCCGCGCGACGAACATGGTGTATACGCAGATGTTGTTCGCGCTGAGCTTTGATAAGCTGATCTGGGGGACTACGCCGAGTGCGATCAGCATTGTGGGGAGTAGTATGATTTTGGGGAGTGCGATTTATGTTGCGGTGCAAAAAGAGGTGGCAAAGGGGAAAGGAACGACAGAGGGGAGGACAAGAGAAGGAGACGAGGAGGAAGTGGCGGGGCTTGTTGAAGGAATGGATGCGGATGGTGGAGAGCGGACACAGGGAAATGTGCAGTTGAGGGACCTGAGATAAAACCATTTCTTCACAGCGGATCACTTGGCGCCTAGGTAGACGCAATATCAATATTGAGTGAAGGGCAGTATAAATGCAGCGGGGTATGGGCTGTAACGCTCTCAGCTGAGTAGCGTCTCAGCCATCAAAGCGTAGTCTAGACCTGATATATCAAACAACTTTGTAGACCATATAATCTTCGCGCGGCCGTTGCACCACTTTGTAACCTGGGTATCTCAAAAGAAACTCCGGAAAATAGCACAAGCAGCTGGATGAGTGGCAACAGACGGCGGCGCGTAGCAGCAAACAGGAAACGAAGGAATGCCAGGGGAAGCGCGTTCCCACTGCACCAGAGCGAATAATGTGATCCACTAGCACCTTGTAGCTAGCCTATCATAAGCCTTGAAATGGTGCAGGTGGTGATAGTGGTGGTGGTAGCGGCCATGGGGGCGATGTCGATGCCGAGCGGTAGTCTAGACACCCTGCCCAGAGTCGTGAGAGCTAGTATTCAGCATCGTGGGACCTGTCAGATAGGGTTTAGTGTCCCCCAGCGCACCTCTGTGGCTTGCCTGAAGGCGACTTTCACAACCTCTCCGCAAGGAATATGCACCGAGCGACTCCCTGCACTGACTACAACAAGTGTTGTAGTTTCCGAAGCATGGCCTCGAGTAAACGCAATACTCCACCATACCATCTCTTCGAAACGTATCATAGTGGAGCAGCCACGCTTACCGCGTCATTACTGCCGAACAATATCTCTTAGAGCCGTGGTCCCCTTCCCAGCATCCTCCCTACGCCCTCACGAACGCAATACTCAGTCCGACCCGCCTGGTAAGCTTGTCGAGCTTTCCGCTCGTTTTCGTGTCCACGAATCATCTCATCGTCTTCCACAAGCGTTCCGTTGACAGCAAGAACGTGCCTTCGATAAAATCGGTAGTCCCTTTCCGGACCATACATCTGTTGATTCCGCAACGGCGGCTGGAAGCCCTCCGAGGTTGAGAAAATAAGATCCTGCTCCGTGGCTCCATGACCGACTGCGTACTTCAGCTTCGGTGCGGCCAGGTACGTCGCGCTGCCGTTTTGAACGGTATTGAGATGCGTGCCTGTCAGAGTGGGTGACAAATCGCTGCTGCGCTTAGTACTGTCGAGCTGGTCAGTAGGAAAGACGTTAGACCCGATGACGCGGACTTCCTTCCCGCGGGAAATAGTCGCGGCGATGGAAAAGTTCCCGCTCTCGTCGTCTGTGCTGAAGGAGGAGTTGACGAAAAGCGGATAGGCGAACGTCCTGGAGTAGTCGTTGGAGGATACATCGAGGCCTGTTGACCTCTGATGAGTGACTTGGACGCGGCCGCGGTCGGTTAGCATACCGGTGTTGGTGAAGGCGAGGGCCTGCTGCCATGAGACTGGTCTGGGACCGCAGGGAGCGTTAACCAATGAGGACACAGAGATGTAGCGCTCAACGCTAACGTTGTAGCTTAAGGTTTCGTTGGTACCATTGACGTCTGTGGTAACGCTGGAAGAGAGTCGTAGTGTAGGCTCTGGCGCGACGATTACAGGTGCTGCGCCAGCGGCGATGTTCTCCGTGTCATCTTGCCAGAGGAACAGTTTGCCGGTCACCACCCAATAGTCGTCCACATTTTCGGTTAGGATGGCGTTCCCAGTGCCGTCGTCATATATGCCAACGACGCGAATTTCGAAGTTATGAGCGTTTCCGTCCACCAGAAGTGGTAAAAAGGGTGTGACATCAATTTCATCTTCCCTCAGATCAAAAGCATCGATACCAACGATAGGCCTCCACAGGCCTGGCACGATACCGCCAGTAAAGATGACAGGAAACGGCCACGAGACACCTGCAAGAATACCATCAATGTAGAGCTGCAGCTCGCGAAAGGGCGAATGACCAAGCAGTTCAGTGTCTGGAAAGGTCTGGACAGTGGAGGAGGGAACATTAGTAAACCAGAACTCTTCCAGGAATTGACCGCATGCTGAGATGGTGAAGATGGCTTTCTTAGCATTGAGTGGGATGTTCAGGGTAGTTGAGGCGTTATCTGTAGGGATGACGAACGCGCTGGAGCCATTGATGGAGGAGTGGCGTGCGGAGACTGCGAGAACTACGTCTGCAGCTGGCAGTGGGTAGGGGTCTGTAAAGAAAGTCGCGGTTAACGTGACATTGAAAGTACCGGTGTACGTGTCGTCGACCAGATTTCCTAGGTCAAAGATAATTTTCTGCGGCTTTTTGAACAGAGCGAGGTAGTTTGACACGTCTTTCATGTAAGACCATTCTATGCCGGTCTGTATGGGTTCAGCCGTGGAAGTTCGGAAGATCTCGGTGTCGTTGAAATACATGTAACCAAGCCGATCGAACTGGCGGCCGGCGGAGGTAACCGTAAGGTTGAGGGTAACCTGATTGAAATCGCATCGTGGTGGCTGATAAAGTCCTACAAGTCTTAATATCCAATACGTATATAACACAGCGAGGGCCTCGGGCGACGTGGATTGCACTTACCAACAAAGGGTTGCCCATAACTGAAGGCGAAATCGTGTATCATTAATGTCGATTCACAGTTCTCCGTCGTGTGTGCAGAAACCGGCGGCGCAACCTGAACAACCCCCAACCGCGGTAATGTGATGCTTATAACATGGTGCCACAGCGCAGTGGAGGGTCCCAACGCGGACTGTGTGCAAAAAATTGGATGCAATGCAACAGCATAGCAGATTATACACAGGAGTATCAAAGCGATGGCTAGCGAGCAACGACGTGGTAAAAATGGCGCCTTCTGGCAGCTGTTAGGCCCAAGCAGCCGTGAGTTTGTTTGAAACTCAACCATGTGAAGGCGCCTAGTTCCACTCCCGGTCTCCCTGAAACTGACCGGCATGCCAGTCAAGATTCGTGTCTCCTTTCCTCGCCACAGATTCGAAGCTTTGGCAGCACCGACAGATGAGATCCGGTCGCACCAACGGATGATACAATAGACGCGGTCGCCGCTTCAAAGCATTGGGCCCAGGGACCCGGATATGACAGCTCCTTGTGATGAGTGTCTTCGGCGCTGCGTTAGTTGCTCTTCTCATTGGTGAATACCAACGTAGTGTCCGCTCGGGGCTGGTATCGCTGCAACGGAGCGGCCCCTGCTGATGTTGCTGATGTTGTTGCTGTTCAATAAGGTGCTCTTTCTGCCGCCAGCATCTAGCCCGCTCTCGGAAGAAGAATCACCTGATCGCCCTGGGCGTTATGGACGAGCCACTGAAACTTTTTACGTGCCGGCATTCATTGACGACTCCAAGCGAGTTTGCAAGCGTTTCGGCCGCAGTTGCGAAGAAAACTACGACGGAGACTGTAGCCGCGCGCCACGATGTCGGTAATGGAGGCGGACTGAAACGGACCTCGGCGGGCTGAGGACACGTGATATCAGCTCCACGCTCTCACCTGCAGTGCTTGGCCTCCGGTCTCTTGAGATGCTTTTTGACCAACCCCGAGAACTACACCAGCAAAGGTTACCCAGAGTTTTCTGTTGTTAGTACGCAGTGAAGAGGACACTCAACCAATGTATGCCTCTCAGAATGCGTATGTGTACGTACTTTCTTTGATTTAGAGCACGTCATTCGGGTCACCTTGAAAATTATCCCAGAAGCGTTTAATGGCCCTCTGGGCCACTTCTGACGACCCGAAGCGGCTGCGGAAGTAGTTGAAGAGAGAGAACTCCGACCTGGATAGGAGGTAGGTATGGGGTTGTGCTTGAATGCGGGCCCAAAGGTCCCTCACAGCTCTCTCTAGGATGTTTGATATAGCGGGTTCGACGTTGCCCTCACTGGTCCTTGCCAGCTCCAAGGCCGTTTCAACGGTGAGGGTCCGGTATCCGTTCGCTGAGCCTCCACTAACGGTCATTTTTCTTTCTAGCACAAGGTGGAACAAGGCATCCCACACAGTAGAAGACGGGTCAATGGCAATGTAAATGAAATTTATAGCAGACAGTAAGTTGATGTGAATGCAGGTTGCACTGGATTTAAAGTTTTGACATGACATACGGCGCAAAGCCGCGGTTTAAATAGACCACGAGGATGAGGCACATACCTGCTTCCACTGATTTCTATCAGCCTGTCAGCTAGCGGTCAGATGCGAAAGGCGGCTGCGCCGTTGCCCAGCCCGCAATGGCGCTGAGCGCATCCAACCAGGCCCAAGCAAAGCCGTTGGTTCCGGACGTTAGGAACCGAGTTGGGCTCCTCTTGGTTGCAACCGAAGGAACAGGGCGTTGCTCATCTACAGAACTCGTGGCCGGCAGGCGTGGACAGCGGGAAGTCCCATGTGATATCACAGTCAAGGTGCGCTTGCTAGCTCCGCTCGATGCGGCTGCCTCCTCTTGCGTAAACACAACGAGGAGGACGAAGGGATGAGCCACGGGGAGACAGACGGTAGGCTTCGGCTATCATAGACTCGTGTACTGTCGGGCACGATGGTTCGTTTCCTTAATATTGCTAGGTTGGTGACCCACCAGGCGTGATGAGCACCAAGGTCCGGCGAGAAGCCTGAGCCACAGGGAACGGTAAGGGACCAATCAACCTGAACAGCACGCCGATGCCGTAAGCTGAACTCGGGCTTCCGGCCTAGCCAGCACGGCAAAGTTGGCGGCGGGCGAGGATAAGGTTCAATATCGGTGAGTGCGCGACGATGAGGAGAAGTTTAGTCGACGCCAGCAAACTCAAAAAGAGAACCCTGAGTATTTAGGGGCGAAGCCTGCGGCAGCCTAATCTTACGACGTTAAAGCTAGGTTGGTGGAGCAAAGACCTGCCTCGCAACTGGTGCAACCCGAGGACGTTTCTGCTGGCGATGTGGAAGGCAGGATACCCAAGCTTCTCCGAAGAGGCAAGGGGTTCTACGCTGTTATCGGAAGAATGCCTCAAGGATCGGCCCACTCTGGCAGATATTGGGCAGAAGCGCAAATTCTAGCGCCCTGTCGCCTCGGCCGCCAACCTGAAACGAGGGCCTTTCGCAGAAGTGCGACAGGGGACTGGTTGATCGGGGCCCGAGAGAGTGGTTACACCTGGATAGTAGATCAATCACGTGTGCTGGAGTCGCAAAAGCTTCAGTCATTGGTTCCCTTGGCTGGCTGGCTGGCTGGCCGGTCGCGTCCCCGACTCGAGTAGGCCGTCAACCAGCAAGGAGTAATGGGGCCCTTGAGAGCTTTGCTAGGTAGTGGAGAGCGGTTCAGTTCTTGAGAGGGAGGCGTTGCAAGCGGACTCATAGGCGGACAACCCAAGTGAAGGAAGATTTAGAGTTGTGGGAATCCTAACCGCGACCGGTTAGTCGCGGAGTGTTGCAACCATGCTTGCCTCTCCTACACTCGCTGATTGCGCAGACGGATCGTGTGTGTGTGATGGAGCTTCGCGACCGACACGTATCTCGCACCGGCGATGACGCTGTGGGTGTGTCGAAAGGTGATCTGCCCCGGAAATTATCGCACGGCCAGCAGCACACAGACTTGTCGCTAGGTCGCCTGGAAGAGCCTGGCGAGGTTCTGACGTTCAGATAGGGTAGCAGAAGGCCAAGGCCCTAAAGCGCAATACGCGGCGTACGGGATCGGTGCCATGATACGACCTCTGGAGGTACAAAAACGGCTCGCTAGGTACCGAGATGCGAGATGCGCCGGCAATATGCGACACAACGCTCCGCCCATCCATGAATACCTTACCTCCGGCTACCTGCAGTCAACGGGAAGAAAGTGTGGTGAAGACAACGACTTCTCAGCGCGGGCAGCGGTTGGCCGTTTCAGGCTATCCATGGACGGTTCTCGCGGCAGCCATAGTCACGACAGCTATCCGCGACGGTGCCCTGCGCGAGAACGTTAGAGAGCTGCAGACATGGGCCCATGTTGTACTGAGGTAATGAGGGGGCGTCCAGGGATATCTGCAGCTGGCAGCGACCGGATCCCGCGCGGCGCCGCACGTTGTGAGCACCGCAAGGTTCCACGTCGATCCCCTCCCAGCCCATGCATGGTCCAACGTCGTTTGAGAGGCTGCCCGACAGCCTGCCGGACACAAGTCGGTGCCATGCAGGCCTAAGCAATTGTGACAGCGGCTGGAGATGCGAGCCAGACAGCCACGAGCCTCAGCTGGCAAAAGTCCCCGGTGCTTCTGGATGTCTTCCTTCACCAATAGGACGCAGTCGAGTTACTTCGTATCGTATCTCTGCCCATTGCTACCGCGCTACGCGGTCTGCAAGTGGATTCCAGAGAACAGGTTGAGCCGTTTCTCAGCACTACTCCGCGCAGGTCAGCAGGTCATTAGAAACGCCATGTCAGGCTCGAGGACGACCTCGACCGGCGACCTGGTGTCTGGCTGTCTGTCGCAATTCGACTCTTGCGTGCTTTGTGCTTTGAGGATGACTAAATAAAGGAGCGGGCAAGTCACGTGGCGCGTTGCAAGGCCGTTCGGGAGCTGCAAGGCACAACCCGAGAAAGCGCTTGGCGGCTTCGCGGGAAAATTTCTCGGGCCGCGCAGCCTGCAAGGTTGTCTGTCCTTCCAAGTCGTTTCCTCAGGTCACGTCAGCCAGCATCATCTCAGACATGGTCAACCGCGACACACCTACTTTTGCTACCCGAGCACCATCTACGCAATTACCCTGACACCCTGAAGCTTGACCCGTACCTTGCGTCGCAGTATGAGGCCGGTGCGATTCGTCCGAGGGCCCAAGATCAGCCACAGCTTGCAGCCGCCGAAGCTCCGACAGTCTGGAGCTCCGATATCAAGAAACTTCTTCACATCCACCTGGTCCACTACGGCGCAGCGGCCTGCTCGACTGCCAATCTCCCCACCGTTTGCCACTAAATGGCAGCCATCGATCATCCGCCATCTCCGCCCCCTCCGTTTCAACAGCTCTAGAGTTACTCCGCCCAAGCCCAACCCAACACCCCATCTAGGTAGCCCAGAGCCTGCGCCTTCCTTGTCAGCCAGGCTAAAGAAGCTGTCAAGAGAATATGGCTGGTCTGCGCTGGGAGTCTACCTGCTGCTGTCGGCGCTTGACTTTCCCTTCTGCTTTCTTGCCGTGCGCATGCTTGGCACGGAAAGGATAGGACGCTGGGAGCACGTTGTGATCGAAAACTTTTGGAAGGTTGTCCAGATACCGTTCCCGAGCCTTGGGAAACAGCGACAGACGGAAGAAGCCGTGCAGGCCACCGAGCCGGATGGGTCTGATGTCGCGACAGCGAGAGAGGGCGCTTTGGGTTGGGCGGGAGAGGTGGATGCGGCAGACGAGCGGAATAAGGCCGCGGACGCCAGTATGAGCTCACCCAGATGACTTCTTCGTATCATGAATGCTGATCCGGAAATTGCGCCAGGTTTGTGGACACAACTCGTTTTGGCTTACGCAATCCACAAGTCCTTCATCTTCGTTCGGGTACCTCTTACCGCGGCCGTGACACCAAAGGTGGTCAAGAAGCTTCGGAGTTGGGGATGGGATATTGGCAGGAGACCCGAGTTTACTAAGAGGAAGCCAAGATCAAAATAGCCGCCTGCGGCTATCAATTCTGCTCAAGAGGATTACTGGGTAATTCCAGAGTGTAATGTAAATAGTGTAAGATATCAACATGGATAGCGGAGTTTGTAACATTGGCAAGCGAAGTGGAAAGGTGGCATCACGATCGAGTTGCAACATTCTCTGTACCTATTTCACAATATTTTCTTGACTTACTTGTTTCACAGTATCCTCTGTATACATCCCATATGCCGCATAACACCATTCACAAAGCATCTGGACAGTCGCATATGGGAAGATACAGCGGCCAAACAAGGCCTGTTACCGCTGTCTTCAGAAAGATCATACAACTATCAGCCTCCGGTCGTATGGACACCAATTGCGGCAGTCTCGGGGAGACTGGCTCCAGGGATAGGAGCCATTCGTACGTAACGATAAGAATCGCACGAATATTAGGTGCTGCTTCGCGTTTCAAACTCGCTCTATCAGGTCTACTCAATTCACTACTGCTAAAGCACTGTTGAGTTAATTTTGCTGCGTTTACGGCGGGAAAGCCGCGTATCATGAATGAATCGAGAATCAAACGAACCACAAGGCGACATGATATATCGATGCTCAGCCATGCTTTCAGCGCGGATGCGTCCACGATCCCTAAACGTGATCATGCGTTAGCGACATAAGTCACATCCGATAGAAGGCGGTTGTCTGTACTAACCGTGTATGTGGACGCGGGAGGCTTCCTTCCACCGAAGCCGAGTTTAACAGCCATGGGGTTTAGGTCATAATGAACCTCAGCATCCTCGCTGTCGGTCTTCCTTGTCATGCACGTGACATCTATGTATGCCTGAACCGTCAGGCAGCTTTGAACGTCGGAGAAAAGCATAGTTCCGTACCTCGGCTTGACCGAGGTTCCAACGAACGGGAGTTGGAGGTCAGCTTGTCATCATGGGCGCAAAGATGGGGTACTTCAAAGCCACACGCCTTCTCCCTCCTCGACCGCCAGATTCCCTCCAAACAACCGGCCGCATACCATGTCTCCCACTCCAGCTTGGGTGAAGCAATTGACCCCGTCCGGGCCTCAGGGTCATGAGCTGTTGAAACAGGAGCGTGAGAAGTCGAATGTTCCCGTCGACAAGCTATCCGCGTTCCTGTTTACCAAGGAAGTCCTCGAACGGAAGCGCAGAGTCCTGAAGGTCCTGCAATCCGAGGAGGTCTTCGACAAGTCCCAGAACTACTTTGCAGGGCGTGTGGACCGATTCGAGACTGCATTGGCTAGGGCAAAGAAGCTCCGCCAGCTGACGGTCAAGCACAAATGGTCTCAGGAAGACTTCCGCGCGGCCACTGAGCTCATCAGTGAGCCTGGTCCGTATGGACTCCACGAGAGCATGTTTCTGGTAAGTTGGACCTCGTCTACCTTACATCCAGTATCCTGCTCTCTGCATGGTGAAGATGCTGATTCGCTCTGTAGATTACCACACGGGACCAGAGTACACCGGAGCAGAGGGAAAGGTTTTGGAAGCCGGCAGACAACTATGAAATCATCGGGTGTTATGCGCAGACCGAGCTAGGTCACGGTTCGAACGTGCGTGGTCTTGAGACGACCGCTACCTGGAACTCGGACGACAAGACCTTTACCATCCATTCGCCCCATCTGACTGCTTCAAAGTGGTGGATCGGATCACTTGGTCGAACAGCCAATCACGCGGTGGTTATGGCCCAGCTCATCATCGACGGAAAGCCCTACGGACCGCATCCCTTCGTCGTGCAGATTCGAGACCTGAAAACCCACGAGCCGCTGGAGAACATCCATGTCGGCGACATCGGCCCAAAGTTCGGGTACAACACCATGGACAACGGATTCCTCCTCTTCAACCAGGTCAAAATCCCGCACATCAACATGCTCGCCCGGTTCTCCGCCGTCGATCCAAAGACGAACAAATACGTCCGGCCTGCCAACCCTGCGCTCGTCTACGGCACCCTAACCTGGGTGCGCAGTACGATTGTGCTCCAAGCCGGCGGCGTTCTCGCGCGAGGCGTGACGATCGCGACCCGCTACTGCGCCGTCCGCCGCCAGTTCCAGGATCGCGACGCGAAAGAGGGGGAGAAGGGCGAGACCCAAGTGCTCAACTACACCATGGTGCAGATCCGGCTGTTGACGCTGCTGGCGGCGACCTTCGCGCTGCACTTCACCGGCAAGGGTATGATGGGGCTGTACGAGGAGAACCAGAAGAAGATGTCGGCGGACGCCGGGCAGGCTGCGGACACGAAGCGTGGTGCGGGCCCTGAGGAGACGCATTCGGGCAGCGACCTCCTCGCCGATCTGCACGCTACGTCGTGCGGGCTGAAGAGTCTAGCGAGCACCACCGCGGCCGAGGGTCTCGAGGTCTGCCGCCGAGCGTGCGGCGGGCATGGCTACAGCAACTTCAGCGGCATCGGGCCGTGGTACTCCGACTACCTCCCCACGACGACATGGGAAGGCGACAACTACATGCTGACGCAGCAGGTCGCCCGCTACCTCCTCAAATCTGCCCGCTCCGTCCTCAAAGGCAACAAGCCCACCAACGACACGACCCGCATCCTGGCCCATTTCCTGCGCAAATCCGACATCGGCGCCGCCTTCGACGTGCTCGGCCGGGACCAAGACCTCGTCTCCGCCTTCGCATGGCGCACCGCCTTCCTAACCTTCGAGGCGCTCAAACACCGTGACGAGCAGAAGAAGGCCTGGAACGACCTCCTCGTCGACTTCTACCGCCTCTCAAAGGCGCACTCGCAGTACCTCGTCGTCAAGAACTTCTTCGAGGCCCTCGAGGCCCCCGCCACGCACAATGAGCTCGACCCCGAGACCCTCGGGCTCCTGTACAAGCTGTTCCGCCTGTACGCGCTGCACACGCTCGAGCAAGAGGCCTCGGAGTTCTTCTCGAGCTCTGCGTGCACGGTGCGCCAGATCACGTTGGCGCGCAACAACGCCGTCATGAAGCTCCTGGAAGAAATTAGGCCGCACGCGGTCAGGCTGGTAGATAGCTGGGACTTCCCGGATTGGCAGCTCGATAGCAGTCTGGGCAGGTTCGACGGGAAAGTGTACGAGGACATGTTTTATAGGGCGAGTGAGCTGAATCCGCTGAACAAGATTACGGTGGACCCGTATCCGGATAGTCCGGTGCTGTTTAAGAGGGATGAGAGGGAAAGGTTGAATAGTAAATTGTAAAATGGGTTGCTGGGGGCGCTGTACATAGTGTTTAGTAGGAAAAATTGTATGTACCGTTTGCTACTGATACGAAAGTATGGCTGATCCAAGATATTATTTTAGTAAGCGCGATGCATTCTTGAAAACTACCAGTGCGACTCGTGTTGCCGGAATCGGCTATTCGTAAGGTTCGGGAGCTCGTCGTAGGACGGTGTACCGGCTCGTTTTGTAACAAGTTCTTTTGTGACCTTCGCTTCCACCTGTGGTCTGAATTTCCTCTCTCACACTCCGCTTCTCCTTCAGATCGCCATTCTCCTCTAGACAACTCTATTCTCTCAGTAGTAACGTAGAGATAGGAAGTGAAGAAGTGAAGAGAAGGGTTATGGAAATTACGAAAGTTTCGGGAATACGGAAGGTTTAGGAATTCTGAAAGTTGTCCAATAAGTTTTGAACCTAGGTATCAGGCTATTGTCCGGCGTAGCATAGCAATCTGTCTTAAGCCATGACATGATGATGCACTGATGCTTGGGAAAACTCTCCATGAGGCCTTCCAGAAGGGAAAGTACAACCTGCATATTCTAGTATTTTTGTTCGACTAACACCATGGACTAAGGGTAGAATCAAGAATTCGTGGCTACCTTCCTTCCAGTCGATTCATGCTCGATTTTACGTAGACGCGACTTTTCCATTCTGCCCTTAGTCCGAGTTGTCCATCCGGTAAGCATGGTGCAGGTTCTCTCCATATGCCGAGCACATCGCAAATTCAATTCTCCTGAAATCCCATATCCAAAGAGCTCGACGCTTAATCATCCAAGACACCATTCCGATGCTTCTTGTGCCCATATGCAGGAAAAGGGCCCTCCCAGGCTATCAATCATACACGCCGCCCAAACCCGTCAATACTTAGCAAAGTAGTGCAGCGACGCCCGCCACCATAGCAGCAAGCAGCACGCCAGGCCGTCGTGGCGCCTGCGCCGCCGGCTCGATGAGGCCACAGCACTCCAAGTCATATGCAACACCGTTGAGTTCTGCTGCGACCTCGAACACGCTGCCGCTGCCCGCATCGTAGAAATCCACAAGAAGGAAATTGGGTGGACGGCCCCAGAGGTCTGTTGCGGCGTAAAGAAGTCAGCTATGGGTGTCAAGAAGATGACAATGGAGAAGGGAGACGCCTACCCGTACAATCTTCCGCCATGGCCCCGAGACTACCCGGCCCCTCCACCGCATTAGTCTGGTTGATGCGCGCAACATTCGGCACAAGGATTTCGTTGCCTAGGAAAGTCAAACCAGTATTCAAGTTGTGGTTTGCCATATACATGAGCGACTCCCTGGCCTGCTCCTCCGGCAATTCCGGCGGCCTTTCCACCGTGCACGGAAACGTCGGGTCCGTCGGACTGAACGGCGTCTCCCAGATATGCAGGAACTCGTCCAGGATGTACGGCACAGCTGTCTGGTTCGCCATGTAGTCCATGAACAGCACGACGCGCTTCTGGCGCAGTATCATGCTCGAGAGCGTCGGCCAGTTTGGCAGGCTGAGGGGGATCGTGGGAGGTGTGTAGAGGTAGGGCCAGAGGCCTGAGTTCTGGATTGGCGCGATGTAGTTATCGACGCTGACGAGGTCGGAGTTGCCGAGGAGGATGGTGAGGATGTCGAAGGGGTGGTCCTCGACCCAGAGGGTTACGGTGCGGAGGTAGTCTTCGAGGGTGCCAGCATTTAGAATATCGCAGGATGTGTGGCAGAGGTAAAGCGTGTTGTTTACGAAGTGGGATTGACTCTGCACTGGTGGGATGCTGCGTCAGTTTTGTTGTGGCTGTGGAGAGGGGCCGGAACTCACGCATCCGTATGCCGTCATTGAGCTGAGAAGTGACGGGTAATAGCTGGTTGCTCGCCGCGTTGCCAGGCCGCGAAAATGGCGAGTTGTGCGCGGCGACGTAGGTTATGTTTGAGTACTTCCGCTCGCAGAACTCGACATGGCCGTTGCAGGGCTGCGTGTTGACCGGGGCAGCTGAAGTTGATGTCCTGCTCGTCGCACCGCTGGAGGTCATGGTTCCGTTGCTTGATAGCGTCGTTTGGCCTCCCACTATCAAGGTTACATCTTCGGTTGTCTGCGAGCCGCTCGCCGTGGACAGAGCTGTACCGTTGCCATTGCTCGCTGTGGTTGGTGATAATGATCCCGCAGTCGGTAGGAGAGTAATGGTTGTGGATATGCTCGCATAGGTCACGTCCAGGCTTGTCGGCACACCGTCTTGAGCTGTGATGGTTTCGCTTGGTGTAGCGGTGGTTTCTTCTGACTGTGCCCTAGCTACTGCAAGCAGGCAGCTGAGCCAGAGTGCACGCGGTAGCATGTTCTTTCCCGTCCAGGAGCTCGCTTAACTCTGGATCTGAAGAACAAAGAAGCCAAAGGTGGATGTAAGATTTCAGCAGCAGCAGGAGCAACGATTAGACGAGCTCTACCAAGCAACAACGAGACCAACTGAGAAGAATGCGGGTTGTGGACACGATCAAGAAGCTCTAGCGGAGGATCTTCCGCCAACGATGCCAAGCTGACGAGTGACGTCTGAGGAATAGCTAGTAGCTCAACACTCATAAGCTCGGCGGAGGACTCGGCAAGAGAGGGCAATTGTTGGTGGACTTCTTTTATGTGTAGACACAGGACACCAGGAGGAACTTCATGACTTCATGTGCCAGCACCACAGCGACCTGACACGAAGGAGCTGCTCTTGCGAAAGCGCCTTGCACTTACCTACCTGCATGGGATGGTGGGGATGATGCGGATGGTGGGGATGGTGAGCGAGGAACGGTTCGTTCGGCTCAGGGACGCGCATCTCAACCTGGGCCGTTGACGCGGTTGAGCCAATTCGACGACTCCGGACGACTCCAAACTTCTGTAGACAAGGATTTATGACGTCGGTCCCGCGCTGGACTGACTGCGCCCAGCACCGACGCGCAACACCGCTGCCGGATGATTCTCCTCAGAATGGGTTTACCATGATGTGCCCAAGTGCGTCGCAACTGCCTTCCTGCCTAAACGCAACGAGCTTTGGGCCTGTTGCTCCGTGTCGATATCTCGTCCGTCATTTCAAGCTCTCTTCACCAAACACATCAATCTCTAATCCCGCAGCGGGGTAGCCAATCGTTTGGGCATCCTACAAGAGCATTGTGCTAGATTGAGAAAGCATAATACACAAAGCTCCGAGTAGACAACATGGCGTTTGGAACCTCCCGCAACAACAACGGCGCCGCAGCGGCTGATGGCGCCTCTCCCGCACGATCACAGAACACCGGCGACATGCTGACTCCAGACGACGGAGGACTGTCGAAAGCCCAGATCAAGAGAGCGACAAAGACCCGGAAAACCTTCGCCCTGTTATCCGCCTTCTTCCTCTTCATATCCGTCATCTTCCTCGTCCTTGTCGAGATCGGCAACACCTACAATCGGCCGGTCCTCAGGGACATCTACTTCATCAAGCTAGACCTAAGCCATGTTGTTCCCTCCAGTGTGCCAAATGCGCCCCTACTCAACACTATCGCCCGGACACTGGGCCTGCATGATTATTACTCTGTAGGACTATGGGGGGTATGTCAGGGATACGACAACGAGGGTATTACGAGCTGTTCGAAGCCGAAGACGCTCTATTGGTTTAACCCTGTAGAGATCATCGTGAATTCGTTGCTTGCGGGAGCAACCAGTAAGTGACGGCGAATGATTCGCGTACTGGGATCCTATGCTGATGCTCGGCAGTCGCTCTACCTGCGGATATCAACGACATCCTTGATCTCATCCAGATGGTCTCACAAACCATGTTTGGTCTGTTCCTGACCGGCATCTGCCTAGCCTTCGTGGTGCTCTTCCTCGCGCCGTGTTCGGTCTACTCCCGCTTGGCTGCCATCCCTATCGCGATCTTGACGACGCTCGCCGCACTCTGCATCACGGTCGGTTCCGCAGTGGCAACCGCAATGTTCGTCATATTCCGCAACACCATCAGCGGCGTGCAGGAACTTAGGATAGCCGCGTACCTTGGAACGGAAATGTTTGTATTTATGTGGATTGCTAGCGCATTCGCCCTCCTTGCAATGATCATACAGCTTGGAGAGTGTTGTTGCTGCACGAGCAGGCGAGACCTCAAGACAGGAAGGAAGAAGGCATACACAGAGAAATAGATACAGAGTTGGCTGGCAGGGTTGGAGCCAGAGCTTGTGGGATTTGACGATAGAGGACTGAGGTCTGGGTTTAGCGTCGGCGTTCGGAAATGTTCGAGGACTCGTGGCGAGGGCGTTCCTCACAATAAAGATCTTAAAGTCATTTGGCATCTCCAATCTGTAAGCGCTAAGTCGTGTTCAAAGTGAATGAAGCCTCTGAGCCCAGATTGAAGCTGCTGCTGGGTAAGCGTAGATCACCGCCGTCTCTGATGTGTGACCTTAATGATTTACAAACGCGCGATGCGTTCAGCGTGTTTGGCCAGCGCGTGGAATCGTTACTGCCTCTGTAGTGTTGGATCTGCATTCGGCGTAGCGTTCGGGAAGGGCTTGGAAGAGTACTGGAATGTCGACTACCGTCGCTTGTGTTTGCGCATTGCCATGCATTCCTGTCAATCACTCAACGTTTTGTCTGAAGTCATTGTGTGAAGCGTGAACCTGATTTGAAAACACCTAAACAAAATTACAAAAGAAACCCAGAAACAACCCCAAAAGAAAACTCCCAAAAAATTGAAACCCAGAACCAATATGCAAGAGGGGGCCGTTCTCCAGCAACGAAATGCACCGGCGCACCACGCCAACTAGCTACCATCTACGGCACTCGATATCGTCGAGATCTGCCTCGCGCAGCTCTCGCGGGTTCCTGCTTGATGGGTTGGCGCCTGTTGGCACCTCTGACACAGCAGGTCTCTTCGGGTAGAAGTGGTCCGGAGCGCTTCGGATGTTTTTATAGACCCGTAGGCGGTCGTTGAGCGGCTTGCCCTGGTCATCGAGCTTCAGCGGATACTTGTACGTGCTGATGCATGCAACAGTGTAGATTCCAGTGGCATATTGCCGCCACACCTCGCTCTCCCAGACTGCATGGAGGTTTACGCCACGGTCAAGTATGCCGTAGATCTCCGCGAATGTGACCAGTGTCCAGCGCGACTCATGCTGCTAGAACTGGCTCTTGACAAGGCCCGGGAGCTCGTTGTAGGTGGGCGTTCCCGGCCGTCTTGCTCTGTCGTGTCCCGAGACATTCGCCTGGACCTGTGGTCTATTAGCAATGTGCAACCAGTGGAGACCGGAGCCCCAGATGCGGTTTTGCCGATTTTAAACCCAAGTCACGGTGATGGTGTGCTGATGCTACGGAAAATCTCTTATGGGAGGCAAGTACCCACCGGGCTGGAAAAAAGCCTCACCGCGAAACGAGAAACTCAGGGCTGCATCAATAACAAAGCTCCCTTTACGATCATTATGACGCTCTAGAACACAGTCTGGATAGCTAACTCAAGGCTTGACGTCCTATCGTTCACTCTCAAAACTTACTTCGGCGGCTGAACGTGAATCCCCTTGTGAAGTTGACGGCGAACGAGCGCTGGGCCGCTGTCGCGGTGAGGTATTTTTCCCGCCTGACATGGTACCGATTTCCCGGACCGATCAGGGTTTTCTAAAGTACGGCGTGCCTCGGACGCTACTAATGGAGCAGCCGATGGCAAACCTCCTCGGGACAATGGACCCGCAATGCCTGAGCAGGTACATGGTTGACTTCAAAAGCATTGGGAGTGTGCCCATGCCAGCGTTCCTTCCCTCGAACAGATCCAACCCGATCAAAGAGACCGGCCCAGACTACGTTCTCACCGCCGAGGAGATCGAACTCCGGCGCACGGCGGCTAGAGAGCGTGAGAGAGAGTACCGCACGGAGAGAAGAAGGAGGCTAAGACGAAGAGGGACGCTGGGGATAAAGATGCTTTGGAACAGCATGAGAGGCTCCTCGCGCAACAGAGTGCTGGGAACAAGCGAAGGAGGAAGGAGATGTTCGAAGGGGTGGAGCAAGGGGATCCCGCTGCAATCCAGAGGCTCGAAAAGGACCGCCAGCATGGCAAAGATCAGCAGGAGAAAGAGAAAGCGGCTCGGGCAGCGGGCGACGTTGGGGCGCTGGGAAAGCATCAGCGCGTGTTGCAGAAGAATAGGGAGAGCCATGCGGAGCTTAAGGCAGCTGCGCAAGCTGGTGATGCCACCGCAGCAAAACAGCTTGCGCAGGTCAACCACGGATGGCAGCATGAGCAGGCGGAGAAACGACGAGCGGGTGATCAAGTGGCTATACGAAGGACGGGGTATTTGCCGAGGAAGCGGTCGCTTGATGGCGCGCGACCACAAGGCTTCTTAACACAGTATTGAGGCGTTTGCAGAGGCGGGCTGGCACATTAGATATATCTTCAGTGAATAGAAGGTGCAGATTTGAATTACACAAACTGGTTGTTGATGTTTCTTGATAGCATTGGAGGGTGGCCAAGCGGCTGTCGCTTCCTCAGTTAATACCCCCTCCTTCGTACCTAGGTAGCAAAGTACGCTGCGAAATTGCAGGGTTTAAGGGATAAGCATCTCGCGCTTAAGGCTGCTGCTAAGGGTGGCGATCCAAAGGCAATCGAAAAGCTTGCTTGGGTGAATGGTGGGCGTCAGAAGGCAGCTCGGACGAAGAAAAGCGCAATACCCCGCCCGGAAACAGCTTTGTTACTGATACATTCAAGAGTCTTCCTAGACAGCGCTCGATAACGAATTTCAGGTAGAGTTGACCTCGCGGTAGTGTTGTCCCGAACCAAGCTCCTATTAGATAAAAAACAGTTTTGTCCGCCGGAGAAGCCCGGATTTCCAGAAATCTCTATGAATCATTGCTTAAAGCAGCTTCACTTGCTTATTCATCTATATCGGCTTAAACCGGGGATTTCAGCGCACTACGTTCGCCATCTTTTACTATGGAGCGCTCATACCATTGGGTGGAGAGCGGAGTGCGTGATATTCTGATGATTAAGCGAGGACAACACTACCGCGAGGTCAACTCTACCTGAAATCCGTTATACACGATTCCTCGAACGGATTGGACCGTGGACGTTCCACATGGTCACGTGCGCGCGTGTATTTCCGCTCGTCGCAACCCTTGGGGAGAAATCCACCACTGCAGACTCTGACGCACTGCCAGAACAACAGAACAACCACAGACACCACTTGACGTTTGGTCGTTCCCTGCATCTCGTGCTGTCGTGTTTGAGCGTGCTTCACAGAGCGACACCGGTTGTCGCCAGGAGAGTCCTGCGCATCGTGACAATCGCCACATTAAGCACTAGCGGGCTCCACTGACCAGGCATCCCACATTCGCTTCCTTCCTACATCGAGAGTCACCCAGTTCACCAAACCCAACTCAAGTCCGTTGTTCGTTATGGCCGTTGCGGACGCCGCTACCGCGCCGGACCAGCCAGCGCAGCAACACGAAGGGAAGAAACCACACAAAACGTCAAATCGCAAGCGCAAGGCCAATATCAAGGATGAGGCAGCTGAAGATGAAGTCCAGATAGTCGACGTGAAGCCTAGGAAGAAGGCTAAGAATGCTGCAATTGACCTGACAGATGACATGCAAGATGAAATCCACAATGTGCCACTTCCGCAGAGGAAGAAGAAGAAGAAGCCGAAGGCGAGGATGAGCAAGGCTAAAGTTGACGACGAGCTCAATGAAGCTCCGGAGGTTAGGTCGATGTCAGAGGGTGATGGCAAGACGGCTGACGGCGGATTAACCTCTGCGGGGAGTGACGTTACAGATCATTCCGCACCGCCCGAGAAGGAGGTCGAACCGGCCGACAAGGACGAGGAGAAGCGCTTGCGCCGGTATGTACGTCCAATACGTCTTCAAGAAGTACATCGGCTGACCAACACCAGTTTTCGGGCGAAGCCCCCGCAGTCCTATGAAGCTATCAAGCAACGAGCGCTGACACAACGGTATGGAACAGTGTGCTCCTCCACGGAAACATCGTTTACTGATATGCCCGGCTCGCAAGCATGTTCGTTATTGATCGCAGAAGGGGCGGCACCGACGAGTGTCCTACTGAGACCGTCAAGATGGTCGGCTCCACAGGCAATGTCTACACCGTCAAAGTCAACAAAACGCCAAGCTGCAACTGCCCTCACGCGAAGAAGGGGAATCAGTGCAAGCACCTTATTTACATCATGAGCCGCGTCCTCCACGCGCCCCCTAACCTCGAATATCAGCTCGCCCTACTTCGATCTGAGCTCCGCGAGATCTTCGCCAAGGCGCCACCAATCCCCTCCGCCGACGCCGCAACCGAATCAAGCAACCGCAAGCCCCTGGAAGACGACTGTCCGATCTGCTGCATGGAGTTCAGGCCCGAAGAAGAGAAGATCGTCTACTGCAAGGCTGCTTGTGGCAACAATATCCACGAGGTCTGCTTTAGCCAGTGGGAGGCTTCAAAGAACGGCGGTACGGTCACCTGTCCGTTCTGTCGGATGCCATGGCAGGGTGAGGACGTATCGGTCCAGTCTGTCGCCGAGAAGGGAGAGGTCAATTATGAGGGTTATGCTAATGTTGCGGAGCAGTTAGGGCTCTCAGGTGTTCGAGGTATGTATTTGACCGCAAGCTTATTCTACCACTGTGCTTGCTGTGGCTTGATGGCATCTTTTGACATACTGACGGTCTACAGATCACTCAACCTATCATCCATTCTGGGTCCGCCGTGAGGGCCGTACTGGTAGGTTGCCACGCTACGAGGGTTACGACCGTTACTAGTAGGCGTGTCCCCATGACGTACACGATGCATTGCCGTCAGCGAGGGCTTCACAGCTCGGTTGTTGTTCTCGGCTTTCTCCTTTTATCCTAGGGGTGGAGTTTGTGGCATCTTCAGAAGTGGCAGGGGCTGCGACGACGTAGGCGGCGACCTTTCTAGCGCTTTTGTTCCTTTGGCAAGGCTTTATTGCTCCGGCTGGTTTGCTTTCTTTCAAAATATTATGAGATACCCAGTAGCTCTCAGAGCTAATTCCATTGCTTCTTTCTTTGAACCGTTCATCCTATCCCGGGTTACTGGAGCTTGCTCCATCTCATATGTGTAGGCGAACTAGGACTACTTTCATGCTTGTTTGAATATAATGAGGGTACACCAATAGACTTACGTCTCAGTAATGCGATCCCTCTAGATGTGCTTTTTTGTATCGGAAATTCATAGGCTCACATACAGAACACTAATAATTGAGGTGGATCTTTTTGTAGACGCTGGGTTACTTTGACATTGCCCTTCCTACGCCTTCCATTCAACTTGTTTAGCATCGTCCAGAATTAACTGCCATGTTGCGTCGCCCGGTTGCCATTGTTGTTCAGAGGGCGTCTTGAGTCGCTTATCAGTGGTTCGGTAGCAGGAATCAATGAGGCGGATGTCCGGCGAATTCCGTAGAAAGCGGAAGCCTAGACTGTTGGAAAACTCATCGTAGCTTGCCAGATCGGGATGAAAACGTAAGACGTTTTGATTGAGAGCGGCACGGACGGCGCGAGGACAAGACTTCTCCAGTGACGTTGTGAACCCGTTCCAATGCACTAGATTGGACTGAATGACCGCTTCTTTAATTGTAGCCATTTCCTCCGTAGTCAAGGCAGTACGGCCGATGGCGAGCCAACGCATGGCTGGAGAGCGAACCAAAGCGCATAGAGCGGGGACACACATGCCGTCGATGTAATTGTAACGTTGTCCGTGTGCCCCGGTTGTCAGTGCCGCCTGCAGATCCAACGTCATGAACTTAGGGTGGCCCGCCAGTGCTTGACAAAGCAAAGCTATGCCTTTCGAGGCCAGGCCGGTGGAGGCGAGTGAAAGACGCTGTAAGGTGGCGTGGTGGCCCAGTGCAGGCGCGAGGTGCACTATTCCCGCATCGCCGATCGGATTGGATGCCAGAAACAAGTTCTCCAGGTGCGTCTGCGGGTCGTCCAAGTACGCTGCCAAGGCTTTGGACGCCTTTTCACCCATCCCGTTCGCATTCAAGTACAACGTGCGCAACGATGAAGGTTGGCCTCGCAGCGCGTTGAAGAATTGCGCTACGCCGTCATCGCCCAATGAGGTATTCTCCACATCCAACGTACGGAGATGCTGTGTATGGATTATCAGATGAGCCAGCAGACTGCCCGCATCGGGGCCTAACGGATTGCGCTTGAGCCAAACATTCGTGATCCGCGTCGAGGTTGTCATGGCCGCCACCAGCTTTTCCAAAGGCTGCTTCGTGATGTGACATCCTGCCAAATACCAGGTCTCCACGCGGTTGGGAAACCGCTCTATGAAGGCGGCGATGCGTTCTGCACCGGTACGAGAAATGATATTATTGCCTAGCAAGAACTGGGTGATATGCGAGTTCGTGTGCAGCGCATCCATTAGGGCCGAAATGTGCGTCGGACCCAAGACCATCTTGCACAAGTCGAGGCGTCCATCTTCGTAGATGATACCTCGATCGAACTGTACGAGCGGAGTATGCCATAGCAGCTCCTTACCCACGTGCACGCTGGGATCTTGCAATGTTCCATCAAGGTAGGCCTTGACATTCTTGTCATCGGTCAAGAAGTCGAAGATGGGCTCAAACTCTTTCCTCGGCGGAATCGTGACGGGCATGGGGAAGGCAAGCGGGCCCTCCAACGACACGGGATCGAGCTCTTGCCCCGCCCAAGGCCCTTGCAGAAGCTTCAATTTGCCTCCCCTGTCGAGTTTGAGTTGTTGAGCGTGGAGCCTGTCGGCCTGAAGAGACCGCACTATCCGTTTGGCCTGGCGGACGTAGCGCTCATAGTCGATGACGGCCTTGATAGGAGAGGCGTCCACAAACACCGCTGAAGCGAGTTCTTGCGCTAAGGGTCGTTGGCTTCTTGAACTTCGGCTGGGTAGGGCGAGAATGGCTGCCTCGTCCGAATGATCTTCATAGACAACGATCTGGCGCAGGGTGTGTATGTGTACGTCCATCATGTTCTCGTCTTCCCTCTCGTGTTTGCGGTCTTTCCGAAGAGTCGCCGTATGTGAGGATGCAGAAATAGAGGAAAGGGCTTTGGCTTAGTCGAAGGTGACAGCAGAGAGACGATAGCTGTGGCGTGCTGACTATCTGAGAAGGAGCCGAAGAAAGACAGAAAGGAAGGTGAGAGTGAAAGATTGTATAGCCCTACAATCGGGTAACAGTCATCGCGGAGTCATTGGAAACTATCGCCGAAGTTGGTAGCGGGACGCCGGTAACGGTTCACTAACTTACTAGAAGCTGCCTACCGTGGTTAAAAGCTCACTGAACCATCGGTTTGTACCTACCTGATATTGAGGGTGCACCCGCCCGTGATACGAGGTTGCTTAAAGAACGAGCAGTTCAGGTAGAGCTTGTCCTTCGCTTGGGTTAAAAGGCTACCGCTCGGGCCTGAACGCACAAGTGAAATCTGGTGTGGTTAAGATTCGTGGTAAAAATGTGAAGGTTCTTCGTGAAAACCTAGTTGAACTTAACGAGAGAGATTTGAGGTTGTAGGAGAACATGATCACGTGACATAGCAGCCTCAACGGAGCCGCGCAGCTCTCACCCTATAAGAGATTGTAATCTCCTGCCTCTCCTGGCCATGCTGACGTCTCACGTCATCGCCCGCGTCTCCCCGAGACATATGTACGATGCCGGCGCGGTACAGTTAGTAGCGGGATTAGGCGAGCGCGACGCTGCTTTCTCTCGACGCGGTGGGGATAACGTCATTTAAGGTAGAGTTAATCTCGCCGTGGTGTTACTTAGTAAGCAAAAAATATAAATTATATAAAAAATCTTAGAGTTCCCTTTCTCGCTTAACCCCTACCTTTCTATAAAAATAGATAATATATCTACGTTTTTAAAAGTTAAGTAGATAATAATTGTTTTTATTAAGAGTTTACTCTCTAAGCTAGTCTTATTATACCCTTTCCTATACTACTAGTTAAATTAGACTTAAAGCTTTTTCTAAACTTTTTTTAGTAATAACTAAGTAGACTTAGTACTAAAATCTATTCTAAGTACTCTAAGTATTTTAGTATACTCTAAGCTGCTTGCAGGTAGCTTACAAGTAGATAGAGTTACTTAAAGACTCTAAGTACCGAAATTTTTTTCCTAATATTTCTATAGCTACTATTCTTTATCCTTAGTTTTCTTATATTAGAAAAGTATAAAGTTACTTAATTATCTATCTTATAGAAAGAAGTATTTCTATATACTTTTTAGCTATAATATAATAATTAATTATCTTTTATTTAAGATTAGAAAGTAAGTTTATACTATAAATTAAAGTAAGAATTACATAAAAAGCTAAGAAAAGCTTATATAAATTCTTAAATCTTCTATAACTTCTTATAACTCTAAGTATTATCTTATTATTATACTAGTAGAATCCACTATAAGGATTAGAGTCTTAATTAAGAGATAACTATATAATACTAGAATTTAGCTAATAAGATATAGACTAATACTTTATAGTAATAATTAAATTAAATTAAATTATAAAACTAAAATATTCTTACCTAAGTTAAGTATTAATATACTTAATAAGATATACTTTTCTACTATATATAGTTTTAGTAAAATCTATAACTCCCTCTAAAATTTCTATAGTAAAGATACTTATAGCACTATAGTAAATACTATAAATTAAAATTATAAAATCTACTTTCTAACTTCTTAAATTTATTTTTATACTATTAATATATTCAGCTTATAGTACAATATAACTACTAGTATAAAAGCTTTAGGAATTTAAAATTTTAGCTAAAGCTCAATAATTATAACTATAGAAATATAGAATCTAGTAGTTATAGCTAGTATACTATAGCTATAGCTAGTACTATAGCTTAGCTATAAAAATATTAACTACTAATTATACTAACCGCGCTAACTATACTAACTATATTAACTATACATGTATTTTAGATACTAGTTTAATTTCTAGTAGAACTATACTTTTTTTTTTTGCTCCAAGGTAGATATAGACTCGTAGAGATATTCTATAATCTCTATAGACTTAGTAAACTATAGTTATGTTTATATAGTCTAAAAAATCTAAAATAAGCTGAGAATTTTAATAGAATCTCTAGAGTCTCTATGATCTAGTCTATAGTAATAGAATTATATACTTATTAAAAAAGCTATAAGATAACTATATAGTTTTGTAGAAGTAAAGAGTATTCTATAGCCTAAAACTATAAAGTAGCTTATATTATATAACTTTTAAAACTAAATAGAAATAGAATATAAACCAACTAATAAACTAACTAAAAGCTAAGATAACTATATTATATAGTAAGCTTTAAGCTTTTCTAAAAGCTAAACTTTACTTAAAACTACAATTAAAGCTATAAACTATATATAGTCTAACTATAATTACTTCTTATAATTCTATTAATAGGCTAGAGTAAAGAGTATTATTAAACATAAATTATAAAGTAGAATAGAAAGTAGATTATAAAGTAAAGTTAAAAATAAACTATTAAGGTATAAATTAGATTAGAATCTAGGTTTATAGCTAGATTAAAAGCTTTATAGGATACTTGGCTAGAAACTAAGCTAAAAACTAGAGTAAGAAGTAAACTAAAATACAATACCTAGCTAAAAGTCTTTACAAACCACCGTTTCCCTTATAAGAATCGTTGTTTTTATTATAACTCGCTAGAGCTATAGAACTAGATTACTATTAATCTAATACTAGCTAATCTTAGCTATATAATAGCATATAAAACTTACCTATTCTATACTTAGTCAAGATTATAATACTAAATATTATTTTTAGCTAGTTAACTTTCTAAAGACTAATAGAGCTAGTTTAATACTATTAGTAAGCTAAGAAACTATACTCTTAGTAAGATTATAATCTAATCTTACTAGTACTATATTAAGACCTTAATATTATTACTAATACACTAGAAATAAAAACTTAAAAAGAAGTAAAATTCTCTATAAAAACTAAAATCAATATTTAAAAATATAATAATATACTCTATAGCTTAGTAATATATAGACCTACTAAGTAGTATATATTCTATCTTTTGTATATGTCTTTATTTTAAGAAAGTATAGAGTTACTCTATAAATAGAAGATGTAGTTTTTACTTAAAAAAGTACCTAACTAAGGCTTTTATAGATATAGAGCTAGTAGTTATACTTTACTAATTTATCTACTAAATACTTCTTTAGGTTCCTATTAAGCTATATACTAGCTATTTTACTTATACCATCTCACTAGAATAATAATTTATTAATCTAAAAACGGCGAGTTTTGGTGAGAAAACGGTAGTGTGGAAAGAGTTTTGGCCAGATACTGTAATACTAAACTTAAGACTAAATACAAGAATTATTTAAAAAGTAAACTAAAGACTAAACTAAATTTAAGTCTTGAAAGAGTATATTAAAGAGTAAACTAAGAAGTAAATTAAGAGTAAACTAAAGAATTAATTAAGAGATAGACTATTGAAAAGAAAACTAAGTAGTATACTATATAGTAGCCTAGAATTTACTTAAATATAAACTAAAAAAAGAAAATATCTCTTATAATATAAAGAATCTAGAGGGAGTTTAAAAAGAGAATACTTCTTATATTAAGAAAGAGAAAAAGAAGAATTTAAGGGAAAGAATTCCTTTTAAGAATTAAAAATATACTATTTATTTAGGTAGAAAAATATTTATATCTCTAATAATATCTACTAGGTGTACCCATTCTATACTAAAATGGGTTAGAGTCTTAGTAAAGAGAATCTAGTATATTTAGCTATTTTAATATTTTAATAATATTATCTTTCTTAAAGTTTCTTAACCTTTCTATTTTCTTTATACAAAGAGTATTTAGCTTATTTTCCCGCTTATTCACTAGTTTATTATTAATTTGTTTCTTAGCTTATATCTTAATTTACTTCTTAGCTTATCTCTTAGCTTATTAATTAGTTAGTTTCTTACTTTATCTCTTATTTTATCTTCTTCTTTATCTCTTATTTTATCTTCTTCTTTATCTCTTATTTTGTTTCTTAGTTTATCTTTTAGTTTATCTTCTAGCTTATATATTAATTGACTTTTTAGCTTACTTCTAAATTCATTCTTTAGTCTATATTCTAGTTTTTAATATAAATTAACCTCTGGATTACTTTTTACTAATATCTTAGCTTTATGTATAGTTTAGTTTATATTTAGTTTACTTTTTAGCTTAGTTTTTAGTTTAGTTTAGAGTGTAGCTACTGATTTTTGTTTAGTTTAGCTTAAAATCTAGTATCTAGTCTAGTTTTTAGTTTAGGTTTTAGTCTATTTTCCAGTCTACTTCCTAGAATAGTTTATAGTATATAATCTATTTTAGATTCTAGTCTATTTAGAATTATTAATCTCTCTAAATTAAGTAAATAATAAATGTTTTACTTACTAAGAGGAGATTCTCCCTCTTGAACCCCTTATTCTTTCTTTTAAAATGAGAAGTATTCTCTCTCTTAAATCCCTTCTAGTTCTCTTTATAATATATATAAAAGTTATTCTCTTTTCCTAAATATATTCTACTTTGTTCTTAGTTTCTTATAATTTATTTCTAAGTTACTTCTTAGTATATTTCCTAGTATTACTCTTAATTTACTTTATAGTTTATTTTTGAATAAGTTTTTTAGTTTATACTCTAGCTTATATGTTAGTATACTACTTAAATTATTACTAATTTTACTTTATAGTTTACTACTCAGTTTATTCTATAGTGTACTTTTAAATTTCTTCTTTTAGTTTATTTTATAGTAAATATTTAAGTTTATTTCTTAGCCTATCTCTTAGTTTATCGCTTAATTAATTTTCTATTTCTATATATTTCTAATCTTCTCAATCTTCTTGTTCAATAGAATTATATAAACTTTTATAGCTATTACTAAAAGTACAGTTAATAAAAAGAGTTTTCAAGAGTTATAGATTATTTCTTAGTATAAGTAAGCTTAATAGTATTTCTATAATCTATTTACTT